TATCAGTTAATTATAGTAAACTACACACATAAAGTAAAAAAATATATAAAAAAATAGGATAAATAATTTATAATTATAACAGTCTATCTATTTTCGGATATTATTATTAAAATTATTTTGGGGTTTTCATCAATAAAAATCTCAATGTATCCCCTATTCCCAATCATCGAATTTCAATCATATATATTTAATATTTTAAAGATTTGTTATCACTATTTTCTAAATGTACATTTACGACAACCAGATGGGTCATACTAAATGTGCAAGTGCATTTCGAAATTTTAAATTTATGACGTTACGATTAAAAATTTATAATATTAACAACAATTATATTACATAATTAGCAATGAAATTGTAAAGGTTAAACAAGTAATATGTTCGCGAGCTTAGCTTATAAGTTCAACTCATTAAAAATATATTGTTAAGTTAAACGAGTCGAATATAACTATAAATTTTAACTTGTTATGTTTTCGAACAAACTAAAACATGTTCACGAATCGTTCGATAGTATTTGTTAACAAATTAAATAATTTTTTTATATTTAATAAGTACTCCATATATAGAAATTTATAATATTGTACATACTTCTATTCTTTTAATATATAATAAAGTAGAAAATATAAAAAACAATAATATTTTCATATAAAAGTAGTATAGATAAAAAAAAAAAAAATTATGAAAACTTATCAAAGAATTGACAAATATATGATGTGATAAGTCGAAAAAATAGTGACAAATTTATTATTATTTGTCAAAATAAAAATAATAAAATTATTTATTATAAATAAAATATGCATAAGTCAGCGCATAACTAAAAAAATCTAATGTAATTATACTAGTAAGTGTAATAATTATTATTATTTTTAATTGAATTAAATAAAAAATTATTTAATAGCTCAAATTAAAACAAGTCGAACTCAAAGACGAAATTTTCAGCTCAATTTAGCTTCTGAAATTAACATATGGTGAGACAATTATGAACCATAAATGTTGAAACGAAAGGCATTCATTCAAATAGCATAAGTGCAATAGTAATACTCCCTCCGTCCTAATATAACAGTCTTATTTATCATTTTTGTCCGTTCTAAAACAATAGTCTTATTTTTATAAATAACTATATCACCATAAAATTACCCATACTTTTTCATTTTTATTACACAACTGCCACTATTTTTTACACTAATACACTTACAAAGGCAAAAAGGTCTTTTATCTATACTTTTTATCAACTACTAATATAATATCAAAATTTCTTAAATCTCGTGTTCAACCTAAGACTATAACTTTGGGACGGAGGGAGTATTATCTAACATTTAACAACAATTAAAATTAAATTGCGTTATCTAATAGTGATTTTAATTAAAGTTAGCATATAATATCTAGCAAAATCAACTTTGGAATAAAAGGTCAAAACATATTTAAATATTTCTATCTAAAAAAAAAAAAAAGAAACAGCCACTTTTACTTTATTTAAAAAGAGAAAATTCCTTGGAACAATGACAGCGCGGCTCAGCTTCTCTTTAGCCGCGCCAATTATTCTAAAAGAGAAAAATAAAAGCCAAAAAAAAATAATTAATCACACATCACAGTTAAGTGAAGCCGACTGGCGAGCCGAGCGCAGTCGCAGACCCAGCCGGTTCGGCAGTTGAAGTGATGAGCTCTATCTTGCGCTGCGGTTGGGCGGGGCGGAATCGTGCGCATGTGCGTAATGCGCCGCTTTGGTGGCCACAATTAACCTTTGCCCTACGCACTTTTGACTGGGCCCCACGTGAGGTGGCTGTTGGGGCCCACCTATAACTAACAAAATGTAAGAGAGAAAATTAAATTTTGTTACGTTAGGTCGTAGGAGTAATTACGTAACTAATTAATTAATTAATTAGGGCATCTGTTAAGATTCACAGCAAAATTTGTCTTGTGAACCTATCCTGGTCAGGTAATTTGTGATTGCTTGGCGTAAAATCAATTTTTTATTTTTTACTTTATATATATATTTGTCTCCGTCTTATTTATTATAATCCCTATGTTTCATGACTAAATATCCATTTAGTTTTAAAAAATATTAGTATTATATTTGGATGTAGTAAAAATAAAGTAGAAAAGATTAAAATAACAAATGTAATAACATTTGTGTAATATATTGTAAGTTGTAAGAGTATTTATAATGTTAGGTAGACAGTACAGTTACTTAAAAAAAAGGAATTTGATACTTTGTTTTGATACGGACTAAAGTGGAAAAATGAATATTTTGTTATGGGACGGAGGAAGTATTCATATTTTCGTCAATTTCACTTATTTTATTATTTTTTAGAAAATAATTATACTTTTTAATTTTTAATTTTTTTAAAAATTAATTAAACAAATTAGTTATTTTAATTTTAATTTACAATTATTTTTATTATATGATAATTATTTTAACTAATATATTCTTAATTAGTTATTCATTATACTCTTCTTAAATTTTTATGTCTACAGTAAAACGGACATAACAGCCGAGATCGAGAGAATATATAATAGAGAGTTAAGAAAATTGAGGTTGACATACAATATTACTCCCTCCGTCCCAGATACGGTGTCTGCTACACTGTAGACACGGTATTTTAGGAGGGGTGAATCAGTAGATAATTAAGAATGTATTAGTGAAAATAATTATCCTATAATATAAATAATTATAAATTAAGATTAAGACAACTAATTAGTTTAATTAAAATTAAAAAAGAATTTAAAAATTTAAAATGAGATTAAAGTGTGTAATAATTTTCCAAAAAATGAAAGTGACATGTTATGTGAGACGGACAGAAACGGCAACGTGGACATAGTATCTGGGACGGAGAGAGTATATTTTACATTGCTCAATAATGTAGTAACTAAGTACTTTTGTTTTTGGATTAATTAATTACTTTAGGTGACTACATTGAAATGTAAAGTATTCTTGTATTTTTCAACAGTGGGTTTACTTTTTATTATATATATATATATATATTTTTTGCATTTTATAACAAAATAATATAATTATTTATTAAAAAATAAAATTAAATGACAAAAGGAATACATAGCGGGTCGGTGTTATTGTCTTACCATTGTGTAAAAAATAATACATTCTCATGAGAACGTTATTCACAGTGGTTAAAGCGTTGATTATGACGAATCAACGACATGATCGAACCTTAATATTAGTTTACATGACACATATATCACCACAACTCTTATGATTTTAAATATGGCTAAAATATTGGTACATATGTATTATTAACACTCTGGGTTGGGTGTGTTTGTTTGAGGATTGAATTTTAAATTCACATTCATCTCATTTTTTTTTTTTTAAAAAATATCAAATTAAATATCTATTTTTTATATTTTTTATATTATACTCAAAATCAATTTTACATTCAAAATATCACATCAACACTTATTTATATCACATCATACAACTATTTAAATTCAAAACTTTTACTATTCAAATCTCAACTCAAAATACAAACCCCAAAGCAAACACACCCTCTATATATGTCACTTTTTTATTTATTTATCACTATATGAGAATTATATGTAGGATAATTATATATATAAGATTTTAAATACATTTCACTTAGAAAATTAATACTATAAAATAAAATAATTTTTTTTTTGAAAATTTTAAAAGTTAAATAGTAAAAAACTAATAGAAAAAGAATTTTGTAAAATAAATCAACTCTTAATTTTCAATTCTCTACATCACATAAGAATAAAATAAAATAAATCATTTAATTCTCAATAATAATAATAATAATAAAACTATTTTAAGGGCGTGGTTACTTGTAAGATTTTATCCTGATTTTACTATTTGTATTTTTTTTTTCTCCAAAAATATTAAATCAAACACCTAATTTTTATTTATTTTATTAAACTAAATTTAATTTTACGTTCAAAATATCACATCAAATAACTATTTCAATTCAAAATTTTACTATTCAAAATCAAAACTCAAAATCAAGTAAACAATTAATTTCTTTATTCTTATTTCTTGGTACTAAACATACTTTAAATAATATTTTTGGCCAATGAGAAATACTAACGCACACGACAAGCTATCGTATATCATATTCCCATTGCTTAATCTACGAATAATACAATTGTGATGGCACGAGCACAAACACGTGCATTATGCACGATATTACGATCTGTTTAGATATATTTTGAAAATTAGCTGAAGTTTTTAATTTTTTAAAAATAATAAATATTCAATATATTCCTTTATAGGAAAATAGTTATTTAATATTCCATATGTCATCAAATTTATATGTATTTTTTTTTTACTTGTCCAATATGCATTTTTTTTTTGTTTATAATAAATAATTATTACATAATTCTTTTTATTTCTTTTATAAATATTGCACAATTATTTAGATATTCAATTTACAATATTATGGAAACATGACGCTAATATGCAAATATTTCACTAAAATATTGTGATATGTTATAAATTGGTACACGGTCTCACGTTTTTGTGTTCAGTTTACTATAGATACTTAAATATAATTAATAAGTAATTAAAAAATATATTAGTAAAAATAATTATTATATAATAAAATTAAGATAACTAAATAGTATAATTAAAATTAAAAACAATTATAAATTATTAAATTTAAAATGTAATTAAAATACATAATTATATTTTAAAAAAAAAGACAAGACAAATAATATGAAACAAACGAAAATGAAAATAGTGGACAAAAAAGTGGGTAGGAAGTATATTTTACCGATATATTTTTTTATTGATTTTCATATGAGATAGTGGCAAAATTGTCAATAAGGCCGTTGGTGTGACAATTTAAAAAAAAAAGGATTATTAGTTAGCAAAGTTAATGACATCAAGTTGGGATATTTTACCCGTAATTTCAAATTTTTATTATCAAACGCCGTGTGAAGTGACGAAATAGCCCCTGACAATATGGAGAATCCCGAGTGGGACTTGTTCAAACGACGGGTATAAATAGGGATAAACGGGTAAACCCCAGACGCTCCAAACCCTCGCTTTCATCACCAGCACCTTTTTTATCGAGCCTTTTTTCCGCTCTGCCAAAATCCTTCCGAATAAAGTTTCTGGAAAGTTATATTGACGAATCATATGACACCGACGCTGCAATTGCAGAACGTAAGAAATTGGTGAAGAAGAAGAGGAAGAGGAGTAGGATCGAGATTTCGGAGTGTGTTCGGAATGCCACCGGCGGCGGGAGTGGCAGCGCAGGGCGGCGATCGAGCGGCGGTCAAGCCAATGGCGATGCCTGGATTGGTGCGACAGCCTCCGATGTCGGTGATGCCGGCGACGGACGCATTCGCCAAGGACGCAATCATCGCCTGGTTCCGCGGCGAGTTCGCGGCGGCGAACGCGATCATCGATGCCTTATGCAGTCACCTGGCGGAATTGGAGGGCGGCGCGACGGGAACGTACGAATCGGCGTTCGCGGCGATTCATCGTCGGAGAATGAACTGGATTCCGATCCTCCAGCTGCAGAAATTCTACTCGATCGGTGATGTCACGGCTGAGCTGAAGAAAGTCTCCGAGGAGAAGCGAGCTTGGAATGACGTGGACGCGCAGAAGAAGATTGACGAGGAAGAGGAGGCGGTGGGGCCAACCGGTGCTTGCACCGAGGCGAGCTGTGGCAGAGAGAAACAGAAAGAAAAAATTGTGGAAAATTCGACGGAGGATATAAAAAATGGCGGCGCCGAGGCGGTTGATGAAGACCTTACCTCTGAAATCACTGATGCAGGTAGCTGTTCGAATTAACAAATTTTCGATGATTTGTTACTCCTGCTTCTTTTCTACAGTAAATGCAGCTTTTCATTTATGATTCTTAGAAATTTTCAATTGCGGTAAATTCAGAAGCATTAACTATTCCGTGTTTTGTAGCCATTATCTGCAAACTGCAAAATTAATATCGTTCATACTCATCCAATCACAGATCAGAATTGAGAAATTCAAACTTGAATTTTAATGAGAAAGTGCATTCTAGTTTTGCCTATAAAATAAAAGTTCTCGTTTCTTCTACGTGCTTTGATTGTGAAATTGACTGTTAACAACATTTCCTTTTCAATTACTTTCCTTACCTGAAAAAATCTGCATATGAATTTCTCTAGTTAAGGCTTACTTTTTCCCATCCAGACAGTTGAAAGTATGGTTTGCATTTGTGAGCTCTAAATATATTATTACTTGCCAAAAGTTTTCTTGTAGATAAGAAAAGTGAACTAAAAGCAAATTTCAAGAACAGATACATCACCCTGTTTTAAAATACACTTGATTTCTTTTTCTCCTTATAATTATTATTATTCTATGTTCAAGTGGAAAGGAGAAAATAAAAAAAAGTTGTTAAGGTATGGGGGGAGCATGAGTTCATCAAAGTTGGAAATTAGACGTTACATCTGAATCCATGATGTCTTTGTAATAGTTACATTTTCCTTTGACTTAGGCAGGCAGCGTGTGGTTTCTACTGTTGATTTTGGACAATAGCTCTATAGTTAGTTAGTGGCTAGCTTTAATAATGGGATGCACACTTCCCTATGTTGGGGGTTGTCTTCTTTGTCCCCACAAAGAAGCCTCAAAAAACAATATAGAGTCAACTCTATTTTGTTTGTCACTGGTTTGGGTCTGGATTTCTTTCAGTTATTATTGAAATATGTTTTCCTAAATGAAATACTATGGTAGTGCTATTTGAAAGTTGCCTGGCAGGCAGGCAGTGCTTTCATTTGCTGTCTGGGCATGGCAGTGGAACCTGGTTCAGGAAGTACATTCATTACACCCTTATCCTTTATTGTACAATGGCCTTCTTGAATGAACATATGAATGAGTCAGGAGTCTATTTTGGGGATGAAAACGACAGATGAAAGAAGCCAACTTTGAATGCTATGTTAGGTACAGAATCCGAGGGTTAGATTAATAACTATTCATCATCATCCTTAAGTGAAACCACATTTGCATTCAATTGCATGTATTGTAGGATTAGTTTTCTGATGATTCTATTATAGTATTACTCAAATCTTGCACAACTAAGAAGGCTCCTGTGAAATGTCTCGTATTTGATTAAATGAACTCTTTACGATTTTTCGAATTGCTTGAACTTACTAGCGGTGTATAGAAACATCCACCGCCTATATGGACATTGGAAATCTATTTGATTCAATCTCTACAATTAATCAATTTGAATGTTAACGAGGCTCTTCAAAATTCTTGATTTGTTCCTTGATTCTTTTTTATTTTCAGCATTAGCTTGAATTATTCTTTCTGTTATTTTTTAGTGATTTGTAATGTAGTATCACAAGAAGCTCAGCCTTTATCACCGGAGCAACCGAGGATATGTTCCAATCATGGAGAGTGTGGGGCGCGGTGCGATCAGATCAAGATGACCAAAGGTTATATAGCGAAGGAGCCCGTGAAAGGACATATGGTAAGCTCTTTTGGATTCTTACGAAAATGTAGTTTCGATTACAATTACTGATAGCAACTGTGCATATATATATATATATATTGGCAGATGAATGTTGTGAGAGGTCTAAAGTTGTATGAGGAAACATTCACTGATCTTGAGCTCTCCAAATTGATCGACTTTGTGAATGAGCTTCGTGTTTCCGGTCAGAACGGTGAACTCTCAGGTGGATCATGTGATTCATGATGCTTTTATAGTTAAAAAAACAAACAAACAAACAAAAAAAACTAGTTGTTTCCTTTTGGCCCGGGAGTTTTGACATCCTCTGTAGGTTTGTCCGAGCAGGTTCGAAGCATTTGCTATTTTTTCATCTCTTCCGTTTCTTACACTTCGAGAGTTTACACGTCGCATGTCTGCATTTTGCTTATTGCCTGTCATCTATTCTGCAACTTCATTCTTCAATATTCACTCTAATTTAGCGCCGAATAACCGATTTTCAGGAGACACGTTCATCTTATACAACCAGCAGACGAAAGGGAACAAGAGAGAGCTGGTTCAGCTTGGAGTTCCCATTTTCGGGCAAATCAAGAAAGACGAGACGATTACATTCCATACAAGTAAGTCTGATTCATATCTCTCATTTGCCAAGTATGCTAGCTGATTTCTAAATCATGTGTTCATAAATCTTTTCACAGAGGACATCGAACCTATTCCGGCTCTTCTCCAAAGCGTAATCGACCACTTGATTCAGTGGCGTATAATCCCGGAGAACAGGAAGCCGAACAGCTGCATCATCAACTTCTTCGACGAGGTACACAAAACTTATTCTCAACAAACTCCTCGCTAATTCTATCAGATTCTTCGATGAACTTTATCCCCTGTGTTTTGTAGGGCGAATATTCTCAGCCTTTTATGAAGCCGCCTCACTTGGAGCAGCCTATCTCTACCCTCCTCCTCTCCGAATCCTCCATGGCTTTCGGACGAACACTAGTGAGTGACGGCGAAGGAAATTATCGCGGCCCTCTCGTCCTTTCTCTAAAAGAAGGGTAACCATCGCACCCCAAACTTTTTCTCGATTCCATGCAACAAATATTTACTCTATTCGTCCATCAAATTTACTCTCATTTTCTTTTTAATCTATTTGCTAAAGTTACCCTATTACTAATTTTGGCAAGTCAACAAATCAATCGTTTAACTATTATCCTTAATTCAACATTTATTTATCAATGCATTTATTACATTATATCTCATTCATTTTTTTAATTTCTAACAAAAATTTCAAAAATACCTCATACTACTTTTTTACTTTTATCACTCTTTTAATAAAATATTATTTTTTTAATTTCTGTGCCGGACTTAAATTTTGTTTTTTTTTAAATAGTATTTTGATATTATGTTTTGACTAACAATTTAACTGAAACACATGCATCCCATCTCAGGTCTCTTTTAGTTATGAGGGGAAACAGCTCCGACACGGCAAGGCACGCCATGTGTTCGTCGACCAACAAGCGAGTAAGCGTTTCGTTCTTCCGAGTGCGAGCCGAGTCGGAAACCGCTCCACTCGACGCAACGGTGCCTACGTCCAAAGCAATGGCTTTATGGCAACCCACTGCGGTCTCAATGACCGCAGTGGCGCCAAACAGCTACGACCCGATTAACTTGATCCCGAAATGGGGCTTCCTCCGGGCACCTATGGTGATGCTAGCTCCTGTCCGGCCTGTCCCTGTAAATAATCCTAAACGTATAATTCCCCGTGGCGGCGGCACCGGAGTTTTCCTGCCGTGGGCCGTCGGATCTCGTAAACATGTAAAACATCTCCCGCCGCGGGCACAGAGAGGAAGGCTTCTTTCTCTACCTTCTTCTTCCCCTGGTGTTAACAACAACAACAACAGCAGCAGCAGCCGCCATTGATGTTTGGGTAAGTTTTATCAATACATTTTCTTTGTGCTCCCGGAAAGCATTTTATCGTTTAATTTAAAGCTGAGATGTTGAGAATGAGTTTGTGCTTTTATATATATAGATATATATTATTATTATATACTTAGGTTTGTTGTTAATTGTGTTTCGAGCCTCTAAGAGTAGTTAGAGATTTCATGTCAAGGAAAGGCCTGTCTGCTCTGCGGTGTGTGTACTTTTTTTTTTAACCAGGGAGAAGTTTCTGTTGTTCTGATTATAAAGTATCGTAGTGTTACTGTACTATCTTATACTATGTTAAAAGCCATATTTATATATATATATAGTAACTATAAAGAGAGTAAATTCAATAAATTTGATAAGTAGGCACCTCACTCAACTCAGACTTTGGGCTTCCAATCCATATTGCAATTGGGCCAAGGCCCAAGCCCAAACTACAGTTTGGAGACGAGACGGAAGCATGATTCACGAAAAGCTGGAACTCAAATATAGAAAAATATAGTAATAGTTCTTCTGTGGATTTTGATTCTTCCATCTTTCCCAGATGCTTTCCTTCCTTCTTTTTGAGGACGAAAACAATATCCACTCTGAGGAAATACTTTTATATTTCTATCCTCCATTCTTATTGAATAGAAGAATCATCTATAGAGAGAGAGAGAGACTTCTCTCAGACATGCATTATATATACTATAATGTTGCTGGAATCGAACACCCCACCCCAGTATAGGAAATGGAACATGCTTTCCATTCTCAATCTCCACCCATCTGCCAAAGGCTTACCAATTTTCTATTCGGAATGTTCAATCCCTCCTCCCCTCTCCCGTCACCTGAAGTTTACATAGAAGACGGCCCGCCGCCGCCGCTGCCGAGGAACGGGAAGACTTCTTTCATACCCATTGGTCGGCCTAATGCCGGCTCAGATATCACGGTCGAGTTCAGACACATAAATGGAGGCAATGAGCTGAAGCCAAGATTTCCATCTCCGAGAGAGAGCTCCAATATAAATGAAAAGTCCGCAGCATTTATCCAAAGAAAGAAGAGAGACCTGGAGCAGATACTGCAGCCTTGATCCCTTTTTGTCCTAGCAATCGGATTTCGAATGACACTTCTTTATCATTTCAGGACATATAGGAATCAATAAAGAAACTGCATGTGTGATTCAGCCTCTCTTTGGCTTCTCTACTTATAGATCAAATCAATATTTGTGAGCAAAACAACCGTATCCGACCAATGTTTCGACAAATATCTGCATCACAGCACAGCACTAAGTGCTACTGAAAGTTATAATTTACCATCTTCCTCAAGAACAACAGCCTTTGCAGTCTCCCGGAATGGACCCAACATTGGCTTGGATTAATTGTTCTTGCAGGAAGTGTATATGCGGGTGTATTGAGATGCCGGCCTGAACTTGAGGTATGTATTCTTTTACGAGATATTTTACCTATTCTTTCTGTGAAAGCCATCCAAGCTGTGCCACGACAAAAATGGAAATATAAAGTAAATGGTATGTAGTTATTGTGCTGTGTAAATTGCTTGTGATGTGAATACCTTCCAGGTGTACATTCCAAAAAAGGCTATGGTGTCGGCAGACCATACTACAGCAAATGATTTCCAGAAAAATGGGATGATGATGTTAATCAATGGAATCAGAAGGAAGAGGTAATTCAGCGCTTCTTTCTCGTTCTTGGAGCAGTCCCGTGCACGGAGGGAAGGTATAGCTGATAACAACAAAGCGTATAATCATAAAAAGGTATAATGAAAAGAAGAATAAATAACAAACACCTAAGATTGACACCATCACAAACAGGTGTGGTTGGTTTGGGTTTCAAACCTAAACCAACAATATCTTGCCCACACGGTTCCGATAAAAATACACTATCTCCTATCACAAAACATTACATCAAAATACTATTTAAATCAAAACTCAAATAAAAAACCCAATTTCAAACCAAAAAAACATGTTTTACGTGCATATATATATATTTGAGCTATATATGCTTTGATGATCAAATCTCCAAACAATGTGTTTCCTTTCGCCAAACATAAACTAGAGATTCTATAAAGTAAATCCATATTAGAAGCAAAATTTTTCGGCAAAGATTTTGTATGGATGAAGTATTGCTTACTGAACATCCATATGGACCACATGCCCATTAGCCTCCATAAGTCCGGTTCATTTGAAGGAAATAAAAGATTGAAAGAGAGAGCTCCACCAAGTAACAGAGAGACATATCCTTGAACCTCAAATACGGTGTATAAAACCGTGCCAGGTACAGCAGGGTTTTTGGTTGCAGTCGAAGCTCTTGGCGCAAAGGTCGCAGCTGTCTTTTGGACCACCTGTCGAAGCGAACCAATAAAGCCATGTACTCAATCTCTATACCAAGAAAATTCAAGGTATGATAGCAAATACAGTGCACATTCCCAGCTTTCTGAATTGCAGCTAAGATGTGGGCGTAATGCACAATAAGAGTCAACTAACTCATTGATTTCATTTTCAAACCAAAATCACCGGTTGCCTACACTATTTCATCTCATCAAAGATCATATAAAAATATCATTTAAATAAAAAATCAAATAAAAAACACAAACCCAAGTTCAAAACCAAACAAACAGTTAAATTAAGCGAACACAGATCAGGCTTTATTTGGTCGTGAATTCTCAAGGTTCCAGCTCCATAGGAATTTACAGAGCAACGCATCTAATTATGCTTTTGTATCAACATAATTCTCCATTTAATTCATTAATATAAGGAAATGCCAGGTGTAGATGAATTTAGGCATGACATTCTATCCGAGCAATTAGAACCCCAAATTCAACCAACATGAAGTAAATGCTATCGAACGTAAAACATTTCACTGAAATCATAAAGATAATGCAACCAAGAAACGCAGAAACAGATTAAAACAAGGTAAATTCTTGCCTTTTTGAGATCTTTATCGAGGACAGGCGCCGATGTCGTCAGCCCACTCGAATTCCTGCTTGTCTCTTCAACTTCTTGATCTTTATCGGATTGTCGAACATCTTCTTCAGACTGCTGTGTCTGTATGTCCGGCTCCGTTGAACTGGCTTGTGCTCTAGTACCTTGCAGAGGAAATCGAACTCTAATTCCATAATTTCTGGGGCGTAGAAGGAACGTACCGGGAAATCTTGCGTTGTAGAGAGTCGTCGAGGTAAGAGCGCTCATGGTTGTAGTCGATAGATAGTGTTTCTAAGGTGAGAAGGATTTTGCCGCTGGAATCTCCACTAATACGACGCCGTTTCGTCGTCAACACTATGTTTAGCAAATGCCCAAATGACAAGAATACCCTTACCTATTATCCATATTTCCCTAAACTATTTTACATCTAAGAATATAAAACAAAGAAAATTACGCTTCTAGAAGAACATAATTTAGTCTGTAATAAGAATGAAAATCATCTTGTTCTTTAGGGAAGCGATGGAACAACAAATAGAAACGTGAATAAATGTTCAACTTATTCATTCAGAATCATTGCCATGAATTTGAAACAAATATGATGAAAAGAAAATGTCTACCAAGAAAAGTGCCTTAATTTCTGCCATGAACGTTTATTGATGCCTGTATCTGTTCCAGACTCCTTCCTTTGGTTTCAGGCACTACCTTGATCACAAACACAATGGCAATGGCATTCACTGCTGCGTATAGAAGGAAAGTCCCTGCAAAACCACAATTGCACCCTTCATATTTATTTCGACGCTTCCAGATAACAATGTTTGTTAATGGCTCACCGTAGGAGCTCCAGCTCATGAGAAAATTGAAGGTGAAAGAACAAGCCCAAGCGCCGAACCAGTTCACTAATGTCGCAAGGCTTCCGGCAATTCCTTTGATGTTTATTGGAAATATCTGCAGAGATGGTTGTTCTTAGTTTCTTGGTGTTCTATAATAGTGTGAAAAATATTTAATTTTGGAGTTTTTGGTTTTTTGTACCTCAGACATCACTACCCATGGAACTGCACCCATCCCAACAGAGAAAGCTCCTATGTAAACCTGGTTTCAAGAATGCCGGGAAGTTCTTCGATGAAAGGGTAGTAATATGTGCAATATTAATTTGTTAAACATGTTTTATTATTTAAGAACGCATTGTAACTTGATATATGTGCTCACCAATATGCCAGCTACAGCAAGCCCCGGAACTGCACCGAGTGCTATCTCATGCTCCTGCACAGGGAGTTGCATTACCTCAAAACACATTTTGTATTCAGTGAAAAAAAGTTTGAGAAGATGTGTGATGTACCTTCAGATAGAATGAGCTGCCCGCCAGCAGACAACCTAGGACTAGTCCTGTTCCAGAAATCTGGTGAAAGAGGCATTTTTCAGTTACAATGTGAATAATCATACGATGTTTAACTTCTCTGATTGAGTAGCCAACATGGAACTGACCACTAAAAGAGGTTTTCTTCCTGCCCTGTCAATGAAATAAGCGCCGACTGCGGTGATTATGACCTGGGGAGGAAGTTTATATACTTGGTTAAAATCACAGCTCAGTCGCCTTTAGAAACGATTTTATTATACCTGAAGAATCGCGTATGTAATAGTTCCAATATCAGCTGGGAAACCTGTGATTGACAAAGAAGTATATTAGTATGAAACCAAATTCTAACATGTTTTTGCGTTGTTAGCCCAGTTTCTAATTTCTATCCTAATGCTGAGTTTTCAATTTATGCGCCATTTACAGTGTTAGGTAAGTGCTGTCGAAACTTACCTGCAGATTCAAAGATGCTGCTGGTGTAGAAACAGATGCCATTTATTCCTCCAAATTGTTGACAGACCATCAGCCCAACTCCTATCTGCACCATTCTACTTAGGTATCATTGTTTATCTTCATTTTTCATTACTGAGGAAAGATCAATTCATACCGTGACAGATCGTATATATTGCCTTTGAATCAAATCAAAAAGTTTGGCTTTCGGTAGCCTTTCCAGAGTTTCTATATAATCCTGTTCAATGAATGCATAGCATTTGTATTATGCTTTTTTCTGATGCAACAGATGATGATGTTTAGGAGTCTCAGCATAAACTTACTTGAATTTCATCTGCCTCTGCCGATATGTCAGCGTCTTTACCTCTTAGCCTCCTCAAGGAAGCTTCAAACTCCTTCTGTTTTCCTTGTTTTGCCTATGCAATTTTTCTTATTTATGACACTTATTTGTAAATAATCATTTTATCAACACTTGCTCAGTATGGAGATTCAGATGCTTACCAGCCATCTGGGGGACTCTGGAATGATTAACATACCTAACAGTAGAACAGCACAAGGGACAATGCCTGCATTGTGGACAAATGAATCTTAATTATAGTAAACATTACTCAAAATTACTAACTACAATATAAAGTAGATAACATTTCATAACTCACCAATTAGTGCCAAAGCCCTCCAACTTAGCAGTGTCCCTATTACGAAGGATACCGATACGGCAGCACAAATCATAAGCTGCAGAATAGATGCAGGGCAATAAGCTTTGTTTTCCAATTGCTGAATGAGCATCTCTACTGCATCGAAAGGTATATTTTCCTAGTACTTACCTGGTTTATGGTTGTCAAAGATCCTCGTAAATCTTTTGGAGCAATTTCAGCTATGAATACTGGAACCTACCAACAAAAGGGAAGTAAATGTAACTCTGCATTTCTAGTGCTAAAATTATATAAGAATCCTAGAGTGCAACTGTCTGAAGGGAATCTAATTTACCACATAAGAAAAGACTCCCATTCCATATCCTGTTGCTAATCTTCCAATGTCCAGAAGCAATGCACCCTGCAGGATTAAGAGACTAGTTGAATCAAGTTATCGATTTAGGTATCCAGCATAACTAATTATTTTGACTGTGCTTATACCTGGGCAAAGTAAATGGATAACCAACCAGCTGTGCAGAATCCACTCGACACTATCATTGCCTGATTGAATTTCACCATTCAATACTGTTAACTACAAGCATTTCAGCATTTAGATACATATATATATATATATATTTTCTTATAATCCCAACGAACATACCCCTTTGCGACCCGTGTTATCTGCAATTTTACCACTTGTGATTGCACCAATCATAGCTCCAAAAGTCAGTATGGAGCCAAACAACGAGTACTGAAAAGACAGCACATGGCAGAGGAGTTCAAAACACAGGCTTACAATTGAATTTCAAGCAGATGAGCTGAATTAATCAGTACAATGAACCAACGGACGTGGAGTGGCTCTAAATCTAATCATGTAGTGAGGTTTGGTACGAGTGAACTTCAAGCTTCCATTTGTTTAATTATTTTGAGTTTCAGAGCAAATCGAAAGGCAGAGTACTTGAGGAAGAGAATAATGCAACAAACAAATCAATTGACTACTTCACATATATTATACAGTTCTCAGTAATGCTCAACAAACCTCCGCTAAGGATAAGTTCACATCTCTTACGATAGCAGCCTGCGTAGGCGACGAATATCCTGCCTGTAAACACACAATTCAAGCAAAATCGATGCCTAAAAAAACAACTAAAGCATAATAAAGGCATGAATTAGTAACCATTGATCACAATCACATACGCAGGATCCAAAGGCGTAAGAACCACAAACTGCGATAAAAGTACTGAGATACACCATGCATCTCTCCTCCTTACTGCTCTTCTTCACCGCAAGCTCTTCATCGCCGTTCGCCCCTATCCTCTCTCCCGCTAAGAGCGGAGCTCTCATCAATCCTCCCTCGCACTTCTCCTCCCCCTCACTGCTCCGAATGTCCGCCATGGCTGTCCCCTGCAGTCACGCTCAGTATAACTGAGGAGAAAATAATTAATAATTTCTATTTATGTGTATATATCGATAATACGAACACATAAACAGCCGGCTCGATTTTAAATTAAAATTTTAAAATTAGCTGTCACTAGACATAAAATTAATAAGTAAATAGCAAATATGCATGAGATCTAAAGCAAGATTATTTCAATATTTCCAATTTTCCTTTTTAGGATTATTAAATTTCATTTTTTATATGAATTTGAACATTCAATCGAATAACACAGGGTAGGTAGAGATCCCATCCCATCCCATCCATGTATAATTAATTCACTAGAAATGGCGAATTTGTCACGTAGGGTGAATGAAAACTGAAGAGGACAAATGATGTCAGCCAATCCAAACTTCATTCCTTTTGAAAATTGCAATTTGTGTCCAATTTTGATTTCTTTTCCCAATGATTTGTGATTGTTTATGGCATTTAACTTTACTTCCTGACTACTAATTATGGGCATTATTGGAAATTCAATTCTAATTAGATCTCAGCCATGCATTTATTCGTTTACTGGCTGCCCGGTCAGGTCAGGTCAGGTCACATGTGGCGGTTGGGAGAACACAATAAGACATTCCTCTCAATGATTCCAACATTATTATTTTATTATTATTATTATTTCAGTTTGCATATTTTATTTATTTATTTTTGTTATTTTTTTTTTTAACTGAAACTACGAGTTTGTTTCTTTTGTCTGTAAACGGGTGTGTTCTCGGGGTTTGACATTTTGAGTTTGTATTTGAATAGTAAAAATTTTAAATTTTTGTATGAGACGTTTATGTGATTTTTTGAATATAAAATTAATTTTTAATATAATATAAAAAATTAAAAATAAGTGTTTAATTTAATATTTTGGGGAGAAAAAATAAGATAAATAGTATATTTAAAATTTGATCTCCCAAACAAACACATATTTGAACTCTTCATTGTTTTTATTTTTTATATTTTTATAAAATATTTTATTTTATATTATTTTAATAGAAAATTCAAATTAAATTTTTACCAAATTTATAAAGAAAAGAAAAAACATACGCTGCACATGATGTTGGCATGTAAGATTTTTTAAATAATGTCAATTGCTACTATTTTTCGAGTAGAAAAATTATGAAAAATTATGTGTTTACTTGTGAGGTTTTAGTTTTGAATTTTGATTTTGAATGGTAAAAATTTGAATTGAAATAGTTGTTTGATGTGATATAAATATGTATTGATATGTTTTAAATGTAAAATTAGATTTTAGTGTAATAAAATAAATAAGAATTGAGTGTTTGATTTGATATTTTTGGAGGGAAAAGAAAGCCAGAATAGTAAAATCAGAACTAAAATCTTACAAATTTTCGTTCCATTTCATCTTTCAAATTTTGTAATAGATTACAAAATAATACTTTCTCCGTCCACTTAATATTTTTATATTTATCTTTTGCGTAATTGTAGTAACATTAAAAATATTTTTATATTTGTAATATAAAAATACGAAATAGATCTAAAGTTTTATTAACTAAATCGAGTAAAAACACATATATTAGACTAGTTTTGGTTAGGTTCAGCCCCTAACAACTCAAAACAGTAAATCGACACACAAAATCCACCTAACTAGCGACTACACACTTTAAACCGGCCCGAAACCAACAACTCACGCAAAAATCAACTCCCTCAAGAACATACAAGGCGAAACAAACAAAAATACAAACGCCTAAATATTGAACGAACCCTTTGCGGTTACGAACAACAAACCAGTGGGTAATACACCGTGCCAAAGGAACTCCACAAGTTACAGGAGGAAGGCGCCACCAAGAACCACCGTGAAACTGCCGAAAAAAGTCACCGAAAAGATAAACAAAGAGGTCGAGAGAGAGGAGAGCTAGAGAGGGGTGAGTGTGTAGAGAGAGAAAATGTGAGAGTAATAATGAGAGGTGAGCGCTCTCTCTATATATATATATACTCAACGTAAGAGCAACGGACGGCCAGGATGAAAATCCAAAACCAACGGCCATGATCACGTCTAATCAAAAGACGCGGATCCTAGCCGAGGCGGGTCACGGTCACGGGTCAAGTAACTAAGAACGCGGTTTAGGGTGGCGGGTCACGGGTCCTAGGCGGGTGCGGGTCGCGGTCAGGGCCAGGGTTTCAAGGGGGCTGCATAATTATGTGAGTGTATCTTATATTGAGGTGGATCTAACTGGATCAAAAAAACCAACAATATTTATATAATTTTTTAATACAAGTGTCATTATATTTGTATTATAAAATATTAATATAATGGTTTTTTTTTTTTTTTTTTATCTTTTTCCACTATATTTAGATATAATAATATTCAAAAATTAAAATGTAAAAAACAAAGGTCAGTGTAAGGAGGTAGTAATAATTAATTAATAGGAGTGTTAAAAGAGTTTTAAGTATAAAGTAATTGCAAATATAATAATATATTGGAAAAAAAATCAATTTTGGTCATAATATAACTAAAATTTATCAATTTTGGTCATAATATAAAAAACTCATCAATTTTAGTATCAATATAAACAATTTCAATCAATTTTGATCCAATTATAAACAATTTCGATCAATTTTGGTTATATTATAAACAATTTCAATCAATTTTGGTCCCACAATTAAAAAACTAACGGAAAGTGGACATGACAGAGGTGGCGTGGCAGTTGATCTGGGATCTGGAAAGTACACGGCTATGTACAATTATACACCACTATGTACATTTCTATTTTAGTTTAAAATTTTATTTTTTTTGTTATATATAAAAAAAATATATTTTTTGAATTTAAAATAGTTGATATAGTTAAAATGAACAAAATCAATAGTAATTATAATATAAATTAAAATTTATCGATTTTAATTCAAATATAAAAATTTTTAAGATATATTCTTTTGAAATATTTTGTCTAAAATTTTATTATTGATAAAAAAAATTCATCTTATAAACATCCAAAAGAGAAATTAATTTATAGTAGTATTAAAAATTAATTTATTATTTCAATACAGTAATTGGATATTCGCAAGAGAAATTTTAATAGTAGAATTTTATAGAAAATCTTCCAAAAGAACATACTCAATAAATATTTATATTTGAACTAAAATTGATACATTTTAATTATATTATGATTATTATTGATTTTTTTTTTTTTTAATTTTAACTATATCAACTTTTCTAAATTCAAAAAATAAAATTAAAAAAAGAACAAAAAAAATAAAATTTTAGACCGAAACAGAAAGGTATACGACCGTGTAGAATTATACATGGCCTGTAACAACATGGTCATATATAATTATACACTGAAATATACACGGTCATATAACAACATGACCGTGTATAATTATATATAGCCGTGTAACAACATGATCATGTATAATTATACACTGAAATATATATGACCATATAACAATATGGTTGTATATAATTGTACATAGTCGTGTACTTTCTAGGTCAATTGCCACGTCACCTCCATTATGTCAAAGTCAGCAATTTCCATTAGCTTTTAACGGTGGAACCAAAACTGATTGAAATTGTTTATAATGAACCAAAATTAATTGAAATTGTTATATTGAGACTAAAATTGATGAATTTTTTATATTTAAATTAAAATTGATAAATTTTAATTATATTGAGACCAAAATTAATTTTTTTCCTAATATATTTATAATTTAGATAATATTTAAAAATATTTTAATATTAATATATAATTACTTTTATTAAAATAAAAAATAAATACATTGAAGTTATAAAAAAAAGAAATAAAAATAATATTTTTCAGAGAAAATATATAGTGAAGAGAAAGAAATCAAATAACAAAAGAATAAGTCGTGACTTCATTGTAACCAATGCTATCTACTCTCATGTCCTTTTTCCGCGACCTCGACCACGGCCTCCACCGATTGTTTGTCGAATGTGTATGCTTGGTAACCGCCGGGGGTCGAAAGCCGGCCCGACTCGCTACTATTCGCGGACCTCTCGATGTCAGCCATATTCGCGATGAGCGAAATGGGCCTTTCGGGTATCGAAGGAACGGGCTCGGCGGTGTCAACATCTAACATCTTCACGACCTGGTCCATCGTCGGTCGGGCGTATAGCTGCGGATGCGAACACAAGACGGCCACCAAAATGTACTTCTCCAAAACGTCGGCCGGACCCAACTCCGGCATTCCCTCTTCCACGACATCCATCGCCCGACCTTTCCTAACCATCGACCATGCCCAATCCGTGACGAGCGTCGGCTGCCCGTCGTCGACAGCCATCAGCGCTTTTTTCCCGCTAAGCAGCTCGAGAAGCACGACCCCAAAGCTGTACACGTCGCTCCTCTCGGTCAGCTGCCCGTAGAGTGCGTACTCGGGCGCGACGTATCCCATTGTTCCCGCGACTCTCGTGCTCAAATGCGTCATCCCTTCTGGCGCGAACTTTGCGAGCCCGAAATCTGCGACCTTGGGCTCGAATTTTTCGTCTAAAAGAATGTTGCTCGACTTAATGTCGCGGTGAATTATCCCCGGCTGCGCGCCGTAGTGTAGATACTCGAGGCCTTTGGCTGTCCCGATCGCGATCCTCTGCCTTGCCGGCCAGCCGAGCTTTCGATCGGATAATCCAAAGAGGTGGTCGTGGAGGCTGCCGTTCTTCATTAGGTCGCAGACTATTATCCGTTGGTGGCCTTCTAATGGCGTCGTGGCGGTGCAGTAGCCGCGGAGGGCGACGAGATTGACATGGCGGACGCTGGCGATTACTTCTACTTCGTGTGTGAAAATGGCGTCGCCGGCGGCGGAGCAGTTTTTGAATCGTTTTAAGGCTACTTCGGAGCCGTCGGGGAGAATGCCTTTGTAGACGTTGCCGTAACCGCCTTTGCCGATGATGTTGTTTCGGGAAAAATTGTTGGTTGCTGATTTGATTTCGTCGAATTTGAATTGGATTAGGGTTGTGCTTTGGTTGATGGAGTTTAATCCGGAGGTTAGATTGATTTGGGGGTTGGAATTGGGGAATTTAGGTTTTCTTCTCCGGCGGAGGTAGCAGAGGAGGAGGAGGAGGAGAATTGCGGCGGCGGTGGAGGCGGAGACGGCGGCGGCGATGGCGGTTGTTTTGGATTTGGTGTTGGATTTAGGGGGGGAGAAGTTGAGGTTGAATAGGCACTTGGCGGTGCCTGCGTCGGTGGGGCCGAAGTGGTTGCCGAAGGCGGCGGCGTAGATTAAGGGGAGGGCGGTGCAGTCGGCGATGGTGGCAGCAGAAGGTCCGGCGAGAGACGCCTGCATAGCGGAGATGGCGGTGATGCAGGAGGCGCAGGGGGAGTTGTTGAGGAGAGACTGGTTGCAGGCGGAGACGACGTCGGCGGCGGCGCGTGGCGGAACTAGGGACTCGAACTCCACGCGCGTGGTTATGTTCATACATCCCGTCGAGATCCATGGCGTCTGGAAGCTGCATCGCCGGCGAACGTCGAAATTAGGGACGTAGCCGTCGACTAATTTGTCGTAACTGTCCCAGCAGGCCTCCGCCGTCTCGATCGGCGGGAGGAATATTCCGGTGAGTCGGAGATGCTCCGACAGGACGAGACGGAGGCCCTGAAGCGCGTACTGGCACTCCAATCGGCTGTCTAGATTCGGCCGCCATCCGCCGCCGGGATCCAATCGGCGGAGGACATCGAAGTTGAGCGGACATCGGGATGAAACGGTGCCGTTTTGGAGGAGATTCCGGCGGAAAACACGGCCGTCGGAGATCAAGGACGCCGACGAAGTAAATAAGTCTGTAAACAGTAGCTGAAGAAGAAGAAGGTAGACGAAGCGAGACATCTATGGCTGTAGAAAACCCTAAATCGGATTACACGATACTGAAATTAGGGTTTCCAATTTGGGGATTAGCCATAGCTAAGCAGAAGTAGAAGCTGAAGCAAGATGAAGATGGAGGTGGGTTTCTGAGAAAGAGGGGAGTCGTCGACTCATAGGTAGGAATTCTTTGACTTTGACTTTTCTGTCACACTGATTTAATCTAAATCGATAAAAATAAATTAATCTAATTATCAAGCTCTGTGAAACAATATTTTGTCTAATAATTTTCCGTAAGTTAATTTCATCTAAATTGTCTTTTAAATCACTATTAATTTAGCACACAATTCCATTCTGGAACTAATGAATTAATCAGTAGGATTGACCCAGAAAGAATTAGGACAAGAAGATAGATACACTATAAGTAGCAGTTAATTGACTGTTGTCCACTGCTAATCATTAATCAACGGTCAAGATTTAGGCTCAGAAGGTCCAAGAAAAGTCAACATATGACGTGGGCCTGCCACTCAAAGGGCCCACTTTGGAAGGCCCAAAACCATTCACTGCCTCACGATTTGGGCCTACTTAGAGCCCACTTTTCTAGAAAGTTTCTTTTCATTAATTATTATTTTTATTTAAATAATAATAGTAAACTCTGGTACATAATTTAGGAATGATGTGTCAGAAACGTCCACCACAACAAACCAATCTATTTTAATTGGTGTGCTAATCGTAAGACATACGAAACCCAGCAATCATATAAGCCATAACATAAATAAATAATTAATAAATCGTAAAGATGCAATTGTGAAATTGAATGATGGATGGAGTGATTAAACGTTACTCCCCCAGTCTCATGATTACATATTAAACCGCATTATAGTTAGTGGTTACGTCATATTATCATAAATCATCAATAATATGAAATTTATCTCTAATTTTATTGGATTAATTTCAAAATAAATACTCCCTCCGCATACCATGTCCACATTGCCGTTTTTATCTGTCCTATATACCATGTTACTTTTTTTTTTAAAAAAAATAATTACACACTTTAATCTCATTTTAAATTTTTTAATTTTATTTTTTTAAAATTTTTTTAATTAAACTAATTAGTTATCTTGATTTTAATTTATAATTAATTATATTATCGAATAATTATTTTTATTAATATATTTTTAATTATTTACTAATTATATTTCTCTTATAAAATACCGTATCTACAGTGTAGCAGACTGGATATATGAGATAGCGGAAGAGAGTAATATACTACTGCTATATTATTTTTTAAATTTCAGTTAGGTTTATTAGTGCGAAATTTCAGCGGGTGGCTGCTCGAGTTTGTTGACCAGATCGAACCGGTCAGTTAATGAGGCAAATCCACGCCGTCGGATCCCATGGCCTATATGAGATGAACGGTTACGATTTCATCCGAAGTCTATCTCGAATGCCTCGCCGCCTCCGCTCAGAATGATGTTTATCAACGTTGGGAGTCGGAGTCCTGGGACTTTCCAAAGAATCAACGGCCCCCCGCTTCTCCTTCGCGCAGACAACATCTGACTCGTGTAAGAGAGCACGACAGTCGAACTCTTGTTCCACTGCTATGATGATTTTGACGTTGCAGAATTAAAAAGGAATGGAAAAGAAGCTTTGTTGGTGGGTGAAAGAAACTCAGCAGAAGCAGCTTGTAATGGAAGAATGATCCTTCCATAATCATCATCCCTTCCTTAATCCTCCATGCCCGAAATTGGTGACGCTTTTACAGAACTAAAATCCTCTGTTTCTTCCGAACGCCGCCGTGGTTTCTTTTTCCGACAACCTCCGGCTGTGATTTTATTTATGTGAAAATTCTACTCTACGGTACGCACTGCTTCCGACTCTCTGGCTAACAATCGCTTTATTTATAGTCATCTGCAAATTACGTGAAAGAATTTTAGGAGGAAGTAAAAGATTCTTCAATTGAGTGAAAATCTCTTGTGCTGTGCTGTGCTGTGCTCTTTGTGTAATTTCTAGACAACCTGTGAGTTTTCAGAATGGAGAAGGAGAAAGAAAACGGCTGTTCGCCGGACACGGTGCTGGAGGACTTCTTACGAACGGCCGAATCTGAAACGGAATCATCGAAGGCGAGCACTTCGGAATCCGAAGCGAAGGTCGATCCGAAACCGCCTTCTCGATGGTCCGAATTTTTCGATTTGTTGAGGTTCAAATCGAGGAGGAAACTAACCTCGCTGCATCATCCTCTCCATGCCCTAAAATTATCGAAGCGATTCGGCGGCAGCATGAGGGAGGAGCGCAGCGGTGGTGCGAATCCGCTAATCGACGCCAATCTGAGCTATTTCAAACCTCAGTGGAAGAACTTCACCTTGTCCGAACTCCAAGCCGCCACCAGCAACTTCTGCCAAGGTACTTCTCGTTGAACCCGATGATTCGATACACTCCGAGGATGTAGTAACGCTGAAGAACTGTTGTCCCTGTCCTGTCCTGTTGTGTTTAGGTTATCTGATAGGGAAAGGAGGCTATGCAGAAGTATACAGAGGGCGTCTCCGAAGCGGGCAGCTCGTGGCCATCAAACGTTTGACGAAAGGCCCCATGGAAGAACGAATTGGGGATTTTCTAACAGAGCTCGGAATTATGGCACATGTGAATCATCCCAACACTGCTAAGCTCATCGGCTATGGCGTCGAAGGCGGAATGTACTTTGTTCTCGAGTTCTCCCCTGTCGGCAGCCTGGCCTCGATGCTTCACAGTCAGTAGTGTTTGTCCTAAAACGAATCCTATGTGGATCAAAGCTCATTGCTTTGCAATTAAGTCTGTGTTTCTGAATTTCCTATGTTGCAGGTTCGCGGGAGAAGGTTGTGTGGGATGTCCGGTATAAGGTTGCCGTGGGGATCGCCAAAGGGCTGCTGTATCTTCACGAGGGATGTCAACGGAGGATCGTTCATAGAGACATCAAGGCTGCCAACATATTGCTTACACATGATTTCGAGCCGCAGGTACATGTCTATGTTTGTATATCTTTGGGAATTCGATGTTTTGAGGTTACCTGTTGTAATGATTTTAGGTGAATAGTTAGGATGCTGATTGGAGTTAATCATCGTATGAAACATAGTCTCTTAGTGTTATGATGATTAGATTAGAACAAATTGTTAGTATGTGTTGACCGTTCTATTTTACATATGTACTATGTTAATGTTTGCTCCTTGCGCTTGTCTATGTTTGTATTTCTTTGGAAATTCGATGTTTCGAGATTAGTTGTTGTACTAATTTGTTAGCATGTATTGATTGTTCTATTTTACATATATACTCCCTCCATTATAGTCAAAAGAAATTTTTGTCATTTGACTTTACGTGTAAAGTAATTGTAAATGTAATAGTATGTTCGTAATTTCGGTAAAGATTAAAGATACGTTGGTATTAGTGTAAGATTATTTTTACTAAAATAAGAAAAAAAAAACTTTGAAATGGGGACAGACAAAAATAGTAAAAAAGATACTTTGAGTTAGGACGGGAGTGCTACTTTAATATATTTTGTGTGATAGATTAATCGTAACATGTGATGCGAGACTATTTGGATCATCTACTAATTAAATCATTGTTAGGACAGTGGTATATTGTATAGATTGTTAGCATGTGTCGATTGTTTTATTTCAAATATGTACTATTTTAATACTCCATTGTTTGTAAGATCAGTTGTTACATTTGTTGTATGGCTATATGTATTAATATCTACTAATTAATTACAGTCAGCACAGTAATTGTCGTCTTGATTTTAGATATGTGATTTCGGGCTAGCAAAGTGGTTGCCGCATCAATGGACTCATGTTACCGTTTCGAAGTTTGAAGGAACTTTCGGGTAGGTGTTATCTTCAACTTACAAAATGTAAACACACATATACATCATTATACCACACTGCTGTATTATAAATATGCTGAAATATATATAATAAATTCTATTTATCTTTATTTTATATATATAAATATATGTATGTTGATTTGACCGGATCAGTACGTGTACTATATATACATTGTGACTAGAGTTGTATTCTAATTTTAATCCTTATTTTTTCCGAAGTTATTTAGCGCCCGAGTACTTGATGCATGGAATAGTCGACGAAAAGACCGATGTCTTCTCCTTCGGCGTGCTGCTGCTGGAGCTTATTACGGGGCGTAGAGCCCTCGACTACTCGCAACAAAGCCTCGTTATGTGGGTGCGTCAACCATTTCATTACATGTTATTCCTACTAAATCAGACAAACCTTAGTAAGGATTCTCTAACAGCCTGTTTCTTTTGCCGGCAGGCGAAGCCGCTCTTGAAGAAGAACCGTATCCGGGAGCTCATCGATCCAACCCTCGCCGAAAACTACGACGCAACTCAGATGAACCTAATGGTTCTCACTGCTTCATTGTGCGTGCAGCAGTCGTCGATCAAAAGGCCTCGGATGAGTCAGGCAAAGTCTTCTTCTTGTTATAATTCGAACATTGCCGATGTCTGCAGCAGACTCTGTACCGTGAAATCTCAGTATGTATTGTATTGTGTTGTAATTTCATTATCTTCTTTTACAGGTTCTTCTTCTTCTACGAGGGAGCTGTGGCAGCCTCGACATGATCAAGAATTGCAAGAAACTATCGAGCTGGAAGAAGTACTACAAGGAGCTCTTCAGTGCTGAGAAATACAGCTTCACCAGAGGCTTCAATGGCTTGACTCTCAGAACTCACATGTCCATGGAAGCTTGATTTTCGGACAGTTTATGGATCTTCCATTATACATAGCATAGAATCGGGTCGGGTCGGGTTCAATAATCGGGTCCTGGACCAATTGATATTGTATCTAAATCTCCCTTTTTTTTTCTCCTATTCGCACAACCTCAAAATATAAATCATAAGCATTTGGTTACTTTTAGAAGAATTTGGGTCACGCTTCCACGGTATGAAATGAATAACGCTTATAGGGTGTTTTTACTTGTATTTTGAATACTGAATTGAAATAGTTATTTAATATGATATAAATATGTATTAATGTGATATTTTAAATGTAAAATTAAATTTTAGTGTAATAAACTAAATAAAAATTAAATATTTGATTTAAAATTTTTGAAAAAAAAAAAATAAAAATAAAAATAGTAAAATAATGGATAAAATTTTACAAGTAAACGAAGCTAAGTTTTTTAAAATTATATGTTGAACCCTCAAAAGCACGTCACTATTTAGAGATTGAGGCATTGTCCATCTCTTTTGAGGATGGATTGTTTGTTTTGAGTACATGTCATAAATTATTGATTTTCACTAAACGTCAATTAATTTATAGACATTTAAATTTTTATTTTTGATTTAAAAAAAAAAAAAGAAAAAATCTTTTAATATTCACACTTATTTTAAATGTATATTTAAAAAAAAATTTCATATTCAAGTCTATTTTCATATATATTTTCATATTGAAATCTATTTGCATTATTAAAATTAGATTTTTAATGCTATACAAGTTATTATACAGATTACTGCTTTATTCAATATATTATGTATAATTTCATAAAATATTAGATATTATGTGAAAAAATTGAACGACTGTATCTAATTTATAATTTTGATACTATTTTTTCAATCAATAAATATAATTTGATTTTAAAAAATGAATAGATTTTGATTTAAATAGAACAAAATTTATTATATAGAACATTTATTTGATTATTAAAATATTTTATACTAAAACAAATACATATATGATCGTTACTTCGTGATAATATACTTTAATTTATCAAATTATTTTAATTTTTTGAAAAAATAAAATAAACAATACTTAATATCAAAACAAATATATATAAATTCAAAATACTAAATTTACTAACATATTCAACATCAATTTCGAAATTTAGATAATCAGAGCTTGTGCTTGAATTTTTTCATTTACGATGTCATACGTCTTGAAAATTTTCGTATTGATAATTTTCTTCTAAATATACTACCAAATAAATCGTATATAATATTTACTATATTAATATTCATATTGATATGTTAAAAATAAATAAAAGAGTATTAATTTAAAAAAAAATAAAACTACAAAATTAATTATTAATTGCTATTAAAAAAAATGATTTTTCAAAAAAATAATATAACTATTACTTTTAGTATTTTATTAGCATAAAAAATAAAAATATAACCATTACATTTAATAAATAAATATATAGTTGCATGTATACTTGGGAGTAATTGTGATTAATAGGGTTGTTAGCAGTATTTAATACATTATGGATTTATCCAATTGATAGATATGTTTTAATTTCGATCAAATTTGTAACAATATTTTACCTTTTTAGATGGGACTAGGGTCCAAGTCCAATTATTGATGCCCTAATCATTCATCGTTTTCACTTGCCCATGGAGGGAAAAGAGAGATATATATATATATATATGAGGAATGTAATTAAGGAAATAATGTTGGAGTTAAATATGCATATGTTGTGAAGGAAAGACCTGATTTTTATATATTTTTGTTGCTTTCTAAGGGTATTTTCGAATTTTGTCGTATATTCGTTCGGTGCGGGAGAAGCGGAGTGGATCGATTATGCGTGCGTGTGGTCCGGAGTCCTGCAGTAGCTTCCAGTCAAAACTCCAGATGGAGAAGTAACTTCTGGAATTGAAAAATATCGCCCGCTGTTTGCTTTCCGGCGGTGAAGTGGATTTCAGTTGCGATCTTCAAATTTGACGATATCGGAACTACGGTGGTGATTACCGATTCGTTGTGGTTGGAGAGAGAATAGCAATTTTGGTTTTTTTTTTCTTTTTTTTTTCAAGTTCGTGATGAAGAAAGGGAAGGGGAAGAACGGGAAATTGTTGCCGAATTCTTTGAGGATTATTTCGTCGTGTATCAAAACGGTGTCGACCAATGCCAGTACTGCAGTGCGCTCCGCTGGTGCGACCGTCGCTGCTTCCATTGCATCTTCTGGAGATGATCGCAAAGAGCAGGTCGGTATGCTTAATTTGATTCTGAGTTTACTGTTAGAACTTCTTGAATTTTTTGCTTTTGTATTTCAATTCGAATTGTTAAATATGGAATAATATCTGCTTATTTTGATTGTTAGTATTTGATTTATAATGTGTACGAGAAAGAGATGGTTCTTTGATTAAGGAGGAATATGTGCTTATAATAGCTGAATCAATGCGAAGTATATTACTATTTCGATGTGCCAACGATCATCCTCCATGTATCTGGTTAGACTAAAATTGTAATCTGTTCTACTTGTGGATTTCATCCATTTTGGCTTATTATCTGTTTTTTCATCAGGTACTGTGGGCTGGTTTCGACAAACTAGAGCTTAGTGCAACTGCTTTCAGGCGTGTCTTGTTGCTGGCTTATGTGAAGGGCTTTCAAGTTTTCGATGTTGAGGAGGCTTCTAGTTTGAGTGAATTGGTTTCCCGGCGCGATGGGCCAGTTACCTTTCTACAGATGCTTCCATCTCCTGTGAATTCTGATGCTATGGGGAAGTACAAATCTTTGCATCCGATACTTGTGGTTGTTGCGGGGAATGAGAACGAAGGAATCACATCTCTTCAGAATATGGGGCAAGGGCCTGTGAGATACAGTTCAGCGGACACCTCACTAGGGGCTCCTGTTGACTCTTCTTCTACTGTTCGATTTTACTCGATGAAATCAAATGAGTACATTAAAGCTATTGATTTTAAGTCAATGGTTTTAATGGTTAGATGCAGTCAGAGGGTTGTCGCTATTGGGCTTGAAGAGCAAGTAAGTACATCCATTTATCATAGAATGATACTTCTTTACACAGAAATTATAAAGATGTAAGTAAAAAGAAAGGAAGAAACAATTACTAATTTCAATGCAGTTGTTTCTTATGGAAAATAGTACTGAGATCGTGAGTCGAAAATCAAGGATAATCAGTTGATTTGTGCTATTGAATGTAATATGATCCTTTTATTTTGGGCTCCTCTTTCTTCTGGTTTTCATATTTTAACTTTCCATCGTATCAAGGAAAACCTATGTTATGCGTTATTCTTTCGCCGGCCTTCTGTAGAAAAGTTTTCAGTTGAGTGAATATAGTGAATATGTTTCCTTAATAGCATATGTTTTGATTTTATGGCTATATATTTCATTTGGTGCTGGAAATAGTTTCTTGGAAGGCAGAAGGATGATGAGATTTTACATATGTTGAGCAGATTTGTTGCTTGGATTCCCACACTCTTGAGAAAAAATTCATAGTTGCCACTTATCCAGTCTCCCGAATGGGAGAGCAAGGAGTCCGCGGAATCAACACAGGGTATGGTCCAATGTCTGTGGGACCAAGGTGGTTAGCTTATCCTCCTAATCGACCTTTTATGTTGAATACAAGTCGGGTGAGCCCACAGATCCTTGCTTCTAGCGTTAGTCCATCAACATCTCCTGCAAGTGGCACAATGATGGCTCGCTATGCTGTGGAACCTGGCAAGCATTTAGCTAATGGATTACTCACGGGTTGCAAAAAATTATCAAAGTACTGTCCGGAGCTGCTTCCTGACACAACTACTGGGAAGCTACCAGCATCTGAATCGGAATTTGCTGGAGTGGTTAGTGAAATTTTCAATTGTTTTTAGATTCATTCTGGTAAAAATGATCGAACAAGAAAATTGAAATGTTAAAGTATTGTTCTTTTGATTTCTGATTTGAATATACAGGTTGCTGTGAAGGACCTTGTATGCTCAGACATTATTTCACAATTTAGGGCTCATACAAGTCCAATATCTGCTTTATGTTTTGATCCAAGTGGGACACTGCTGGTTACTGCATCCATACATGGAAATAACATAAATGTATTCAGGATCATGCCTTCACATAAATGTGGTGGATCGAGCAAGCCTGACTGGAGCACTTCTTATGCACATCTTTACAAGCTACATCGTGGGATTACTAGTGCTGTGAGTATAAGTCAGCTGTTTTTGTTATCTCTTTTCGAAAGGTTTGACATTCTTGAATCCATTGGCCCCCTTAAATGGCTTTTTGATTGTCAGGTAATCCAAGATATCTGCTTTAGTCATTGCAGTCGGTGGGTTGCTATTGTATCATCACGTGGAACTTGCCATATATTTGTTCTGTCCCCCTTTGGAGGAGATGACTGTTTTCAATCTCTAATTGCTCAAAGTCAAGGTAATCATCTGTTTTCAGCTTCCACTCCGGCTCCACCATGGTGGTCTGCGTCGTCTTTCTCTGTGAACCAGCAACATTCTTTGCGTCCACCTCCGTGCACCCTCTCTGTTGTTGCCAGGATGAAATCAAGTGAGTCTGGTTTGATTAACTCGGTAAGCAATGCTGCTGCTTCAATGGCGGGTAAGTTATGGGTGCCATCAGGAGCTGTTGCTGCTATATTTCACAACTCCAACTCGTCGGGCTCTCTGGATACCAAATCAACTGGCAGTTCACTGGGGCATATCTTGATTCATACCTCGTCGGGCTTCGTGGTCCAGCATGAAATTCTGTACACAGTGTTGATGGGTGAGAGTAAAACTGACTCTGTGTCGGCTCGGCAAATAAACGCGCCCCAAATTGAGGAATACAGAGTGAGAGTTGAACCTAATCAGTGGTGGGACGTGTGCAGAAGATTGGATGCTGCGGAGAGGGAGGAGTGTATTTCTGGGAGTGTCTTTGATGGACATTCTGCTCCTGAAACTCGTGATGAATCGAGACTTGTTTTCCAGGATAATTCGAGTGTGGCGAGCAAAAGACTGATGAAGACTAATTCACTGAAGTCCTCGGATAAATCTCAATGGTACCTTTCGAATGCTGAAGTGCAGATAAACTCTTCCAGATTACCCGTATGGCATAAATCAAAGGTATATCTGCTTAAACTACTGATCTCCGTGTGCGCAACGCTGCCATTTTAACGTATTCATCTTTGATGCAGATGCGTTTCCATGTCTTGGAACTTCCAAGAGAAAAATGCTACTTGAATGGGGAAATTGACATTGAGATGGCGCCGACACATGAAATTGAAATACGACAGAAGGATTTGCTGCCAATATTTGACAATTTCCCTAGAGCAAGATCTGGCTGGATTGACAGGTGAAAATGTTGTACCGTTTTTTCTCGATTTCTTTTTTCTAAATTGTTCGGGGCGCAATAGATGGAATCATTGTGATTGTCTGAATTACTGTTAATGAATTCTTGTGCCAGTAAGTTCGGTTTTGCTCCCGCGGTTAGAATTTAACTTCAGTTGTTATAATGCAGACCTATTCCATCCTCCAATAGTTCTCAAGCTAAAGAAAAGATCAACGAAGCAAGTATCGTCTGCCTTTCACAGCCGCCGTCATGTAGTTCTACCGAAAGCTCTGATGGAGGTGAAAATCTCCACCTTGTTTCTTTAAATGAAACTGTATTCTTTCTTGACTTAATCTCCGTCGCTCTTAAAATTAGGTTCATCAAGACGAATGGAGAATCTGCTCGATTTGGATCACGTGAGCCTTGATAGATGTCAAGTTCATGTTAGCCGTTCCTCAAGTGATTCGATCCTTGAAAGAGATGATAACACCAACCTCAAGATTTCGTTGATCGATCAGAGATGCAAATCCATTCCAACTGTGCCCGCTGCAAATGTCCGCAGCGTCAATTTTGCAGATGATAATGCTGTTATTAGCCGATCATCCTCAATGGGCAATGTAAATCCATCATCAAACACGGATGATACCGACTCAGATGCAGATCTTAGGCGTTCGAGGACCAAAGAAACAGTAGATTTGTTGGAGCTATTTAACGAAGGTTACTGTAATAAGCCAGAATTTCATGATCAACAGAGGTCGATCGAAGGTGGCAGCGCAACTGCTGAGACAAACGCCAATGCTAATAATCAAGAAGAGGAGAATTCGGAAGAAGGATGGATTGGTGGCATGTTTGATTTCTCCTAAGAAGGTGGGATTAGAGTCGCAACTTTGTTTTTACTAATTCGTCGTCCTTTTGGCTATTTCATCCTTATTTTTTGATTCGACCGCAGGTTAATGTCCTATTCTGATCGAAACACCTAAGCTGAGTGATCCCGCTGTATAGGGTAAATGTCGATTCGACTTTTTATCATCCATTGCACGAATTAGAGCCCGAAAGTTTTCATTTTTGCTTAATGTGATTCATTCTCTTCTCTTTTTCAGCAGGCGAATATATGAGGCTGCGAATATCTGCTCGATGGCTTGACGGCGCGGCCCGTAAGTGATTTTTTTTTAATTTGCTTTGTAAATTATATTTAGTGAAATCAATATCACCACGGAAGAACCAGATTGTTTTGAATGGAAATACCTGTGTATATTCTTTGCTCCTATATTATAAATGAATTACAGTTGGTTGTTTTGGTATTTCTAAATAAAAAGAATGGAGAAGAAGAGATAATGAAGGAACAGATAAGTGTGAAAAATGTGGTACCAGAATGAGATGAAATTCTGCAGCTGTTTGAAAGAGACGTCTTTGCTGATGATCCTCATAATAAATGTGTACACATGACCTGATCTCATTCTTACTGTCCTGTTTCTCCTTCCATTGTTGCTCTGTTAGTGTTGGTTTGGGTTGGGTGGGGTAGGGTAGGGTTGTGCAAACCAAGATGTATGTATGTATGTATATATACAGGAGTGTAGAGACGGAGCGGACCACCAGTGATCGGCACGTCAATGTCACTGTTCATATTTATGGTTTTTGTTGTGGAGGAGATGAAGAAAGACAGCACATGGTTTCTGTTAGGTTCAGCCAACAACTGGTAGGCTCGGAGAACGGTTTCTCACCGCCAAATCTTCCCCGAGGCTGGTAATGAGCAGACAGATGAGAGTTCCATGGCTAAGCCAGAGCTGGACGTCCAGAAAATGTGATTGAATTCAATTCAATTGCACAGAGTTCTTCGTCGACGACGACGTTGAGGATCAATTCCAATGGAGAGGTGCTTGTTCTGCGTTAATGGCGTCGTGTTCTTAGCCAATTTGATTCTCTCGGCGCAGGCGATGCTTGAACCGATTGATTTCCTGGCGCTGCAATCCGTTCGGAAGAGCTTGAACGATTTGCCTGGATCGAGCTTTTTCGCCGCCTGGGATTTCACCGGCGATCCCTGCGATTTTCCCGGCGTTTACTGCAATCGCGATGGAGAAAAAGTAACCGCTCTTAACCTAGGCGATTCTCGGGCAGGGTCGCCGGGTCTGGCGGGTAGGATCGACCCGGCCGTCGGTGAACTCTCCGCCTTAACTGAATTCACCATTGTTCCGGGTCGGATATTTGGAGCATTGCCTCGCACTCTCTCGCAGTTGAAGGAACTGAGATTTTTAGCCGTCAGCCGGAACTTCATCTCCGGCGAGATTCCGGCGGGTCTAGGGCAGCTCCGCAGCCTGCAAACTCTCGATTTCAGCTTCAATCAGCTCACCGGAAGTATACCGCCGGCAATCGGTACTCTTCCTGCGTTAACCAACGCTGTTCTCTGCCATAATCGTCTCTCCGGTGCGATTCCGGCGTTCGCTTCGCGAGCGCTAACTCGCCTCGATTTGAAGCACAACCAGCTCTCCGGCGAGCTTCCTCCGCTAGGTCTTCCGCCGTCGCTCACCTACCTCTCGCTGTCGTGGAACCGCCTCACCGGCGCCGTCGACGGACAATTGTCACGATTAAGCCGGTTAAACTACGTAGACTTGAGCATGAACCGATTCCGCGGCGGAATTCCGAGCAATCTGTTCGATTTCCCAATCACAAGCCTCCAACTGCAGAGAAACCAGTTCTCCGGCGAACTCCAACCCGCCGACGACGTGGCGATCCCGACCGTCGATCTCAGCTTCAACCAACTTTCCGGCGAAATACCTCCGTCGTTCTCGACGGTTCAGAATCTGTATCTGAATAACAACCGATTCACCGGCCAGGTTCCCGGCAGCCTGGTGGAACGGCTGCTGCTGTCCGGCGGCGGTATCCAGACACTGTATCTACAGCACAACTATCTGACAGGGATCGAGATTGATCCAACGGCTGAGATTCCCGCGAGCACCTCCTTATGCCTGCAGTACAACTGCATGATTCTCCCCGTACAGACGCCATGTCCGTCGAGGGCTGGTAAGCAGAGAACAAGGCCAGCTGCACAATGCACAGTGCACTGACAGATGAGGGGTAAAATTGGTAATTTTCGTTTTGCTGCAGCAGGTTAAATCTAAATCAACAAATTTGATAACATCTTAATCGTGGATATACATATACATATATTTATTTCAGCAATAAGCATGATCTGCAGCAAATTTTGGAGCTTCATGTATAACACTTCTGGTTTGGGTTCTCTGTTTTGAAGAAATCTGATAGTTTTGTATGTGCTAATGATGAAGTAGGGACAAGAAAATGACAGTCTTGGATCAATGATGGTTGCTTCTGGTGGATCCTACTAAGGAAACAGTACAGTCTTCTTCTTCTTCCCAATTGAATTTGAATGAATTATAAAGAAAAACAGGGAGAATTTCTGGGAAATAGAAGTTTGAATTTGTGGGTCTATTTGTGTGCTAAGATGGCATGTGGATAAATTAGGAATGAATGTTTCTTTCCCTAGATTGAATCAAGAATTTGGTTTCTTGATCTGTTTGTTCATAAAAGAGATCAGATCAAGAATTCTTCTGTTTGTTAATAAATTGTCTGAATTAGTGGGCAGATCATTTGGATTGGTGAGATTTTCTAGTAGGGATTGTTTTGGGCTTGATGATGATGTGTAAATCAATAAGTACATGGGTAGATAGATACAGTTTGAATTGTTACTTTACTTACCAGTTACTCCAAATGGGCTTTGATTTTTGTACCCAACAAGTTCCCATTTTCAAGAAATGGGGAAACTTAACTTAAAACTCTCTTGAAAGGATATTTGTGCAGAATTATACAGATTTCGGTGATAGCAAAACAATGCTCATTATTACAGCACACACACTCAGCAAGATGATGATGGATATAGCATCACAATTTTGAAAAAATAATAATAATTTAAGAATAGTAGTAAAAATTAGGTACTTAATATATGTTTTTTTTAAAAATAATAATAATTATTGATGAATATTGTTAATTTTTTAAAAAATATCTATATTAATAAAGCCTCAATTCTAATACAAAGCTTTCTGTTTGTTCAAATTTAAGAAAAAATAGTTTTGTCTATCCATGAATGTCCCCAATTTTGTTCAACCTATATGATATATTGATAAATCATTTTTGTAGCAAAGTGTCATGAGAAGTGCTTTCCTCAGAAATAAGGGTTTTTTAATTTATATGTGTTTTGTAATTGTTTTGGTTTTTGAGAAGGGTAGAATTTTGAATTGAAATAAAATTTAATGAATAATTCAAAACTAGATAAATGTTGAAAATACTATTTATTGCTCAAGATTTTTTTATTTTTTTTGGGTAGAAATTAGATCATTGCAATGGTAATGGTTGGTAGATATTGAAAGAGATCAAACTTTTGAGCTATATTTTTACCATGTATTCAACATTTTTTTTAATTTATAACATAGATATTGAAAATGATCAAACATTGATCTATTTATCATCCCTTGTGCACATAAGTTTGCCACATGTTCATTTCCTTTAATTTTGGTCATATATATTTCTACACCTATTTTGATACTGTTACTCAATACACAACAAAATCAGCCTTATTATTTTATAATTAATATTAAATTTAAAATTATTTTTTATTTCAAAAATAGTACTTAGAACACTACACCAGACAGTCCACAATATTCCCAAACCAATAAAAGACAAAATGCACCAAAATTAAATAGCGGAGTGGGTGACTTATTGATAAGACTTTTGATTGAGTGAATACATTTAACAATTTTCATTCTCATCTCAATTTTTGGCTTTCTACTGTTTGGCCCTTTATTATCATTTATTTCTTGTGACCCAATTAAATTAAGTATTTAATTGATAAATCAAATCAGTATATATATATATATATATATAACATGTAGATTGCTTATTGGCTATGAAAATTTCTAAGCATTTGAAGCAATAATCAAGAAACATCATAGTGTTACTACTAATACTATGTAAAATGCCTTAATCCAATTTTTACAGACAAGAAGTATTGTCCTAAACAAGACCCACAATTATTATTATTATTATTATTATTATTATTATTATTATTATTATTATTATTATTATTATTATTATTAATGACAATGACCTCATCTTGTCCTTCCAAACACACAAAGTTCACCAGCTAATGCCCACTAAAGGACAAATCAGAATAAGACATAACAGTAGGGAGTGCATTTATATTTATAATGGTTTTATATATACATAATGCTCTACAAAATCAAAATCATACAAGAAAGAAAATACCAAGATTTTAATAATTCAACAAGGAAAATAAAAATAATAATAATAATAATAATTTATATATTTTTTTTTTTCTAAGGATTACATTTACCTCATTGACTTTTAAGAGTCACATTTATCTTTTGCGTCATTGTATTTAACATTAAAAATATTTTTATATTTGTATAATTTTTTTACAAATGTCCTTATATTAGTAGTATAACACACTAATGAAAATATTTTTATAATTTTTTTTTTAATTTATATTACATTTTGATATAATAATTAACATTAAAAACCAACATGCAAAAGTAAATAATATCTTACGGGAAGAAAGTAGTATAATATATATATATATATATATATCTTTAGAAATAAATAAAAGCCCCCAAAAGTGGCTATTATTGTTGGTATTATGGCACCAATACTTGCAATAGAAGTCAAATGTGTAACAGGAGGGTTTTATCATATTCTGTCCCTGTCTTAGCTTAGCTGTTTTTTACCATTTAGTGGCCATTCAAAACACACCCCAAAAAAGCAATCCCATTGCCCTTCTATTTATTTTTTTTATTTTTTTATTTTTTATATTAAAAAAAAAAATTAAAATTTCAAAGTGGTCCCTTGTTTGCATTTACTATAAATGTGTGAAATTTGTCCTCCTCCTCACATTTTGATCTATTTATTTTTGATCAATCAAAGTTAGTTAATCTTAGAGCCAACCCACCCTAGTTAATATAGTTGTGAAATTAAAAAGGGTTTGTTGAAGAAATTATTTTTAAGGTCAAGGGCTCTAATCATCAATTGGATGTGTGGATTGGTGAGATGAGTTTGGACTTATCATGTCTGTCTAATCATCATTCATATTTATTTATTTTCCAAATAAAATTAAAATTTAACTAAAAGATGATTGATGCCGTGGTAGTGACAAATTAAAAGAAAAAGAAACAAACCATTTCTCTATGGTCCACTGAGTGAGTGAGTGAGTGAGTGACTCAACCTTGTTGTGAATTTGCTAGCAGGTGCCCAATTAAAGAAACAAACCCACTTATTAATTAATTCACTTTCAAGAAAACGATTTGCAAATATACACATTGCTTTAATTTTGTTGCCTTTAAGGAGGTTAAATTTTCCAATTAATCCTCCACAGGATACACCAAAATTATTTAATTTAAATAAACCCCATTTACACTACACTCACACAAACCCATTAATTAATTATTTACTAAAAATTTAACTCCATCAAAACCCATCACATATTTATTTATACTAACAATCAATCACCATTCAATAGAAAAATTGGATATATAGTAAAATAAATAAAATTACAAAATAAAAAAGATGACATGTTCTTGATGATCGGATCCGATCCACTCATTGGTCCCATGTCATGTTTTTGGCAGAAGCAAAAAAAGGGAAACAAAGAATGAACCCCCCAACCCCAAATTGGACTCATACAATTCAAACACCATTTCTTGCAATTTTACTATAATATTGGCATGTAATGTACAACTAAAATTTATACATATGGACACTAGAAAAATATTTAAAACTTTCAATATTTTATATTATATATATATAAACATAGATGTTTCTAGAAGTATCAACTTACATATCACAGTCACATACAGCAGCACCACGGAAATTCCCCAAGTCCATGGAACTAAAATTAGGCCTTACACAAAATACTACTAATAATATCCTAAAGGGAACTACCAATTTACCAGCAATTCCCAACCCTTCAATCTCCTGCTCCGGCCGCCGACGGCGAGTTTTTCCGGCGAGTCGAGCCGAGCCGAGTCATCTGGATAGCTTAACATCCGAGCCTCCAATCGGATCGCCTCTTCCAAAGAAGGCAATTCAATTCGAAGAAATCGATACCAAAATATCATCGTACTATTCGCGATAAACAACAAACAGAACCAAAAAAAAAAAAAAGTTATCGACAAAAACTCTACACAGCGACGTAGCTACACACCGACTAAAAAAATACGTCAAAAGGTTCCGTTACGTGTAATCATAATCATCGTTATCGTCAATGTGAACGGATAAAGAGCTTCGTCACGTCACGACGAGTGTACGAAGCTCTTCCATTCGTCCATCAGGACGTGGAAATGCTCGTTGTTCGGCAAGAAATAAAACCCGATCGTGGCCTTCTCCAGGTACACGAGCTGCACTTGCTGCCCCGATTTCTTCAGCCATTCGACGTATCGTAATTGCCAATCCTGTAATAAATCCAATCCTGCGACGACGACCAAACTCTTCGGGAATTTAACCCCGTCGAGACTTCGACCTCTCGGCCCGAACACATGGCACGCGGGATGATCCCGATCCTCGCCTTCCGGCAAATACGCCCGCCAATACCAATCGCGATCTTGAATCCTCACAAAGTACTTCCCATCCAATCGACGCTCCGATTCGGTTCTTTCTTCCCCGCCGAACAACGGGTGGAGAAGAATATTGCCTAAAACCTCGACGCCCTCATCGGCCGCCCGGACAGCAACGTGGTGCGCGATATTGCCGCCGGAGCTGTCTCCGGCAAGGTAGATGTGGACTTTACAATCGCGGCCACTTCGGAGCCACCGCCGCGATCGAACCCAATTAAGCGCGGTCCAGCCGTCGTCGTAGGCGCAAGGGTATCGATGCTCCGGCGATCGCCGGTAATTGACGGAGACAACGGCGGCGTTGCAGGTGTTCACGAGGCGGCGGCAGAAGGTGTCGTAAATGGCGCTGTTGGCGGAGGAATGCACGAAGCTGCCGCCGTGGAAGAAGAGGATCACCGGCACGGTTTCGACGTCGCTGATCGGTTTTTCGAGCTCGAGAATGCCTAATTGAGGCCGGTTTTCATGGCTAGCCATGTAAACCCGGTTCAGCAAACTGGTTTCCCGGTCGACGACATCGAAGGTGTAGACGCCGTCGACGGGATTGGCGTTGGCCGTCACTTTCCGGTCGAGGAATTCGCTCAAATCGCGGTTGAAGGTGCCGTCCGGTCGCCGGAGCATGTTGTAAGCCAGCTTGAAATTGGAGATTAGAATCCATGTATTCAGAGGAACAACTCTCTGCAGAAAATACAGATTTAGATACAATGAATATAAAAATATATATATGTATATGTATATATGCAGAAGCAAATGAAGAGCAGGAATGAATCAAATCGGAGAATTGGGGAAGAAAACAAAAAAGAAAGGGAGATTTGGTTTCGATATGTAGATAGCCATAAAAAGAAAGGAAGCCATGGGAAAGTGGATAGGGCAACTAAAAGAAACCCCAACAGAGAAGCATAAAATCTGTTTATGGGGACTGTGAGCATGGAGGAAAGAAGACGATGAAAAGGGAAACAATAAAAATACAAAAATACAAACACAAACACAAAAACCCTCAGAATCAAAGGCAAAGATTCCATCTTTTGACAGCAAAAAACCAGCTATCTTTCCCTGAAAATCAATTTTCCTTTGCAGACTAAACTCATCCCCAAATTAGCCATTCATTCTTTACAAAAAAGAAAACCCTAATTTCATCAACAAATTGCAGAATAAAGAGGAAGAAGAAGACGAAGAAGAAGACAGACAGACATGTCTGGTAATCAATCACCTTTGATTCATTAACATTCACCTCATTACTGCCTGCCATGAGGAGAGGAGAGGAGAGGCAATCACTTCCGGAATCTCACACGACGATCTCCCTCAGGATTTTTTTACTTTTTTTTTTTGTTTTTCTCTCTCCTCTTTCTTCTCTCACTCTAATAACTAGTGATTGGGGATTTTTCACCCCCAAAAGGCAAACTCTGGTTATGTGGTGTGATCCCCCACTTTTTCCTCCTTATTTCTTTGTTTGAATTTCTTTCTTTCTGCTGCTTGAGCTGCTTCCTCTGAACAACAAACAAAGAAAAGAGACACTTCTGAAAAAACCACAGACAGAGGTTACAGATATATCACCCAAACAGAAGTGGGAATAAGATCAAGAAAAGAAAACACAGAGAGAGAGAGATGAGAGAAACAGAAACAGAGCAGCACAGACCAGACCAGACCAGAACAGGGGAAGGAGGATAAAAAAGGAGGAAGGAAGATGGATAAATACACACCCAACACTAATAGCAATGATAACAATAATTAATAATAATATTATTCAATAATCTGTGGTTTCAATTACAATAAAAATACAAATTAATGGTAGATAAAGAAAGAAATAAAGGAAGGGGCAAATGAATGTAGTCTGTGAAATTCCCAAAATACACTCCGCAAAAGAGAGAGGGTCAAAGGGATAAAGTAAGGGCTGAGGGAAACGACAAATGAGGGACGGCTCAAATCCACTGTGCAGGTAGACCCACCGTATATAATCAAATCCAACACCCAACATTACATACATACATACATACATACAACTAATTAAATGAATAATCTTCTTAAGTTATTATTTGTCATTATTTCAATTAAACCCTTCTTTCTCATCACATATACTTGCCTAAAAAAATATATTCTAAATATATATATATATATATTGATTTAATTTAATTGCAATTTACTAGTATTGGGATCGAATAAATAATTATCTAATGACGGGTTTACATTGTGTTGACTTTTATTTTTCTTCCCCTTCTATGTTGGGGGTATAAAAGACAAACTTAGGTGTTGTACAAAAATTTAAATAAATGAAAGCCACCTAGGATGTGTGAATGAGTGCTTGAAACTATCTTCACATTGGCCCATTGTTCTTTTCAAGTAACTTTGATAAAAAAATAAAAAATAAAATAGCTCTACAAAGAAACACTAATAATAATATGGTTAAAATTATATTAAATTAAATTAAAAAATGGCACATGTTGACAATTGGGGTTTTGTACTACTAAAGTTTTTCTAGAAGCAAGCAAGCAAGCCAATGTTTTCACATTTGCATTATGGCCATTGAAAGGTCTGGTCATGATTGAATTTGGTTACAAAGAATTGATGAGACAAATGAATGCTCAACTGCAAATATAACATCATCATTATTAATATTAATATTAATATTCTCTAAGTAAATCAAATTTAATTTTTAGAGTAATACCAATTTTAAATTTCTATCATTTATTTAATTTTTTATATGTATGTATATATGCAAACAAAAAGGAAAAGGAAAGATGTTTTTGGAAGTAGCCAAAAGAGGTCTGTCCATAGGCGCACTTGGGATGGAAGCTGGCTGCTTGGCTCGACTCGGCTTGGTATTTGGCTCGGCTTAAGCTCGGCTCGGCTCGGCTCAAATTATACTACAAGAAAAAGAAGTAGACACAAAGGACAGAGCAGAAAGGGAAAGGCACAAGAGTTTTCCTGCGTGCGGCCGACGCCACACGACGCCACGTGGCGCGCATCGCTCCGCTCCCCGTCTCTCGTGAATTGACCAATCACTCCCCAACTTTTGTCATCGCTCTCAGCCGGGGACGGGAGCGGAGGTCCAGAGCTCCGTCGATTTACGTTACGTGCACTGGACCGTGAGAGGCCCGGACCGGGTGAGCGCGGCCCGGACTCTTCACACAAAGGACGTGTTTTGTCGTGTAGCGTTAACCGCGTGACGGCATGTTTTTTGTCAGAACCTCGGGGCGTGGGGTCCACGCCCCTTTATTTCTATCGTTTCTGCAAAACGAAAATAATAAATATAAATATTAATATTAATATTAGTAGTAGTATATATATTGGCTTGAGCAGTGAGGATTGAATTTTGTCGTTCCTTGTGAATTTCCCGAAACGCCATCGGCACGTGCTGGTCATGTGCGGACCCCATCAAAGCAGTCGGGCTGGTCGCATCTCATCTCGAAACGTGGCCAATTCTATCTAGACAGTAGTCACCCTAATTTAATTTATTTTTATTTTTTACATACTTATATTTCTATATTAAAACGACAAAAATAGAATGATATTTTTAGAATCCAACTCTGTTTGTAAATTTTCTTCACTAATTTATTTATTACAATATATAATAAATATTAACAGGTGTTTAACTAATCTTTTAGTCTTACTATGTCACGTTTAAATTAAAATCAAAATTTTTCATTCTTATTATTTTTTTAGTATCTTTTATAATTTTATTAATTTTCATATATATAGTCATCATTGAATAATCTATCAAAGATTACCTAAGATATAGTTTAATGTAAATAAATTTATACAATAACAATATAAGTACTATAGAAATATTCGTTTTAATAAGGAATGAAATAGTTGTGTGGAGATAGACTCGTTACCGTGAAGTTATGGTTTAAAATTTTGAAGTCTCCAAGTCTTCCATGAGCTCAAATATTTTTATATTTATACTTATTTGCGGAATAAATTTGTTTTTATTTGCAATAATCTGTATCATAGCCGAAATGCATCTCGGTTAAGCTACTTTTGTAAGTTTTTTTTTTTTAAGAAAAAATCAAACTCTAGAATAAAAATGACTGGGAAAATTTGGTGAAGAATCAACTTCAAATTTGAAGTCATTGGTGCATCATCATTGTTAAAAGTGGATTGTTTTGTTTATTAGTTTTGGTTAATGTTATTTGCAGATAGTCCGATCAACGGATGAACAGTGATGAATAGACGCAATCCAATTTATCTTGAACCTAATCAAATAAAAAAAGACCCAAAATTGATCAATTCAATGAAGATCCAAATGAATTGATCGAGAAAGCTCATTGGTCTCCCAATCCATGTATGAGAATAACAAAAATTAGTTGTAACAAACTTTGTAAAGGAGGAAGAGATTCAATTCTTGTTGGGTTTGTTAGAATAAATGTTCTCATATTTGAAGATTTAGCTTTATCTTAGGATATAGAGTGAACAAAGATAGATTTTAGAGTATAGAAAAATCTGAATGTAATTTCTTTAAGGAATAATGAGATAGTTCGTAGGCTTTAAGGTAGAAAGGGAGATACACTAGTTCATTGAGTTGGTGGAGATGAGAATGATAGATTAGGGTGGGGTATCTTAAAAATAGGGTGGTGATTTATTGAGATTTGTCTCTAATTGTATCCATGAAACCTCATATTTCGGCTGTTTTGATAGTGAAACTCGTCTGGGTTGGAACCCCCAAAATGTAGGTCGTTGATGACTGAACTGATTTAACAATTATTTGTGTTTTATGTTCTTGTCGTCACCAGTATGTGCATCCGCAGTCCGATCGTTCAACAAACAACCTGTCCAAATTCTATCAAAGAATTCGAACATATAGCTTGCAAGATTTTCCATGTATCACCATGAATGAACTTATAACTTTATTTAATTTTCTAGTTACTGATTTCCTGAATCCAGATAAAAAAAATAAATGATATTAACAGGACACTGATATAGTTAGTTTCGCTTCCTAATGAACATAAACGTATAATTGTTAATATGCATATTGAAAAAGGAATAATTTGTTTTAAGGAAGTTACTTATTTGGAAAAAGCTTGTCTCAAGCTGCAAAATAAAAGGGAAAAACTGATAATGATGAAACAAACTATTCATTAGTCTGCGCTTTGTCAGTAACTTGCATTAACGATTAATTGTTGGACTCAAGATGTTCATTCCATATGTATTTTAAGAAGGAATAGCTCGTCAACTTTAAAAATAATAATGGTGGAATTATTTACCTTGCCAACAACCAACCCTACTATATAGTTGAAGTTGGCTCAATATGCTCGAAGAACCACGATTGGACAACTAGGATACTTACGGAGGTTTGGTGTATACCAAATTTTGCAAAAAAAAATAATAAAATTGTATTACAAGGAACTTTGGAGTCCAAATTCCACTCCATTAGCATTCAAAATGAAACTCTAAAAATAATCTTATGAGCACGTATAGTCATAAAAAGGTATAAAAAAAATAACTTATGTCGCATTGACAGCAACATGGTCCTTGACATAACAATAACAATATCAGAAGTAGACAAAAAAGATGATAGATGACCAAGCACTGACACATAGAAGCTTGGGCTTGCAGAGGAAAATTCATTGCAAGACTTCATCGAAACAAGGATTGTTAAATGGCGCAAATATTTGCAAACTTAATATTTGCAAGCAAGGCATTATGGAAAATAAGACGTGAGTAAAGTTTGACACGACAATCCATAACGCTAAAGACATTATTGATTACATTACTCAAATGTTCGGGGACCAATCAATACAAATTTTTTGGGAGGAAACCATTATTTTATAACGTTTGTTGATGACTTTTTCAAAAAATGTACAAGTCTGAATAAGAGTGTATCATATGCGAACTAAGTACAAAGTATTCAGGAAATTCATAGCTTAAAAGAAAATGATAGAGAACCAAACCGAAAAGAAGATTAATATTTTTCGGTTTGACGAAGGTATGAAATATCGAAATGACTCTTTTTCTATATGTGCAAGGAGGAAGGTATTTTCCAACATTTTACAATGCGGGACACACTACAACAAAGTGTATATTTATTTAGTTTTATTTATACGAGGTTTTGAAATTAAGTGTGGTGTATAATTAATTATTTTTTATTTTAAAAATATTATAAAATATTTGGAACAAATAAAAAAAAATATATTGTAAAATATTCAAAACGGAAAAAAATATCCTACAACAAAATAAAACAAAAGAGTATAGTATAGCTTTTGGCTATTACTGAAAAAGTAAGTATAAATAATAATAATAATAATAATAATAATAATAATAATAAACAAAATAAAAAAGGTATATCTTTTGGCTATTATCGGAGAGTAAGTAATACTAATAATAATAAATAAGTAAATAAATGAAAGTGAGTAATTTTGTCATAAAAAAATTGGTTGCATATGTAAAAGTAATAACTAAGGTATGTTTCTTTAATTAAATTTTTTCAAATTTTACTATTTGTATTATGTATTTTTAAAAAAGAATATATATTTTTTTATTTTACAAAAATATCCAATCGAATATTATTTTAATAAAAAATTTAAATTAATTTTTTTCCAACTTAGACAAAAAGAAACACGCCGGTTTAACTTTCAATGTCTCTAAATTTTATTTGTTTTTTTTTTAATCTAATATAACTTATTTTATCGACTTAATTTGTAAATTTTTAAATTTGGTTGAAATTTATTGGACATAGAATCGAAAAATAACGAAGAAGAGTTCATTTCATATTATTATTATTATTATTATTGGGTACAAATTGTAAGGATAGAAGTGGGAATTTGGTAGCGATCGATTTGTCGTATGTGGAAAGAAGGTGGGCAAAGCCGCAAGCATGCATGTGCCACACGCACACCACCACATAGATACATACATACATACCTACATACACATAGTCATCAAAACTCCTCCTTCCCTCACCCTACACGTGTCCTCATCCTATTCACTCCCCAACCGGCTCTCTTCCCTCCACACTATCAATTTTATTAATTAATCAAAAATACCAATTCAGGTTGCCACTCTCAATTAATTAATTCCAGCAGTAAACGAAATACCGAGACTTAGAGCAAATAATAGTACTCCCTCCGCTCCCACGTCATTTGTCCTTATTTTTTATTTTTGTCCGTCTTACATAATTTATCCATTCTTTTTTTGGAAATATAATTATACACTTTAATCTCATTTTAAATTTTATAATTTTTTTAATCTTAATTAAATTATTTAGTTATCTTAATCTTAATCTACAATTATTTTTATTAATACACTTCTTAATTATTTACTAATCACACTTTACCTAAATTCTCGTATCTACAGTAACAGAACCATAATACATGGAATGGAGGGAGTAGTATACTAACAATAATTATTAACTTCACAGGTTTATTAAATAAACACATATTAAAAATGGAGGGTCCCGGTCCGACCCGACCCGACCCGGGGTGGGACACAGAGAATTTTGGCCTTTAGTGTGTTAGGTCAACAACTGGGAACAGCGTTTGGCTTCTTCTGCAATTGGGGGTCAAATTCAATTCTCAATGCCACCTATGCATTATATATTGCTGCGGTTATTTATTTTAGAATTTATTCAAGGGCAAAACTGTAATTTCGAAGGGTGGTGTGTGGACAGCCCATTATTATTATTATTATTATTATTAGTATTAGTATTATTCCACTGAACAATGCTGTGAAAGTGCACATGGTTTGAATAGTTAATTAATTCATAGCTTAGCTTTAATTTGAGTCATTATTAATAAATTAACACAGAGTGTAGAATAAATGCTGTCATTACCATGCATGGTCCATCATCATGTCCATGTGTACACACGCGCAAAAAATAAAAATTAAATTAAATTAAAGACTTGAAAATTTAAAAATAATAAAAAATTAAATATTTCAATATAATGTTTTGTGAGTTAAAATATATATATATATATATTTAATATAATACTAGTATTTAAGAAAAATAATGTAATGTTTGAATCTTATCATTTATTAATGTAATGTTTAGCATATTGAATTTTTTTTTGTTGAGATATATATATATACAGTATATTTGTTGAACTATTTTATTAGCATGTTTAGCATTGAATGTATGAAAAATATTGCTATATCATATTAAAAAATAATAAATAAATAAATAAATAAAATGTACAGTATATTTGTTGAACTACAGTATATAGCATGTTCACCATTGAATGTATGAAAAATATTGTTAGATCATGTTTTTATTATTATTATTTTAAAATGTTAATTTTTTTTTAACTATTAAAAAATATGATTTAATATTGTTCAATTATACTTATTCATCATACCTAAATAATTTCAATTTTCAATTATTAATTTACTTATATTCTTACCTCTATTTTACTCAAATATCATCTTGTTTTTTTTTTTAAAAAAAACTACTATATTTTCTTAAAGATGATTCAAAATATTATATCAAATATCTATTTTTATTTCTAAACTTATACTACTATATTTTTATTTTTATTTTTATATTCAAAAGTAATATATCAAACATTTATTAACATTAATTCAAAATATTATTTTAAGAAATTGGGCCAACCTTCAAAACACATCTCTAGCCAACCCTAAAGACTTCTTTAGGGTAAATAAAATTAAATTTTGGGTCCCATATCAAATTTTGTTTTTGTTGTTTGAACAATGTTTTAAATATAAAATTTTGTAAAACAAATAATTTATTTCAATAACAAAAATATATGAATTGTATAGTTAATTTAATTTAATTTAATTTTATTTAAAAAAAAAAACTAATGGAAGAGACCACCGTCCAGTCCAGAATTAAACATGCCCACGTACTTGTTTACTGCCTCCTCAACAACACAACATTACATTGATTTTTTTATTTGTTTACATATCTTATTATTATTATGTAACTTTGTTATTTATTTACATTTTAAAATATTTTTTAAGTTTAAAATAAATTGTTCTTGCTGGGCTGCCTGCATATCTCCTGGCAATTACTAATTTTCTAATTATTTGATTTGTTTGTTTGTGATGACGTCGATGCAATTCATGAGAATTGAACCCTACATAGAATAGATAACAAATAATTGAAACATTGAGGATTCATTAGGGTTTGTCTGGATTGGGTTTGGGTTTTCAGAAATAATTTTTTTTTTTATAGTATATAAAAAAATTTAAACCTTAAATTTTTCAGTATTCAAACAAGGGTCGGTTTGTTTGTATTTGCCAGATTATTCTATAATTTATACTAAGTATAATTTATGTTTTTATTTAAGTAGTCTATAATTACAACTTATTTTCATTTTATAGGCATGCAAGAAAACCTAAACAAACACATTCTATGTATGAGTGGAAAATAAAGTTAGTAGTAGTAGTATATAAGAATCCATCCCCTTATTCCCACTTTTGACTTTATTATTATTATTATTTTTATTATTTTTTTTTTCCCACCCTTTCCTTTTTGACACGATACATACAATTCTGGAGATTCCCCAAAATTTATTTAATTTAAATAAAATTAATTTATTTCCTACAAAACCTGACAAGAAAGACCTTTGACGAGAAAACCATACACTGATTGTAATTAGGGGTTGGGTTCAGTGAATTAAAAGCTGCCCTTTATTATTTTTTATCATTATTATTACTAATATATATTTTTTTTTTAAAAAAAATTATGAACAGTTAAATAATAATTAGAAACTAAAATTCAGTTAAGCTGTAAAGATTGCAAGTGATGGACACGATCAGATTAAAAAGGTCCCACAATTTTGATTTCACGACAGTGTCAAGAAATTGCATAGATTCCAATGATGCGTGTGCCCTATGTCTAATTAACCAAATAGGTTAAATAAATGTGACAAAACCCATTACTTTTATTTTTATTTATGAGAACAAAAACAGTTAGTGACACAAAAATCTTAGGACAAGACAACAATAAGACAGTGAGAAAGAATTATTTATTTATTTATTTTAGATTGGTTGGGATGATTTTTTATTTTTTTATCTCATTTAATTAGATAATCCTTTTTTGGTAATTCAATGGCCCATATAAAAATTACTTGGGCCCATTCTAGAGCCCGGCCCATACCAGCCCAACGAATCTTGTAATTGATATCCACGGTGGCGATCCTCGTCTAATTTAACAAGGTGCCACGCTGGCAATCCGCGTGATACAACTCTCGACCAATCAGATTACAGCAAAAACCTCTATTTAAATCCCAACATTTCCCGCTGCTCTGTATTCGTCGAGTCTTTCTTCTCCAATTCAAATTTCCTTTCAGCAATCTTTTTGAAATTTTCAAAACCCTAAGGATTAGCCATGGGCGAAAAGAGTACAGCAGCGAAGTCCATCGCCGGCCGCGGCAAGCCTAAATCGAAAGCGGTCTCGAGGTCATCTAAAGCCGGACTTCAATTCCCGGTAGGTCGCATCGCTCGATTTCTCAAGAAGGGTAGGTATGCGGAGCGTGTTGGATCTGGCTCGCCTGTTTACCTCTCCGCCGTTCTCGAGTATTTAGCTGCTGAGGTATGTTGAAAATCGCTTCGCGTATCTCTCAATTGTTGTTTTCCTCTGCTGTTGTGGACTTTCGATTTTGATTTGATGGATTTATTGAATGGCAGTTGCTGGAGCTTGCTGGAAACGCTGCCAGGGACAATAAGAAGAATCGGATTGTTCCGAGGCACATACAATTAGCTGTGAGAAATGATGAGGAGTTGAGCAAGCTTTTGGGATCTGTGACCATTGCAAATGGCGGTGTTCTTCCGTCTATTCATCAGGTTCTGTTGCCGAAGAAGGCAGGCGCAGGGAAAGAAAAGGGGGAAATCGGATCAGTTTCCCAAGATTTTTAGGGCTTCTGGTGGATTGATTAGCTGTTTGGGCTTAGGCTTGTGAATTCAATGTTTTGCTGATTGTGGTGTAAATCTCTCTGCTTTGAATGAAAAGTGAAGTTTTGTTATTTTTTTGCTTTTTAAGATTTTAATCATGTGTTCTTGAACCACATAATTGAGTTCTCGTTGCTTTAGCATCATGATTTATTGTAAAATTGAGAAAGGATATGTTAACTGGTGTTTGTATTTCACAAATATTTTATTATTCAATTTATGATTTTTTATCCTAATATATAAGTGAGTAAATCTATTTCAGATAAACTGGCAAAAATTTAAACCAAATTTATCCTAGAGATATGGTCAGAAGACATTTTCAAAATTTTCTATCCTTTATGTTTGTAATTAAAATCTATTTAATTTCTTGAGACATCATTAATATAATAGAAGAAATTAGGCAAATCCAGAGCCAATTATTTGAAATACTTTGAAGTTTGAATTTTGTGCATTTTTTATGCGCCTAGCGGAATATTTTAGCTGTTTTTGGCTTGCTCTAAGGTTAATTTGTTTTTGTTTTTTTTTTTTTAAATCAACCTTATAGGAACTATTTTTGTGCACTAGAAATGTTCATGAGTGAAAATGAATTGCAATGTGCAGGAAACTAAGCATGGAAATACTTTGATTTTATAATTCTAATTTTGAATTTTTTAAATTTTTAGGCGCCAAAAAAGTATCTTAGTTGCCTTTTGAGTTTTGGCCTACTTTTGAGTAGATTTGGTTAAAAGTTTATTCCGTCTTTTAGAAACTATTTTTGCACACTTGAATGAGAACTGTTGAGTAGTGAATGAATGTAGTGCTTGCGGAAAACTAACATGGAAATAGTTTAAATTTTGAAATTTGTGATTTTTTTGGGCGAATTGAAAAATATCTTGGCAGACTTTTGTCATCTGTAGGGGAAATTTGGATATATTGTTATTATTACCATTCTTGAATATCTAGAACAAATGTTTGTGCATTTTTTTTTTCTTTAAAATTATGCTTGTTGAGGATCTTTTCTGTTCCGATTAAAATATACTTCTTAAAACATCGTTAATGTGATAGAAGAAACTTGACAAGTAAGTACTTTTTTTTTCATGAATGGAGAATTACAATTATGAGAAAGGGGCAATGATTCCTCTCATTGTTGTCCTTCACCACTCTTTGGAGAATGCTCTGTACGAATATTGCTCGACAAACCTGCGCTGGGAATTGTAGCATTCCCAAACAGTTCCCTTAGCTCATTATCCATTTGCACAGCCACTCGAATTTGTGTTGGCCTGTTTGACTGTGTCGCCTGCAAGCTCCAACACCTAAATTTAAGAAACAAGAAAGTAAACAAAAATCAGCGATTCGATGACCAGAAATTATGACACATAAATCAAATAAAAATTGATTTGATAGTTATCACCTCAAGAGCCAAGTTTTCTAAAACAGCTGCTAAGTAGAAACCTTTCAATTCTTCCGACCGGGAAATGCTTTTTGCGAACGGGAGCGAGACTTGGAGGACCTACGGCCTCTGCCTCCTTTGGCTGAAGCTTCTCCGTTCGAGCTCATTAGGATTGAGATTAGAGGCCCCATCAAGAAAGTGAGATGACGGTGAATCCAACGATAGGTTTATACAGAAAGTGTTAGGAGGGAAAATAAATAGAGGTGCACGAAGTTTGATTTTGGTGAATTTTTCTGCGCCTAGAGAATTTTTTTAGTTAGTTTGAATTTTTTGAAGTTTGCGTGCCTAGAGAAATATTTTAGTTGTCTTTTGGCGGTTAAAAAAAAACCGCCTTAAGAACTATTTTTGCGGCCTTTAAAGGAAAGTGTTCATGAGTGTAAATGATTGCCATGCGCGGGAAGTTAGCATGAAAATATATTGAATTTACAATTTTGTGAATTTTGCACGCTTATTGAAACATCCTAGCTATCTTTATATAGGAACAACTTTTTGCATGCTTGAATAAGAGTTGTTAAGGAAGAAAAATGAATTACAATGCACGGGAAGCTAGCATGGAAATATTTTAAATTTTAAATTTTTATGCACCAAAAGAAATCTTAATTGCCTTTTGGCCTGCCTTAGAGTTAATTTGGTTAAATGTGTTTTTTTTTTTTTTTTTTCCATCTTATAGAAGCTGTTTTCGCACACTTGAATGTAAGTGTTCACGAGTGAATGCATTGTAGTGCGTCCGGGAAACTAGCATGGAAATACTTTGAATTTTGAATTTTGTGAATATTTTGCGCGCTCATAGAAATATCTTGGCGGGCTTTTGACATTTCTAGTTTAAATTTGGATATGATAGAATAAACAAGGCAAATAGAAACTTTCATTAAAAAAATGGAGAATTACAATTATTACATAGGGGTAATGAAAAAATTGATGCCTAAATTGAGGTACTACCCTCTCCTTGATTTCCTTCACCACTCTTTGGAAAAAGCTCGGCACGAATATTGCCCGACAAACCAGCACTGGAAATCGTAGCATTCTTAAACAGTTCCCTCAGCTCATTATCAGTTTGCACAGCCACTTGAATTTGTGTTGGAGTAATTCTAGTTTTGTTGGCCTGTCTGGCAGTGTCGCCTGCAAGCTCCAACACCTAAATTTAAGAAACAAACAACCAAACGAAAATCAGCGATTCAATGACCATAAATTAGGACACATAAAGCAAATAAAAATATATATGATAGATCACCTCAAGAGCCAAGTATTCTAAAACAGCTTCTAAGTAGACTGGCGCACCCGCGCTGAATCGAGTGGCAGGGTTGCCTTCCCGCAGAAGCCTTTCAATTCTTCCTACAGGAAGATTCAATCCTGCCTTTTGTGAACAGGAGCGAGACTTGGAGGACCTACGGCCTCTGCCTCCTTTGGTTGAAGCTTCTCCGTTCGAGCTCATTGGGATTGAGATTAGAGGCCCTATCAAGAAAGTGAGATGAGTGTGACTCCGACCATAGGTTTATAAAGAAAGTGTTAGGAGGGAAATAAATTGAGGTGCGCGGTAGTTTGATTTTTGTGAATTTTTGTGCGCCTAGAGTAACGTTTTAACTAGTAGGATTTTTTTGAATTTTTTGCGCGCCTAGAGAAATATTTTAAATTTTTGAACTTTTACGCGCCAAAAAATATATCATGGTTTGGTTAAATGTTCTTTCCATCTTATAGAAACTATTTTCATACACTTGAATTGAAGTGTTCATGAGTGAATGAATTGTAGTGCGTTCAGGAAGCATGGAAATACTTTAAATTTTGAATTTTGTCTTTTTGTGTGTTCATTGAAATATCTTGGCGGGCTTTTGATATCTCTATAGTAAATTTGGATATATTGTTATTACTATCATTCTTGACTATCTAAAATAGTTGCTTGTAGTGTTCTTTAATTGTTTGTGCACTAATCTTTTCTTTAACGTTATCTGGTTGAGAATAACCTGATCTTAAAATGTTTTGATTAAAATCTATTTCTTGGCACATCATTAATATGGGTATAATATTAAACAAGGCAAATAGATACTTCCATTCAAAAATGGAGATTACAATTATTGCAAATGGTGAATGAAAAATTGATGCCTAGAATGAGGTACTACCCTCTCATTGATTTCCTTCATTACTCTTATGAAAAAGCTCTGCACGAATATTGCTCGACAAACCAGCACTGGGAATCGTAGCATTCCTAAACAGTTCCTTCAACTCATTATCAGTTTGCACAGCCACTTGAATTTGTGTCGGAGTAATTCTTGTTTTGCTGGTCTGTTTGGCCGTGTCGCCTGCAAGCTCCAACATCTAAATTTAAGAAACAAGTAACCAAAAAAAAAAAAAAAAAGAGAAAAACGATTCAATGACCAATTATTAGGACACATAAAGCAAATAAAAGTAGATATGATAGATCACCTCTAGAGCAAGGTATTCTGAAACAGCTGCCAAGTAGACTGGCGCACTAGAGCTGAATCGAGTGGCAGGGTTGCCTTCCCGCATAAGCCTTTCAATTCTTCCGAATGGGAAATTCAATCTTGCCTTTTGTGAACAGGAGCGAGACTTGGAGGACCTACGGCCTCTGCCTCCTTTGGCTGAAGCTTCTCTGTTCGAGCTCATTGGGATTGAGATTAGAGGCCCTATCAAGAAAGTGAGATGAGTGTGACTCCGACCATAGGTTTATAAAGAAAGTGTTAGGAGGGAAATAAATTGAGGTGCGCGGGAAGCTAGCATGTAAATACTTTGAAGTTTGATTTTTGTGAATATTTGCGCCCCTAGAGAAATATTTTAATTAGTTTGATATTTGTGAATATTTGCGCGCCTAGAGAAATATTTTAATTAGTTTGATATTTGTGAATATTTGCGTGCCTAGAGAAATATTTTAATTAGTTTGATATTTGTGAATATTTGCGCGCCTAGAGAAATATTTTAATTAGTTTGATTTTTGAGAACTTCTGCGCGCGTGCCTAGAGAAATATTTTAATTAGTTTGATTTTTTGAATTTTTGCGCGCCTAGAGAAATATTTTAGTTAGTTGTCCTTTCTGCCTTATAGGAACTATTTTTGCGCGCTTTTGTTCACGAGTGAAAATAATATGCAATCACTGGAAGCTAGCATGGAAATACTTTGAAGTTTGAATTTTGTGAATTTTGAGCACTTAGAGAAATGTTTTAATCATCTTTTGGCAGCTGAAAAAACAAAATCCTCCTTATAGGAACTATTTTTGCGCGCTTGAAAGTAAAGTGTTCAGGAGTGTAAATGATTGCAACGGGTGGGAAGTTAGCATGGAAATACATTGAATTTAACATTTTGTTAGTTTTTGTATGCTTATTCAGACATTCTAGCTATCTTTATATAGGAACAATTTTGAATCTAGCATGGAAATATTTTAAATTTTAAATTTTTTCTATTTTTACGCACCAAAAAAAATAAAAAATTCTTAATTGTCTTTTGGCCTGCCTTAGAGTTAATTTGGTTATTTTTTATTTTATTTTTATCATCTTATAGAAACTATTTTCTCACACTTGAATGTAAGTGTTCATAAGTGAATGAATTGTAGTGCGTTGGGGAATCTAGTATGGAAATACTTTAGATTTTGAATTTTGTGATTTTTTTGAAATATCTTGGCAGGCTTTTAACATCTCTAGTGTAAATTTGGATATGTTGTTATTACTATCATTATTGACTATCTAAAGCAGTTGATTTTGTTAATTGTTTGTGCATTAATTTTTTCTTTAACATTATGCTAGTTGAGGGTAACTTGTTCATCATGTTTTGATTATAACCTATTTCTTGGGACATCATTAATATTATAGAATAAACAATGTAAAGAGATACTTTCATTCAAAATGGAGAATTACAAAAGGGGAATGAAAAAGTGATGCCTAAAATGAGGTACTACCCTCTCATTGATTACCTTCACCACTCTTTGGATAAAACTCGGCACGAGTATTGCTCAACAAACCAGCACTGGGAATTGTAGCATTCCCAAATAGTTCCTGCAGTTCATTATCAGTTTGCGCAGCCACTTGAATATGTGTCGGGAGTAATTCTAGTTTTGTTGGCCTGTTTGGCCATGTCGCCTGCAAGCTCCAACACCTAAATTTAAGAAACAAGTAACCAAACAAAAATCAGCGATTCAATGACCATAAATTAGGATAAAGCAAATAAGGAGAGATGATAGATCACCTCAAGAGCCAGGTATTCTAAAACAGCGGCTAAGTAAACTGGTGCACCGGCGCTGAATCGAGTGGCAGGGGTGCCTTCCCGCAGAAGCCTTTCAATTCTTCCGACCGGGAAATTCAATCCTGCTTTTTGTGAACGGGAGCGAGACTTGGAGGACCTACGGCCTCTGCCTCTTTTGGCTGAAGCTTCTCCATTCAAGCTCATTAGGATTGAGATTAGAGGCCCTATCAAGAAAGTGAGTGACGGTGAATCCGACGTAGGTTTATAAAGAAAGTGTTAGGAGGGAAAATAAATTGAGGTGCACGGAAGTTTGATTTTTGTGAATTTTTGAGCGCCTAGAGAAATTTTTATTCAGTTTGGTTTTTTGTGAATTTTAAGCGCGCCTAGAGAAAATTTTAAATTAGTTGTTTTTTTTTTTGCCTTATAGAAACTATTTTTACGCGCTTGAATAGGAAGTGTTCATGCGAGAAAATGAATTGCAATCACGGGATGCTATAATGGAAATACTTTGAAGTTAGAATTTTCTGAGTTTACGCTCCTAGAGAAATATTTTAGTCGTGAGTGGTTAAAAAAATCCGCTTTATAGGGACTATTTTTGTGCGCTTGAAAGGAAGGTGTTCACGAGTGTAAATGATTGTCATGAGTGGGAAGTTAGCATGGAAATATAATGAAATTACAATTTTGTGAGTTTTTGCACGCTTATTGAAATATCCTAGCTATCTTTATATAGGAGCAATTTTTTGCATGCTTGAATAAGAATTGTTAAGGAGGAAAAATGAATTACAATACACGGGAAGTTAGCATGGAAATATTTCAGATTTTAAATTTTTATGCACCAAAAGAAATCTTAATTGTTTTTTGGCCTGCCTTAGAGTTAATTTGGTTAAATGTGTTTTTTTTTTTTCCATCTTATAGAAACTGTTTTCGCAAACTTGAATGTAAGTGTTCATGAGTGAATAAATTGTAGTGCGTCCGGGAAACTAGTATGGAAATACTTTGAATTTTGAATTTTGTGAATATTTTGCACGCTCATAGAAATATCTTGGCAGGCTTTTGACATCTCTAGTTTAAATTTGGATATGATCGAATAAACAAGGCAAATAGAAACTTTCATTCAAAAAATGGAGAATTACAATTATTACATAGGGGTAATGAAAAAATTGATGCCTAAATTGAGGTACTACCCTCTCCTTGATTTCCTGCACCACTCTTTGGAAAAAGCTCGGCACGAATATTGCCCGACAAACCAGCACTGGGAATCGTAGCATTCTTAAACAGTTCCCTTAGCTCATTATCAGTTTGCACAGCCGCTTGAATTTGTGTTGGAGTAATTCTAGTTTTGTTGGCCTGTGTGGCAGTGTCGCCTGCAAGCTCCAACACCTAAATTTAAGAAACAAGCAACCAAACGAAAATCAGCGATTCAATGACCATAAATTAGGACACATAAAGCAAATAAAAATATATATGATAGATCACCTCAAGAGCCAAGTATTCTAAAACAGCTGCTAAGTAGACTGGCGCACCCGCGCTGAATCGAGTGGCAGGGTTGCCTTCCCGCAGAAGCCTTTCAATTCTTCCTACAGGAAAATTCAATCCTGCCTTTTGTGAACGGGAGCGAGACTTGGAGGACCTACGGCCTCTGCCTCCTTTGGCTGAAGCTTCTCCGTTCGAGCTCATTGGGATTGAAATTAGAGGCCCTATCAAGAAAGTGAGATGAGTGTGAATCCAACCATAGGTTTATAAAGAAAGTGTTAGGAGGGAAATAAATTGAGGTGCGCGGGAAGCTATCATGTAAATACTTTGAAGTTTGATTTTTGTGAATATTTGCGCGCCTGAGAAATATTTTAATTAGTTTGATTTTTGTGAATATTTGCGCCCCTAGAGAAATATTTTAATTAGTTTGATATTTGTGAATATTTGCGCGCCTAGAGAAATATTTTAATTAGTTTGATATTTGTGAATATTTGAGCGCCTATAGAAATATTTTAATTAATTTGATTTTTGGGAATTTTCGCGCGCCTAGAGAAATATTTTAATGAGTTTGATATTTGTGAATTTTCGCGTGCCTAGAGAAATATTGTTAATTAGTTTGATTTTTGTGATTTTTTGCGCGCCTAGAGAAAGATTTTAGTTAGTTGTCCTTTCTGCCTTATAGGAACTATTTTTGCGCGCTTTTGTTCACGAGTGAAAATAAATTGCAATCAATGGAAGCTAGCATGGAAATACTTTGAAGTTTGAATTTTGTGAATTTTGAGCACTTAGAGAAATATTTTTATCGTCTTTTGGCTGTTAAAAAAACAAAATCCGCCTTATAGGAACTATTTTTGCGCACTTGAAAGGAAAGTGTTCAAGAGTGTAAATGATTGCAATGGACAGAGAGTTAGCATGGAAATACATTGAATTTAAAATTTTGTGAGTTTTTGTATGCTTATTGAAACATTCTAGCTATCTTTATATAGTAACAATTTTGAAGCTAGCTTGGAAATATTTTGAATTTTGAATTTTTTCAATTTTTACACGCCAAAAAGAAAAAAAAAAAATCTTAATTGTCTTTTGGCCACTTGATTTCGGGAATCTAGGATGGAAAATATTTTAAAATTTGAATTTTGTGAATTTTTTGAAATATCTTGGCGGGCCTTTGACATCTCTAGTGTAAATTTGGATGTATTGTTATTACTATCATTATTGATTACCTAAAACAGTTGATTTTGTTAATTGTTTGTGCATTAATTTTTTCTTTAACATTATGCTAGTTGAGGGTAACTTGTTCATCATGTTTTGATTAAAATCTATTTCTTGGTACATCATTAATATTATAGAATAAACAATGTAAATAGATACTTTCATTCAAAATGGAAAATTACAAAAGGGGAATGAAAAAGTGATGCCTAAAATGAGGTACTATCCCCTCGTTGATTTCCTTCACCACTCTCTGGAAAGAACTCAGCACGAGTATTGCTCGACAAACCAGCACTGGGAATTGTAGCATTCCCAAATAGTTCCCGCAGCTCATTATCAGTTTGCACAGCCACTTGAATATGTGTCGGAGTAATTCTAGTTTTGTTGGCCTGTTTGGCCGTGTCGCCTGCAAGCTCCAACACCTTAATTAAGGAAACAAGTTACCAAACAAAAATCAGCGATTCAATGACCATAAATTAGGACACATAAAGCAAATAAAAATATATATGATAGATCACCTCAAGAGCCAAGTATTCTTAAACAGCGGCTAAGTAGACTGGCGCACCGGCGCTGAATCGAGTGGCAGGGTTGCCTTCCCGCAGAAGCCTATCAATTCTTCCGACAGGAAAATTCAACCCTGCCTTTTGTGAACGGGAGCGAGACTTGGAGGACCTACGGCCTCTGCCTCCTTTGACTGAAGCTTCTCCGTTCGAACTCATTGGACTTGAGATTAGAGGCCCTATCGAGAAAGTGAGATGAGGTGAATCCGATGATGGGCTTATAAAGAAAGTATTAGGAGGGAAAATAGATTGAGCGCGGAAGTTTGATATTTGTGAATTTTTGCGCGCCTAGAGAAAATTTTTAATTAGTTTGATTTTTGTGAATTTTTGCGCGCCTAGATAAAATTTTTAATTAGTTTGATTTTTGCGAATTTTTTGCGCGCCTAGATAAAATTTTTAATTAGTTTGATTTTTGCGAATTTTTTGCGCGCCTAGATAAAATTTTTAATTAGTTTGATTTTTGCGAATTTTTTGCGCGCCTAGATAAAATTTTTAATTAGTTTGATTTTTGTGAATTTTTTGCGCGCCTAGAGAAAATTTTTATTTAGTTGTTTTTTCTTCCTTATAGAAACAATTTTTGCGCGCTTGATGGGAAGTGTTCATGAGCAAAAATGAATTGCAATCACGGGACGCTAGAATGGAAATACTCTGAAGTTTGAATTTTGTGAATCTTGGGTGCCTAGAGAAATATTTTAGTCATCTTTTGGCAGTTGAAAAAATTCGCCTTATAGGAACTATTTTTGCGTGCTTGAAAGGAAAGTGTTTATGAGTATAAATGATTGCAATGCACGGGAAGTTAGCATGGAAATACTTTCAATTTACAATTATGTGAGTTTTTGCACGCTTATTGAAACATCCTAACTATCTTTATAAATGAACAATATCAAATGCTTGAATGAGAATTGTTAAGGAGGAAAAATGAATTACAATGCACGGGAAACTAGAATGGAAATATTTTAAATTTTGAATTTTTTAAAATTTTTACGCGCCAAAAAATAAAATCTTAATTGTCTTTTGGCCTGCCTTAGAGTTAATTTGGTTAAATGTTTTTTTCTATCTTATAGAAACTATTTTCACACACTTGAATGGAAGTGTTCATGAGTGAATGAATTGTAGTGCGTTCGGGAATTTACCATAGGAATAATTTAAATTTTGAGTATGGTGAATTTCTTTTGGGCGCTCAGAGAAATATCTTGGCGGGCTTTTGACATCTCTTGGGTAAATTTGGATATATTATTATTACTATCATTCTTGACTACCTAAAACTATTGCTTGTAGTGTTTGTTAATTATATTGTGCATTAATTTTTCTTTAACACTATGCTAGTTGAGGATAACATAATCTTTTATGTTTCGATTAAAATCTATTTCTTGGCACATCATTAATATGATAGAATAAACAAGGAAAATAGATTCCTTCGTTCAAAAATGGAGAATTTCAATTTTTACAAAGGGGGAAAAAAAATTGATCCCTAAAATGAGTACTACGAGTACTACCCTCTCATTGATTTCTTTCACTACTCGTTGGAAAAAGCTCTGCACGAAGATTGCTCGACAAACCTGCACTGGGAATTGTAGCATTCCCAAACACTTCCCTCAGCTCATTATCAGTTTGTACAGCCACTTGAATTTGTGTTGGCGTAATTCTAGTTTTGTTGGCCTGTTTGACCGTGTCGCCTGCAAGCTCCAACACCTAAAATCAAACGAAAATCAACGATTCAATTACGAGAAATTAAGACACATAAAGCAAATAAAAATAGATATGATAGATCACCTCAAGAGCAAGGTATTCTAAAACAGCTGCTAAGTATACTGGCGCACCAGCGCTGAATCGAGTGGCAGGGTTGCCTTCCCGCAAAAGCCTTTCAATTCTTCCGACAGGGAAATTCAATCCTGCCTTTTGTGAGCGGGAGCAAGACTTGGAGGACCTATGGCCTCCCCCTCCTTTGGCTGAAGCTTCTCCGTTCGAGCTCATTAGGAGTGAGATTAGAGGTCAAGAAAGTGAAATGAGTCTGAATCCGACCATAGGTTTATAAAGAAAGTGTTAGGAGGGAAATAAATTGCTGTGTGCGGGAGGCTAGCATGAAAGTATTTTGAGGTTTGAATTTTTTTTTTATGAATTTTTGGCGTCCAGAGAAATATTTAAATTAGTTGTCTTTTGGCCCACTCTAAGGTTAATTTGGCTGCTTTTTTTTTTTTTAAATCCGCCTTATAAGAACTATTTTTGTGCGCTTGAGTGGAAAGTGTTCAGAAGCGAAAATGAATTACAATGCACGGGAAGCAAGGATGGAAATACTTTAGATTTTGTTAATTTTTGTGCGCCTAAAGAAATATTTTAGTTGTCCTTCTGGCCCGCTCTAAGGTTAATTTGGTTAAAAAATGATAATAATAATTTCGTTTGTAGGAACTATTTTTGCATGCTTGAATGAGAAGTGTTCATGAGCGAAAATGATTTGCAATTTCTGGGGGTTAGTATGGAAATGCTTTGAATTTTGAATTTTTTGAGTTTTTGCGTGCCTATTGAATTATTTTAGTACTCAAAAATAAATAAAAATATCCGTCTTATAGAAATTATTTTTGTGGGCTTAAACGAGAAGTGTTCTCGAGTGAAAATAAATTGCTATGGGCGCCAAGTTAGCATGAAATACTTTGGCTTTGTTCGGCTAGCTTTTTTTTCTTATGGATTGATTTTTTTGTATATGATACGATAAATTGTGTTAAGAATATAAATATATTATTTTAAATTGAATATTTATTTTTTTAATTTTTTTATAATAAATATTTAAATATTTTATTAATTTATTTTTGACGTGTAATATAAAAAATTGTGTAAAAAATATAAAATATTATTTTTTTGGAATCATAATTTTAAAATTGAGGTGTACGAACAGGCTATCTTTTTGCCTGCTCTAGGTTTAATTTGATTAAATTTTTAGCCGCCATAGAAACAATTTTTGCAATGGAAAGTAATTATAATTATATAATTAAATAATTTTAATTATAAATATGGATTTGTTGACTCATATTTTCTAATAAAATAATTTTTTATAAATATTATTAAAAAATATATAAATACTAATATAAAATATATATTATTTATTCATAATAAAATAGAAAATAAAAATTCTAACATCAAATATTTTTTATATTAATAATATAATTCTTTATATTCGTCGTCTCCGTTGCCAACATAGCTGCCTCCATTATCTTTTGAAAGGCTTCCGGCCCATAAAAATTGTAGCTCTTATAAAGTGATATTTTTAATATAAAAAATACATCCATAAAAAAAACATATTAGTGTGTGTTTGTTTGGGGGATTGAATTGGATCTATATTATACTAAAATTCAATTTTATATTCAAAATATCACATCAATATCTATTTATATCACATCGTACCACTATTCAAATTCAAAATTTTTACTATTCAAATCCCAATTCAAAATCCAAACTCCCAAACAAACAATGTTTTGATATAAAAATTTATTTTAATTTGAAATATGCAAAATATATTTATAATATAAAAAATAATCTTTTATATTAAATATTAATTTTATTAACAAATAAAATATATATTAAAAATTATGAAAAATCTTAGGCAAACAAACTCAAATTAACAAACACTGAGTATTATTTTACTATAAAATATGAGTATACAATAAAATAAATAAAAAATGCACTAATAATTTCAATACTTATTCATTTAGTATTTTTAAATATAACAAATTATATATAAATATTATTAAAATAATATTATATATATACAAATTACCGTAATATATATAATATATATTTTATTAATTTACAAAGTTAATAATTAAATATAAAATATTATTTTTATATTCATTATTTACATTTAAAAACAAAGATGAATGGCCGGTTCGAACGAAAACTGGCGGTTCACGGAAACTGCTTCGATCTCGGTTCGATGGATGCCGGAAATCGCCGGTTCAGATCCGGTTGGGCAAGTCTAATTACAGCGGCGCCTGATGTTGGCAGTATAAAAGCGGAAATGGGAAATAAAATTGAGTGTGACTAAAGCGTGAACTCCCCACAGTCGTCTTCCTGAAGCCAGACCCCCTGGCCTCTTCTTCTGGAATCTTCTCAGTCTCCATCCCTCAAGCGGTAAATCTATTTTCTCTATCGCTTCTCTTGTTTTGTTTTGGTATATTCTCATTTTACGAGTTTCAAGGAAAGTTTAGGGCTCTTCTGGTTTGTAAAGAACAAAGGGAGGCACATAATCTAGTTCGTAAATGATAATTTGGGAACGAACAGGCATGGATGTATAGGTTTTATGTGTAACCTTGCTGGGAATACATGTTTGCTTCTTTTTCCTCTGCGTCGGTGGGAGTGGTGTTCGTTCCTGAATGTTTCGAGTTCTGTGCGTGCAGATTTTGAAGATGAGCGGGTCTAACGAAGGCCCCCCCCGCAGTGAGCTTGTAAACTCTATGCTCAGAGGCCGGCCTGATGTGGTAAGCATGAGCGACGTTTGTGAAAGATTCAGTTTATTGGCTTTTGCGTGAGTGGATTGGTGTATTTTTGCGTGTACGTCGTTCAATTGAACTCGGAAGAGGATTCTGAAGAAAATCTTGATTAAATAGTTACGTGTAAACGAATATACTCCTTTCGAAGCCTCCTTGATGGGAAATATGGGCCATAATATGGGAATTTAAATACCTTTCTGTGATATCTGGAAATTCAGTTCAAACTCTCTTTCCTGTACGGGTTGTTTGGGATATATTCACCAAGTTTGGTTGTATTTTTGGATATTTGGTTTTGTGAAATACTGTGCTTTTATTGTGTAATAGTATTGAATAGTGTTAAAAGAATGACTGATTGTGTTTGATTTGTATTGTTTATGTAGAACATTGTACATTGATGGGATATATGTAGTTGACTGATGTGGTTAGTGGTAGATGTGATGGTTAGTTTTAGTGTATAGGACTAGGGTTTTTTGAGATGAATAAAAAAGGGGTAACTATTGAATATTATTCAACTGTTTTTGTATTTATCGGAAATCGTGAGCGTTTTATTTTTTGAAGAGTTAATGTTTGATATGATTGGAATTTCGGAAATGTTTTCGTTTTGGGAAAGACATCCAAACATAGAAACTTGAGATATGTTAAAAACATTTATTGATTGTGTGGCCACTTATTAGCAAGAGGAAGTTGGATTGAGCTAAAAGAGAATTGCTCTTACATTTTCTACATTTTTTTGGGGCAAGTTTGCTTGCAAATGTTTTTGTGCTCAGAGTGATAGGTTTCCTTTGCCACATGTTACTTTCATTTCTGTTCTCCTTCAATGCATTTCGATAAATAACACATGGATGAATGACGACATGGTGGGTTTTATGAAGGCCTTAGACTTAATTGCTGCTGTAAAAGGACTACATGAGCTCACCCCACAACAACTCAGCAAACTAATCAGGGATTCAAGGAATAATGTTGTTCGACATGTTGCTGAAGATGGATCAGAGATACAGGTTCTTAAGAGGAGCTAAACAACAATCTGTTGTTAGATTTTGATACATTTATGACAATCATTTTACACTAATATTGCAGGTTGACTTGGAAAAATTTGCAAGGTGTCTTCCTCTTCACCTGATTGCCGTGATTATGGCTTGGGAACGGGACAAGGCCACTTTCAAATACTTGTTGTGTGGAATTCTTCTGCTGCATTCTATGTGCGATCTTGCATCTCGTGTGCCCATAATTGAAGAGGTGAGCATAAGTTATATTTGTTTTGTATGAGATGAAAGTATGATTTCCGAAAGTATTTCAACCTATGCCAAGCTTTATATCTTCTCAAAGTCCCATTAAGTTTTTCTTTTCGCCCTTTATGGCCTGTTTTCTCATGTCTATTTGATGTTATTATTACTGTATGCATATAGTTCTGCAAACTGAACTACCAATTATTCATATCATTTCAAATGTTTGATGCAGATATTTCGTAATGACGAAGAGGTATCCGAACAGCTTATTGATTTAGTCTTTTATTTGCTCATCCTCCTTGGTGCATTCAAACAGGTATTTTTCCAGTCTTGGGCATTTGATCTCTGTGTGTGTTCATGCATGCGTATTTGTTTATAAGAGTTGTTGGTTGACTATATTGTTTTCTAGGAAAATTGCGACGTTCCCAATGACATGGTTCTTTTGCACTCAGCCTTGGTTGCGTGCAGCCTAAAATTATTGACTGTCATTATTACTCCTAAGTTCGAAGAGGTTGCTCAAGTTTTGCTTGCATATAAGGTAAATGTTTTGGGCCCTCAAGGAAATCCATACTTGACGTGTCTGTTACTCATTTTACATATAAGAAATCTTTTACTGAAAGCACTACACTGGAATTTGAATTTGTTTCCACTCGTTTCACTCTGATATTCCTGGCTCTCTGTTGTTTCAGAATGCTTGCTAGCAATGCTCTTAACAAAATGCTACATTCGCGCCAGGTTAAAATTTTTATGGATGCAACATTGTCTGCTGTTTCTATTGATGTAAAGTTCCTCCAAACCAAGCTGTCTGCTGACAACATTGACTCCTCTGCCAACAATACACCTACGGCTGGAGAGACCTTGAACCATCTTTTCCAACAGTGTGACTCTTCTTTGGTGTTTCTGCAATCTTTATGCGAGCAGCAGATTTTCAGAGAGAGCATTGTTAAAAATAAGGTCTTGTATTTCTTTTGAACTAGGTCTTTGATCTGGTAGTATCTGAGTTGTTTTATAATGGAAGTATGATGAGAATATTTACTTCTCTTAGACAATGCTGATCTGGAAACCATCCGGTTGTGCTCATTGGGGAGACCTCTCTCCTAGGACTATAAGTGCATAGGCTAAAGAATGCTTCTAGTTGATTGGTTTGCTGCATTGGCCATATAATGTCTTCTTCTGACAGTATTCAATGGTTCTGTTTAGTATTGTTTGTATTGTAATAAGTCACAATTAGCTTCTTCGTTGTCGCACAACACATGTTTAAGGAACATCCCTTTGAAGCACTATTTAAATATTGCTGGATTTGGCAAAGTATTGCATTTAATGCTTATTATCTTGGCTCTCATTGTTGCAACATTTCATCCTTCAACATGAAGATTATTAATAGTATCTTCTTTATGTTAATGAACTGCAGGAGTTTTCTGGAAATGAAGGGGTTTTTGTACTGGTTCGAGCTGTTCTTAGCTTAAAAGTATCTCCATCTTACAGTACATTGTCATCATATATGGCATCAGTCTCTCGGTTGAAAACCAAAGCTTTATCTATTGTGAGTCGAAGCCCAATACTCTAAAGATTTTATCTTCTTCAGGGTTCTATTTTGCATTGTGAGCATGAAAGAGCTTCGGTATGGAAGTTTAACTGCAACTTATTCTGGTGCAGCTACTCTACCTTTGTGAAACAGAGAATGTTTCCTACCTTGATGAAATTGCAAGCAATATTAAAACTCGGAATCTGGCAAAGGCTATTGTATTGCAGGTTTTTATGTTTCATGGTTTCATTTGCAGAAGTTTATATGTGGTCTTCTATCGGCCCTTGCTTGAGAATATAATTACTTCTTTCCAGAAAAAAGTAATTAGGGTTTTGAGATGAAAGTATATTGATTCTCACAATGGATTATAAAATTGTTGAGAGCTCCGGAATAGTGGACCTGAAAATTCCTTTCTGTTTAATATTACGAAATCTGCATCATCTTATCACAATTCTAGTGTGTTATGAAACCCATCATTGGCCACACTATGATGCTCATAGTAGCTAGTGCATGTTCATGTGTTGAATCCTGCTTCGTTGTTTAGGCATGATTATCATTCCACATACCAGGAGGCTGTTGTTATACTTAATTTCGAGAGGTTTTACAGCATTTAGTTTTTTTTAGGTTCTTGAATTATTGAAGACTATGTTTGGAGTAGATACAACTGCTCCAAAGACAATCTATCCAAAAGGGCAGCTGGAACTTAATGCTATGCGAATCGTGGATATGTTCTCTGATGATTCAAATTTTCGACCATATATCATGATGAACTTTGTAAGCTTCAGTTTTATAATAATGACTTTTATTTTCTGGTTTATGGATGCTTCTTGATTTTCCTGTGTGACATGTCATCATCTTTTCTTTTTCTTTTTCTTTTTTTTTTTGTGTACTTTCATGTTCAATTTTGAGGGTCGGTCTCTCCAAAATAAAGACTTTAATGCTTAAGTATTAATTTGCTTCCAATATTAGTATTTTATGTTTAGTAAATCAACATTAATTTATGGCGGTAAGACTGCAGTGTAATTATGTTACAATGTTTTATTATTCTCACTCTATAATCTAGTGTTCTGTTAGTCAAGTTGTAAATGGATAAATTTGTTTCTCACATATCACACTCTGCACTCATATTTCAAAGGAATGTTTTGATGAGTTATGCTTGCAGTTTCTGAACCTCTATTACAATGGTGTGGTAGTTCTCGTCATTAAATTTATTGGTACACAAATGTCAGTATCATGCCATTTTTGCTCTTTGAACTGGTCAAGTGTCTTCTGGAGGAGAGTATTTAGATTGTCTTGTTCCTGACTAGTTTTATTATATCCTTAGACGGAGACTTTGGCAGCAACCTTTTCACTTCCGCATGGAGAGTTTTTGTCTGGTTGGTGTTCAACTGATCTTCCAGTCTGTGAAGATGATGGAATATTAGAGTACGTATCATTGCAACTGCTAGATGGTTTGAATAATCCTCTCTCCAAATTAGCAGATTGCATGATTTTGATGATACTTCTAGTTGACTAACTGAACAAAGAAAATACATTTACCCTTGTTTCTTGCAGTGTGCCTCGAGCATCTTATGCCCATCAGAGGACATCTTTATTCATAAAAGTGATTGCGAACCTTCATTGTTTTGTTCCTGATGTATGTCAAGGTAATTAACTCTTGAATTTTTTGTTGTATTTATTTGGCTGTTGATTTGATTTTATTTATTTATACTCTTTTCACCTAATAAAGCCTTTGTTTCTATGACAGATGAGAAGAACCATTTTTTCCAGAAATTCATTAGTTTCTTACAGAAGGAATCATCACAACAAGCGAGTGGATCTCAATCTTCTGTTGATCCTGAAAAATCTACTGCTGTTACAAAGAATCTGTGTATAGCTACTTATTATTGTTGCATCAATTGATGGAGCGCTCATCTCAGTTTATTTTAATGGCTCTTTTTTTCTTTTCCTTGGCTTGTAGATTCACTGTTAACTCACGCAGAGTCTTTGGTACCTGAATTTATAAACGAGGAAGATGTTCACCTTTTAAGGTAATTTGAATATATATTTGTCCCTCTCATGCTCTCTGTTCAGTGGTGCTTTATTTTTTGAGAAGTACTTTTACTTCATTTTTTATTGCTATTCTAGAGCTATATTCTGAGACTATTAACTTTCTTATAGATTGTTTATCGATCAATTTAAGGCTCTACTTGTTCCTGCTGCATCTGTGGATCAAATCCAGGTAAAATTTGTTTCTTAATTTTAATACCAAATGTTCTGATATTTTATCCTGAAGTAGTATGGTACCCTTCTTCTTGACGGCCATCTATCTTCCTATCTACATGAAGTTATTGATGTATTCCCACTCAATGTGTTCAAACTAGACCATCAAAGGATAAACAATGAAATGGTAGCTTTTAGGTGAGTACCAACAACTTGTATATTTAAACAAAAATTATTTATTAGATAAAATTTAATTCAAAAGAGAATAGTCTTCATTATTGCAGAACCATAAAGGAACACATTAGAGATGTCAATGTTTCCTTCGGGTGATTGTCCGGGTGTATTTGTATTTGATTCATGTCTCATGTGTATTAAGAACCATTTTTAGTGATGTTATAAACTTTTCTATTATCTTCATTCAGTTGATACTGGGTTTTGTATCCACTAGGATGCTCAAAATACAGAAGAGTGCTCTTCATCTTTGCACAAAGGAGTAGCACCAAATCATGATCATAATGGTGGCAATGTGGAAGTGGACAGAAGTGAGACTGTTGCTTCCCGAGAAACAGATCAATTGATTATCAGTGGAAATGCTAAGAAATCTGAAATGGCAGAACAGATTAAATATATTGGACCCACCACACATTTAAGAGAAGTTGAGAGAGATTCTCGGATTACTGAAACAAGTGGTTCAGATTCTAGTCCCACACGAGGAAAGAACTCCATTGATCGGTTGGATGCTGATCAAGTAAAAGGATCTGGATTTGATGAAACTCTGGAGGATGAAAAGGTTGATGCTATAAATTCAGATGACAGGCAGCAAAGAAAACGGAAACGAACTGTCATGAATGATAAACAAATAGCTCTTATTGAAAGTGCCCTTGTGGATGAGCCTGACATGCACCGTAATGCAGTTGCATTACGATCATGGGCTGACAAACTGAGCCTTCATGTGAGTATGAAACTTGGACCTCATTTGTGTTTGTTTTTTTTCGTTCTGTTCTCTGACTTCTGTTATTTTTGTTTCTTATGTCTAGGGCGCTGAGGTTACAACTTCCAGGCTTAAAAATTGGTAAGATCTATCGTTGTTTTGCGCTTTAGATCTTATATGCTTTAAATTATTCAAATTAGGGTGCCATAAATCCAGAGATGCAACTGTCCAGCCATGCACAAATTACATTGGTTTTATTTTATTTTATTTTTTGGTAGCAATCTTTCTATATACAGTTTGCCACCCTCTTGTTTGATATCTGAACTCCAAAGATTTATGTTAATATGTTGCTATAAAGTTTGCCGGTGGGTTTTATATTGCTGTTACGATTACTTTCGTCCTGTGAAGTGATTTATGGAATGGCTGTTTTTTATAAGGGTAACTGTAAGTACTGAGAAAAATCATATTTGTTGTCATTTTGGTTCAAAATTTAAGGTTTTATAGTGTAAGTATAATTGTCGGTGATTTGCGCTAATATTGATGGTCATAAACCTTTTTTAACATAGCATTTTCTTTTAATTCCTTGGCCTACTTTTTTACCAGGCTTAATAACCGAAAAGCTAGGCTGGCTCGAGCAGCCAAGGATGTCCGTGTATCTTATGAAGGGGAGAATCTCGGTAAACAAGGGGGTTCTGAACACCTGGATTCACCCCAGAGTCCTATGGATGATACTCGCGTTAGGGGGAGTGTTAGGACTGAGGTGATAGACACTGCACTGACATCCAACGTTGACGTGGACTTGGGAACCACGGTCGCTGTACCTCAGGATGTTGTAAAATCAGGTGTTAATGTTGAGGCAGGGCAATATGTAATGCTTCTTGGTGAGAATGGTGAGAAAGTTGGCAAGGGTAAGGTTTTTCAGGTCCATGGTAAATGGTGCGGGAACGCCCTGGATCAATCTGGAATGTGCGTGGTGGATGTTTGGCAACTGTCGGTTGACAGATCCTCTAAGGTTCCTCATCCCATGGAAGTGACAGGGACCACATTTGATCAGGCGGCAAAAAGACTCGGATTGATGCGGGTGCTGTGGGATTTGAATAAATTGATCAAGTCGCCTCTTATTTGAACTGCGATGATGCAGCTGCTGCCCGGAACCAACGCTCGGGTAATCCCTCCCTCAACTCTGAATTATAATACCTACCATTGATGATCTCTAATGCTCGACTTTCTGTGTTCCATGTTTTTAGATATATTCTGTATGGAGTTTTGGAGGCCAAGTTTGAAAGAAAAACTCAGACTCAGGTTTTGTGGTACTTGTTTTAAAATTTTGAGGCTAGTAGTGAAAGTTTTCAAACACTAGCCTTCAATTGTGGCAAATATGTTGTGGATGCTGTGCTATTTGTCGCATTAACATGTACACATATATGCGTATTTTCGACTCATTTTCTTCGATAAATTTTCTTTGTTTACATAGTATACTATACTCTTGAGATATAATATTATTTCGTGTTGTACAAAAAATTTGCGGTATTAGGGATAACATGCTTCAATTACAGAAAATAATGAAAATGAGTTGAGATGAACAACAACAGCATAATCATAAGCAATTTGGTGAGATACAAGACAAGAGAGGCAACGAACGAGTCTTAACAGAATTTAGTTGATACTCTTTAAAATGCCGACTTACAGAGAGAGAACAGCAACACTACAAATAATAAGCATAAAACGTCCACTTCTGCTCTGCTCTGCTCTGCTCATTTACACACCATATATATATATATGTTATTACGAATAATAAACAGTTGGATTTCAGAGCCTAACTGGAAGCACCTGCCAATAAAAAACAAAAAAACAACTTCCCAATCAAGAAAATTTTCTCATACAGCCCCTTATGATACAGATTAGATTTCTTACATAATATTTAAATTTGCAAAAAAGGGCTCAATTGGAGAATGACTATTTGGTTATATTAGCTTTTTCATATACCTGATGTTTTTGGGGTAGCCAACTCCTCGGTGGCTCGACCCGAGTCCGTGATTTTTTTAGGGTCCCTTTTGTCATCCTTGGAAACTTTTAAAGATCTCAGTTTAGATGCTCTAAGTGTATGTATCAAAGGGGCATCTTCTTCATCGTCGTCGTCGTTTTGCTTGTCTTCAGCCCCAGCATCTTGGTCGGATCCATCAATCGAATCTTCCTCTTCGCTCAAGCTTTGCTCATCAAAAAGCCTTTTACCTTGCAGAGTGTGATGTTTGCGTGGTCGACCACGACCACGCTTCACGGATGCACCTTCTTTACCATCTGCAACTTTATCTGCACCACAACATTAAGGTACACGACAATGAAAGAAAAATTATATTTGCAAGTGAAAAAGGTAAAACAAAACACGACAGACCAACCAAGTGTTTCGTATATGTACATACCATTTACACCATCATTCTTAAGATATTTCTCTCTAAGTGTATCTAAAAATGTGTGGTATGGACGCCATCCGCTGGGATCTTGATCAGTCTTCACATTTTCAGTTCTTCTCTCAACCCCTCTTATTCTAGTAATACAAGGTAAAAGGAAATGATTAACTTGACTTTGATGGGAAAGATTTTCAATATCACAACCAAGCAAAATGTCCTAGATCAACTCGGCATAAAGAAAAGTAGACCAATAAATATGCATTACAGATATCAAAAATCAAAATAACAAAATAAAATTAATGTTTATTGCAAGGGGATTATAACATCAGGCGAAAGAATTGGAGATAAGATGAGAGTTGAGAAAATTATTTAAACGTTACTAATAATGAAAAAGGATGTGAAAGAAAGACTGGAGCTGAACCATTCTTCTATGATGTGATATGCAAATAAAAATAAAAGCAAATACCCAATAAGTAAACACAATAATGATTCAGAATAATCATATTTGGTGTAAAAATAGATGATTAGCATATCTTCAATGAAATCAAACAATTCCTCCTATATTTTTAGCAAGACTGAAGTTTTCTTACATCTCAAGAATGTCAGGTGCCGGAAGCTTGGAGACAAAATGCAGCACTGCACCATCCAGAAAAGACAGGTGCTTCGGAGCCTGTGTAAATGCATAGTTGATACCCCCTTTAACAGTATTCAAAATTTCAGCTTTATATTTGTTTCTAGCAACTCCAACATATGATCCTGCCAGCCGAACAGAAAGATCTCTGCATTCCTGAAATGCCTTGGTCAACCGTGACTTCTCATTACCAGCTGAAAGTACTTCAAGATACTTTTGGTAGGCCTACCCAAAAATGGAAGAAGTATCAATTGTCATAAATATAAGCATGTCTTGATGCAAAGGTTCCGTTATGCTATGCACATCACAAGCAATCATTCTAAGTTTCTAACGCACAACGTATATCAAAGTAATAGATGAATGAAAGTTTAAAATATAAACAAAGATACAATCATCTTCATTGAACATAAAAATATTAAATAAGAAGACTTAAGTTATGTATTTTCTTACCCTTTTCAGCGCTTCCAAGATAATATGTGAAATGTCTCCCTTCTTCTTTAACGCAGTAAGTAGGTGCTTCACAATCTCACCAACGCTGGCACCATACTTTTCCACATGGGAAAGTATTTCAGGGGCAAGACGCTCCTGCAATCATAATGCCATCCTCTCAAAATTCTTTGAATTTCTTTGTCATAAGATAACTAAAGGATCAAGTTCTAATGCTAAATCTTCACAGACAAATATAAATTTGGTACTATTGTCTGCAAACGATAAAACATATACCAGATATTTCACTCCCTATCTATATATATGTACGTATATATAAGATCAGCTCAAAAGTTGACTAGAACTAATAACACTGAATACATCCATATATATATATGCACATATTAACCACCTTAGGAACTGTATCGGTAGCCACTAATTTAGCTAAACCAAACATGACAGAATCCGCATTTGTCTCCTCAATGTATTCTCTATTTCCTTCATCTTCTTCAGCATCATCTGTCATTTTAAGAACAACAAACAGCGAATGATAAATATCAACACCCATGCAGTTTAATGTCAGGCTCAAAGATAAATATCAACACCCATGCAGTTTAATATCAGGCACAACACTATCTGATACCTGAAACATGTAGCAGTTGCTCACACATTTTCCAGTACTTGTCAACAAAAGATTTATCTGGGGAGAACCCTAATATTTCCAACTTCGTCAAGGCAAATTTGGACTTTTTGAACAAGCACCACAGGTCTGCAAGGATACCACATACCTGCCAAAATAATATACACAGGAATTTTCACGCTAGAACATTGTTTCAGAAGCAAAACCAATCAATGATGTAATGCAAAATTGTCGAACCCATTTGAAAAAGAAATATTGCAAAGGAAAAGCTTACCCTATATGCCAGCTGATTTTGATGGACATTATCCCCCTGAATTTTCAAAGCATTATTAAGGAAGTACTCAAGCTGTTCTAGTAGAGAATCACGCTTGCTAAGCAGGGAAGATAAAGATGCCTCCGGGACTGATTCACTGGATAGAACAGAGTGCAGGCACCAGGAAACATGAAGAAACATGTTGAGAAGCAGAAAGGCGATGACCTGAAATGTTACCATCAGCATAAATCAACAAGTCTAACAAGAACAAGAGTTGATTAAATAACAAGTGTACAAACCTCATCATCCATGTTTCTGAAACTTTGGAGAATGTGTACAAGATCTTGATACAAGATATCAAGAGGTACTTTGTGTGACAGTTGCAGTTCGTACAACCTTTTCAGGTTTACAAGCAGAGAATATTCGTCACCACCATTCTGCAAACCAAACCATGTCAATACTCAACTTCATGCTATAACACAAGAGCATATAGTGGATTAAGTCATACCACAACATCTTCTATTGCAGATTTTAATTTGATAAGCAATTCATCTTCAAGCTCTTTGATATGATTTTGGGCAAAGTCTTGCAACTCCCCTTGGCTCTCAGTGGCGCAGAATTTGATTGCTTTCACACATGATCTCAAAGTATCCTTATCCCCATGCTTAAAAAATGCCTCTCTAATAAGTTTAAGAAGTGCCTTAAAATTCTGTGGAAACAAAGAGGCATAAAATTAATGCACATGCTGGAAACCAAGATTAAAAACCCACGTAACAAAGCTAAGGAATCCACCTGTTCTTGTCTCTTGAGAGAATAGATCTCTAGATTCATGTGAATAATAATTTCAACTAGAGGTGCCACTTTGTCCTTATCAGACATAAACTTCCGAAGAAGCTGAGGGTAGGCCTTCATCATTGAGACTGTGATGTGGCGCCTGTTGTTTTCAATCATCTCCTGATAATTGATGAACAAAAATCTTAATTAACTCACATAGAACACAGAAGACAAGATATGTGAGGATAATCACAAAATATTTGCAACTCATAAACACAAAAAAAAAATGATAATTCATTCTCAAAGCTGTTACAACTAATCAATTAAAAGGATCCTGAGTGGAAATGTAAACATGATGACAAGCAAACAAATGAAATACCAATCACCTTTTGAGCTTTGGTCTGATGTGGGTTTCTGTTATCAGTTGCAGGAACAATCCTTTCTCCTACTGCCTTTCTTACTGATGCAAAGAGAAGCCTAATCAGGCTTGTAGCATCTGCATCATCAAGCTCAGTTGATGGATTATCCTCCAGAAGCATACGAATAATGCACTTCCAATCCTAAAAACACAGGTTATTCAATAAGATAATATATAGCATATAGATGCATGTTATTATATTAAAGCTAAAGAATAGAATGTACAGGCACAAATTACTAGAAAGACTGGTCAAACTTTATTTTTAATTTAGGATATAAAGTTTATTCTGCCCTTCAAATAATTGACGTTCCTATCCACTAAACATTTAAGCAGTTTCATATCTTAGATGGAATCAATAGCAATAAACTCAAAAGTTTTTTATTTATTTTCTTTAACCTACAAATTTCAAGTAACCAAAATGTGTGTATATATATATATATATTTGTAGTTACATACTTTCATGGCTCCCATGTAATCCCAGACATCATCAATAACATATGAACTCAAGATGGGGTCTGATGAAAATTCTTTCAGAATCTGTAACATTCTACTGATATGCACTGCTGGAGGATCACCATCACTGCCTGCGAAAACATGGAAAAACACATTAAATTTGAAATGTATACATATTATATTTGTGTTTGACTCAGACAGTTCGATGCACCATCATGGGATAAAAGGAAACCTGTTGAGCGGGATTGAGAATCATTAAATTTCTGAGCAATCAAGTGATCATATACTAGTTCTCCAATGGCGCGCCTAACTTCAGGTGGATCATCAATTAGTAAATCATATAATGAACCTAGCTCTTCATCAGGCACAAGTTGAAGCCTGCAATTGAAAACAAACCACGATGCAAAGACACGTTTCAACAAAAGCCTTGGCTATCTTACAATTCAAAGTTATATATATATATTGAACTTATTCGTCATATACCTCAATAGCTGTTTTACAAGCCCTATTGCACATACTGACACAGATATATCAATGTCATCAGCAAGCTCAAGCATCCTCTTGTAAAATCTCTCAGTGAAAAGGTTAAGCGATGGCACATTATCATCAACCTCATAAAGATTTTGCAATGCCAGAATGGAGGCCTTTCTCACACCAGCACTCTTCAATTAAAAAAATAAAAAAATTAAATGAGAAGATCCGATCACTTGTAAGGAAAATAAAATCAGGCAAAGCGGATTTAGAGAGTTGGTATAACCAGATATCTCTGATATCAAACATTATTTATACATTCCAACTTACTTTGTCATTCAATGTCCACCCAAGATATTTCAAGTACAAATCCTGCAAGAAAAGGGAGGGATACGATAGTACCCACACACCAAGGGACTCTATACATGACATCCGAATATCTGGATCGATGTCTCGATACCGATGTACAAACAACCTTCAAAATAAATGCATTCCCAAGGGATTAAATTAAAGTATGAAAAGGATACACATATATATATATATGAGAACTAGCAAGCACTGAAGAAGGAATATCTTATAAATGTTAATAACCATAATGAAAGAGAACGCACCCAGTAAAAATTTTCCGCATTAACTCTTCCAAGGCAGTTATTTTATCATGCGTCGTTGATAGCCTTTTAGTAAGTGATTCTACTCGAGGCCCTTCAGTGCTTTTCTTCTTTTCAGCATTCAGCTGTCTCTGGGTGATCTCTCTCTGTGAACCAAGCATTTTAGCTACATTGATGAAGGATGTCACAAGTTGAAGCCCCATCAATGAAGCCATCTGACGATAAAATCTTGGAGGAGTGCTGAAAAAACAAGAGAATAAGCTTAATAAAGCTACTGCATTTATTGCATCTTCACGGTAGCACAAAATTGTCTACGTACCATGATAAGGCAATAATGTAGTCAAGACACTTGTCAAATAGTGACTGGTCAAAGAGTGGTCCACTCTGGCATTCGCTCACCAAACTATCCAAGAAATGTACAAGATTATCTTTCAAATGCTTGAAGCCCCTTTTTGCACTCTGATAATCTTCAACCTCGCCCTAAGTTTGACTTTGTTAAGAGAAATCTCTAGGTCCACTTGTAAGTTTATGTTTTTTCTTATCAATTCGTGGAAAAGCAAGACAAAGGCGCACAAGTACAAAAGAACGTAGTGGACAAATTTGCATATGCGATAAGAAGGATTTTTAAGATATCATACTAAATTTCACATAAAAATAAATATATATGAAAAGCAATAAGGGTGGTAATTTACTTATAAAGAAAAAAGAGAAAGATGAGCAAAGGATACTCGTCGAGCTATATTAACGAGAGCAACTACCACATCATCAACATCAGTCTCATCTACATCTTCTTCTTGAAGATTATATTTTGCCCCGCATGCCTGTATGAGAGCCAAATACAAGTTGCTGTTACGTATCAATAGCAGAATCCTAAATTAGAACAATTTATAAGATAACCTCAAAAAGCGTAGTAAGGAGTTCTGCCATAGCAGCCTTTTGGTTCTTTTCATAATGCTCAACCCATCTTTTCACGGCATCAGGGATCTCCTTTCCTTCACCTTTAATAACCTCTACAAATTAAACACACGTGCTTACGTGTTAAATGAAGCGAAATAAAATTTCAATTATCCAACATCAGTGGATCAATCAATAACATTAAAACTAAAAGTAAGCTTAACATAAACTTATTTGTAGAAATATATTGAAAAGAAAATGTGCCGAAGCAGGCTATGGAATCAATATAGCTTGATTGCAATAACTTCACAGAAGATTTTCAACAACTATGTCCAACCATAAACACCAAATGAAGTAAAATGTGTCATAAGAACAAATTTATAATAAAGGGAGCTTAGTCGTAATAAAGAGGATGAGATTTTGACAGCGTGACACCTTCTGCAATCATTGGACGATGAATTCTGAATTAACACAATGTCAAGAAAACATATATTACAACCTGGGTAGTTGAAACAAAAGGTTTTCCGCCAACTTAAGACTGAAATTTTCACCGAACCATCAGCCAGATACAGAATTCAAACACCTTCAACACATTTCACTCCTGCATCACGTAAACTCGAGAATACGAAAGAAAGTAAGGAGAAGAAGAAGAAGAAAGCTACCAATTAAACTCGGACCATCCTTTCGCGCGGCTGCAGCCGAAGTCGACGCCCCTTCAGCAGCCTTGCTCTTCTTAAATTTTCTACGGGGTTCTTGAAAATCATCCGAAGATTCTTCCCTTTCTTCCTCCAACACATCTTCGATTTTATCAGAGCGCGTAAAATCAGCAGACCTAACCGGAGCCCTAGCCCTTTTCTACTCCAACACGTGCATCCGAATCAGAAAAACAAAAAAAAGGAGCAACACAAGATTGAAATAGACTCAATTAGGGTTCCGAAAACCGAAGTAGCAAGTAACTCATTCAGTAATTAAGAATTGATAAACCAACCGAACGGCGAGCTGTCTGCTCCGGCACCGCCGGTTCGTCCTCCATGAAGCAGTGGTAGGATAACCAAGATGGCAAGAGATTGTGACTGCAAAGGTGCTCCTGAAGATTGCAAATCTTCCCGCCACAGATCAATGGGCTGCTGGTAGCCTAGAGCGGTAATGAGGGCAGGGAAGGACGAGAGCGCTATTTTACAGTTCGGAGTTCCGCACCGAGTCCCCGACACGTTTAATTTTCTTTAATTATTTAATTAATTACTTTTAAATTTAAGGACTTCTTTTTTTTTAGCAAATTTATTTATAAATTTTAAAAATTGAAAACATACTAAAAATAAATGTTTTAAAAAAAATTAAAAAAAAAGGAGCATTTTTGGTATTTAATAAATAATTATTTTTTCAAAAAAATGAAATGAAATTTTGTTGGGTTAGACAAATTAAAATAGCAAAATAAAAGTTTACTATTGTGTTTATTTTTTTAGATTTATGTATATTTTTTTATATTAAATATGAAAATTCAATTGATGATATAAAAATAATGTTTTGTATTAAATTATTAATTTTTATGAATAAATAAAATATACTTATCCGTTGGAATCGAAGATACTCATTTGACTTTTGATTTAGATATACTCCCTCCATCCTATATCTATATATATCTATTTACTGCACAAAATTTTAGAAATATTAATATTATATTGAAATATAGTCTAAGTAAAAGTAAAAATATTAAATTGTCTTTATTAGTAAGTATTGTATGATATAAATGTAATGACATTTATATAATATATTATAAATTAAATATGTATTTATAATGTTACGTAAATAGTACAGCTACTAAAAAAAATAGATAATTTGTTATAAAACATAAAAAAAAAATTAATAAATTGTTAAGGGATAGAGAAAATATTAATTTATTACTTTATATATATATATATAGTAGTATAATAGAATAATATAAAGTTTATTTCGCTTTTAGAGTAACCACAATAGTTCTATTGAAAAAAACTTGCAAATATACCATAAATCTTAAATGACCAAGGTCTTTAAATTCAATTTATCTCAAACCTAAAATTTACACACAATAATGATAAGGGGAAAAAATAAAAAATAAAAAAAATAAATAAATAAACTATACAGAGAACATGAAGTGGAAAGAAAGAATAAAATAAAATTTGTCATCACCAAAGGGTTTCAATATTTTTTTTCGTCAATACAAAGTCAATCTACCAATTTATTTTAGAATGTGTGAAAAAAGGAAAAACTTTCATTGTGACGTAAAAAATTTCGATAAATTTGTGGTTACTATTGACACTTGTAAAATTAAAAGAATAAATAAAATAATAAATATTTTAGTATTTAACTAAAAGATACTTTTACTTTTAAAAAATTGAATATCTTTAATTTGTTATAACGGTAGCAAAATGAATATATTTGACTCAGATAAAAATATATATTTTTATAATATTCTATAAGAAATCATACTCATTATATCAAATACAATTATTTATATCATATTTAAGTACTCTCTCAGTCGTTCAATTGTGTATTCATTTGATCGAATACGAATTTTTAAGAAAATAAATAAAAGTAAAAATATTTTGAATGATTTATGGAATATTATTTTAGTTTAAATTTTAATTATTTCAAATTCCTAACTCCAAATCAAAACTTTAATGCACGTATATCTATATAGAAAATATGGGTACGTCTGAGTCCCGTAAAAATGATCATGTACTGTGTAGATAAATCTGTGACTATAGACACTTGTAATGAAACGAATGAGTAATTATATAAAAATAATAAAATAACATTATAATTTATTATTATTAATTAATTAAATATTGAGATAAAAAAAATTTTCAATTCAGTCAGAATGAAGAGAATATATATACTGCCTCGTGGTGGACCGCTAATTTATCCATCTATTTTTTACACGTTAATATTTGAATATTAATTATTATATCAAAATATAGTACAAATTAAGGAAAAATGACAAAAATATTTTTATTGGTGTTTTATAATACTAATGTAGTGATGTTTGTACAAAAAATTATACGAATATAAAGATATTTTTAATGTTAAAAACAATAACGTCAAATGCAAATGGATAAAATATTTTACTTTCTCCGTCTCACATTAGATGTCCGAATTACCCTATGCACGAGAATCTAGTATAAGTATAATTAATAGATAATTAATAATGTATTTGCAAAAATAATTATCATATAATATAAATAATTATAGAGCAATATTCAGATAACTAATTAGTTTAATTAAAAATTTTAAAAGTAAATTAAAGTGTGTAATATTTAAAAAAAATGACATGAGACGGAGACAGAAATAGAAATATATGAACCTGATAGGTGGGACGGAGGAGTATTATTTTTAATTTTTTTCTAAAATTTCAAAATTTATTTATCTAGAACCGCACGCACTGAAAATTGGCTAATTATCTCATGTATGGTGTCCGTACTAATCAGCTAGCTTTAGCTATACCTGTAGTCTAGAATAGAAAGATAGTGGTAGTAACTGAATCCTTACTTATGATGACGTGGTGATTTTATTTATGAATAAACAACTGGAGCACTGCTACGGTGCGGGCGCCCTCACGGTGGGGTTGAGCCCTGTTTGAAAGCGAGAACAATAAAAGAAAATTGAAAAATAATAATGATAAAAAAAAGAAAGATCCGATCCGATGTGTATAACGGTCAAATCACAATACAGCAAAAAAACCGTGAAATTTGAATTTGAACACCCAAACACGCCCACAATAAAATATACTACTGCACGAATTGGGATCGGGACCTCTGGTCCATCCTCGTTGCGTTGCATTTGCACCACACCACTCATCTCAATTCATTCACTAACAATAAAATCAATTTTTTTTTTAAAAAAAAAAACAATTCAAGACAAGAATTTGTTGGAATTATATTTTAATATTTGTTTTATATCAAAAAAATAACAATAAAAATAAATTCAAATGCTCAGCCAAACTGGAGACATCACAATCACATCGGTGGGCCAAAATAATCACAACTAAAAATCTCATATTCTCTCTTTTAAGCAACCGTGGCTCGTCAAATCCATTTCGTGTTTTTAAATAACATTATATATATATAAATAAATATTTATAATTTATGTGTAATCAATCATTCATTCATTTTTATTTTTATTTTTATTTTTATTTTTTGTGTGTACAAAGTTTTTGCATAAGTAACAGTTGAAAGGCACATCGTAGAATTCCCTTTAAAAAAAATAATAAAATGAAAAGAAATGGTAGCAACGGTCGGGTTCAAAAGGGGGGGTGAATTTCCCAATCTACCCTTCAATATCCTGACTGTACCGGACCGGACCCATTGCTAATATTTGCTTATTTTGGATTGCAATATAGGGTAAGTATTAAATTTATGTATCTGCAGTTGGTAAATGGTAATGGAAATTTAACAGCTGATGGGTTTTCAAAGGAATGAATATACAGAGGAAAATTGAAAAATAGAAATAAAAATAATAACAATGGGGATAGGGTAGGGCCCACAATTCAAGGAGTGGCAAGATGGTAATAAAGGGTGGAAAGTGTGGTCAGAAATGAAAAACAAATGGGTAGAAAACAAAAGATAAGAAATTTGAAATTTCAATGGCCGTTTGAAATGAACAGTGGAGTCGACTCCGCCATTATTAGGAGCTTCAAAAACCCATTCTCGACTCTCGTTTCTTTGAATGCATCAAATCAATAATCTGCGCCATTGAAGGAAGGAAATCCATCCTTCTCTCTATCTAACCCCTTCTAGAGAGAGAAAGGGGATAGCAGGGTGGGTGGTAGGTTTTGTTTGTTCGTTCATTTATTGAACTGAACCATGGCTGGGGTGGTTATGGTGACGGAGGGCGGAGGTTGCAGCAGCGGCGGCGGCGGAGGAAAGGCGGCGGATTCTAAATCTGCGGCGGAGGAGGAGCAGCAGCAGCAGCAACTTTCGTTGCTGGATTTCATACTTTCTGCTCTGAGGAAATCCATGGTGTCGACGTGCCGGGTGGACCGGCAAGACCAGGAGGTGATCTCCGCCGTCCATCAAATGGAGATCGGATGGCCGACGAACGTCCAGCACATCACTCACGTTACATTCGATCGGTTCCACGGATTTTTGGGGCTTCCTGTCGAGTTCGAAGTTGAGGTTCCGTCTAGGGCTCCAAGTGCCAGGTAGGTTGAAGAAGATTTTCTAGATTTCAATTTTCAGCCATTTTTTCAGAGAATTTCTGTTTCAATTTCTTAGCTGCATTGTTGAGTTTCGAGATTCCACATTCCTTTTTGGTTGAAAAGGAAATTAGAAAAAGTCGCCATTCTTTTGAGATCTGTTGTTAATTGAAAGCCCTAGCAGCTTTTTTTCTTCTAAAAAGGATGATGATGATGATGATAGTCTTCTTAGGGGAGATTTGATTTGAGTTGTTGATTTCTTCATGTGTTTTGTAGATCTGCTGCTGTTATTGATTGCCATGGCTGTGAGTTTTTGAGCAGTGAATTTTTTGAATGTGTGAATATTCCTTTAGGTAGTTAAGAAATTTGAATGTGCTTCTTTATTGCGCTGATTAATTGGTTCAGTCAGGAGCGTCGCCATTAATAGACCTTCTGTAGAACATCAAATCCCATTAATGGTGATGGGAATTTGACATTTCTTGATTTGTTTCTGCCATTATTGAGGGCAGTGTTAATAAAGATTGCTAGAAAGGCAGCCATTGCTGACACTGTTCTAAATTTGAAGACTAACTTGGATGGATTCATGGCTGAGATTCTTAACTGCCCCTTGTTTAGATAATCTGGATTTTGTGTTTTCTGGTAATGCAGTGTCAGTGTGTTTGGGGTCTCGGCGGATTCAATGCAGTGTTCTTACGACGCAAGGGGAAACAGTGTCCCGACGATTCTGTTGTTGATGCAGGAGAGACTGTATTCTCAGGACGGTCTCAAGGTGAGCTGCCGAATGAATTCAAAAGTGTCGTGTACTATCGATGATTCTTGTCCTAATTCTCCGAAATCTTGCAGTCGGAGGGGATCTTCCGAATAAATCCCGAGAACAGCCAAGAAGAACATGTGAGGGATCAGCTTAACAGGGGTATTGTTCCCAACGACATCGAAGTCCATTGTTTGGCAGGTCTGATCAAAGCCTGGTTTCGAGAACTCCCATCCGGCGTGCTCGACGGTCTCTCCCCCGAACAGGTTTTGCAATGCAATTCAGAGGACGAATTTGTCGAGCTCATCAAGCAGTTAAAACCAACCGAGAGCGCTCTTCTTAGCTGGGCAGTCGATCTAATGGCAGATGTAGTCGAGCACGAAGAATCCAACAAAATGAATGCCAGAAACATAGCTATGGTTTTTGCACCAAACATGACTCAGGTGAGCGAGCTTAAAGAAGCTTTCATCTTTATAAGAACATTTCATTTTCTGTAGCTCATCAATAAGGTTTCGCCTAATGATCCGCGACCTTTTTTTCTCGTAGATGTCGGATCCCTTGACAGCACTAATGCACGCCGTGCAAGTGATGAATTTGTTGAAGACGCTGATCATGAAAACGCTACGGGAACGCGACGAGGCAGCCGAGGGAGGATCATACTCTCCCGCGTCTTCTCAGTCATTGGTCGACGAGGAATACGACACTCAGCAGGAGATGGACACCAGCTGCGGAGAATCGTCTGCAATGGCTTCAGATGACGACGAAGATCAGTACAGCCACTGTGACGAGGAGAAGGATGAAGTCGAGTCTTTGAGCGACATAGAAGAGCGGTTCTTAAGGCAACTCGACGAAAACGAGCAAGCTAAAAATGGATTTCGCCAGCAACTCGAGGGGATCTTATGCATAGGAGGAGGGGAGCACAACACAAGCCTACTAAGTCCTTCCACAAACAATGCAGATTCATCATTTTCGCTATTCGACAGCAGAATAGGAAGCTCGTGCCTGAGCACGAGCGATGGCGAGGAGTCGAGGATAATGAATATGGACATAGAAAGCAGCATAACTGCCATTAAGGCGACATTGAACGGCGAAATGGACGTGGCAGCAGACAACATAGGCGAGTCGAAGATCAGTAAGCAGTAAGTAAGTAAAACTAACTAGTCTTGCATCCGGATCCTGAATTCGAATTTCTTTTTCTATCCTTAGTTAGCTTGTAAATTTAGTTGGCTATGTGTTAGGAACAGCTGATGGTAAGATCATATGGTTTGGTTATGATTTGAATTTGGATTTGTAGTCACTTTTCAGTTTAGGGCTGAAATTGTGGTGTCCTAAGTATATCTTTTTTTTAACTCTTTGCTCTACCAGCAAAGACTTGTCTTTCTGACTGTTTCTTTTACAGTCTTGCAAGAACACAAGCAATACTGTAAAAAACTTCGTTTTTTTTTTTAAAAAAAACTTCTGTCCATTCTTGAAATTGCTTTGGTTTGTTTGGTGGCATGTTAGAAAAGTAGGTTTAATTTATGGTTGATTGTCATGTCCTTTATTGACTATGTGACCTAAACAAGGGGAGAAATCTATTGCCATTATGATGGCACTTTTCTTTTCAAGATTAGTTTGATTGGAAGCATTTTATGGTTGGATTTGCTGCTTGAACAGCACAAGTTGGTGGTGTGTTGACAAGGATTAATAATCATAATAATGATATTAGTGACAATCTTGATGATATATAGTGGGAAATGATCATCATAATTGCCAAGGGCATTTCTTGATGGGGTACCCCACAGTTTTTACATGAGGGAAAAATGTCAACTTTTCTAGTTGAGTCATGAATTGAAATAGAGAATTAATTCAAGAATTGCCCTTTTTTTTTTTTTTTTTTTTCTTTTTTCTTTTTTCTTTTCAGTCTCGTTTGTGAGAACTGAATTGAGATGATTTGACATTTTGGATGGAGTGATGAGTCAACTAATGCTTAATTAATAGAAAGATTAAACCACCTCACCTCACATGAATTATTACTACTGCTCATGAATTGGACAGATTTCTTATATATGTGTCTAAATCACACACCAACAACATTACTAAAAATAATAATGAAAAACAAGATTAATTCATGTACAATTTAAACAATAAACACTCAGATCAAATTGCCATCAATTCGATTAATTAAGCCCACAATAATCCTAGAACAAATTGTTCATGATTCTTGATCAAGATTGACAGTAATGCATATAGATTCAACCATGGTGGCTAGAAAGTGAAGAACTATCTACTTAACAAACCTCAAAGTGTGAAACAAAACTCAAGAAAATAAGCTGCAGAATAAAATAAACTCAGAATTGATTTTGATTAATTATTCAAAATGAAGCAAAGGTATGTACAGTTGTCAAATTTACCCAACATAATGCAGAAACTGTATCAAGGAAGAAGAAATAAATTTTGGGGGAGAAGGGCAGAGAAGAATGAGTGTTCTTCAAATCTGTTTATTCTGGACATTCTCACAATCTCAATTTCAGTTCTAATGCTGTGATTGATTCTAATCCAGAAATTGAATCGGAAGTTAATTCGGAAGAATTAAAATTGGGAGAAGAAACTCACCGATTCGGTGCGTCGAATTGAATCTAAGACGTCAAACACATCTCCCAAAATAGCTTATCCCCTTCCCTGTCGTTCATCGCCATCGCATTGGAAGGCTCCCAGCCGTTGGATTTAACCGCCTTATCTTCCGTACACTGATCGACCACGCCGTCCTCGTCTTCCTCACTATCTCCGTCGCCGGCGTCCTCATCCTCCTCCAAGTCTCCGACGCAATAATAACTCCGACGACGATCATCAGGCGCACTCGCACCGTCAATCGCGTCTTCCTCCCCCACCGATCCGCAGCTACAGGACTGCGCGTCGTCCTCCGCCGGCGCGACCGACTCGAATCCGAGATCCCATTCTCCGCCGATACACAAGGACGTTTCCGAATCGCCGCTTGCTTCGAACAACATGTACGAAGACGCATCGAAGCATCCTCTCCCAGCTCCGTCCATCATATCCCCCCAAAAATCAAACCAATATTCCTCCAAATTCAAAATCCAACAAATTGCAGAAAACCTAAATTAACTCAAGCAAAAGGTGCGATCGAGCAAGGTAGGCCGTCACGTTATATATACATATATATATAGATAGATAGATACGGAAACACAAACACCAATCGAATTCGCAGATGCGTGTGGCGCGGTACCAATCAGTGTTGATTTGGGGGAATTCTGAATTTACCGACTGCCCTTTTCACGTATTGATTGTCTGTCTGCATGTTGGTACATACATATATACACACACATATACATATAGAGAGAGAGAGAGAGAGGGATGGGGCTGCTGCTTCTAGAAGGCCTAGTCCGCACATTTATACTCTGCGGCCAGACCATATTGATATTATACAGCGGTCTTCTAGAAGTACTCGGTGAAATTACTTTTCTGACCCTCGGTCCACCTGTCTGTCTAGTTGTGTAAATCCTACGTATATGTGTGGGGATTTGAATTGAAGAAAGTATTTCTGAATTTTAAATTAAATGAGTAAATATTTAAATTAAAAATTTTTCTTTTATAATAAATGATATATATTTTTTTATTTTAGTATCTAATACCTTTTCATTCAACAGAAATTTGTACTTTTTCATTAAATAGTACGGACATAATTTTCATAAACAAGTTAAAACAATAAAAATAATATTTATTTTGTTCGATTCTAAAAATTATACTCCCCTGTCCTATAATTGGGTATTTATTTTTTTGTGCGTAATTTTAAAAATATTAATATTATATTGAAATGTTAGAAATTAAATATAAATGATTAAAATTAGGGCTGTTAAACGGATCAGATCGGGTCGAGTTCAAGTTCGGGTCAGCTTAAACGGATTACAAAATCCTTGACCTGAACCTGATCCATTTAATTAAATGGGTTGATATTTGCAACTTTAACCTGACATTTTATTAATCGGGTCAACCTGATTCTGACTCATATAACCCATTTAAATTTAAAATACTTAATTTTAATTTAAAATTATAATTTATACTAACAAAATTTTTAAATGCATAGTATATATACATATTAAAGCAAAAAATTATTTATTCATATCATGAAACCGATATTCAAAAATTGAATTAACAAACACTACATAATAGTACACAACACAATCCTTTATTTTTTATTGTTTATTTTTATAAAATTAGTCATAAATATTGAATTATATTGATAAAATTTAAAAAATATATTTAAATTTAAAATAATATTAATTAAACAGATTAGACGAGTTATTTTCAGGTCGAAAATGTGGACCTTAACCTGACCCATTTAATTAAATGGGTTAAACGGGTTTGACCCAATTATTAATTGGGTCAAAAATCTCAACCCAAACTCAACTATTTCAAGTCAAATTCAGGTCCGGTTATTAGGTCGGGTTAATTTTTGCCAAACCTAATTAAAATAACCTTATTAGTATGGTGTGATATAAAGGTAATGACATTTGTGTAATATATTGTAGGTTGTAAGGGTATCTTTAACGTTGGGTAGATAGTACAATTACTAAAAAAAGAAATGAATACTTTGTTATGAGACGGACTAAAATGGAAAAAATGAATACTTTGTTATGAGAAGGAGAGAGTATTTATTTTTTTGTATTAATTTTTAATATTAATTATTATATAAGAATATAGTACAAATGAAAAATAATAAAAATACTAGTGTTTTCTATTACAAATATAATAACACTTGTATAAAAAATTATATAAATATAAAAATATTTTAAATTTTAAGTATAATCATGCAAAAATTAAAAATGTAATGCTTAGAGGTATTTTTACATGACCCGAAAAATAGCATAAATTAATTTTTTTTAATTACTAATTAATGATAATTTAAAATTAAATATATATTACTTTATTCATTATCTAATTGTGTTTAAATATTTAAACATAAGAATATTTGATGATGAAGAAAAATGAAAATGAAAAATAGAAACACTTCTAAGATGGATGCATGGTGTGGGGCCCAATGCATGATTAGAAAAAGAAATTCAAATAATAAATTTATAATAATTAATTAATTAATTGTAATGTTTATATAAGAAAACACGACAACCCATAATTTTAAAATGGTGGATAAATGACTCATAATACAACAAACAAACAAACAAACCGCCATTTCATTTTATGCCATCTGGTTTTTCTTGTGTTCCTTGGCTCTGTCTGTTTTAATTTATATTTAGTTTTAATACTTTTATTAATTATTTATTAAAATAATTTACTATTCTATCTGTCCCACGTACCATATCCACGTTGCCGTTTCTGTCCGTCCCACGTACCATGTCATTTTTTCCTTTTTGGAAAATGATTACACACTTTAATCTTATTTTAAACCTTTTAATTTTATATTTTTAAAATTTTAATTAAACTAATTAGTTATCTTAATCTTAATTTATAACTATTTATATTATCGGATAATTATTTTCACTAATATATTCTTAATTATCTACTAATTACACGCCTCATAAAATACACTGTATACAGTGTAGCAGACACGGTATGTGGGACGGAAGGAGTATTATATTATAAGACATAACATCAAAATATTATTTAAATTAAAATTCAAATAAAAAATTTAAACAAAATACATTAAATTTGTTGGGGATTTACTATGATCTCAAACTCAAATGTCCCAACTCACCGCCGTGTTATTCTTGCGGGACTAACTTTTTAGTTTTTTTTTTTTTAATTTTTAATTATATAGAAAGGCATGTGCGGCGTATGGAAATCTCGGAGACGAAATTGAAGAGGTGGGGACCGAGAGAAGGTCCCGGGACGTCAACGCCAGCGCTTAATTAGGGGAGTGCCAGCGAGGACACGACAAGGCAGCAATAATCAGGCAGTGTGTGTGAAGAATTTGATTAGTTTTGATTTTTAAATTAAATCAAATTTATATTTACATAAGTCCGAGTCCAAATTCAATTATTTTTTGCTTGTTGATTTTGAATATTAATTATTACATAAAAATTTAGTATAAATTAAGAGAGATTTGACAAAAATATTTCTATTAATATTTTATAATATTATTATAATGACACTTATGTAAAAATTATACCAATATTTTTAATATTAAATATAATGATGCAGATCATAAAAATTAAACCGAAGAAGTATTATCTATTTTTTAATAAATATTATTTTAAAATATTATTTAATTGAAACTCAATAAAAAAGTTTAATTCAAACTTACATACAGAAAATTACTATAATCGCATTAAAAAAATATAGGTAAGAAAAACGTGTTTCTCAATAATTAAATATTACTATTTCCGTCCCACATACCATATCGGCTACACCTTAAACACGGTATTAAGAATGTATTAGTAAAAATAATTATTTTATAATATAAATAAATATAAATTAAGAAGTGTATAATCATTTAAAAAAATAAAAATGACATGGTACGTGGAACGAACAGAAACGGCAACATGTACATGATACGTGGGACGGAGGTAGTATTATATTTCTATATTTTTCCAGAAATATGTCTATTTCTTTTTATTTTTTTATAAATAAAACTATTATTTAAATTTGAAAAAAAAAAATCCTAAATGAAAAAGATCCGTGCGCCTTTACCTATGGCGGATATGTAAACTTGTATTTCACCTTTTCAAAAAACTCCACCTACATTTACAAATTACAATAAACCCCTGCCCTCCCCTATTAATTACTATTTTCCCTTAGTTCGAGAGCCTTGACGGCTACTTTTTTACCTTTGAAATAGCACAAACTTCCAACCTCAAGCTTCAATAAGACCAGACAAAAAAAATATAAAAATACAAATAAATAAAATTCGTGGCTACATCTGTATTTAGATATTATGGAATGATTTTTTTAAAGAAATATTTTAAAAATTTAAATAAACATATTATAGGGTATGTGAGACTAAAAAAAGAAACAAAGTATCTAATCTAAATTCTAAGGTAAGCCCAAGTCACGTGATCGTGACGACAGAAACTAATGACCAAAGGTGGTGCTGAGTGACTTCCTCTATTATTATTATTATTATTTATTATTAAGTTAGTGTGTGCCCATAATTGAATGGTTAATCTAATTAGGTTGGCTAACTTTGATGACTAATTAAAAAGGCTATATACATATATATATATATAATAAATGCAACCCCAACCCTTGACCTCACAAGATTCTTCTTCTTGAATTTCATTGGTAATAAAAAGAAAACAAGTTTCAAGAATACATACCTTAAGGTTGCGGATGGTACATTGAATTCAGTTGTTGGGCTGGTTAGGTTGCATGCTTCTAGCCAAGCTGCAAGTGTAAATATATATATATATATATATGTATGTATATATGTATTTCATTCAAGAAGATCAAATATGGCCTGCCCATCAACTTGATGGGTTCTTCTAGAAATCAGCCAACCAGAGAAGACTTACAAATTTGAAGAGCCCATAAACCAGAAACAACATATTAAGGGATGTGTGCATTATATTTATAGCTACAGTTTTTTTTGAAAAAGATACAAGAAAAGGGTAACAAACCAGGAAATCTTGATTTGAAGAAAAAGAGGGATATCGAATGACCTAGGAACGAATTGAATGAGATTAAAATTGAGGAATCTTACTAACCAATGATCTATTTCTTTGAATCTGGCTTAGAGTGCCTTCAATCCTGCCAGTTCTCGCAGTTTCTCGCAGATTATGAACGTGAGAGTTGTTTGTGGACCTAATCTTGCAAATATTGCAAAGCCCCTGGAAGAATTTTTAACTGTTAAAGCAGGAGATTCGAGCAAATGATGCCAAATTAAATTAACTCGGGGCTTTGGCTTTTAACTAACCCTTTGTAAAGACCAGAAGGACCTTCAGTTAGCAGAACCTGGAATCGTACAAACGGTGGCGCATCAGAGATGTAATCACTCGCGCTTTGAAAAATCATAGTAGAGCATGAAACAAGAATTTTTAGGTGTGCAAATGCCAGTTGCTCAATGAACATAGAATAAAAATGATTCGGAGAAAAGACAGGGATTTTGATCCAAGAATCGCATGCTCACATCCGGAAAACTTTGGGGTAAGAAGTAAGAGGAAGATGACTACCTTGTAAGCACAATGGAGCCCATTTCTATAGAGTCCGGCTTCTTTAGATTCCCGCTGCAGCATAAGCCTGGTTTTAACCATATCGAGAGGTGCAGTGATGATGGTGCTCATTGTGCCTGCCATGGTGCTTGCACTTTATAGATGGTAAACTAGAGTTAGATATAGCAGGGATATATTCTAGAGTCAATTGAAGCACATTAAACAGTTAATAATTAGTATTAAGTATTCAAAACACTATACTTTTTTAATTAAAGTTGTGGGATGTTGGAATCATCAGCAGAGATAATTTCTAAACTAGATAAATATTGTTGTACAGCTAACTACTCCCTTGAGAAATAAAAGAAATTTCAAAACCTTTCTCTTCCTCCCATTCCATGTTTCTAGATCCTACGACAACTATGACACATTATGAACCCCATTTACCGTAAATTAAAGATGAGCATGTTTCGATTCATTAGTCCTAAACAATGTTATGCAACAGCTGATGTTTAATTGAATAATAAATAGTGAGTGCAAGTAAGTTCCTCATAGGATTTTCATAAATTTTATAAAAAGATTCTTCAGACTGCAACTTAATAGGAAAAATACTTGTCGCCAAACTTGATAAAAAATGATGCCATTCAAAGCAAAGAAGACAGAAGAAGCAAATCAAGATCTGTTTAAGGGAAGTAGGAATTACATGAGATGCAAATAAAATCCTTCCTGAAGAGTAGTCCATCTCCTCAACATCTGCATTTACGACAGTGATGTTAAACAATAAGCACAACATCAGACTGCATAAAAGCATGCTTGTTACTAAAAATCTGAATGGATAATAAACAGATTTGGCTAGGCCTTACCTGCTTCGATTCATCATAAGTCGCTAACTGTGTGGCAGTCAATGCTGCAGCCCTGGTCATGGCAGGTCCGACTCCCTTCCAAAGGGCAGCCACTCCCTCTTCCGAAGCAATTTTATGAAGTTCACGAATTGGTGTTCGAGAGGCTTTTGTATTCATCTGCAGCCGAACCTACCGGAAAAAACAGGAGAATTAGAATTTTCAAAAGGAGATCGATGTTTGATGCATTAGGTACCTTCAAAACTTCCATTGGATTGGTGAGCGCAGTTGCTGCACAACCAGCAAATGCTCCGGACGCAATCTTCATGAAGACATTGGTGGACTCAAAAGCCAATTCACAGACATATTTCGAGGGTTCGTACAAGCCTAATCGAAGACCTCCATAAAGAACTGACCTCATCAATGCTGGAGTTAATCCCAGATATAATGATCTAACTCCTTCATTTTTTACAACTTGCATAGAAAGTGATCCCTGAACCACACAACTAACTTCATCAGCATCCACAATGTTCTTCACAAATCCACACAGTATTTTCAACATTAAAGGTCTTTCATTAACAAATTAATCAAGATCTTGATCATTGAAACAGACCATGCCGACCAATGGACCTCTTTGGCCGACAAGTTGCATTTGCAGCCTCACTTTTAGAACATCTGAATTCCAATATAAAGCAAAATCACGTACTTCAATGGAGTCCACAATTAAGAAAAGCCAAAAACACAGAGTTCAACTGCCGGAAGAATTTACCTAAAGGATGAGTAACGCCGGTCGCAGCAGCAACCGCCGTTCCGCTCGTGCCAAAGTGATAAAAAACGTCGGATGGTGAAACTTCCCATTTTCCTTTGGCCGATCCTATAATTCTTAACCAAAAGCTACAAATCAAAGAAATGATAGGAATACACTTTACTAAATTAAGTCAAACAACACCCAACGGAACAAGCAGAACAAAGATTCTTCCAAAAAAAAACTAAAACGAACAACAGCCAATGTAACAAAGAAACCGCGACAAAGCATTTACAAATCGGAATAACAGCTGTTTCACCCAATCAATTTTTGAAGATGAACTCGAAATTACCAGAAGAGGAGTCACCATCCGCCATTATTATTGAATTGAAGAAGTCCCCGCCTCTCACCCGCTCCTTTTCTTCTTACCTCCGTCGAAAGCTTCGGAGAGGAAACGATTCAATATAAATGGTGGAAATGAGAGGGCCGCCGCGGAAAAAGGCGACGCCGCAAATTGGCGGCCTCCGACGGATCCGGTCGGAGCGCAGCGTATATGAATCGGTACGGTATTGTCCTACGAAGAATTTTAATAAAATTATTTAATTAATATTTCCTTTTTCGACATAGCTCCCTGTATTTATATAAATATTCAATTGTACCCTGAAATTTTGAATTAGGTACCCAATTTCTCTAATTATTAAAAAAAATGTGCATTCATATAACGAAACTATCGTATTTTTAATAAAAACTTGTGTTGTTTCCATGATTCATATGTTCTAAATAACACTAATTTGCTACATTCAGCATTGCAAGCTGTCCTAATTATGTAACATTTGATATATGGATTAATGGGAATATTGGCTTGTAGTTTCAAGAAGCTTAGACACGATAAAAGGCTTCCAAAGTAGTACAACAAAGGTTACCAGGGCAATACATATATAATAGCTACAGTTAAGAAAATTTAAGGCGATTTGCATTTGCAGGGCTCTTGCAAGATGTGATTTTTACCTTACGGCCTGGGGAATGAGTAGCGGTGCGAGACGGGCGCGGCTACGTCGCTTCCCGGGTGGCAAGATGGGTCGCGAGAATTCAGCGAATACGGCCGTTGATCAAACTCCGATTGACTGCCGAGGCTGTAAGACGGGAAAGCTCTTTCGCCACCACCATCACCGTTAACAGATCTTCCGGCCATAGGGTACAGATCGGTTGGAACTGCCGCCGTTGTCCTAGGCATTGCTAGGTACCGGTTGACAAGAGAGGTGGTGCTCTCGTCGTAGGGGTCGCAAACTTCGACGGAGTTGTTGTTGTTCGCTATCTGAGGTGGTGCTGCTGCTGAATTCGGCATTTGCCACGGGGTTCTGAGGCCATACCTAATATCGCTGCGGAAATCTTGATGATGTATGTCTGAATCGGTGCCTGTAGAAGATGATGGATACCTTAGGAGTTGCTTTAGTTCTTTGTCGAGACCCTTGGGCTCGAAAGGGTGGCCGGTATCAGCGCCTGTTGTTGCCGGAGGGACAGGCCAGCCTTGTCGAAGGCCATTTTGTCTGTATTTTTTCTCGGTAAGAAAGAGAGGATCTTGAGGGGCTGGATTTGGAAATCCCGGATTGCTAACGAGTTGATTCTCCGGGTGTAAAGGGATGGGGCTTCTTCCCATGTTTGGGTATCCTTTGGGATTGGCTTCAGGAGCTACGGATCCATTGCCACACGAATGCAAATATGGGGTGGGACGGAACATATTTACCAAGTTTTTGATCTGCATCGGAAAAAAGAAAAGCAAACACTTAAGAGGAGAACTTTCGGAAGGATGAGAGAAATTTATGTAATCTTCGTACTTGTTTCATAGTTAACTCAGTTTTGAATTTCCGTGTCTTCTCATTGTAGCTGTCTTTAAGTGCTTTCTTAAACATACTTTCGGGTAGAGGAAGACAATCCTTGATTACAGCAAACCGGACCTGAATATCGACAAATAAAGTTAAATAACACAGCCAAATGAGAAAGGCGAACAAGAAAACATAGTATAGAAGCTAGACCTGTGCGGGGAAAGCTCCACCGAAAGCTGTTGGCTCGAGTTTCATACCACCAGCAGAAGATGCCTCAAAGATTCCATACAAGAGCTTGAGATCATAGTCGTAGAGGAAAAGTGTAAGCCCTGGCTTGATGTTCATCACAACTTCCTTTTTGTTTGCCGGGATTCCCATTAGTTGGTAATTGAAACAATCTGCTTTAGTTTTAGCATTGCACATAAAAATTAATCCACCGGGATCTTTTCCAGTTTCCTCATCTCTCTTCTCCCTGTCTTCCCGCCTGTCACTGTAAACCCCCTTCTTTTTCTCCTCAGGCCGTGAATCCTTCTTTATCTCCTCAGGCCGTGAATCCTTCTTTATCTCCTCAGGCCGTGAATCCTTCTTCTTCTCCTCAGGCCGTGAATCTTTCATTTTCTCTTCAGGCCGTGAATCCTTTTTTTTCACGTCAGGCTTTGAATCAACATGGTTTTCGGAAGATTTTCTCTTATCGTCCTTTGCAATTTGAGTTCCACCAGTGGTATTTGTCTCAGTGCCTTGCTTTGATTCCTGTTCTGATTTGTTTCCAACTTGAGGGTTAAGCCTGTCGAGCTTAAGCCACGAGCAAGGCTTCCTCGCTGGAGGAGTTGGAGCAGACTCTTTTGAGTCAGTAACCTTTTCATCTTCAATTTTCTTGTCAGATACTATAGCCTCTTGGGAAGTGGATTCAACATTATTGGTAGTTTCTTTCGGCTTTCTTAGCTGTTTCTTATTCGAAACAGCCTTCTCTTCAGTATATTTGGAGGATAATCCTTTTCTTTTCTTGCTTTTAGCTGGAGCCATACTCTTAAAGCTCTACGTGAATTGCTGCAAGAATAATCGTTAATAAGCATTTCAGATTATAACTAGATGTTAAGGCATAGTTGTAAATGGCACATGGTCCAAAGAAGTGTGCGCTATAGGTGTTAATAAATCACATTATACATACATGTATGCAATTCATATAACACTTTCAACAAACAAAACTAATCATTAAGCACCTTAATGCCAAAAACATATCAAAAGGCACAATAAGGCCACTCCATTGGTCTTGAATAAGCAAACGCAAGTTTCTTAAAGTAAATCAAATAAGCATATCTAAAACTATTTTAATGTTGTCACTGTTATCTTTGTCAAGTTTTTCAATCTCAATGTCTTCCTCCGCCTCATTAGAGATAGGAGGAGGCCATGACAGCCAAGAGGGAGCGAGAAGGGAGTAGAAGAGCCAGAAACAAAATACTACTATCCTATTTTAATGAGAGGCAACGGTGAATGATGGCATCAAAATAAAACAGATGAAAAATATAAAGGCAGGGCCATAATCCTATAAATTAAAAAGGCAAAATATTAGCCTCATAAAGGATGGCTGAGTTGGTGTAGTGGGATGATTAGTGACCACAAGGCCACTGGTTCAAACCCTATCAACGACTTTTCGGTCAGCATATTGTGCTCAAACTGGGGTTTACCTAATGCAAACTTGAAAACTAAAACTAAAGGCACAATACTACCCTATTTAACCCTTCTTATCTAAAGATAATTTACCAAAAAGTGGACCAGCCATCCTTAACTTTGTACATGAAGAACTCCTCCACATTCGAGCTATGGTTTGAATCCCACTAAAGCCCTGTCCTCGATACCAGTTACGACTACACAGGAAAGGCAACTCTAACAAAGAGGAGCAGTATGCATCATTGAAAATGAGCTTTGGAAAAAAAGATTTAATTTTATAGACATAACGACATTAATTTTTTTTTTTTTTGTTTTGGCATCTTTAATTTAAAGAAACTCACAGATTACAAAAACAACATTTATCCGAAGTTTCCTAGCAAAAACTATCATGATTTCCTACTCTTTCAGTGTATCTTTCTATCCAACAACGCAGTGCTATTCATTAGTCGCTACATATCTAATACATAGTTTCTCAAACCTAAATTGGAATACCTTTCTTATAATTCAACACAATTCATCATGTCTTCTATCATCAAAGATAATTTATCCAATAAAAAATACAGGAGGGAAAAGGGCACCATATGCAGTTTTTAGCATGTAGAATGGATACCTTAAATCAACGCTATCAGCTCAAGGCCACAAAACAATAATGATCTAAATAAAACCCCAAAACATACAAATTATCGAAAATTACACCTTTATAAACAGCCAGATCGCAGCTAGGTTGGCCTTGACGAGGAGACACGCGACAGGGTTGCGAAAGTCCAACCGAACACCGCCACAGAACAGATCTACGAATTCTCAGCGAAACTACCGACAAAGCGGATTGACTCAGAACAAAGGCGATACGCAGAGAAACTTGAGCGGGGTGTCACCTCCGGAGGTGGAGCAGCAAGACTCGAGACGGCTACACCACTGATTTTTAGGGATTTGAGCTTTTTTTCTTTTCTTTTTTTTTTTTTTACCGTAGATGATACGAACTAAGGAAGACGAAGAATATGGTTAAGGTTAAATTTGGGGAAGAGATAATATTAACTAATGATGGTATATAAAACCCTCAATATTTTTATATATATATAAATTCGCAGTGATCCAATTACAGGCAAATAATAATAATAATGGAGATGCGTTTCTATTTTCAAGTATTTTTGAGATTGAATAAATAAATGAGAAAAATATATGCATGATATAAAAATAATATTTTAAATTAGATTGTATTAATAATATTTATTTTATAATATTAATTTAAAAATATTTTATTTAAAAAAATACTCAATAAGATACAATAAAACTGTGTTTTAAAAAAAGAAAAAAATTGAAAATTTTATTATTAATTATTAAAATAATAAAATTGTTATGTAAATTGTTATCTCAACAATTTTTAAAATTTTTAATAATAAATAATAATATATGCAATAAATATGAGTAATATTTTTTACTATAAATAAAACTACTATATGAATAAAGAAAAAAACAAATTTTGAATTTTAATTTTTTTAAAAAAATATATATTCATTTTATTATTTTAATTTATTTATAAGAAAAACATATACTTATATCATATTCAATAAAAAATACATATATATAACTATTCTTTTAACATTTACAAACTATTTTCATCTATTGCACAATTGTCATTTATTTCTATTTTATTTTAATTTAAAATTTGTTTTTTCAACTTTACAAAATTTCAATAATATTCTTATAAAAAGTACAAAGTATATTTTTTATCTTTTGTGTTTAAAATATAAATCAACATTCCTTCCATTGGTTTGTTCTGAATTATCGATTAAATTTATACATAATTTATTTTGTAGTCCATCAATCAGAGAATATATGTGTTGGTGCCAGCAAAATTATACTATAATTAATTAAGCATGAAAAACACACGTACCTATAAATGCAAGATTGCAGGCTTTCTCATAAGTCTGTCTGACTCTAGTCCTAAAATCATATCCTCATAAGAGACATAGATATCGATTGATCATCCACCATTAATGGAGACATGGAGCTTTCCAAAGACGAAATATATATATATATATATTATAAGAAGATATTTTTATTCTACTTATGGTGTATTAATACTTTCAAGTTTCATGTCCCGGAGAAGACAAGACAAGAGAAAGACAGTCCACATAGTAGTAGAACACAATTAAGTGCAAAAGATGGGTTCCAGATTAATTACCATTTACCAATTCATGGAATGGAATCAGATCAGGTCAGATTATATTCCTCTTCCAGGCCAGGCCTCATCATCTGTCTTTGGTGATGAACTTTTTGAAAAGCTCAAACCTGATCAAACCAAGCTCAAGGTATTAGAACAGAAAAAGACAAGGATGATTGATTCAGGCAGGCAGCTCGGATGAACAACGATGGCATCTAATCTAAGAAATGGATGGATATTCAAATTAGAGGCAGACTCCATCATTATAGATCCTAGAACAAACCATTCTGTGTTCATTCATTGACGACTCAACTCCCCTAATATGATGATAATCTTCACACCATGTGATGGAGATTTATAATCTATTATGCTAAGGAATGTCGTATCATTGTGCATAAAGTAATCGTATGTACGCATACTTTTACACTTACTGACCTCTTGTATTCCAGCTTCTGAGTAACAATTCCATTCAACAGAAGCTCGGAGTCATAGATGGGAACACCTGAAAAACTGAAAGGTTACACTACATAGAGGGGAAGGGGGTAGGGGTGGGGGTGGAGGTGGAGGGGATGGTGTTAGAATTACAATACCCTTCTCCAGGAAAGGGATACAAAATCTGAAATCTTCTTCACAGGAGAGAACTATCAAACCATCAGGAATTGCCTTATCCTTTGTTTGGGCTTCCAGCATAATTCGGACTGTCTGAGGATCATTCCACCATGGCATATAAGTCTAGAATCAAAATGCAATGAAATAACAAAATGAAAAACTGTAATCCCTTTCTCCAAAACTATTTCATAGAATACGCAAAGCCTAATAAATTGTCTTTCACGAAAAATGGCAATGCAGGTATTCTAAAATGTTATTCAGTCATCATGAAAATCTAATGGAGTTCGGAGCAAAATCATATATATAATGCAACATGTATATACCTGCCCGCAAACAGCCTTGACCAAGCCAGTTATCACATCCATACTTGGTTTCACATTGGGGGTCATCAAGATTGTACGGTCCTGTTGATCAACGATCAAATATAATTTTTGAACAGTACATATATGTATATATGGTGAGACATAGATTGAGTTTTAGTACACAATGTTCATTACCTTTAAAAGTGGCTGCTGGCACGCATGAGTGAGCGAAACAGACATGTTGAATCTAATTTCTTTTTCCTTCTTCTCATCCCTGAGAATGTAATTCTTTTCGTCAACCATGTAGCCAGCTTGATCACAGCTCTCAAGCCATGAGTGTGTCACCACAGGTTTGCCAAGAGCAATGGCTTCCAACATATTCCTTGTTCTAACAAATGCATCCGCAACAAAATGTGTCGCATCAGCACAACATGATGCAACGGGAAGCCCTAACCTTGACACAATCTGCCACACAAAGTGATGTCAGTGAAAATGTAGGTGATCATGGAATCAGGTTCAGCTATTGCCAGTGTGGCTGAAGAGTACCTTTTTCTGCTGCTTGAGTATGTTTGGCTTTAAGTTTTGGCTGAACAATATGCAAACCTTGTCCATAGCTCTTCTCCTTCTTGAATCTTTTGGCAGGAAAGCAGGCAGTGATTCAGTGTAACCCAATCTTGTGAGCTCCTTTGATAGGGAGGATTTTGATAAATAGTTGCAAGGTTGCTTCATATGGCTACCACTCCCAAATATTGGTAATCCCATCATGTGTTCATTTGACTTCATATTACCCGATCCACCAAGAGGATAAGGTTGCAAACCATGTGATTTTTCCCATTGCAGCGCTGATTTGGGTGTATCACATTCAATGGAAGTTATCACTATTTTGTCGGAGAATGGACTATCACTAACTGATGGAGAACATGAATCAGTGACCGAGGATTTACGCCGTCTTGTATAGACTAAATTTTTATCCATCCTCTTGTGTACTTCCTCATTTTTTATAGAACTTATGTTGACATCACTCTCAATTTCTGCACTTGGAGAACATGGGGTTCTTGATCCAAGTAAATGGCATGGAGCATATTGACGTGTTCTTTTCCCTTTTGGATAGGCCAGCCATTTCGGCTTTGAAAGAGTCCTTTCTTCTGAATTCAGTTTTACACCAAACGATGATACACAGTTAAATTGCAAGCAATTCCGGCCAGCCTCACCATATAATAAACCAATCATCTTTCTTTGTTTTGGGGGGGAATTTGGCTTCGTCACATGTGTAGCTTCTTTTGATCTTCTGTTATATCGAGTATGGTGTCTCTGAAAATCTTTAAAGCCATCTCTTTCAGTATAACCATACTCCTGTTGCTTTAAGGTGATTCCGCGAGGTCCTCTACATTTGCGATTACTAGTGTCAACTCTGTTTCCACAATGTAAGTCTTTCATAATCCTCAGATTATTGGTCCTCAATCTTTTTCTTGCAGGAAACTGAACAACAGTGTCACTTGGGGTCTCTGGTTGGTTTTTGTCCGAGCAGCATCCATTTTTTAACAGGACACAACGAGGAATCTTGATACACCTCGAGCGTTTTGCTTTGCATCTCCAACCTACAAAGGCCTCCTCAGGATATGACACATTATGCAATATACTATTCTCAAATGCAGCATTAAAATGGATCTTAGGTATGCTGTCTGAACCTTGAGGACCAAAACCGGCATCAAAAGCAGGAGTGGCATGTACAAGTGCTTCCATAGCTTCAGCAGCAATTTGAGTGTCTAGGCCAAAATCTAATGAATCAGGAGTAAGCTTCAATTGTTCACATATTTCAACATTTGGCTTAGATAATCCATTGTCTAATTGTTCATTCAACCCAAGCAGATCATATTTGACTCCAGAACATAACTTATTGATGTCCTTGGAGTTCAATAGATTTGCATCCAAGTCATTTTCTCCAGGGCACTTCTCCATTGACTGGAAACTTGTTACCATCTTCTTATGCAAGTTGTCATGGCCAGAAGTTTGATTCTCAAATTGGTTTGTATCCCAGTTATAAGCCAAATACTTGCAATCAGATAACTCACAGTTCATTCTCCTTGCCAAACTTTGAGAACCTCTAGACCACAATGGAGGAGGTGATTTCATCCTGTTACTCTTTCTAGTAGGTTCAGCAGGTTCATGTAAACCTAAATCACTAACAGATAGGTAATGTTCCACAAAGTCCAGGACCTTGTCAGGAGATTCTGATGGCTCTGGAGATTCTAAGCACTTAAGCTCTGTAAACTCACAGCCCTGTTTTAAATCCTTCCCAGTATTCAAGGATATTAACTCATGGGAATATGCGGGCAGACTTCCTCTGGCTGTATCAAGGTACTTTGCATCCAAGATGACTTCATCTGCATTTTCTTGATCCGTTGATGTCGGCATTAAACTGTCCATAACAACATGGCACTCCTCAAAGCTATCAGTGCACAGAAGGGTGGTCTCAGCATTGCTTAGATCATCATATGCAACACCTATAGCTGGATCAAGATTTAATGGCACATGTTCACCGAACTTGTAACCATGTCTCCTGAAAAACCCTGAGACAAGCGATAATTGTTGAACTAAATCAATAAAAGGAGATGACATGCCGCCCTGCTAATATTTTCATGATACAAAAGATTGCTCCAAAAGTAGATAAGTATGAGTGCTTTGAGTTAGTGCATTTCTTTGATAACATTAAAGAACCAAGAGAATCATCAATTTCACGCAACTAAACCTCTATTAATATAGCACCGTAAACATACATTTTGGCAGTCACTATGTATTGCATTTATCTTAGGTTCTGCAGCCAGCAAAACTACAAAATGAGGATACGTTGAACACAACTTGTTTACTTTGCACACATACTCAAACCAATGAAACATTGAAGATTATAAACGTATATCAAGTAAATAAAGTGATCCATCATAGAAAAACAGCAACCAATATATATCACAATAATGTTAATAGATTTGCCTACCAGCATGACCTTGTTGCTGTTTCAGCAAGCGTATGGCACCCCTGCCAGAAAATCTCCCAGTGACAGGAACATATTCCCCATTAACTTCGTCATCACTATCAAGCACCACAACTTTCTCACCTCCTTCTCCTTCGTCGTCACTATCAAGCACAACTAGTTTCTCCAAGTCTCCTTCTGTATGCAAGGCAGATTCGCATAAATCCACAACCTCATTGTCCATATCAAGGTTCAGAAATCGGGATTCTGCAATAGGGCTTTCACGTGAAAACGTGTCAGCAGAGGGCGTAGTGAAGTTCGACCTATCCTGTTAGCAATCAATACACAGTCCTAGATAAGAAAATCCGAAAGTGAATCAAAACACAAAACATGATTAATCGATTATCGCTTCTCTCATTTCACACAGAAACCACTCATTCTCCCCAAAACGATTGCAGTATCATCACCACACCATCGCAACCGATACAAACTAACAAACTTATTCAATACCCGAAAATTACAGTAGTAAACAAAAAAAAAATGTTACAAAATGCATCTAGTCACCGATAAATCAAAATCAATACGGCAAACAACTGCAGAAACCAGAGGTGTACGAGCATCCACTGCAGACAGCGATTCACAAAATAAGATATAAACATTACCATTAAGAACTAGGACCGGAGTAGAGAGCAGCGTCCAAACGTCTGCGGATTGGAACAGAAGCAGCAAAAACAAGAAGTGGTGTGGAAGATGTGAAGGTAGAGAGTGGGTTTGTGAGAATGGAAGGAAGCCCCAAACACCGGAAAATGATCAGTACGAAGCAAGTTTTGGAGGGAACCAAAGTTAGGATTTGAACACTATGTTTAATATTTAAATATATTTAGTTTAAATTGTAAAAGATGTATGGGCATTTGGTCTAGTGGTATGATTCTCGCTTAGGGTGCGAGAGGTCCCGAGTTCAATTCTCGGAATGCACCAAATACATTGTTTTTCTTTTTTTTTAACTTTTTTCGGAATTTTAAAAAATATTTGTGTTTTTGGTTATGTCATTTTAAAGATTCGAATAAATGTATAATGTGGCATCCATGAATCACACATATGATCATCTTTTCTTGTTCAAGTTAACTATCCAAAACAAACATGGCAGATCAGATCTTAATGCTAATTTTATCTTCTACAACAAACACTAAGACCTTCCGAGTACTTCCTCGATCGCGGCTGGGGATGTGTCGCGTTCATCAGAATTGCTCGAGTACGATCTTGCGCATGAAGTCCTCCGGCGCTGGAATTTCGAGGAAGACAGATTGACAAAAGTAGCTTAGAAAAAGAGTCAAGAAAAGAATCATATGTCAAGAGTAATGGAAGTTGTTCTCTCTTTACCTAATCCACCGGTGAATAGTTTAAATTGCCCGAGAGCCTGTCGGATGAACATTTCTACGCCATGCACGACAGTGGCTCCGACCTCTGCAGCCTCTCGCAAGAGCCGAGTGTTGCGTGGAGTGTAAACAGCGTCGAAAACCAGTTCGTATGATCTCAAGGCAGCCTGTGGTAAATCAAACAATAGCAGTAAGTATTTCATATGGTTAAAAGTGAGTAGAAAATCGAATGGCGAAAAGAGAGGCAGTTGTGGGAGACCTTGGAGACGGGAGTCCGGTCTGCTTTCGGTTCCATACCGACAGCAGAGGCGTTTGCAAGAATCATGCCATTCTCGGGCCGGAAATCATTTAGACTTTCGTATGGCAGGGCTTCGCCGGACACTGCTGCGGCGAGAGCCTTAGCTCTTTCTGAGGAATAAGGAGGAAGGAAATGAATTCATAGTTAAGTTAATGGATGCTATTTATGCATCTTTGGAAATTTAATAGAGCTAAGTGATGACCGAAGTTTCTGTTGAAGATGACGACTCGAGCTCCTCTGCTCCAGGCGCCGAATGCTATGGCCCGTCCAGCTCCACCAGCTCCGACCAAGACGAGTAATTTCCCGGCTAAAGGTGAAACACTCTGTTCTTGTCCGTTTAGGACACACCGTGCTGATTAGCCACAACACATGGAAGGATTTTGAATGTCAATGGTAAAGAACAGCAAATTATTGGTTATCTATGAAGCTCAGTAATTGATTGTACCTCTATATGCATCCTCAATAGCAGTTATGCATGCCTCACAATCTGTATTGTACCCTACAAGCTTCCCATCTGACGGCCTCCGAACAATGGTGTTTACTGCACCTATGCCCTAAAAGTGCAAACGCAAGCTAATTTATTACCAAAAATTGTTCATCGAGGAACACGAAAAATATCCATGATTTGTTCATACCAGAGCAAGGGGATGCACTTCATCACAGCAGCTTAGAGCTGTCTCCTTGTGTGGAATCCCCACACTGAACACAGACAAATAGACAAACAATAGCATCACCATCACCAAAAACCAACAAGAACAGTATCTATGGCGACGACAGAATTGTATTATGCAATAGATATCTTATAATACCTGAAACCAGCAAAATCGTTGCAGGAGTAAACTCTGAAAAATTCCTTGACATCATCAACCAACAGAGGGACATAAATGCCATTATAACCTGTGTATCTGAATGCAGGATTGTGCAGAAGAGGACCTTTGCTGTGACCTACAGGATTCGAGACGACGCCGAATATCTTCGTGTCCGCATTCACGTTCTCTAATCTGTAAACCTGTTTGATGCTGGACAAAGGAGGCAATCCAGGCACGGATTTCTCCCCCAACGATCCCCATACCATGAATGCGCCGTACTTCGGCCCCAATAGTTGGCTAATTAGACCTCTTTCTCCAGTTGCCCTAGCAATCAGAGGTACCTGACAGTGCGTGAGCATGTGGAAAATTGGTGCGACGTCTGTGATTGAACCGACGTCGATCACGAGCTTGATCACATCTGCTTCGGTTGATTGCATCTCGATTATCATCTCCCCGAGTTTCTCTCGGGTAACGTTCCCCGCCTGTACATGGTTGGAGACGATGATCCTCGTCCTTGAGCTCGACCTTGATCTTTCCCTCCTGAGTTCAGCTATGACCTCTTTCGAACAAACCTGAAACGTCAGTCGCCATGCTGCGGTGAAACTGTACAGTTGATACTATTGTCGCTAGTATGGTAAAACACGTTTTTTTTTTTTTTTCTTTTTTTGTTAAGAGTGTAGTCTAGCGCTTTTGGATACTGACCTCGTAGTCAATGTCGACATATTCGATGTCCAATTCAACGGCCCGTTTTAGAACTTGGACACCTAATTGCTCAGAGTTTCTTCTGTGAAGGGAATTGGGCCGTAAGCCCATTCTCACATTATTAATCGTATTCATATTAAAAAAAATTATTTATTGCTTATTACTATATTACTAGTTTTTTATATTTTAAAATCACACCAAAACTATAATTAGCATATAAATATATATATATATATATTACAGTCAGAATATCAAAACATACTCATAACAATTTATGTATCACATCTACTACGTCAACGTGTGTCTGTTCTGTTTAAGATCTCAAGCTTATTTTTGCAATATTTTTTCTCCAAAAGAATGTCATATTCAATTTCTTTATGCGTTATACTTATACATAAAAATAAAAATATAATAAAAAATCAAAACATAATTTTTTTCCTTTATCTTTTATATCATTTATCAATCTATAATTTTATTATTTTTATTTTAATAAGTAATAATTAATTTATTACTGTTTTCTAATATCATTTTTCTATAATTTTTAATAAATTTATCATAATACTTTCAATTTACTTTTTATCTACTCTATTTTAATATTAAAATATTATTATTTTTAGTTACCGCATCGAAGTAAACTCACCTAAATGCTAAAATTACCGGAATGAGTATATTATATCTATTATTTTATATAAAAATCACATTTAATAACTATTTGGCATAAAACAAATCAAAATTTAAAAAAAGGAAAATCACAAAAGAAATTTGATTTGATTTTTATTTTTTGTTCACTAAATCTACACACGTTCATATGAAAATACATTATTATTTTTTTTTTTTTTTAAAAAAAACAACATCGTATCAATTTAAAATAAATAAATAAACAAACACAGCCAAAAAGTAAACAACCAAAAGTAATCAAGCACTCAATCATGTGATTTATCAATCTATTATTATTGTAATGAATATCTTATGAAGTGGCCACGAATTTCCATAGCAACGATTTTGGTATGGTATCAAACAATAAAATATTAGAAAACCGTACTAGGAGAAACCTCCACTTGCATTCAATGGACAAATCAATGGATGGTGCCCGGACACATATTCCTACTGCTTATTATTTAATGGACGAATCAGTGGACGACACGACGCAAATGGTTAACAATCCCTTTCAACGATTTTCTGAAAAATTAAATTTAAAATTACGACCATCCATCCACAGCCCAAAAAAGACCCAGAAGTTGAGATCTATTTTCAAAATTTTTATTGTTTGTTTGTCTGGAAGTTTGAAATTTTGAATTGAAATTTAAATAATAAAAATTTTGAATTCAGATGTTAATGTGATACTTTCGATAAAAATTTTTTGAATGAACAACTAATTTTTTTTTACAAAATTCCTCGAACAAACACACCGTACGACAAGGCAATAAGTTCGCAATAATTAAATTAAAGCTATGTCATAGACAATCATTTTGTAGCCATGAGATATTTTCAATTATAAATATCTACATTATTGGAAGAAAACCCATAATTAAAATCTTCTTCCACATCTACCTCACTAATTTTGCAACTAGGGAAAAAATAAAAGATACTACAAAATTGGTTTTACTTTCTTTTACTTTCTCTATCCACATAATTTGTTTTTATTTTCTATTTTCGTTCGTTCCACAAGGAAATATGATTATCCATTTTAATTCCATTTTAAATTTCAAAATTTATAATTTTTTTTAATGTTAATTAAACTATTTATTTATCTTAATCTATAATTATTTTTACTAAATAATAATTATTTCTACTCATACTCTTAATTACCTACTAATTATACTTTACCTAAATTTTTGTATTTACAGTAACACATTCAAAATATATGGGACGGAGGAGTATATTTAACTCTGTGTTCACACTTGGGTAAAAGTTTGTGTATTCAACAAAATGTTAAAAGTATTGGAAAGGAGTTTGACAAGATACGGATTTTTTTTAAAAAAAGATAAAAATAATTTTGTTTCTTATTTTTTTGTAAAAAATCCTAAAAAAAGATATTTTTTCCGTCCGGACTCCTCTAAAGTTACATTTACTATTTTACATAAAAAAATATTTTTATATTTATATAATTTTTTTACAATATTTTCTTATATTAGTATTATAAAAAACTAATTAAAATATTTTTATATTTTTTTATTAATTTGTACTATATTTTTTTATACAATAATTAATATTCAAATATCAATATAAAAAAAAATTAAATTAGACCTTTTAAAGCAGGACAGAGGAGATGTAGTATTTGTTTACTAAAATTAAAATAAGAATAAATTTAGGTCACAAGCAATCTAGAAAAAATAGAATAAATTCAAATGAAATATACTCATTTAGTTCACGTTCTCAAAAAAAATGGAGCATTACCTCAAATAAATAAGCATTGAAGTTTAATGTAGTCGCTCACATGATATTAATTGCTAGCTAAAGACAATGCGCGGCAAAATATCAGAAGGACAGTACGTGGTAGGATAGGATAAGAGCATTAAAATAGTGATTGGTGTTGATAACTGTTGCAGGAACTGAATCGAGGTGAAATGACCAATATACCCTCCACCTCACCCTCACACCCTCACCCTCACCTAACCGTCACACCACGAGCAACGTTTTCCTATTCCAGTGGATCTTAACTTACATCCAAAATTTGACAGGGAAATAGCACCGAAATTGCAGAGCAGAGCCACAGAAAAAGGAACAAAAATCGAAGGTAAGAGATGCGTACCTGAAGGAAACGATGGACGGTAAGGTTCGGAGAGAGAGGAGATGTTGGAGGTCGGAAATGTGAGGTAGATCGATGCAGAGGTGGACGATATCTGCGCCTTGCTTCTTCGCCGACTCCATACACTTAACCATTTCTTCAGTGCTTTCGCATTCCAATGGCGCGCACACCACCAGATCGTCGATCCTCAGCCCCATCGGAACCACAGCACGAAGAAGAACGAACAGGAATTAATATTATGACGGTGATGATGAAATCACACAACACAGAGACAGACACATATTTATATATAATGAAGTGAGTGTGAGAAGTGGTGCAGCTGATTCCTAATTGATGATTGTCAACTGGTTCACGTTTTCTCTCACGATGGGCGCTGCACAGATAAATCACGGGCCCAGTTTGGATCCTTACGGGTCGGGTCAGCCCGATCGTCAATGTATAGAATTCCCCTTTACATTACAATATATATATATATATGTATATATAATTTGTGAGATAAAATAATGAATTCTTTAACACATTCTTATTTTACGAGTTTAGTTGTCTATTCAAAGTGTGTTGATATAGCCAAATATATATATATACACAAATAAATATTCCATAATTCTTTAAATTTATAATAACTATTTTCATCTATTTACATGAATGTCATCCATAAAATATTATGGTTCTGTTTGTTTAGTAAATGATATTTATAAATGGAGTATGTGATATAAAAATATTATTTTAATTATTATTGTTTTGTAAAATAACAAAATATATATTATAAATACTTAGAATCGTATAAAAGAATATCTGTTGGAAGAACCAATCCCATTTTTCTTAATCTATTTACCCCAAAAACTTGAACACATAGAAAGAATATGTATTTACATCAATACATAAAAATAATGTACTTTTTTTTTTTTTAATTCGATGTTTTTTTTTTATTATTTTTGTCTATCTCATTCAAAAATAAATATTTATAATTAAAATAAAAATAAAAATATATAAATATCAAAATATTTCTAGTTTTTTTAAGAAGGGAATAATATTTAATGAATACTATGTAACCAAACTCCAAACAAATGCGGGCATTATATTTTAGTATTTAGATGATTATATAATTGTAATATACTATAAGGGTGTGTTTGTTTGAGGGTTTGGATTTTGAGTTGGGATTTGAATAGTAAAAAATTTGAATTTGAATAGTTGTATGATGTGATATAAATAAGAATTGATGTGATGTTTTGAATGTAAAATTGATTTTTAGTATAATATAAAAAATGAAAAAAAAAATGTTTGATTTGATATTTTTGGAGGGGAAATTTTGTGGGAATAGTAGAAATCCCACAAAATCCCCCAAACAAACATTAATTTTTTAATAAAGATATGGTTTATCTAAATTAAATAATAATAATAATAATAATAATAATAATAATAGATAATATAATGCTATATTATTAAAGGGGAAAAAAGACAAATCAATATGTCTATTAATTTTTCCTGAAATATACTCCTCAACATTAATTTGTTTAGAATTTCGAGAATTTGTGTATATTCTATATCTTGATGCCTGACGTTGAAGATTTGTTTATAAAAATTTTTAATATAATTTTTTTTTTTTGTTTAAAATATTGTATCTAATATTATTATTTCAAAAAGATAAATTGTAATGGTAGAATACTCTCAAATATAACTAAATAAATTGTCTTATCTAAGTAGGGCTGCTGAGTTAAATGCAATGTTCGTTAATCCCCTCTTACATCATTGCAAGAGAAGAAGGAAATAAGCGGTGGTGCCACTATGTCATGCCAGCTATTTTTTTAATAATAATAATAATAATAATAATAATAATATGATAGTGTAAGGTGAACTCGTGATTGCGAAGTCATATAATTTTATGGTTAAATTGTACAAAATCTACAGGGTTCATAAAATTGCATCAAATTCTCATATACTTCTAAAATTGCGTCAAACTCTTTGTGATTTCATAAACTCTGAATCTAATCCCTCGGCGGTCTTTATTTAACGGTATTTGACATAAATACTGCGAAGAATTTTAAAATATCAATGTCTTTAACCTCAAATAATAGTAAATATACTCTCAAAAATATTATTTTTTTCAAGTTTAAAAAATTTATATTTTTTTAAGCTAAATATAAGAAAAATAAAAAAATATATATAATTTTGAAGGTTAAGAAATCGATATTCAAAAATTTATTCGCAGTTTGGACGCATTGAGGTCAAATACTGTTAAATAAGGACCGCCGAGGGGTTAACCACAAAGTTTATGAAATCATGAGAGAGTTTAACGTAAAAAAAATACGAGAAATTTAACACAATTTCGTGAAATTACGGATGAATTTTATGCAAGTTAGCATAACTTTATTTATACTTGACTAAATGAAATCTGTATGATACTAATTTGGTCATCTTTAGTCTAAATAAATTTATGAATCAGAACATGATCAAAATGATATTATTATATGTACCGACAGAGGAGGTGTAATAATTTGCTCCAATCAGTTGGTAGCTATCCTAATATCTTTGAAATATAATAATAATAACTTCATCTTCATGTAAGAAACATTTTGTTAGTATGTAGTAATAATAATAATAATTAATGTTATATAATTAAATAAACAAATGAAGACAGACATATCTTTATTACATATGTATGTAACGACATTGGGGGTAGATGGAGATGGTGACACAGGCTGCCGGGCAGCCAAGGACGACTCCACTGGAGACTTTGGTTTCACTAAACTTTACTTTAGTACGCCATTTGCATTATTATATTTCTTTGGTCCGTTCTAAAATGTCACATTTATATTTTGTATAATTATATTTAATATTAGCTCTGAAAAATGATTAATCCACACAGCAGCAATATCTCATACCATAAAGAACATGTACAGCAACAACAAACAAAAAAAAAATCAATACAGAAAAACCTTTCAACACAGGCTGGTTGTTCGTTGGACGATTGAATTGCGAATGAGTATACTGATGACGAAGAACAATTTAAATACAACGAAATGATAATCCTGTTTGGTCATCAATGACCACATCTGGGGGTTCTAACCCAGGCGAAACTTACTACTGAAACTATTGAAGCACATGATATCTGAATACAATCGAACTGCATACTCTAGAAATCTATCTCTCCATTTCTTGATGATTTCCCCAACTCAACTTATCCCACAAATCCCTCGCTCTCATGTTTTTTTTTTTTTTCCCTCAATGCTCTCTATATCTGCCCAAATCTATTTTTCTCCACTCTATATTGTATATAGAAGCTCTATATCCAGCAAGAATGAAATCTATTCTTCCACTGTCTCTCCCAACATCCGCAAAGTTTGTTGCAACCATCAGTTGTTATTCTCGCACATAGATTGGGGGGACCAACGAGTTTTTTAGATCAATTCATTTGGCTCTTCATTCCGATTGATCAATTTGGGACTATTTTCTTGTTTGATTGGACACAACACAAATTAGGCCGCGTCTGTTCATCAAGGTTTGTCCGTTGATGGGACCGCCTGCAAACAATATCATCCAAAATTCAAACACAAATACAATCCACTTTCAACACTTAACATTAAAAATTTAACATTAAAAATATTTTATAATTATATTGTACAAATGTCTTTTTAGTAATGCAAGACACTAATGGAAGTTTTTTTTTTGCCATTCTTTTTAATATATAACAATTAATATTTAAATATCAACAAAAATAAAATAAAATAAATGAGACTGTTATGGTTGGACGAAGGTAGCTACTGCTAGTAATTTATAAAACTTCCTTTGTCCGGAAAATTTAGTTCGTTTGGGCTCGGCATGCGGATTAAAAAAAATATTTTTTATTAAAAAAATACATAATTGAGACTATTTTTAGAAATTTAATTACAAGTTAAAGAAAATTGAAAAAGAATATAATAAAGTAAATAGTATTTATTATAAATAAGTATTTAAATGTTTCATAAAAAAATAATTATTAAATATTAATTATTAAATTTTTTTAGATATAATAATGAAATAAATTCGACGTATAGAAAAAGTATCTCATTTTTATTTATACATTAAATTTATGTTATGCATAATGAATCAGATAATAAGAGAATATGGTAGAGATAGACAGACAGGCAGAAGAATTGGAGAGACATGTGAGCAGCCAGCCGCAAAACTCCACATCAGAAAAGGACAAGACTTTCTCATGTGTTCCTATACCACAGATCAATCAATCCCACCTACGCCTAGCTGTCATCTCCAATCATCTCCTGCCACGTGTAACCCCTCCTCTTCCTCTGCAACACTACCCTTGGCAATAATAATCATTCACTCACTCATTTCAATCTTTCCACTCTGTAAAGAGAAAAAGAAAGAAAAACACACATTCTTACAACAACAACACTAACACTAACACTAACAGACTAGACTGCATTTATTTCAGCACCCCTCACTATTATTGTTACACATTTAGTTAGTAGATTTGTACCCAAAAAGAAGCCATCATTCTCCATATCATTAATGGCCTCCACTCCATTCTTGATAATAATAATGCTCACATTTATCTCTCTACTTGTCTTCGTCGTCTCTGCCCAGAATTTCCCTTCTTCTACCATTTCTGCTGCCCCTGCAACTCTTCCTTCTTCTGCTGCTTCTCCTCCGTTAATGTCTTCTTCTTCTTCACCTTCTCCTTCTGCTGCATTGTCTCCAGACATTACTCCACTCTTCCCATCCCCTTCAGGCAACCTCTCTCCTTCTGAGTCATCTCTACCACTTATCCCCTCAAGTCCCAGCCCTCCCAACCCGGATGCACTCGAAGCTCCTGGTCCAGCTGCATTTTCCCCCTTCCAGCCCTTGCCGGACTCCTCCTCCGTCAGGCTGGCTGACGCGGCGGCGATGGTGGCGGCGGCGGCGGTGATTGGTGGTGCTTGGGTCATGACTACAGCTTTGGTTTAGTCAGCAGAATTTGGAGTTTTAAGTGTAAGTTTGTTTAATATATATATATATATATATATTAGGTAATATTTGTGAGCTTCATTTGTTTCAGAGTATATTTAATTTACCATTTTGATTGATTCATGATTCTGTTGTAGCATTACAATGTACCACTCCAAAAATATCGAAGCATTTTGAATTGAAATAATTGTATAATGTAATATAAATAGACGTTGATGTGATTTTTTAATATAAAATTAATTTTTAGTACTACTTCTTGACAAACTATTTATTTTTTCATTTTGATCTACCCATAACAAGTATCCATTTTCTTTTTTTATAACTTAACATTACAAATATCCTTACAACTTATAATATATTATACAAATGTCATTAGCTTTATAAAAATAATACTAATAAAGTTATTTTATTAACTTCTACTTTACATCTGCTATATTCAATATAATACTAATGCAAAAAAATAAATGGATACATAGATATGAGACGGAGGAATATAATATAAAAAATAAAAAATAAGTGTTTGATTTAATATTTTTTGATAGAAAAAAAAAATTAATAAATAGTAGATATTTTATAAAATTCAACAAACGAACACACCATAAAGTAATGAGAACAACCACACACACACAAAAGAATGTAGTATATATAATGGGAAAGAATACAACTACAGCTTAAATGAAATTCTAATCTTAGGTTGTCTTACAAGTTACAATAGATAGTTAAAACAATTTTCCTACAACATAAATAGCTATAGAAGAATGCAGCATAATCCATACAGTAGTAATAACAATATAATTATATATGTGACATAAAAAAACATGTGGAGATGTAGAGAGGTGTGTATTACCATCTAAATGGCGACGACATTAGCCCGTGATTTTCCGAATCCATCGAACAATCTTGCAAGAAAATTACCCTCTTTCACCTGCTTTTCTTCTTTCTTGGCAACACAGTTTCTCAGATTATCATTCTCTTCCCTGAGCACATCCATGGCTAAACTTAGTTGTCTTATGACTTCCCTCTTCTCTTCATCTTTTTGCATCAGCTCTTCTGCCTGAACCCTGTTGGCTTCTCTGAGTTTCTCCAGTTCCTCCCTAAGACTACTGATTAGTTCTTCATCTTTCGATTCACTCGCCACTTGCTGTAATCCTGATATGATCCGAATTCCATGTGTTTGTTCATCTTCATCGACTTCAGACTCATCAGACTCTTCTGGACCATTAGCCTCAGAGTAGCTATCATATGTTTTGTCATACAAGCTAGGAGACCTTTCCAGATGGAATTTAGTGAAAGAGAATGGAGATGATGATGACCATGGAGTTAGAACACGGGCTATAGGTTCGGGTTTGACTTGATGATCGTATTTCTCAGCCAAAGAACGATGAGTCCGGTAGAAGTCTTCAACCATGGTGATCAGCTCAGGTCTCTTGTTGTAATACATTTCTGCACGCTGAGCAAATGAATCGGCATCTTCCTCGATGACCTTAAGCATTGCCTTTGTCTTCTCTTCAAGGTCTGCCATGGTTTGAAGAAAACATGAGCACTGTCAATTTACAGATGCATCAACAGATTACTATTAGGTCCAATAGTTCAATAGAAATTCAACTATTCAAGTATTGCCATAACTTCATATGCTCGAGTATAGCTTTTCTGCAAACACATGCAGCAAATGTTTTGAATTCCTAAGTTCAAATTCATTGATGATTGATCTCCAACAGTCAAATCTAGAGCTATTGCTATGAACAAAAAACTGTCTATCCTTTAAATAAGATGATCAATGTACAGGAGAAAGATAAATAAATCAACTAAATTCACCTGCAAGCGTTGACTGCAGCCATGGGGACTTCTTTGAATTACCATTGATGTGTCCGTCAAACCACCACCAGTGTGATGAGTCTCTGCTCTTCACCTCCATTGCCTCTTCTCACCTTCACAAACACAGATGTTCCAAATAACTACACATAATATTGAGAAACAAGCATCATATTTTTCAGTCAGCTGGATTTCTGAAGCTGCTCGAGATAAACCTCAAATTCCTAATCCAGATCGTAGATAACTTCTACAGAACTTCAATTGTAAAATTCTAAATTCTAACAGGGTTCCGTAAACATATAAACATATAGAAATCCTCTAAAAAAGAGGAGAAAAATAAGTGGAAACTGAATCGACGAAAACGTATCTACAAACTCTCCGATTCAATACACGAAAATTTCCGGCAGAAACTCAAAAATCAACTTCAGTTAACTCTTCACAGAGCTCTCAACGCACAAAATCTGGATCATTCACAAAAAAAAGAAACGTTAACCATTCCAAACACCAACACATAAATTACATAGATTCGCACACGGAAACAGAACCTCTTCTTCCAAACCGACGCGGCACGGTTGCCGTCGGCCTTCGCCTCCGTCTGGCTAGCAGCACAACCACCGAGAGAAGCCAATTTCACTGCGATAAGCCACCCAAACTCGCCTTTGAATGAGAGGATTCCGCCTGCAACGCAATTTAAACTCCATGGCCGCGAACTTCGCGTGCTGTCCCACTCGCCTTCTCCACCCAATAGATACACGCCACGTGTAATTGGCCCCGCAATGATATTTAAAATTTCTTCCTCCATTGACTACTATACCCCTGAAATGCTTCCCTTTGTATTGCATTTGATGGAGGGTAAATATGTCAATAGACGTTTGTCCTCTTGTCTTTTCTTCGTCAACAATTATACATACATTTTTTTAAAAATATAAATATTTTTTTATTATTTGAAAATTGGAGTTGCAATGCACGGACAGTATGATGAGGAGCGTCAAGGGACATAAAAAAATAAAAAAATAAATAAAAATATATTAACTCAACGGTCGAAAATGCAAAAAGGCAACAAAAAAGTTTTATAGTGTGTGATTTCAGTCAATGAGAGTATTAGAGGAAAACTATTATTACTTCATAATTAAAGACAGTGGATATATTAGAGACGACTGACTGACTGACTATATACCAATTTTCCTAATAAATTCGATAACTTTGAGGTAATATATTTAATTCACTTACGTGATTTAAGCTTTAACAGTGTTAATAAATGGATTTCAATTAACTTTTGTAGTAAATTCGGTCAAATATTTTCTAAGTTAGCTTTGGATTTTTTTTTTGTCCGGTTTTGTGAAATTTGAAATTTTATTACCGAAAAATATTAAATGTGTTCACCAAAAAAAATATTACATTGATATTATAAAATACAATAATATACACACATATATTCATTTGCAAAAAATTTAATTATTTAATATAATATATAATATAAAAAATACAAAAAATGCACATACTTATTATATTTAATATATATAATTCATCCCATCTAATTTGTCTCTATTTTCTATTTTCGTGTTTTTAGCATGTTATTTCCTTTTTTTAAAAAATTAATTATACACTTTAATTTTATTTAAAAAAATTTTAAATATATTTTTACGAATACACTTTTTAATTATTTACTAATTATATTTTACCTAGATTTTCTTATATAAGATAAAAGGGAGTACTATTAACAAGTTAAAACATCCAACTTATTTTTTTATATGAAATAATTATCCATTTTAAAAATATTGTTAATCTAAGAAATAATAATAACACCAAAGAGTAAATTTTGAACAAGAATTTATTTTGAATTTTGATTCTTACTTACATTACATAGTTTCACAAATTTGATACTATTTATTTTTAAAAATCATCATATATTTTTTATTTCACAAAATATCACATCAAATCTTTTAATTTTTTTCAAACTTTCAAAAGTATATCATCAAATATTTGACTTTTTTTTTTTTTTTTTATAAACTGTTTTTTTAGTCCCGTAATTGGACCCCTTATCATTTTAGTCCCATAAGTGAAGCCTGTCGCAAGCTAGTCTCATAAGTGAAAATTTTTTGCTGATTTAGTCCTCCAGGTGTCGTCACCTCCGGCGAATCACGCGGGCGTCTCCCGCGCCAGAGGACTAAAACTGCAAAAAAATTTTGCGACAGACTCCACTTACAAAACTAAAATGATAAAGGGTCCAATTACGGAACTAAAAAACAGTTTTCTTTAATTTTTTTCAAACTTTTGAAAATTCCAAAAAACCTGTCAAAACAAAACCCAGTCAATTCTCAATTAAAAATAAATTCAATTTTAGTAATGTTTACTTGTGTAAATTTATTATTTTACTGTTCTAATTGCATTATTTTTATAAAATATCAAATTAAATATTATTTTTTTTATTTAAAATATTATATCACGTATTTGAATTACATTAAAAAAAAATTTTATTTTAATTCAAAATTTTTCAATTAAAAACCAAAATAAAAATCTTGTAATTATCTATTCCGATTTAAACCTCTGCAAGCCTAATTCAATTCAAACACACTCTAAAGTGATGTCAATCAACTCTACCCAATTTTTTAACCTCAAAAGCATACTAAAAATTTGCAGCGAAGTTCATGGAACTGAATTGTGATCGACAAAATAACTCTATGCAAGTGTTTCAGAATTTTTACAATTCAATTTTCTTATCACTGCAACGGCAGATTCAATTGACAATAAACAAATAAAAGACCTCGAATGGGCTCAGATTAGCATATTGGCACATTCATCCTAGCAACAACGACACCACGGATTCCAACCGCGGATGCGCAATAATTGCCGTTGCCGCTCCTGCCAACAGAATTTTCATCATCGCCGCCATTAAAATCCAAAACATCGACGAACACACAACCAAAAAGGTAAATAGAAAAATAAAACTCCAAAAACAACGCCCAGGCGCAGTTGCTTCAACTCCAAATCACCTCCCAATCTCAGCGGCGCCCAAACTTCAAATTAGGGTTAGGGTTGTCGAGAACCCCTTAAATAGGCTCCACTTGGGCCCAAGGCCCATATCATTTCGGCTCAATATGGGCCGGGCCGCGTCTAACTGCAGTGATGTATTTATTGGTATTTTCAATTTATATAATAAATCTAGAATTTTAATATTTAATATTATTAATGACAAAGATTGGTGTTTGTTTGTTTGAATTTTTGACCATTGTTCCAACTTTAGAAAGTGGTCCATAAATCTCAATCATTAAAACAAAGCCCGTGTATTTGGGCTTAGGACCACCAAACAGGCCTTTGCTGAATAAAGGATTTTGGGCCGTCATTATTCAATGCACTTCTGTGGTCCATTTACTTTTTCCTAATCATCATTACCACAATTAATTTAATTAATTAATTTATATAATCACCACATGGCGAATTACTACATACATAAATACATACAGAGGATATCTTGTCACGATGTGAAAAGCGGTGGGCCCCAATAATAATAATAATAATAAATATATAAATAAATAAGCAATTAATTATTATTATTATTATTATTATTTTGTTAGGATTAGGTCAGTCAGCAGCAGCAGCCATGTGACAGTTAATATGAACACAGTAACCCTATGGTGTTATTAATTTTTATTTCTAAAATCTGACAAGATTGATTAATTAATTTTATTTAATTAACTGAAAATGATTTGATTGGTGATTCCAAATCAATTTGGCACCGAAAAGATTTGGTTGATTTTTGACAAAATTTCACTACTTTTTTTTTACACCATTTGCCTGCGATTGATTGGGTCACTACATTTTTAGATAAATCTCTAATTATTCCAACCAATAATTGACGTTTCAAAACCTCGTTTTAGTCGTGCCTTTTTAAGGTAACTAATGATTTAAGGTTAGCTACGAAATTAGGCCAAAAATTTCATTTGTTCAATGATCAGATTGAATCTATTTATAACATAGACCATAATATTTCAAATTACATTAATACCCTCACACGTAACGGTAGTTCCATCAAAATTTTCGGATCACGTGGTGTGTTATGAATAATTCTGGATTTAAATTTTATTAATATAAATAAACACATTCATATTTAATAGGTGCTGAGAATTTTTAAATTTAGACTTAGATCCAAAGATATAAAATAAATTTAAAATAGACTGTTGTAGCTTTTGTTGTTATTCTCTAGCCCCTTTTAACTAAATATATATATATATATATCCAAAATTAATTTTTATTTAAATTAAATTAATTTAATTTAGGTAATAGATAGGGTTAGGCCGAAAAAGTATGATTAGACAGTCCGTAGGGCAGATTCAAAATGGGCCCACTTATCTGGTAATTCTACTATTGGGCCCCAATTTAATTGCACAATGGTCAAACCCACTTCATCTTCACTACAAATCATTTCTAATCACAAAAATTAATCCCTAAATAATGATTTCTCCAGACATAATTAAAAAAATTAATTTAATTCCAAATCACAAACAAAAAGAGCATGGAAAAATAAAATTAAATAAATTAGAGGGTCCCATGTTCTAAATTACACATGATTAGTAGTAGGTCCAAAATAATTTAATTCCATGGGGTTACTCCTATTTATTATTATGTTTCTCATTTATTGTAAAAGCCCCTTTCCCTATCCCATTATTTAACAAACCCTCCTTCTCTCTTTCTCCTTTTATTAATCATAAAATTTTAAATATACATTTTTATAGTAAAAATAATAAAATAAAGTGTGTTACATGGAATAAAACCCAAACTTAGTATCAACAATGGATGGCTGTTCTAAAAGTCTAAAGACAATCATTAATGGAATATTGCGTAGGCAAAATTAGTACATACATGGCAAAATAAATAAATAAAATTTATACTATATTTTTAATATTGCTAAAGTAGAGTAGGTCAATCATCAATTATAATTATTTCATCTTATATAGGGCAATAAATAGTTGAGCCAACAATTATGGACTCACTCACACATTCATTTAAAATTTGAAATAAATTGAAGGGCCCTTTATTCAATTCTGTCACAAAACCCCATAACCCATCTGAAGTAACAAATAATAATAATATTATTATTATTATAATTACAAGTTATCGTAACATGTATTCCCCATGTGGTCACGAAATTACATCGGACCATGAACAGTGGGGGCAATGTTCAAATAATTTATTGCAAACCCTAGACGAGATTAAATTAAAATTAATTCAAATTATTAAAAAATAAAATAAAAAAACACTCGAGGGGGATGGAAGGGGGGGAAAGAGAGATTCCCGGAGAAGAGAACCATGCGTGGGCTTAATTGTTAAATTGCAATTATATAAATAAATAAACCAAATATTTAATTTTTAATTACATTATCTTACTGGTAGACAATACAATCGCGACTTTACGTGCATTACAACTCATCACTTGATTATTAATATTATTTATTAATTAATTAAAATAAATAAATTAGAAAATCAGGATCCGATTTGCAACATCAATTAATTAAAATAAACAACAAAATGCAGACAATACAAAACAAATGTATACATATATTTTTTGAATAATAAATATTGAAGAAGATTGATTGATTATAGTGTAGTAATTGGTTGTTTTATTTATTTATTTATATTTCTATCAATATTAGTATTGAATTAGATTAAATATATTATTATTATTATTATTATTATTATTATTATGATGATGATGATGAGCAGCTTTTGGACATAAAAGGGACAGATCGATGGACTCCATATCGAGACAGTGCCAACCCATCATACAATGTCCCTTTCCCCCACTGACAACACAACATTACACAATACTATTACTACAATTTATTATTATTGGACGAGGGCATTCTTGTCATTTCACTCTCACTGCTAACATTTTCTGCAGTGTCCGGTCCAGGGCAGAGCACTGGTGGTACTCCGGTCCGGTCCGGTCCAGTCCCCACACCAACCCAACTTGGTGCAAACGTGGGACACCTCACCCCCCATTATTCTTATTCATATTTTATTTATTTAATAAATAAATATTTTTACCAATTAGTATTATGACTGTTACTACTGATAATAATAATTAGTTACTTGTTGATGCGAAATTAAAATTTTTGGGTGACGTAGCAGAATATGATTGGGCATGAGTGGTTTCATGATTAAAATTTTTTAACAGATATCATCACATCATATAGTCTTATAATTAAGTTATTACTTTTATAATTAAAATAAATAAAAATTAAAATTAACGAAATAAGCCTCCTTTGATGCTATTGGTCGATCCTCATTGAACCGACGGTAGATTATAATTTCCTTGGTGGTCCCCGCCACAATCCCATCCGTCAGATCCAGCCGTGCATTCAGAATCATTAGATTCCCCCTCACTGTTACTGTTACTATTACTATTACTACTATTACATTATTTTTTATTTTAAAAAATTATATGATGATATTGATTTTTACTCATGCAACAATAATTTCATGCAGTTGAAATTCGATTGATTATGGTTTTTTATTGAATTAAATTCTGCACAACAGTGCATTTTTTGGTATGTATTATTAATTTTTTTTTTATTATTTATTTAAAAATGTTTGGGACTGTAGGTGTGGGCCAGCGACGTCATGAAAATTTAATTAATATACTGCTTGCTTTGGTTTCTACGGTCGGGGTTGGGTTGAAATGAATGGACGGCTGAGATTGGGCGGAGACACGTGTTGCATTATGGGGCGTGCGATGGAACGCTGGTTAAGTTCTAACCTGACCAGGGGTGAGGCCAAATATAAAAACTCCAAAAAAAACCTTATCTTGTCTACAATTGGTCTCTTGCAGTTTCTCTTCATCTTCCTTGAACCTCTCATTCTGCTGTGCCTCCTCGCCTCGCCTCAGCTCAGCTCTCAGATCCGGAGCTCTGATTTGCGCGACCATGGCGTACTCGTTTCCGGAGGAGGTTCTGGAGCATGTTTTCTCGTTTCTAAGCTCGGACAAGGACCGGAACGCGGTTTCCTTGGTGTGTAAGTCGTGGTACGAGATTGAGCGGTGGTGTCGCCGCCGTATATTCATCGGAAACTGCTACGCGGTCTCTCCGGAGATCGTGATCCGTCGGTTTCCGGAAATAAGAGCGGTGGAGATGAAGGGGAAGCCGCATTTTGCTGATTTCAACCTCGTGCCGGACGGTTGGGGTGCTTACGTGTGCCCGTGGATCTCTGCCATGGCGGCAGCTTATCCGCTACTCGAGGAGATCAGGCTCAAGCGGATGGTGGTGACGGACGAGAGTTTGGAGTTGATCTCTAAATCCTTCAAGAATTTCAAGGTTTTGGTGCTCTCGTCTTGTGAGGGATTTTCGACGGATGGCCTCGCCTCGATTGCAGCCTATTGCAGGTTTTTGCTTGGAAAATGTTAAAAGCTTTTTGCTGCGTCATTTTTCTGCTTGTTTTCTTTGTTTATTAGGTTAGGTTTTTCCTCGCTTTAATGGTGGATTCAGTAAAAAGTCGGAATGAAGTTTTGAAATTGTTTATGGAATTGTAGTTGAACTGACATATAGTTGTTTTTTTTGTTGTTGTGGCAATGTGGTCAACTGTTTGGAGTTCTTTTGGATTTCATATGCACTCCAGTTACGGACTAGAATTGCACTTGCTTACGCGTAGCTGTAAAGCACAGAGTTTTCCATATGCTGTAGATTTTCCATGCCGACAAGATCTGAGATTCCTTGCATTTTGCATGGGTTTAATCCGTTCGCTTGAGTTCAATGCTCTCTAAATCTGAAGCTAAAAGGATATTCAGAGTTTACAATCCAAGAAATGCTTTTTCTTTTTTCCAGAAAAAGAAAACATTGTTTTCATTTAATCATGAATTACATAGTTCTTAACTTGAACTAGGTATTGCTTTTTGGTGTTTATCCATGGATTAAATCGAAACCCCAACCCTTTTCCCTTTTTCTTAAGCGAATGGCAATTTTGTGGCTGCATCTGCATCCTACCTTTCTGGATCTGTTTGAGCATATGTAGTAACCAAGCATATAGTTGGGTTTTTTTTTTTTTTTTTTCCCATATGGATTAATTATGCTCATTGTGCCTTGGAGCAAAGTGTTTATTTTTAAATGTACTTGCCCAACTATAATTTGGGAGGGTGATTGCATTTTTTGAATCTTTGATGTTGTTTTTATAAATTTTCCTTTCTTCTGGATTGGTTTCCTTGTAAGCAGCATTTGCCATTTATTATGTATGACTCAACACTGAAGAGTTTCTCAAATTGCAGGAATCTCAAGGAACTGGATTTGCGGGAAAGCGAAGTTGAGGACCTGAGTGGGCACTGGCTTAGCCATTTCCCTGACAACTACACCTCACTGGTGTCACTTAACATTTCTTGCTTAGGCAATGAGGTGAGTTTCTCCGCTTTGGAGCGTCTCGTGGCGCGGTGCCCCAATCTGAGATCACTGCGGCTCAACCGTGCTGTACCTCTTGAGAAGCTCCCAAATCTCCTCCGCAGAGCGCCACAGTTAGTTGAATTGGGTACCGGTGCTTATTCTACTGAAATACGATCCGAAGTCTTCTCGAATCTCTCTGATGCTTTTGCAGCCTGTAAGCAACTTAAGAGCTTGTCCGGGTTTTGGGATGTTGTTCCCTCGTATCTTCCTGCCATGTATCCCATCTGCTCTCAGATCACTTCATTGAACTTGAGTTATGCTACCATTCGTAGTCCCGACCTTGTCAAGCTTGTCAGCCATTGTCCAAATTTACAGCGCTTATGGGTATGTTTAGTAGTTATTAATGTCTTAGTTACTTGAGGGAGTTTCTTAACCTGTCTACTTATCTTGAATGAATTTTCTCAGGTTCTTGATTACATCGAAGATACAGGCTTGGAAGTTCTTGCTTCAACTTGCAAGGATCTGCAAGAACTTCGGGTTTTCCCTTCAGATCCTTATGGAGCAGAGCCGGATGTGTCGTTAACCGAACGAGGGCTTGTTTCTGTCTCCGAGGGATGCCCAAAGCTCCAATCTGTTCTTTATTTCTGTCGCCAGATGACGAATGCAGCACTAGTTGCTATTGCCAAGAATCGGCCCAATTTCATCCGCTTCAGGCTCTGCATCATTGAACCCCGGGCTCCAGATTACCTGACCTCAGATCCTCTCGACACTGGCTTTGGTGCAATCGTGGAGCATTGCAAGGATCTGCGGCGCCTTTCCATGTCCGGCCTTCTAACTGACCGTGTCTTCAAGTACATCGGGACACACGCCAAGAAACTAGAGATGCTTTCCATAGCATTTGCTGGAGAAACTGACCTGGGCCTGCACCATGTATTATCCGGCTGCGACAGCCTCCGGAAGCTGGAAATCAGGGACTGCCCGTTTGGTGACAAGGCTCTCTTGGCCAATGCTGCAAAGCTGGAGACAATGCGATCCCTTTGGATGTCTTCTTGCTTAGTGAGTTTCGGAGCTTGTAAGCTGCTCGGTCAGAAGATGCCCAGGCTCAACGTTGAGGTTATAGACGAGCGAGGTCCACCTGATTCCAGGCCCGAAAGCCTCCCTGTCGAAAGGCTCTATGTTTACAGAACTGTTGCTGGACAAAGGGTCGACATGCCCGGATTCGTCTGGACTATGGATGACGATGCGCCAACGCTACGGTGTTCTTGAGGCTGGTGTTCTTGAGGCTCCGGCGAAACCGATCAAGAAGGTAGCAGGTACAATGCTCTTTGCTCTAACCTTTCTACTTAATTTGGAAAAAAAAGAAAAAGCTTTATGTGATTGCAGTATATCAGTGGAAGTGGGAAGGAAAGCCCTACCTGGTGGGGGTGGGAGGGGGGGGGGGGTTGAGAGCTCAAATTGCCATCAATTTTTCACTTTGGCTGAGCCTATTCATTGCAATCAGCTACTAATAAGAAACCACAAAAAAATGAGAAAAGAAAAAGAGGGGAGTATGAAGTGTTATGGGAGTTTGTTACCATTGTTATTATGATTATGATTATTTGTTAGTATGTGTAGTAAGTGCAGACTTGTGGCAACTTTTAGATCCCTCTTGATTTGATTCTTGGCTGTGAGTCGATTGTGCTCATGTTCTTGAGTTTTGGGGGTTTGATTTCATTGTTTGATCTGTCTGTCTTGTCTGTTTATTGGCAGTGTATGTTGTTGTTGGTATGTATTTTTGACATTGGGACACAGGCAATTAATTACTTACTTTCCCATCTTATTTATTTATTTTTATTTTTTATGCTCTCACACCACAATTCACCACTCCACATTGCAATTGAATAATTCCATCAATATGAAGACAGCATCAAAACCCATACATTATTATTATTATTATTATTAATATGACCATAAGGTGAATGGAAGGGGCAGTGAGGGCAGATAGTAACAATAATAAATATTATTATAAATACATACTATAAAAATAAGAGAAGAGATGAATTATAAAGTAAAAGGAAAGGCTGACATGTGGGGGTGGGGTGGTAAGTGTTAATGGCACCTATACAAAGGTGGTAGAAGATTATTTACTTGCACCCAATTCATATAATTGGCTGTCTCATGATTCTTTCTATATCTAATATTCTTTTCTATTAAACAACCATCATGGTGATGAAGTTCAGGGTTGCCATAGCCACTGTAAAAGATCATTCACCATGTCACATCTTTTTAATTGCAGAATCAGAAAACAACACAAACAGGTTAGGGTTAGATTAGGGTTCTCTAAAATCTATTGGAAAGATTACTGTGGAATATATTCTTTTGAAGGGAATCTGCTTTGAGCAAGGTAGCTGCTAGACAGACTTCTCTTATTTTGATGGTTATTCAGACAGAGAGAGAGAGAGAGAGAGAGAGAGAGAGAGAGTAGTGTTGTACATTCTTGCATTATTGCATTGTACTTTGTAGTGTGAGAGTGAAAGGGTGTGAATGCAACTACACACACAGTCACTCCCAAAAACTCTTTCTTATCCACAAAATATCAATCAAGAAATATGTTTTTGGTTAAGGTTGGCAGAGAGCAGTGGTAGTAATTCCTTTGCAGTGAAATTTCTTTCCTTTTGACCCTGACAATACATGAATGATGCTTTTTTCATATGTAATTATGGTGTCCAAACAAGTCAATAGCTTTTACACATCGAGCACTGTTCTCTACTCCTATTTACTAGACTCATCCATTCATTCATACCCTTCTCTCTCTCTCTCTCTCTCTCTCTCTCTCACTCTAAAAATCAATCTGTGGACATTAGTAGTCTTCATAGTATCTATCTATCTATCTCTATCTATTTCATGGAGGGCCCACAAAGAAAGACTTTACACACACACAATGCATACATTAGCCCATCTAATCATGAAAGACCTAATTCATGCTTTCTTCTTATGGTTATAAATGCCCCTTGGACGAGGAGGAGTTTTCATTAGTGGGAGGATTGGATTTGATTGGATTCACGTGATTCAATCATCCATTCTACAAAATTTCAGACACAAGAATCTGGGTTTGATGGGAAATCCTGTTTTAAGACATTGCGGATAATTTACAGGTCATAGGAATGGGGTTTGGACAAATCACAAATGTAACTTTTGATCAATCAAGAACCTTGAAGTGTTTCCAAAATATGCTCAAGTCTATATTTCATCACAGGCTGACCTGATTTGGTTTTCTTGAACATCTTCTCCTTGAGAGATTTTCGTCGGGATTCAGACTGCATTTGCGCCTCCTTCCTTGCCTCGATCATGGCTTCCCTCTCCGCCCGAGCCTTCTCTTCCTCCTCGTGCTTCTTCTCGTATATCTCCTTGAGACTTACCCTGTTTTTCTTGCCTTTTGTGTTCTTGTTAACATTACTGGATTCGTACATTTCATTATTTCTGTAGTTGTGACCGGTAGTTCGGTTTTGATTTTCACCCTGCATGAAGAAGAATCAAACCAAAATTCTAAAAGTTCATCATCTATAGCTAGAAAGTTGCATGAAATGTGTATCTCATAGCAGCCACAAAACATTGAGAATTGACGGAATAAAGAAAAGTAATGCTTGCGATAAAATGTCACACCTCCAGTCGGGGTCCTTCCGATGCAGAAGGAATATTCTGATGCTCTTGTTGCTTTAAGGACTTCTTGTATTTCTGCACATACTTTGCATTTCTGTAGAACTCTCTTTTCTTCTCTGTAGACCCAACAAAAATTTCAGATAAATGTAACAACTTAAGATTACTAGCATTAGTTAGACTATCTATAATGCTAAAATGCATACATAGAATGTCCATAAAACCTCCTAAATGTTCACCTAAAGCACAAGCATAGAAAGTGATGATGCAATTGAACTAAGACTTAACAAACAAGATAATTGAATTCAACGAGTGTTTATCTTGCAGTGAATCCATTCAATTCAGATCAATACCAACAGATGATAAATTTTCAGACTAATACTTAGAGATAAGTATTGAAAGTTTTTAGTACTACCGAGTTCGATTGGTTAGTGATCAGTGTAATCCATCTCACTCACAAGATTGTGTTAGTCAATACAAGCATCTGAATCTACATACAACAATGCTCTTTTAGATTATGTTCGTTTAACCTGCATAAGTCTGATTACAAGATGCAGATTTGTTGTGCATACTCCTTACAAACAAATGTGCACATTGAACCATCCTGGATTGACTTCCACACCAAATCCAACATTTAAAGCTAGGGTTATGAAGTTTGGAAAACTATACACAAATTGTCCCATACTTCTTACAACATTAACCATCCTAAAAATGGTCGACTTCGTACCCCCAAAGCTAGGGTTATGAAGTTTTCCAATCCAAAGTGGAAAAAAAATATATCTTATAATACTAATCAACTAATGCCTAATTCAGATTGGCACTCATATCCATCTGGATTTTTTTTTTGATCAGCTAGTAGCTACTGACCACATAAAAGCACAACAAAGATACAAGAAATACGACTGAAAACATCACTATTTCCACAAATTCAACAGAATGCAACAATCTTAGTGACTAACGAACTCGAACAGTAGCTACTCAGCATACTCTTCACAGTGAAATTCGATAGCTCAAACAAGCAAATTAAAGAAGCAGTATGCATCAAGGCAAAGAGGAGATACATACTAATCATGGCGGGGTTATAATTATCATTCCGAGTTTTAGCATTCGCGAACGATTCCAAAGACAAGCCGCCTTTTCCTCCCAATCTCTGCAAATTCCTTTTCATCTTCTTCTTACCCTTGATGGCGTTGCGACCGGCCATATCCGCACGGCGTTTTTCATCGCGCTCCGAAGTTCCACCACCTCTCACCATCGTTACTACCTTATCTCCGTCTACCTTCGACAAACAAGGCGAATCAGGAAACCCTAATCACCATTGATATAAGAAAATTAGCTGTCCCTTAAAAAAATTCAATTTACTAGACTCGCCATTTAAAAAGGCTCATCAAATTTGGGTTGGGCCTTATTATGTTCTAAAATGGGATTCTACGGCCCAAAAGGCTTCTGAAAGCCCAACTTTACGGTCCTTATATATATATATATGGTGATTAAACTGAGTCGTGTAATAATTCCAATTTCAGACCCATACATATTTGGGAAAACCATGCACGACAAGATCCTCGTGTTTTTTAATTAAATTAAGTTGTAAATATATAGATATAGTTTTTGTTTTGAACCAATGATAATCATGTATAACATAAACAACCAAGATGCTTAATTAATTAATTGTTACAATAATAAAACATAAACAAAAATCAACATGTATATATGTATTATTGTGATATATAATCTTTAGATAAGACCAATTCTTCGAGTAATTATATTTATATATAATTTAATTAAAGATAGATATGATCATGCCTTAAGCATTGACTTGTACGAGGACTAGTGCCGGGAGTTGGAGGTCCTGGGAAGAAGGATCGACTACAACTATCTGATCTAAATCGTGTTTGGTGTGATCCGACGGTGAGGATTGCTTCTCAGGGTCATCATCTTCATCTTCTTGTTCTTGTTCATGGTTGTACTGGTTAATGATAATATTATTGTCTTCTTCTTCTTCTTGTTTTCGTCGGGGTGTGGTGGTGTTGAGCTCGATGGTGATGTCGTGAACCTTCGCTTCTGCAGCTGCTGTTGAGAACTGTTTTTTAGGATTTTTGACATTGTTGTTGTTGTTTCTGTACACCATGTATAGCCCCATTTGAGCTACCCCGAATACAAACCCTAGAATGTTGGGTCCCTGAAGAAGATGATCAAGAAATAAATTATATTGATTAATAAAATTAGCTAATTTTATGTATGGATAATGGATGTATTACAGCAATGTAGAAATCCCTGACGGCGAAGCCATAGAAGAACCAGACGACGGCGCAGATGGTGAGGAAGAAGGAGAGCGATAATGGCATGAATTCCACGCTCTTTGTTTTTATCACTTGTCTCTGCGAATCACATCATATCATATAATTAATTAATATTAATATTTAAATATATATACATACAGCACACCGTATGTATTTATATAATACAAATACAACATATAAACTAATAACACATACTATAGTCTTATACAGCATAAACAATATTCGATTTCAGCACATCGTGTTATTATTATACAACACACTTGTAATTATGAACCATCAACACAAATACAACATATAAACTACAACACATACTATAGTCTTACACAACACAAATAATAATTGATTTCAGCACAACATATATTGTTATACAACACACTTATAATACTTATAATTATGAACTAACAACACATTTCGTTATTACACACAACATGTGTTGTGTATAATAAAACTGTGTGCTATTTACAGTACACTTATAACATTTATAATTATGAACTAACAATACGTGTCGTTATTACACACAACATGTGTTGTGTATAATAAAACTGTGTACTATTTATAGTACACTTATAACACTTATATTAATAAACCAACAACACATGTCTTTATTATACACAATATGATGATAAAACTATGTACTATTTATAGTACACTTATAACACTTGTAATTATGAACCAACAACACATGTCTTTATTACACACAACATGTGCTGTGTATAATAAAACTGTGTGTTATTTACAGTACACTTATAATTATGAAGCAACAACATATGTCTTTATTATACACAATATGTATTGTGTATAATAAAGCTGTGTGCTATTTTTATATATTATTACCATGATAGTGAGAGGAGCAGCGAAGACGGTAACAGAGAAGGCGGCGCAGATCCAGCCGACGGCGTCGACGCGCCGCTTCCCTTCCGCCGCCAAATAGGTTGTCCCAATTATTAACCCTAAACACGACACGTTGAACACCAACAACACCTTCGTGATCCCAATCTGCAAATATATACATATATAAATATATATATATATATATATACACACCATTAATGATTTACATCATCAAAATCGAATTGAAATATTAACAGTAGTAGAGATTGGACAGACTCGGGATTGGCTGTTTGAGAAGATGAGGAAAACGACAAGGTAGAAAGTCTCGATCAGACATCCGAGGGAATTGATTGTAATAAGAACGAGAGAGTTGCCTTTAAGGGAGGCGTAATAAAGATACAACATGGCGCTGAACAGCGCAACCGCGTACGGCACCGCCTGAAACTCCTCCGTCGACCTCTTCTTCCATATTCGGTAGAACGTAGGTCTGTATATCATTACATATACAATTACTTTATTAATTACTTAATAGTTATTTATTTACGATGAATGAATGAATTAATTAATTAAAATAAGCTTACACAGGCGCCAAGTAAACCAAGAACGACACCACATTGCCTGCACACACAAAACACAACAAACATGAAATTGTATTTAATTAATTCATCGAGAAATCATTTTTCAATAATAATAATAATACCAAGAATGCCAAGGCCATAGGCTAAATCAATGGCCATTCTTGACGACAGTGAGTTGTTCTTGGTTTAGAGGGGTTTGCTCCCACCTCTCAGATAGATAGATGTATCACAATTTAATTGTTATTTAATTAATTTTCAATGAGATCGAATACCATATATATATATATATATATATAGATGTAGATATAGGGTGGGGAGTTGAATATTATAGATAGGTACAAGATATAGGGCATGAGCTGTCTGAGATTTGGCCACTGTTTTGGTAAGAATAGATCAAACTTATGGCATCAATTTAATTACTTACTTAATTAATAAAATATATATCATGCATTTCTCTTTGAGTCTCCAACCTTCTTACTCAACCCCTAATTAAATTACCCATTTGTATTATTATTATTATTTTTTTTTTTTGTTGATGGCATGATGAAAAATAAAACAGTGATTTAATTTAATATATATATTTTATAAATAATAGGGAGTATAAACCAATATATAGAGCTTCCAATTGAGTTCGAAATTTAATTATTAATCAAACCAGTCATTAATTAATTAATTTCAATATTTATTTCATCAATGGGTGGTGTTGTTCAAATTTTTAGAATACGTATAATGTGTGTTTGTTTTAAAATTACTTTGATTATTCATTAAGATATATAGATACCATTGTTAAAATCTTGATTTTTAATATAACTATTCTTTGGAATTTCAAAACTTAAAACATTCTCATTTCTCTATATTACTATTATTGTTGTTGGCTTGTTATGGATTGAAGGCGGCTAGGGGAGCCGAGCCGAGCCGAGCCGTTGAAATGGACGGCCAGAGATTGGTGTTGATGTAGAAATGGAGGGCTGTGATTGAAGGAGGGGTTGGAGGGGACCCCACTTCCGTTACGCCTCTTTATTTTTCCTTAAACTGACTCCGCTTTGGACACGCCTCGCCAGCTGCCCCTACTTTACGGCTTTACCAATTTCCTTTATTATTATTATGGGAAAATTATATACTCCCAGACTAAATATTTATTTGTTTTTTGCACGTAGTTTTAGAAATATTAGTATTATATTAGGATATAGTAGGAATAAAGTAGAAACGACTAAAATAATCTTATTAGTATGTGTGATATAAATGTAATGATATTTGTGTAATATATTGTAAGTTGTAAGGGTATTTGCAATGTTAGGTAGATAGTACATTTACTAAAAAAGAAAATGAATACTTTGTTATGGAATGGACTAAAATGGAAAAATAAATACTTTGTTATGAGACGAAAAGAGTGATAATGTTATTTTATTTTACTAAAAATGCAAAAAATATTATATATTTTATTTAATAAGTGAATCTTCTTATATGAATGTGAAATTTATACAAAATACTTCTTTGTTCATAACTGATATTTGATTCTAAATAAAGATTTAGGGCGTGTTTGGCAATTAGCTGATTCAATTAGCTGGTTGACTAGCTGATTCGATTAGTTGTTTGTATTAAAATGTTACGTAAAACAACTATTTGATATTAGTTGTTTATACGTAAAATGACAATTTAGGACATTTCTATTTTATTCTTGTTTCTAATATATTCAATTATGTTGTTTAGAATGTTTAAAATTTTTTGTTATTAATTATTGAAAATTGTAAAAGTTTTATAAAAATATTTATTTTTATTACAGTTAGATTTAAAAAATAATATATTTTTATTAAAATATATAAATAAATTTTTTATTGAAAATAATATAAAATATAAAATAATAATTTTTTTGTATATATATTTATTAGGTTAGTTATCGATTAGTTTATTATATTTATAATTTTCAATAAATTTAATTTATTTTTAGTATAAAATTTATATAATGTAATTTTAATGAAAAAATAAATTATTAATATTTATATTTATATTTTATGTTGATTTTAATAAATATATATATTTTACAATTAAAATAATTTTTATATAAAAAATAATTATTTTAAATTTATAAAAGTAAAACTATAATATAATAAAATATTATAATATAATTAATAAATAATCAAAATATATTTATTTGTGTAAAATATATAATAAATTTTTAAGGGAATATAAAGAATAAAAATTTTTTTACAGAAAAAGCTATTTCAAACTGCTGGGTAAATTAGCTTTTCAGAAATTAGCTTTTGGGTCCAAAAAGCTATTCCAAAAAGCTAATTTACCAAACATCTAAATTAGCTTTTTGACTGGTCAAACAGCTAAAAGCTGTTCAATAAACTAAAAGCTCTTCAAAAAGCTATTTGCCAAACACCCCCTTAAATTATGCAAATTTTATACAAATAAAAAATAGAAAAAATCTTAAATAAATTGTTTTGAAATAAATAAATAATTGACCAATTTTAGAAATAATTTTATAGAAATCAGATAATTTATCTTAAAAAACTATAAAATGAATGATTAATCAATTATTAATTTATTTATTGTATTCAAAAAAATTATTGAAGATATTTTTTGATTTTAAATGTATAAAAAATGTATAATTTAGTCTATTTAGAACCGAATATCAATTTTGAACAATGAAAGTGTTTTTTACAAATTTTATATTAACACAAAAAAATTTCACACATAATAAATAAAACATAGGTGTTTTGTGGGGCGTTATAATAAAAATAATTATTATTATAATAATAAATTAATAATAGAAATTTGTTTTCATTGTTACGGTATTATCTCATTTTGGAATAAAATACAAATAAAAATAAGAAGAATTCGTTTAGTTTCTGTCCATTGTGATGACGTCATCACTTAATATAGTATTGTTGTTTGTAATAACAAAATAACTTTTTTTAAAAATATATATATATATATATATTAAATCCAATATTTGTTTTTTAGCAAAAAATAAAAATTGTTGGAGTCTGTTTAATATTATGTATAGACAAAAATAATAATTAAAATGTGAGAATGTCAAAATAATGATGGTATGCCTTTTCTTTATGCAATGTACAAACCCTCTTTTTTCTCAATAAGATTTTCCCTTTCGAACCATACCTTGAAACTGATTTTCTAAAAATAAAATTTTCCATATATTTATAAGTTCAATCATTAAAGATACATCAATCCCACAAAAAAAAAATTAATTTTTTTTTTTTTTATGTACGTAACAAGAAACCCCACGCCAACATTTTAGATATTTATAATTTTGGGATCATTATAATAATATCTTGGGTTCAAATTTATTTCTTGTGTGATGACTGCAATCATCGATTGAATAATTAACAAAAATGAAATAATAAAAATATCAATTAATAACTTATTAAACATAAATAATGTGAATTAATTATTTCCAGTACGTAACTAAATACATTGCCAATATATAGAATATTACAAAAAAAATCAATGCTATTTATCATATACGTGAAAAAATAGGAATGTCCCTTCACAAAGAAATTTCAATTAATTTTAATTTACAATCTAAATTTAGGGTTTGGTGGGTCCGAGAATTTAATTTAATTAAATTAATTAGGCATTACAACAATCATTAGAGATATTTAATGTTTTGACGTTGGATGTGGCCTTAATTTTTCATCCATGCATTATTATTATTATTATTACTCCCTCCGTCCCTGTCTGCTACACTGTGGATACGGTATTTTAGGATGAGTGTAATTAGTAGATAATTAAGAATATATTAGTGAAAATAATTATCCTATAATATAAATAATTATAAATTAAGATTAAGATAACTAATTAGTTTAATTAAAATTAAAAAAAATTTAAAAATTTAAAATGAGATTAAAGTGTGTAATCATTTTCCAAAAAAGGAAAGTGACATGGTATGTGGGACGGACGGTAACGTGGACATGATATCTGGGGACGGAGGGAGTATTATTTTATTTCTTTATTTTTGTGTGGTCAAGAAAAAATCAATAATCATTCATGGTCACACTTGGTGTACTAAAATATTTGGTAATCCATTGATTGATAATAAAAATTATAATAATATGGTGAATTATAAATTAAACAAAAGTGTGAAATTCAATCACTTTGTATGGTCACAATTTTATGGGACTGTTGAATAATATGTATTTAGGACCATGAGAATATTTGTGCCTACTTTATTCTTATTTAAGGCAATTCCATTTTCATAGAATTAATTTTAGTAAAATATCTTCACTATGAATAACAAAATAATAATAATAAATTATATTCTTGAATAAAATAAAGTTCAAAATATTTCTATGCAGTTGCGATGAATATATATTTTATATACATGTTCAAAAGCATTCATTTTTAAAATCATATTCGCCAAGTTAAAAAATAAAAAATAAATTGATGACTAATATTTATTATTATTATTTTCGTAAAGATTTAAGTTTATGTAATAATAACAACATAAAATATTTTCAATATAAATATAGAAATAGATATATTAGTATTTACCGACGTGAAGTGAGCTTTTGGTGATATAATAATAATAATTATAATGGCATGCATTGTGAATGATTGGAGCTTACGTCAGCTAAATCTGTTTTTCATTTATTAATTATTGATATATTTGGAAAGTATTTTGTCTTTATTGAGGTTGCTTGGACGAGTACAATTAATTAAGGGTTTGGATTTGAATTATGTACGAATCTATATATGTATTGTATGTATTGTTGGGGTACTTTGTCTTTTATTAACCAATTAATGGCCTTAAAAGATTAATTAATGGCCATATTATATATATATATATCTTATCATTGGCGACCAACAAATTATTTGTCATCATCTTCCCATTAATTTCTTTCTTGATTTTAACTCTTGTAATCGTATACTTGCTCCGTCTCATATTTATATATTCATTTGTTTTTTTCACGAAATTTTTAAAATATTAATATTATATTATGATAAAAGTATAAAAAAAAGTAAAAAAACTAAATTAACCATATTAGTATTGTATGATATAAAAGTAATGACATTTGTATAATATATTGTAAATTGAAAGAGTATTTGTAATGTTAGATAGATAATAAATTATTAAAAAAAAGAAATGAATACTTTGTGATGAGACGGACTAAAATAAAAAAATAAATAAATTGTTAAGGAGGATATCAATTATCTCATCAACATTGGGAAAATCCTAACCCCTAATTTATTTATTTTTCTTAAACATTCCTATTTTAACAAACCCATTTATTTATTATTAATAATAATATTTATTATTATTATTATTATTATTATTATTATTATTATTATTTTCTAAAATTTATTGTTCTATCAATACTAAGATGATTAACCCATTTATATGCCGCGTTATAATGCAGATTATGTTGCATTTAATCCGCACTACCCTGATAATATAGTAACACACACACACATATATATATATATTATATAATATACTTCATCCGTCTGATAATTACGTATTCTTTTGTTCTTTTACGAAGTTTTAAAATATTAGTATTATATTGAGATGCAATAGGAATAAAGTAGAAACAACTAAAATAACCTTATTAGTATTGTATGATATAAAGTTAATAATATTTGTTATATATTTTAAGTTGTAAGTGTATTTGTAATGTTAAGTAGATACCACAGTTACTAAAAAAGACCAGACTAAAATAAAAAAATAGATAGTTTGTTATGAGACGAAAAATATTAGATATAATAGATTAATCATTTGCTTGTGAATCATAGTTGCTTTTTTCTTTTGCTAGTTTTGAATCTTAAATACTCCCTCCGTAAAAAAGAGTTGTCTTGTTTTTCTATTTTCGTCCGTCCCAAAATAATTGTCTCGTTTTCTTATTTAGTAACCGTGGTCTCCACTTTATAACAAAATTATTCCTATTTTTCCAAATTACCCCTAATTATTACTCTAATTTACTTTTTAAAATTCCTAAAAAAGTAAGGGCATTAGTCTTTTACATTATACTTTATACCCACTTTCAATTAAATATTATTATTTCTTAATTATTGTATCAACACCTAATAAGACGTCTCTTTTGGGACAGAGAAGTATATTACTTCTTTTATTCCAATTCAATATATCATTTTAACATTTTCGTTTGTCCAATTAAAAAAGATTATACTACATCCGTTCGGTTCTAAGAGTCTCATTTACTTTTTGCGAGTTGATTTTTTAATATTAATTATTATATAAAAAAGTAGTACAAATTAAGAAAAAAATAACAAAAATAATTCTATTAGTGTATATTTGTGAAAAAAATTATACAAATATAAAAATATTTTTAATGTTAAATAAAATGACACAAAAGTTAAATGAAACTCTTAGAGTCGAACAAAAAAAAACGTATTATATTATAGTAAAAATAATTCATATATAAAGCATAAATAGACATATAAGATTGAAATTACCATAATATAAATATAACATTAATGGGTTGAATTTGATTGTGGGGAATTTTTATGGGCTGGCTTGCAATAATTTATATCTGAATCCCAAATATTAATTAATTTCCAGCCCAATCTATAAAAAGAAAATATATTATTTTAAGGCCTTGATTCAATTCTTATTGCAATTTATCATACTAACTAACGGGACCCTGCATTTCTTTTTGGATTTCACCTTTTTTTTTTTTGTTTTTTTTTCTTTTATTTTAATTATACTAATTTATATCTATTTATAAATTATAATATTTTCTATTCATCTATTTTTCTTTTTTATTTTATTTTACTTTTATTATATATAAAATAATTAGTTTTTGTACATTTATATTTTACTTTTATAATTGATATTTATAGTAAATTATATATTTATTTATACATATAATTTTTATTGATTAAACGCTGACCTCAAAAAAGTGAAAATTAGTAGGATTTCACACCAACTCGACTATTTCTGACAAGTTGTTTGATGAATTATAAATAAAAATTGATATAATATTTTAAATATAAAATAAATTTATAGTATAATATAAAAAAAATAATTGTTTAATTTGATATTTTAAAAAAATAAAAATAAAAATCTGAATAATAAAAATATACTGTGAAACCTGCGGAGGAGCACAACCATCCAATCTCCTCTTTGATGCAATTCAAAGTGATGACAATTAAGAAAACACCATTGATATTGAGCACTCTTATCTTCCATGCCAAAACCTTACCTCTGTTCTTGAAGATGGCTTCTTACTCCATTCAATACCACAAGAACATCACTCGGGATCGCGATCAACTTTTCGCCATGAAAACATCAAATAGCTCAAATCATCGAGATAAACACGGCGACCATTTATACAGCCCGGAAATGGCGATTACAATATAACATGTTCGCAGTCTTACAGATTAGCAGAGGGTTATCATACAACAAAAACAATACATAAGTCTCATTTAACAGCAAGAATCGAGAATGAAAACAATGCACAAGAATTGCTAGTTGCTACCACGCATCACATCCTGTTCGCATTCATCTTTGCAAATCGACCCTTTATTCTTGTCCTACTTTCTGCGCGTATTTTCCTCGATTCGTATCTGATGTGCTTGTCGTACCTGTTATAGAGGTGTGATGAATGAGCTATTGCAAAGAAGAGTATCCGGGACCATAGTTTATAAAACATATTTTTTTTTTACCTTCTTGTTTTCTTCTTCTCTTTGTACCGCGTGATCGCATGATCTCTTTCCTGACTGTTTAATTCGCGCAATCCAGTCGAAGGAAGTGGTTGAAAAGGCTTGGAATCGACAAGAACATCGGGATGAAGTTCTTGGAAACTACCTGCACCTTCACAAGCATCTGAATCCTTGTCGGGCACCACGTGGTTTGTCTCAAGCAAGCTGTCGACAAATGTGGAAGGAAATCCCTCGTCTTGAACCCCGCTGGTAAAATCATACCACTTCAAATCGCCATCCTGCGAATCCTAAATATGATCAACTCTTCGCTTTTCAATCAAATGTAGAGAAGGATATGTCGAAAAGTTCTTCCAATTTTCAACATAATCAATCAGAAGATCCATTTTGATGATATCAACTGTACTATGTTTGATCAAATCACAACTTTGTAAGTAACAATCAGTAGTATTGTAACCAAGAACAGCAAGACATTGTAATCAATCAACCAATTTCGAAATTTTCATCCAATTTCCACACACAATCAAATGTACTATGTTCGACCAAATCACAACTTCATGAGCAACAATCAGTAGTATTCTAACAAAGAACATTGCAATCAATCAACCAATTTCGCACACAGGCAGGCACCAAATCCTGAGATGAAACTACAACAAAATCACAACTTCATAAGCAACAATCAGTAGTATTCTAACGAAGAACAGCAGGACACTGCAATCAATCAACCAAGAGCGCAACACATCAACATAGAAAATCTGGATCTGCTTTGGATATCAATCAATTACATTACCTCATACGAGGGCATCGACATTGGCTCTGTATTATTCCCATAGCCATGGCTACTGTCCCTCAATTCACACTTTTCTGGTAATTGTGGCTGAAATTCAATCCCCTCCAGAGAACCACTGAAGTTAGGTTCCTTTTTGGCCATTTCACGAAGCTGGAAGAGTATCTCTTGTTTATGCTTACCACAAACGGCATTTCGATTCTGAAACAATAACATTGCAGAAGAAATCAAGAATTAGATCAACAAAATTGGGGACAATAATCTGCAGAAACGACGAAGGAAACCATTCGATTGGAAATTAGTGAGCAAACCTTAGGCAATGGAGGAACTCCCATTGCCTGAAAACTATGGCCACCAGAATCAACAGAATCATTCGAGGAAATCAAATCATCGAGGCTCACAACAGAAGGAGTCTCCCAAACCAATAAATTCATCAAACCCTCGGCATTCCCTTCATCGACAACAACCAAGCTTTTTTTCCCCAAATCCTCCAAACCTAAAAAATTCAACATCTCAGCCACGGACGGGCAGCCATTAAACCCCTCAATAGGCCTCCGATCATGAACAGCACCAAAATTCTTGTGCGTCTCCCAATCGCAATTCTGACAGAGCACCACGGAGTCCGTGCGGCAAAAAATCGTTGAAGGCGCAGAATTGCAGGAATCGCAGAGAAGCGCGCGGCTGTGCTTCTTGAAGAGCTGATTCGTGGAGTGCACTTCACGATCGCAATTTAAACAAAGCTTCGCCGAATCAGCTCGGCAGTAGAGGAGAGCTTTTGGCTCGTTGCAGAAATCGCAACAACGATCCGTTTGCTCGCCGGAAGGCGGCAGGTTCTCGAGGTCCGGTACACTCATGGCGCCGGAAATTCCACTCCACCACCACAACGACAACCTTCCTGATCACTCGATTCACAAGATCTCAGTCAGTCTAGCGCAGTATCGAGAGAAAAAGGGAAACAAGAAACCTTATCGCTTTTCACGTGTCTTGATCCGCCAAAGGTAAGAAATTTGTGAGCCAAGAAAGAATCAACGAGTCCAGCGGTTCCTCAGCAGCTCCCGGACCAGAAAAACCGAGGAGATCCAGACCGTTGATATTTATGTTGGATCCCACTCTATTGACGGTCTGGATTGATCTTCGGTGTGAACTCCTAATATTTTATTAGATTCGGATGACCGTAGTTCCTACTGGACTGAATAAAATCTTTCTGGAACTATCCTTATCCAATTATTATTATAATTATTAAAATATAATTTGAGCAGACATTGTTTCTAGTGTTACTGATGTTCCAGTTCGAATATTTTTAAAAAAATTTTGTAATCAAAAGACAAATGTAAAATTGACAATAAAATTAGAGTAAAAATAAAAATAAATTATGAAAGGTGAATAAAGATATTTTTGCAAGGAGAAATAAATATCAAATTTGGACACTGTTTTTGTCCTCCAATTGGGAGCAGCCAACCAACCGCTCTTTTCTTTCAATTTCAAAATATCGGAAAAAAAACAAAAAAGTAAATAAAATTAATATGGGTTGAAATTGAATTAAGCTACGCTATGATTTTGTATTAAATATCTTTTTTTTTAATTTCGAGCATTTGAATATTTATAAAAAACTTTATGAAATGTAATACTTCCTATGTCCACTTACAATGTTTACATTTACTTTTGCCCCGATATTTAAGAAATAATAGTATTTTAATTATAGTGAGTAGTTAAAAGTAGTGTAATGACATTTTTACTCTTATTTTTTTTTTTATAAAAGTAATGATGTGATGTAAAGTAAGGACATTTGTGGAAAAAAGTTGGGTATTTAATGAAATATTAACTTTGTAATTTAACATTCCAAAATAGAAATATATAAACATTGTAAGTGGATGGAGAGAGAGTATATGTTACATAAAATTCTCATTTCATGAAAGTATTGGGAGGTATGATTAATATTAGGGACCACACAAAGACATAATTTGAAGACGAGATTAAGCCACATACATACATTTATTAATTCTAAATGGAATTACAAATAGCTTATTGTCAATAGTATTGGGTAAATGGCAATTAATTTTTTTTGTTTCCTATAGCAATTTATTTATTTTGTGGTGACTATATAACATAAATTATATTCAATATCTATTTATGATTTTAAAATGACAAGAGATTACGTGTAAATTTTTTAAAAATAAAATAAAATCAATTTCCCCATTAAAATCAATATATATTACTATGTTTTTGAAGGTTTTCGGAGTTAAGTTTATTTGATGTAAATAAACATAATATTTTGAATGAACAATTATTTTTATGAATATAAAAATAATTAATTAATTAATATGACTTTGTTAAAAATAAAATTTTTAATCCAACCCAAATCCACTGCCAAACACACCCTTAAGATTTGCCATGTCATAATACTCTCTAGAACTTGCTATTTTGATGGGTTGGGAGTTTTATTAATTATAACCGACAAAAAATAAATGATGTCACAATAAATTGACTTTAAATGAGTGTATACATATAGGTACTTGGCCACCAAGAAAGCTAATATACATCGATAGTAGTAGTACAAGTTAGCTAAAAATTGATGAATCAAAATTAAATCGATAAAGATGCAAAATACACAAATCCTCCAAAGGACAATTGTGATAATCTTTTCAAAAGAATAAAGATACAAAAAATATATATCATATTAAATTATTGTTTTAATTTAAAATTTTGCTATTTAAAAAAATAAACACACTTAAACTAAAATAGTGATCATTTTTACTATATATATATATATATTTTTTTTCATTACTGGGGATGAGTTCACATCATCCTTGAACTCATACCTAATAGTAAAATACATTTCAATTTCAAATTTTGGAGAAAATAAATAAACTTGGCAAAAGGTACTAAAAGTATATTTTTCCAACCATTTTGTCACAATAATCTATTAGCTCCCCCAATTCATTATCATTGTTGAACAACTTTTCTTGGTCATTATTATTTTCACTCAAATTGATATTATTACATTGCACTTAAAATTCTATCATTTAACTGTCCTGAAGATTGATCTTCTGTAAGTGATGGATCACATGCTGAATAATTATGTTGTCTTCTATATTGGTGCCCTCACTGTTACTTTCCATATTTGTGGACAAACTTTTTGAATCATTAACATTCAAATTGGAAATTCTTTTTTCACCATCAATCGTTAAACTAATACCACCAACTTCATCACAATTTTTTATAAGCTTCGATGTCTAGTCAATAGAGTCACATACTCTACAAATAGCAAATCATCATCCAAACTTTCACTCTCTATTTCATATTCACTATTATTTACTCTTAGACAATTAGTTTTCACTATTATCTACCGTGTTTATCAAGGGAGAAAGTAATGTTATCATCTATTTTCATATTCACTGTCTCTTTTACATATTGTGCAATACTCAAGTCATCGTACTATCTGTGAAGATGAAAAATAAAATTTTCTATCCATTTTCAAATCCACGAGTAATAGCTAACGACTGAAGCATTTTTAAGTTAATAGAATCAGCATTAACTCCCTCAAAAGTTGTCGTATATTCACCCACATATTTTGTGAATGAGTTTTTTTGATGATTTTACCTCCAAAATACATATTAATGACAACTAATTGCGGTTGAGGGTCGATCAACCTTTCCCAGTACTCTTATACCTTAGACAGATGAGAAAACACCACGAATGAGATAAATAAAATAGCGACGAAAAACCCTAAACTGAGCTAAAATGACAAGGGAATCAGGTAGGGGACCAAAAACTTAATATATACTCTAAATAAAAATAAAAATACTCAGTTAATTAGTTGGTCTCAAATAATATATCAAAACAAAACCATGGAGCATAAAGAAAGAAAGAAAGAAACAGAAAATTGTAACAATGCAAAATATATTTGGAGTGTGATGTGATGGAGACTGAGTTGCAATCAATCAACAAATGAATTGGTAGAGACGGATGGAGTTACTTATTATTTATGCTTGAGATATTTTAAATATTTATTTTTAAATTTAATAGATTTATATTTTAATTTTAAATTATTTAAATTTGAATTTATTTTTTGTACTGCCTATATAGACTCTTATTTGCACACGACTAATAAAATAATCTCTCGATAAAAATTGAAAGACATTAACATTAATCGGACAGGCACTTTTGACTTTGACTTTAAATTAAGTAAACAAGGACAAAAAGGTAATTCCACATAATTTTCCAATAACAACAGACCAACAAGCAGAAAGGTAGGCAGTAGGCACTAGCTAGGCAGGAAAAGGGAATTAATAACGAACCAATAATCACCTGCAGCACCTTAACTTAATTCAAACCTCATTTAGCCCCTAGGCTAGGCTGTCTGGCTACCTTAATTAATTTAGCTTGCGATGACATTGACACAGACACTTAACTACAGTACAGTCCGCCTACAATGACGAACCCTGCAGTAGCTGCAGTTACTTATAGTACAATTATTAATTAAATCAGTACCATCATCGATCAAATATAATCATAAATTAATAATGAGTCGAGATCACGTGATCAGGAGATGGTGTGATTCTGGTAAGGGGCGAGGCGGGGGATGAGGGAGCCGCTGAGGTGGAGGGACATGACCTCGTTGGTGGAGCCGACGAGGCTGCCGCCGATGAAGACCGCCGGAAGGGGGCCGCTGCAGCCCATCCGCATGAGGGCTTTCTCGATGTCGGCGCCGGCGGGGTCGCCGTCGATCTCGTGGATCAAGGGCCGGACCCCGAGGTCCTGGAACAGTATCTGCACCGCGTAGCAGAGGCAGCACGTGCTCTTCGTGAAGATCACCACCCCGTTTTCAGAGCTCATCTTGGCAATCTTCTCCATTTGTATTTATTGATTATTTAATTAATAGTAATTGATTGAAGAAGAGTTGAATTGGGCAGAGTTTGTGAGGGTAGGGAGGGCCTATTTATAATAAATAACAGTATATGGCAGTGAGGTGAAGGGATGATCGATTCAATGGTTGGTTTTGTTGGAGACAACAATGCAGTGCAGCAAACAACAGGGAAGAAGGAATAGATGAATAAATAAATAAATAAATAGTATTGGTAATATAAAGTGTGGATCTGGAATCCCATGAAAAGCCTGGAATTGATGTAAAGGTGCTTTGCTTTTGGAGAAGGAAAAAGAAAAAAGATCCTGAAATACTTTGGGTAGCTATTAGTTCATACAAGTTGAACATACATACATACATACATACATATATGTATACGGAGAGGAGAGTGGATTCGTATCTCCGTCGATCGCTCAATGCCACTTTTGAATCAATTCGGCACAGATTTATCAATGTTGTTGACTCCACTGTCGTCCCTGCAGATGCCCATGAATATAATTAATAATAAAAAATAATACTACTTGTCATGTGCTTTGAGATATTTTTTCATCTTTTTTGCTAATTTAATATACAAGTAAATTAAGAATGAGTTAATTATATATTGATTAGAATTAATTAGGAGGCGTAATTAAATTTGGGGAATCAAGATGAGAGGGATGGATGGGATGGCACGTTTTGATTGATGATGCGTATATATATATAGTCAAATCGAGGTCGGGTCGGGACTGGGGTGGGGGGCTCTTTCGGTGGATGAATCTGAATCTTTCTTCTTCTTATTAGTATTATTATGTACATTCTATTTTATTTTTTATTTTTAATCTTCTTATTCGATGCTCATGTTTATAAAAGATGACATTATATTCAATATATAATTTATATTCAAATATAGTATTATAGTATTAAATTTCTTTTATTTTTTAAAAATTAAAACTTCAAAATCAAAGCATATACATATATATATATATATCTATAAACAGGGCCATATAGACGGGAATTAATGGGAATGGGAGTTTGTGAGGGCAGCAAGTTGATTGACTGTGGATGCATCCAATCCATGCAAATATACTCATAAATTAAATAATAATAATAATAAAATAATAATAATAACAACAATATTGCATGTGTGTGTGTGTGTGTGTGTGTGTGACAGCTGGTGGTTGGAAAAGTGTATTCGATGGAATCAAATAAGTTCCAGAGTTCTTGGACGTGAGACTGGAATCTTATACATAATGGGCCTATACCTATACCTATACCTATGGGCTTGGTCCTAACTCCTAACCGATGACCACGACCGTGACTTGCACCATCCCTTGCAAGCGAAGAATCTTCTTAATATATTTATTATTTATATTTATTTTTGGCCACCCAAAATTTTAAAAATAATACTCCATCTGTTATCCAATTGTGTGCTCATTTGATCGGACACAAGTTTTTAAAAAATTATGTAAAAATATAAATTTTTATTTTTTTTTGATAAAGAAAAGTGATTTTTTTTACTAAAAACGAAACGAGAATAAATTTGGATAACAACCAAAAAAAGAAAATAAGAATACATTTGAATGACGGAGGAAGTACTATTATAGTCTCGTTATTTTTTTCATTTATTTTTTTGTATATTTATATTTGATTATCAATTATTATATCAAAATATAGTAAATTAAGAGATAGACAAAAAAATATTTTTATTAATATCTTATAATATAAATATAAAAATATTTTTAATATTAAAAAATAATAACTCAAAATGTAAAAGAGAAGATTGACGGTGGACGGAGATAGTAATATTTTAATTGTAATTAGAGCTGTTAAACGAATCGAGTAGGTCGCGAGTCAAGTTCTATTCGGCTCGTTTATAGAGATAAACAAGACGAGTTCGAGCTCGAGCTCGAAAATTATTTTTTTTACAAATGAGCCGAGCTCGAGATCGAAAATTATTTTGTTTTACAAACGAACCGAGCTCAAGCTCAGCTTGCTAGTAGCTCAATTGAGCTCATTAGTAATTATATATTTTAATATAATATATATAATTTTTTATATCAAAATTTATATTTATTATTAAAATTTGAATATTTTATTATAAAAAAATATGAATAAAATTAAATATATTTAATTTATATATTAAAAAATATATAGAATATGTGTAAAATTCAAACCAAACTCGAGCTTGAATTTGAGCCTAACGAGCCGAGCTCAAGACACTATTTTGACTCGAACTCTTAACGATTCGAGCCGAGCCATTACCGTTAACAAGTTCGAGTCAAGCTCGAACAACCAATACTCAAGTTTGCTCGGTTCGTTTAACAGCTCTAATTGTAGTAGATAATTACAAGTAATATAAATATAATTTTATCTTTTTTTTTTTTTATGTAAAATGAATGATGTTACGATAATAGAGATATTTGTAAATATATATATATATAAGGTATTTTTGAAATTGTCTTTATAATTAGACAATTCAAAATAAAATTATACATATTTTGTAAGTGAACAGTGATAATATATATTACCTCATCAATTAGTTATGCCACAATGTATATATTTCATAAAAATTTCTTTCTCTATATATTTTTTTAATAATTTTATATTATAATATATTTATATTTATATTTATATTTATTTATATCAATACTACCAAATCAAAATTCGATAAAAAAAGGAGCTAATTTTTTAAAATCTATAAATAATGCAATTTATTTATACATATAAAAAAAGACATTTATTTATTTTTGAAAGTGGTATCCTTTAACTTGCTAAATATTAAAAGCCTCACTTTTTAACACATTGTATAATATGCATAACACATAATACTCTATACATCTCAACTCAATATATATATATTTTTTTATTATTTATTAAAAAAAAGTTTTTATTTTTATTTTTATTTTTTATTTTGCGAAGTAGCTTCAAGAAATATTCTTTTTATGTGAGGTATAAAAAATTATATATGCAATATAAAAATAAAAATAAAAATGAATGTAGTGATACATTAATTTTTTGACAAAATGTATATATTTTTTTTTACAAAATAAACAAATCCAAATATGTTTTTCATTGGTCAGATAAGTATTATTCAAAACCTTTAACACTCATTTTTAAAATATTGATTAAGAATAAATTATAATGAAAGCAACTACATGTTGTAGATATTTATTTTTATATTATTTGAAATCAATAAATAGTACTATTATTTAGAAGAAAATTTTACTTTAAGGGTGTGTTTGTACGTGAGATTGGATTTTAAATACACTGTTCATTTCATTTTTTTTCCCTAAAACATCAAATCAAACATTTATTTTTCATTTTTTATATTATACTAAAAATCAATTTTATATTCAAAACCTATTTATATTACATCATACAACTATTCAAATTCAAAATTTTTATTATTGGTCTTTAATATTGCCTTACTTTCCATAATTGTTTGTTTGGTTTTAGTTTTAGTTTAATTTTAATATTTGTATTTAAATAATAATATTTTAAAATATAGTACTCCCTCCGTCCCATAACAAAGTATCTATTTTTTCATTTTAGTCCGTTCCATAACAAAATATCTATTTTATTTTTCAGTAATTGTACTATCTACCTAATATTACAAATACCCATACAACTTACAATATATTACACAAATGTCATTACATTTGTATCACACATACTAATAAGGTTATTTTAGTCATTTTTACTTTATTCCTACTACATCTAAATATAATACTAATATTTCTAAAATTACGTGTAAAAAATAAATGGATATTTAGTTATGGGACGGACGAAGTAATACATTTTATTAAAAATTATACAAACGGAGTGAAAAATAATTTTGATTTGAAAGCAAAATCAAATGAATTTAATTTTTTAGTATTTATTTATTTATTATAATTACTTTTTATACTATATATTCATTTAAAAAAGTAAATAGTAATAAAATATAGTGGTGGAGATAAGGGATGCACTCGTTGTCCAATACCATTAAAAATTAACTTAAAATACAAATAGAAAAAAAAATAAAAAATACACGAAGTATCATTAACTATTATTTAAACATTGTTATTTATCAATTTTTATGTAAATATATATATATATATATATTGGCCCTGGACAAAAGAAAATATATGTTATAATCGATCTTATTACAAAATTATATGTTAATAAAATATAAATGTTAGTAATACTTAGTAGTTTATATATCACATATCATTGATACTCTCAGCTCATTATGTCAATATGTGATATATTTTTGTTGGTGTTCTTTATTTTTTGAATTGTTATATTTGCGGTTATTTATTGTACTTTAATTTTGCCATGAAAATTCTATCAAAAAGACTATAAAAATATTCGAGGAAATTGGATTTTAAGTGAACCTTATATCTCCTCCAATTATTTGGAAAATTTTTTTGATATCATTTTGGTACAATATTTCGCCGTTTGTATGGATCTAACCCGTTTTTCGCAACACGTACATAGTATACAAATTATATTTTTATATAGCATATCGTATAGAAGCATATGTTGTGCTTATTATATATTGTATTATGTTGTATAAATATACTTACGGTACTAAAATCAATATTATATTGTGTTATATGAATCTATATTATATCCTCTTAAAATATACCCCTCCGTCTCAGAACTATAGTTTGGATTGTGTTTGACACGAGATTTAAGGAATATTGATATTATATCGGTAGTGGGTAAAAAGTATAGGTAAAAGACTTTTTTGCCGTTATGAGTGTATTAATGTAAAAAGTAATGGCAATTGTGTAATAATAATGAAAAAGTAAAGGTAGTTCTACAGTGATATGATTATTTATGGAAATGAGACTATTGTTTTTGGACGGATAAAAATGATAAACATGACTATTATACTGAGACGAAGGGAGTATATTGTTACAATTAAAATATGCATTGTATATTATATTGTCACGTGTTCTCAAATATATTTATTTAAATTTATTATTTTTAAAATTTTGTGAAATTTAATAAATAAATAAATAAAAAAATCTTTTTCTAAGCTGAGTCAAATTGATGATAATAATGGTATTGGATCTATCACCTTTTCACCACTAAATTTTTTGGAATCAATGCTTCTGGTCTATCACCGTACGCGAATCATCAGACGATACCAAAACTTAACGTCTATAATTTAAAATTAAAGTAGCCACGGTTTACATAGATATTTTTATTTTATATAAAACAAATAATAATAACTTTAATCAATAAAAACTTCTTTAAAAAATATAATATCAAATATATATTTAAATATTGCATTCAATAATTAATTTTTAGAATTTGAAAATTTCTATCTAAATAAAATCTTAGTTAAGAATGTTTTTTTTTTTTTTTGTATATATATTTTTTTTCATAATTTTAAAGTAAAAATAATTGTTTGACATAAATATTTTTAGATATTGAATATAATACTTTTTAAAGAAAAAATAAATAAATAATAAGAAACTGAGAAGAAAACAGAGAATCACTAGCTTGTGCTTAAATTACACATTCGCGATACAATTTTGTTGTTAAATGACTACTTCCACTAAAATTTATACTTATAATTAATTTGATATTATATACTTCCCCCGTCCCAGTACAATAGTCTGGTTTACCATTTTTGTCCGTCCCAAAACAACAATTTTATTCCATAAATAACAATATTACCGTAAAACTACCCCTACTTTTTTTTTTATTACACAATTGTCATTACTTTTTACACTAATACACTCATAAGAGTAAAAATGTCTTTTATCCATATTTTTTACCAACTACTAATATAATATCAATATTTTTTAAATTTCGTGCTCAACTTAATTAAGACTATATTTATGGGACGGAGGAAGTAATTGATTAATATTTTTTTCTAAAGTAACATATAGTCCTACTAACCACAAATTTCATTTGCCTTTAAGCATAAAGTGCATCAAATTCTTTAAAGGATGATCTCATTTGATTTGAGCGACGTGATTTGAACTAAAGTGATTTTAAATGATTCTTTAAATTCATTTGACAATATAATTAATTTCAAAATGACTAAATCCACAGTTAATATTGTTAGAAATTTTGGAGGAAAATAATGAGATTGTGTTATTGATCATCAAAAGAAAAAGCCTATATATAGCAATACAAAAATAGACTCAATAAACTCAAATTTAAGTAATCTAATCTATAAATAAAATTAAATCTAGATATAAATCAACTAAATCTAAAATTGAATATCTAAAATATCTCGACGAATATAAAATTATAAATTTAAAATTCAATCTCAATTCAAATCCAACAAATCAAATGAACCCCACAAAAATCTAGCTATTCAAGTAGCTAGGTATATTGAAATTATACAAAGATGAGAATATATTACATGCATATATATATATATATATGCATGTAATAAAAATAAAATATTTTTTTATATACAAAATAGCATATCAAAAGATTATTTAAATAAAATTCAACTATAAACCAAACAAATCCAAAACTTGCATGACTTGATTTGTAAAATTTTCAATATTAGACGTCATGATAAGTATATATATATATATATATTTAAGCTCAGTTAAAATAGCGAGTTTAGGAGTTCTGAAGTTTTGAAAATAGTATAAATATAATATTTTGCAAGAAAAAAAATAAATTAATTTGATAATTTTTAAAAAGTTAGTATAATTAAAAAAAATTACAAAGTTCCGAAAGGCCCTGTGTAAACAAAGTTGTATGTCTGGAAAGATTAAAATAAATAAACAAAAACTCATTGAAACACAGTATATATTATATTAAATAATTAATCGGTGAATCCAAGTATAATTTTGTTCATATTAATCATTAAAGTTAGTCCAACAAGGCCTTATACTACTAATTAAAGCCCATTTTATGTGGGCCTTTGGGCTTAATTGGCAGACAGCTGTATGAAGATCCGGCCCAATTACAAAGCCCATATATGGATCAAAATAGGCCCAACATCTTTCAATTTTTGTAGGCCCATAGCAGATTAAAAGAAAAAAAAGTATGACAAAACAGTGAAATTTTGTCCATTAACACAACATAAGAGAAGAGCACTGATCATTAATCAGCACAAGTCAGTCACCAAAAGCAGACTTGAGCTGACATGATAATAATTAGTTACAACAAACTTTTCCAAAATCAAATCAAGAAGAAGGAGGAGGAAGCCCTTTTAGTTAATTAATTACAGTTGATGACAAGCTTCCCCCAAACCCTAATATATATATATATATATATGTATAGAATCAATTAGAACCAGATGGCCTTGGCATGAATGAGGCTCTGCTTCAAAGATCCATCAAGATGGAGGGATATGATGTCCTTGGCTGATCCCACAAATTGGCCACCGATGAACACTGCAGGGACTGTTGGGGTGCAGCCAAGGCCTGATCTTAAGGCCAACTCCATTTCTGGATCGTCGTCGATGTCGTGGACCGCAGGGCTCGCCCCGAGCTCGTAGAACAATGCCTTGATGCTGTGGCACATGCAGCACGTGCTTTTCGTGAAGATCACCGCCGCCTTCTTCGATGCTAAATCCCTTATTCTGTCCATTTATATATGATGATGATCAATAAAAGAGGAGTTGTTAGTTGTGTTGATGATGTATTGTGTAATATAATTGTTTTGAGGGTTTGATCGATATGATATGCATGATAAGAGGGTTTGTTATTTATAGAGATATCGAGAGTGGAGCTAGATAATATTCATCTAGATTTTTTTCTTTTTGAAAAAAAAATAGAAAAAGAAAAAGAAAAATCGATCCATGGGAATATATATATCGATCAAGAGGCATGCATGTTAGTTCCTATCAAGATGTATTTTGATAATTGGATCTAATCCAAAAATGTCATGTTTTTTTCTTTTTTTGCATGTTGAAAACAACAATATGTTCTCTGATTCGAGTTGACAACATTCGCCACTTTATTAATTTATAACTCTGTGTTTGTTTGTTTGGAGGATTTTGGGGAAAATCTACTATTCATACAAAATTTTTCTCCAAAAATATCAAATCAATCACCTATTTTTTATTTTTTATATTATACTAAAAGTCAATTTTACATTCAAAATATCGTCGTATCAGTACTTATTCATATCGCAGCTATTGCGATTCAAATTTTTTACTATTCAAATCTCAATCTAAAATCAAAACAAACAGACCAGATTGTTAGGAATATCTAATTGAGAGAGAGAGAGATGAGATTTGGAAGTGAGTATAGTAAAGAACACTAGTACTCAAATTGATGATGATAATAATAATAATGATAATGTGAAAGGAATATTAGGATAGATTATTGATAGTGTAATAATATTAAATTAAATGGCATAGATGTGATGTGATATTGTGCAGGGAATAAAAGAAAAGAAAAGAAAAGGAATTTGATCATTTTGAGTATAGCATGCTGCCTGCCCGTATGTATGTAAATTAAATGTCAACCCAAACCCTAACCCTAACCCTAACCCTAACCCTAACCCTAACCCTAACCCTAACCCTAGGGAGTGAGGAAAGGAAGATTTGGGTTGTGAGATCCTCAGCTGAAGTGTAAAGTGAAATATACAACCACAATACTGGATAACTATTACTTATATCCAACAACACTAGCATAGGGAATATCTATGCAATAAAGCCATGGAATCCATCACCCCATCCCACTTTACATTTGGAATCAACAACTTTCATTTTCATTTTCATTTTAAGATGATCACATGAAGATAAAGATGAAGATGAACACAAACTGAATAATCAATCAATCTAACTTGAAATTCAAATTTTTGATACATTCATATTCATATCTTGTTTGTCAAATTTAATTGATAAGTCATTAGATTCAGCAAAAAAATTTATTCAGAGTTCACTCAAAAAATATTGAGTTTGATTTCTTCATATCTTTTTTGTCGTATATGATTTCACTTAATATAACTTATTTTGTCGAATTTAATTTATAAATCGTTAAATTCAGCAAAAAATTGTTCAATAGAAAAATATTGACTGCTGATCTAATATGCTATGCCCTACCCTTCCCTTAGGTATTGTCCGGATTCATCCACACATTACGTACATATAATAGTTTTGGAAGGGAGGGGGGCCTACGGGTGGGTGGGTTCTTCACTTATTCATTGTTATGTTTTTGCAGACTAATTAATTGTTGTACTTACTGCTTGGTTTTTGTCTAGATAGTCCATTTGGGCCTGCTCTTTGGGCTTTATATGTGGGCCCAATGCTCTTACACTTGACGCAATTATTTTTCTTTATCATCATCTACTACTCTCTCTCGCCATTAGACTAGAGTAGTTAGATAATAAATAAATACAGCTTTTTAAAATAAATAAATCCATTTCATTATTGGATTTGTATCCTCACTAGTCAACCATTTCAAATAAATAATAATAGTAATTAAAAAAAAAAAAAGTCATAGCGACCGACACATCAGCACTTTTGCCAAAACGCCTTTAGTTCTTTTCCCTCGCATTGTTAATTACGATTTTATCAATTTAATTAAATATCATTTTCATACTTTACCACTAACTCATTAAACTACAAAATATTTTAAAATTTTCATCTTATAAATATACATTATATAATAAATTTTATATAATATCCTATCAATGCTACAGAGAAATATTGGTTGGCAGATAAGTAAGGAATCTCAATTAATTAATGTCAACTAACAAGTTTTATGAAAATATGGAGTATATGCCAAAACCGAAACCAAGATTTGATGTTTTTTGAGCATGCAACCGACCACTGCATCATTATATCTAAATCTGTGAATAAATACTTTCTACTTTTTCAATCACACTGTTAAATATAACCACACGTTTGATGCTCAAATAGTATTAATCCATAGATTCATTTCATACTTTATTTTTTTTTGTTCTCAAGGATCAAATCATGTTTATATAAATATATATATATATATATATACACACATCAATGGCTTTCATAGCCACTCTAATAAGCAATAACCAGAGAAAGGAAAAGGGAATCTACAATGGGAATAAAATAAAATAAAAGGTTTTAAATAGCCAACAAGTATACGTGCACATTGATTCAACCACTCATAATTAAAAAAACCCACAAAAATAATGATAATTACAAATAATAATAATCATCAATACTTTGATTAAACCATTCCATTATTTGTTTCTCATGTTTATAGATCAAAAACATTATTATTATTATTATTATTATTATTATTATTTGTAATTATTATACTAAGAGTTATTTATCGAGTTCACTTTGTATTCTAAAGTATCACGATTTTCAAAAAAATATTAATTATAAAACATAATACTCTGTTATTCAACTATGTACTTATGTGATTGGATACGAATTTTAAAAAAAGTAAGTAAAAATAAACGACAAAAAAAATAGAATAGATTTGAACAAGAAGGCAGTACTATATAATATACAATATATATCCTTTTTTTAAAAAAAAAAACATAAAATAAAATTGAAGAATAGTCACAATATATGTGGCACATAACCAAAAAAATCAATAAAAACACAAAATTAGCATAAAATACAATCATTTTCAATAAGATTAAAAACACATAAAATTATAAATATTAAATAAACACCCTCACTGTATCACTGTATCTTATTAGTAAGCCTGATCTATTTTCACTCAAATTTCACTTACTTTCTTTTTCAAGATTGGAGTTTTTGCAGCACCATTTGTAAATAAAGATCAATAAAGTTAGAATGGATAAACTCCAATGCAATCTTTCGGTGCTGATAATCACCAACACATATACATATACATACATATATATCCTCAAGCAAGCAAGAATCTACCAAAATATCTTACTGCAGCTGTACTACTGTTTTTGTTTCTTGGAAGTATTTGCCCTTTGACAAATGGAAAAGCCTATTTGAAAACAAAATCAGAAAACAAAAGTTCGTCCATTCATTCCATCTCTATATATAATTTCCACAAGTGACACAACTTCCTCAGACATAAACAGATTTCTACACAAGCATATAAACTTTACATATCTGCATTGCCATTCATTCGTCGTTAACCTATAAGCGCGCTTTTAATCGAGTCATTGCAGGGATATATATAATATGGATGCAGTGAAGAGAATGATGGAAGACAAACCAGTGGTGATATTCAGCAAGAGTGGTTGTTGCATGAGCCATTCCATCCAAACACTTATATCGAGCTATGGCGCAAATCCTACTGTTTATGAACTTGACGAGCTGCCTAATGGCCAGCAGCTGGAGGCAGCGCTGGCAACCAAGTCAGGGAGCTTCCCAGCTGTGTTTATCGGCCAACAGTTTGTCGGCGGAGCCAATGAGATCATGAGCCTGCAGGTTAAAGGGAAGCTTGTCCCTATGCTCAAGAAGGCAAAAGCAATCTGGATATAGCACCATCAATTCATCAATGATAAATGCATTATATCTATATCTATATCACTAACAAAATGGATCTTATAAAATCTCACTTAAACAACAACCATCAGATTAATCAAGATTAAAGCAGAGGAGAGGAAAAGTATAGACAAGCTATGTGTAAGAAGGCTTAGTTAGTGACAGCTTTTTTTTCATGTAAATCTTCTTGTGTATCTATCTTGTCCACTTATATAGAACCGACCTATCAATATATATACGTGTGTGTATGTATTAGGCGAAAGTCTTGTCTTTGGCTACAGATTATATTTTTCTCTTTCATCAAGAAAAGGCATTACAAAATTAAGAAATCAATACAGGTCATCATCAAGTTCAGCAATTCATTTTCATGGATGCTCAGGGAGACTAATTTATGTCACTGGCCATGCCCAGAAAGTAGAAAAGAAACTAACCTCACCATTTTTGTTTTCAGCAACAGAACAAACAAGAGAAGAATCTAATCTGTAATACACAGAACTGTAATGTGCAGTTTTTCTGGGCCTTATTCAAATAGCACTCAGATTGGATAAGGTGTCCTTGGTCCAAAACATTATGATAGATAATTGCAATATATGTACATATATAAGAATACTTATAATACTGTCAGCATCAGCATCAGATGGCTACTTTGTTATTAGCAATCTAGCCACATGTACATTTCAGCTCCAAAATTCTCTCATCTTTGTCCATTTCCAGGATCAAAATTGACACACAAACAATCGTAAGCCACACAGAAATATGAAGTGGTAAAACAACTGCCTTCTATTCTAAATATTCAATCCAGACCAGAAATACCTATTTCCCTCCTCTCGTCATATCATGATGGCTGCTGCAACAACAGCAACTCTGTTTGTACCTTCCCTGAGAACCCAAACCAGCAAACTAAGCATTCATCTTCTAAACCAGAGCATAAGAGAACATACCTGTGGCAGCAGCTGTTTCCAAATCCTGGCTGTGCAAGGATCGGGGGGCAGGCAGAGAGCACCTCCTGGAGTGGATACAAGAATTCATTGGGAGAATGAGGATGAAGGATGGATAGGAGGAGACACCTCCAGAGCTACACAGGAGCAAAGCAAAGAGGAAGAAGATTTGCTTGGGAATAAATTCGCAGAATTGATCAACAGTTCATCAGATTCATACTACCAGTAAGCACCAAACTAGCTTCTTTAACTCTCTACATCAATTTGTTGAATGTAGTCTAAAACAAGAGTTCAAATTCATTCTTGTGATGCCAAATCAGGTTTCTAGGAGTACCTGCAAATGCTGATATTGAAGAAATTAAAGCCGCCTACCGAAGGCTGTCCAAGGAGTATCATCCTGACACAACTACACTTCCTATTAAAACAGCATCTGATAAATTCATGAAATTAAGAGAGATTTATGATGTCCTAAGTGACGATGAGAAGCGGAATTTCTATGATTGGACATTGGCACAGGAGGCAGCAAGCCGAGAAGCAGAGAAAATGAGGATGAAGTTGGAAGATCCATATAAGCAAGAAGTAGAGAACTGGGAATCCGTTCCAGACATGGTGGATCGACTTGGAGGAAGAAACATGGAACTCAATGATCAGGCTAAGCAGGCACTCACTTTTGATTTCTTGGTCATAATATTCAGTATATGCTGTATAATATATGCAATCTTCTTCAAGGAACCTTACTAGTTACCATCCTTTACACAAACAGCATATTGATTTTGTATACATGAACAGATTCTAGGACAGCTTTGTACATGCAATGGTTGCATAAATATTCTGGATTTCTAAGAACGCAGAAAAGAGGGATTTAAGACAGATGCATAAAAGAATTTCAATCATTCCCAAGCATGGAAGAAATTACACACTAGTCGACAAAAGTAAATAAGATATTAGTAGCAGCAAGTTCTCACATTATTTTTAATTCATCTTGGATGGAGGAAATATTTGTTTATCTATGAAATCTTTGAGTGTGGGTGTATTCTGCTCGACATACACGCTGTGTTCAACCAATCCATTACTGCTGTTTCCACAGTTGAATTGGTAACTTTGATCTCCTAGGGTGTAAACTTTTGCTCTATTATTTCCGATGGCCCTGGTTGCAGTACCATGACAACAGTTTCCATATCCTGTTCCAGCTGTCTGTGAAAAATCGAAACAGACTTGTTGGTTTCTTATGATTCAGCAGGCAAAATACAGCACAATTTCATTTGTGTTTGTTTGGGGGATTGGATTAGATTTCCATTATTCATTCCATTTCCCCCCAAAAATATCAAATCAAGCACCTACTTTTCATTTTTTATATTATACTAAAAATCAATTTTACATTCAAAACATCACGTTAACACCTATTTACACATCATACAACTATTCAAATTCAAAATTTTTACTATTTAAATCCTAACTCAAAATCCAAACCCCCAAACAAGCACTCTATGGAAGAGGAAGGAAATTGTGACAACCATCAACAGGTGATGTAGATAGACTTTATCCTTATCATGCACAAATTTCGGAAATAAGTATGATGTCACTTCAGTATTCTTATTCATTATACAGAAAAACTTCAAAAAGAGACTTATTCTTATCATCCTCAAAACTATAGGCCATTAACCAACACAAAACTTGGATTATATTGGTCCAATAGTAAACAATTGCTTCTGGATATATTATTAGTTCATTCCTACCTTTTAATCCATTTCTATCTTCAACCGAACACAGTATTATCAAATGGACTGAAGCCTGGGTAAGAAAAACAAAACAAAACCAAACTAAATTTCCTTCTTGAAATGACCATCTCAGCAAATGGACTCGTATGCACAGACAAGAAAAGACTACTAAATCAAGAACCTGAAGGCGTTTTCGAATTCTCTGAGAGACAAGAATGTTACTGAAGATGCCAAAGTTTGAAAACTGAAGGTGGCACTGCTTCAAAACCTGGCGCTCCCTTTACAGCACTTTACTCAATAAGATCAGCAAATTTATGTTAATGTTTGTAGAGAGATGTCACCCAAATGAAGGTAGCATTTATGTCCATAACTTTCCTTTCTGTGCTCTATACAACCATAGCATTTTATATGATTTGATATTGCATAATTTAAGACTTGTTATCCACATATAATCTTTTTCGTAATAAAGGATACCAAATAACCACAAATTGAGACCTTAAAAGAGAACAGTGGTAGCATCACTGAAGAGTAAGAAACTTTTGATAATAAAAATAACACAAAAAAAGAAGAACTTCCAAATTTGAATTACACACCATAGATAGAGTTTGATCTGACGTTCTTACAAACAGAAATGAAGCAATAAATAAGAGGGTACATGTATATACATCACAGGAGGTGGTAATCTTCACCACCCTTTATTCTGCTCTTATTTATAGTTGAAGGGATGGATAGCTTTGGCTTTCAAGAACTGGATGTTGTTGAGTGAAAGATAAACTGTCTCTCTGGAAACAATAGGTCCACAGAGCCACTGGGAGCATTTTCAGTGGCACTAACCTCTACTTTTGATCCTGCAACACGGTCACCCTGCAGCCGTTCAAGTGAATAAGTTGGAAGCAAAGTAGGAGCATGAGAATGTCTGAGTGTGCAAGGAGTACCTGGCATTTCAGTGTACGATGATGCTTGACTGTATCTTGCAGCTGGCATAGGATGATCAAATTTGCATGTGCGTCCGAATTTACAGTATCCATTCTGCAGATAGAATGCACACGCTTGCACCCCCTGTTAAATAGATACAGGTCAACATCCAGTATTAGGACTATAAATTACCAGGCTTCGTGTGACATAATAAATCATCAAATGCACATAAGATTGCTGACAACGGAAAATATCAAGCAGTAGAATTGACAATCCCTTGCCCCAAAATTCCTTAATCAGGTCAAAATGGTGAAAATAATAAAATAAAATAAAACAGAAAGTAATATCCAAAGGGAGAAATTCTTGTTAGGTGTTTTAATGTTGAAAGGTTGGACTGAACATACCGGGCGAAGTGGCAGTCCCAAGGGACTGAGAACACAATTAGACATTGATATGGCCCAGTCCGGAGGATGATTAAACCTACAAGATGATCCATATTTACAATCTCCAGTTCTCATGTAGTACTTACAGTCAGGCTGGCCGGGTCTTTCTGGAAATTGTTGCTCCTTTGTTAGGCTGCCTGAAGGGCCGGTAGATGAGGGCAATGGGTAAGGTGTTCCAGCTAAACCAGGCATGGAGGAGCCTGGCTGGGATGACCCATACATCGTCGTTGGTTCAACTGAGGGTTGAGCACCGGGAGATGGTGCAGGGCTAACTGGTCCTCCCTGCATCATGTAAACCAAAATCACACAGGCAAATCAAAGATATTTACAATTGTTGCAATAGGTTAATGAAAATAAAAAGTGCCTACAGAGTATGGATTCCAGTTAGGATAAGGAACAACTCCAGGGAGAAGCATGGGACCGTAAGCACCAGCCACGTATGAACCAGGTAACAAAGGAGGCCTTGCAAGCCTGTAGTTGCTCGTTGTGCTCTCATACTGTTCAGGTGAAGGAGAAGAAAGAGACTGCACGGTTGGATAAAATGGGCGTGCAGATGCTGGCACAGAGACACCAGTCGGTTGAGGATGATGGAATTTACATGTTATACCAAATTTGCATTGCCCCGTTTTCAAATAATAGGAGCACTCTTTCTCACCCTGTTGTAAAGAATGCCAGCATGAGTTTCGAAATAATACTACAAGCATATGCGCTTGGAAACTGTTAGTCTTAAATGATAAGTACCAATCGTAATGGATATCCATAAATATTTAGAGGTGCATTGGTCAACAAGCCACCAGCATTTTTCGGGTGGTTGAACTTGCAGGTTGCACCAAACTTACAGGTACCTGTTCTTAAATAATACTGCACATTTAGGTAAAGTTGTTCAGTAGCAATAAAAATAGAATCACCAAATTAGATTCGTTCACATAAACCATAAAAGCCAAATGAGAAACGACCATAGAATCAGTCTGCAGAAAACACAAAGCCGAATACCTGACATCCCGGCTCTCCTGCTCGTTCTGGATAATCTCCCCCAGCCAACTGCACAGTCCAACACAATCACGGATCAAACCAACTTCAGCAAAAGCAACTAATTCAGATGTTAAATTCATGGCATCAGAAGAATAGTTCAAACAAATCAGCAACTAAAACCAATTCAGATGTTAAGCTCCCCATCAATTACAAGAAATTACTAAAACAGGAATCTTAATAGAAAGATAAAATTCTCATTCCCACTCCCACTCCCACTTCAGTTTAATAAATAGTTTCCTACCACAAGTCACCACCACCGACTGCATAAAGTATAAACTAACACAAATCAGTAAAGTAAACAAGTAAAATGGCGCAATATAATATGGTTTCTTCGCCCTAACATTCAGGGAAACCGATACAACACTAACATCCCAGAAGCAGATTAAAAAAATACAGTACAACATTTCGAGGTAAGAACCTTACCGAGCTGCTACGATCGCGGGGATGATTGTAGCGGCACTTGGACCCGTACCCGCAAGACCCGGTTCGCATGTAGTACGCGCAGTCGGGCAAACCCGGCCTCTCCGGATACACCTCTCGATCCCACAAATTCAACCTCCGCATAGACTCTGCGTCACAAAAGCGTCATCAAGACTCAAATAGTCTCTCCCTGTTGCAAAACCCTAAAAAATCGACAATGCCGATAATAGAGTAAAATTGGGGTGAAAAAACAAACCCGAAATTCAATTCGGGAGCTCACCTTCCAAACCGGGCTCCTGACCCCATTCCACCGGCTGCTGATCCCCGTAAAGCTCCATTCCAGTTCCCAATTCACTGACACGTCACGAGAACAAGCAATCATCCAAAGAATCGACTCCCACACCCACTCGCCCCAAAGCTTCCCCTTTCTATTCTATTCTATCAATCGGAGACAGTAATGATCGACGACAAGTGTTATCCCGGGGGGCTTTCCGGTTTGCAGGTGTGAAAGAGGGAGTTGTTCTCCAACAGTGAGATTTGAGAGTGGCCTCTCTTTTCTGCCCTTTATTGCACAGTGTCTGGGTTCTTGAATGAGCTTTCGTTCGTAAATCCTGGTATTTAAGCCGCTGTCTCTCTCAGTCTCTCTCTGGTTTTTTGTCAAGGCGAGTCTGCACACTTTTTTCTCACTCATCACTTTCTCTCTCTATAGATATCTGTACCCGCCAAAGTGTGTGAACCAAAAGCGCGTTTAGCATTAAATGAAAAGAGTTTTTATTATTTTTCGAGCTTTTGCCTAAAAACGGGGTTTGTGGAATCGATGCAGTAACCGACACATGGTTTGGTTAGCTTTGTCGCCGGAATTACCTTACTGCCCCCAGTTTAATTTTTCGTGTAATACGTCGAAGAATTTTTGAAGGCTCCTTGTCGCGTTCACTTTTGGAACCTTTTGACTCATTAATATGAGTTTTTAAAAAATTAAAATTATAAAATTTGCAAAATATTTATCTAATCAAAAACCCAAATTTTTTATAAAGGAAATATGTGTTTATTTCTTTGCATTTTATTTCAATTTTTTATCATTACATTTTTATAAATATGTTAATTTTTTTTTATAAAATATTAAATTAAAATATTATTTAAACTAAAATTTAGTTCAAAATATTACCTTTATCCCATGTAAAAAAATTTTTTTATTATTTTTGTTTGTTCAATTAAAAAATATTTATTTTTTATAATAAAAATAATTATATATTAATACCAAAATAGATTTAATTTTAAATAAATTATAATAATAAAAGTGTTAAACATTATATTACACACTTTTACTAAATAATAAAATATTATTATTTTTTAATTTATTATAAAAACTCAAATATATATTTTCGCCGGGACAAGGTATAAAAAGGACACATGTTAATAATCATTTGTTATGAATTTGTTTGATTTTATTTAAATTAATTTTTATTATACAATATGTACAATTTTTAATAAATTATTTTTGTGCAATATTATATCAAAATCATATTTTAGTCGAAATTCAAATGTACGCAAAGGGGACAAAGCCTCTATATAACCCTTATAAAATATTATTATGATATAAGGTAACTTATAGTATATGAATGTCTATAAAAATATTTGTACAACAAATATTGTTGACAAAATATTTACTTTGTACTCAAATGAAATTGCATAATATGTCACAAATTTGATTGTTTTTTTTTTTTGTTAGTTTGTTGTCTTTGCGACTATGTGAATATCAATGTGTATTTAATTTTAGTATACCTCAAGGTTAAATTTTGTGGTGTGTTATCAAGTATTCTTAGTTATAGTGTTTGACTTTTTTTAGTGTTTCATGGTATGTTGAACTAGATGTTTAATGTTTTGTGTTTTTTCATAATTGCTTAGAGCAATTGCAATGGCCAGAGCAAAAAAAAACTTCTAAATGTGATGTGTCCAAACTGACATTTTAAATAGAAGTAGGATGACATAAAAAAATACACAGTGACTCTCACATCACTTAGTAAAACATCAAAAGTTTTGATCTGATCGGCCGTTTGAGTTCACCGGAGCTGCCGAAACCACCACCGGTGGAGCTGACGCCTTCCATTGTGCTGGCAGTGTCAAACTTTTCGAAAACCCAGTAAGAGAACTATTTTGAGAAGAATCCAACACATAAATACGAAATTTAACAAATGAAGTACAAAAATCAAGCTTAAAATGAGAGAGGAATTGTTTGTCTTTCTTGTGTGGTTGAAGAACTCGATGTGATAGAAAGAGAAAGAGAGAGAAATCACTTGAACATGGTTAATCGACTTTTCGGCTTGAAATTTCAGGTCATTGTGTTTTTAAAATTTTAAAAATCTGACTAAAAAGCTTATGTGTCAGAGAAAAGGGCCTCTCAAATGCGGCCATTACGGTTGCTCTTAGTTCTTCTTGAATAGGATACTTTGAGTCATTGTGTCTTCGAATCTTAGTAGCAGTAGTCACTCGTCCAAATGCGTAGAACTTTGTGTTTAGTCCTTAAAGTGTGTGCTAAAATAGGAGAGTTTAATACCTAATATATTCAAAGTGTCTAAAGTTGAATGATTGACGTTAAATAACGTAGAACTCATATTATGTGATTCTAAATTTTGTATTCGACATGTTACTTTCTTTGCGAATAAGTATGTGTTGGTGGATTGTCACTTCATATTTATTTCATCTGTAGCTGGATGAGAGTATATTTGAGTTTTATAATAAATTAAATAATAATATTTTATTAATAAATAAGAATATGTAAAAAAAATATTAATATTTTTATTTTTTTAAATTTATATACAAAGTAATTGTATATTTATAATTTTTTATTTTTGTAAATAAATTAAGATATTTTACTTCTAATATAAAAATGTACTTTTAAATGTAAGAAAATGTATAAAAAGTATTTGAGTTGTAAGCAAGGGAATATTTTTTATTTTATTTTTACTAAAGTCGCGCTTCTAAGTTCCACGATTACAATCTACAATCGAACCACAAGAATAAGCGCAAATATCAACTCGACACAGAGTGATTTCTCCCATTCGGCGGCGTTCGTTCGATCGCCGCCCCGCCCGATTCTCCCCCGGCAATGCCGAGGGGGTTCAACTTCATGCGCGCCACCGTATGGCAAATGAAAAGAGGAGATTCACATGGTAATTTCAGTTATACTTTCTGTATCAAGTTACATTTAAATTGATTACAATCATATATATGCTGGTGTTTGAGAGTTGAGACTATGGTGCTTCGTATCCAAATAGCCGATCGAACGAACATTACCGTCGTCGCTCACTTTCTTTCTGTAACAGTAATTCGGTGGAGAAAGTTGTTTGGATTTCGAAGGTATTAATGATTGCATTTTGGTGTTTGGGCTGAAACCCGTGAAATTACGAGGCTCTTATCGAAAGAAGAACCGTGGACTCACCTCAGCCAAAAAAAAAAAAAAAAAAAAAAAAATGATGCAGAGAGGAATGGCTTACTTGAATCTGATCCGATCCGATCCATCTTACAGTGGGCTGTCCAATTTCTTGCACGTGGCTTAGCACACTTGTCATCGCGACCAATTGTGTAATCGCTATTCTCGGGACTTTCCAAGTTTTATAGTTCTACCTCTTTTCATATCTGCTTTTTCAGTAATTGATTAATATGCTCAAAAGACTGCTATTTCCTTCGTCATCCATACGCCACTCGTGGTCTCGGTACAGCTCCCCTTGCAGATCAGCCAAGAAAAGCTCTAATACATCCGCTGTATCATTTTCGTGGCCTTTGTCTATTGTTGTTTGCCGAAAGATTCATTCGACTGTCTCATCCATGGCTAACGACCACGCCCCAAAAGCATCGTCGTCTTCAGCGGTGGCCAACAAGAACACTAACCGTCTCGCGGCGGAACACAGTCCTTACCTTCTTCAACACGCCCATAATCCCGTAAGTATTGTTCCAAATTATATGAAGAGTGTTTATTGAACTATGTGATTATGTGTATGGGATGTAGAGTTTTGGATTTGTGAACACCCAAGTGCTGTGTGTGTATGCTTAGAGATTATATAGCAAACTTCCTGCTTTGTAATTTATTGCGATCCACAGAGACTAGAAGATATCGTCTCAAATTAATCTCCTTGTTGCTGTACATAGGTTGATTGGTATCCCTGGGGCGAGGAGGCCTTTTCTGAAGCTCGTAGGAGAGATGTTCCTATCTTTTTATCAAGTATGGCATTTTATATTAGCTTGAATTCTTCAATCATAGTTGATGTTGCATTGTTAATTTTAATTATCAATATCTAAATAATTTAATTAACATTCTATCTTCTTTTTTATGATTCTTCTGCGGTATTGCTGTGGTCTTGCATTTGAAGTTGGTTACAGCACATGCCATTGGTATGAGCAGATCATCTGCTTGTTGCATCAGTATTGAATTATACCTTTGAGCTGCATCTGCAGCACTTCTGTATTTTCAAGTCTGTTCTCTATATTTTCTACTCATTTATTTGAGTTTATTTAAGGTGTCATGTAATGGAAGTGGAATCTTTTGAGAATGAAGAAGTTGCAAAACTGCTCAATGATTGGTTTATCAGTATTAAGGTGTGTTTTTTCAAAGCTTCCTTCAAACACATTTTTCATCATTCCAGAGTCATTGTCAGTACCTAAATATGATCTTTTTGCAGGTGGATAGAGAAGAAAGACCTGATGTCGATAAGGTGTTAATCTGCAGAAGATGCAACCACTAACCGTTTTCCTCCATTCAGATAAATTTCAGTTGAAGATCATTTTCCTTACACCAGTTTATATGTGAGATATTTTCTTTTTATTCTCCAGGTATACATGACATATGTACAAGCATTATATGGTGGTGGTGGTTGGCCATTAAGTGTCTTCCTTTCACCTGATCTGAAGCCTTTGATGGGTGGTACATACTTTCCTCCTGATGATAAATATGGGAGACCTGGCTTTAAAACTGTACTCAGGCAAGATGATTTCCCTATTAATTAGTATGGCTTTTGAGGTTGATATGTTTTTCTCTTGAAATTCACAAGGTTGCTTTTCTTTCCAGTCTCGGATGAAAAATCTTATTCATTTACTTGTTGGGTTGAAATTTTTTTTTTTTTTTTCCAGAATCTCTGTGGTTTGATGATTTCTTTTTCTAAAACAGAAAGGTAAAAGAAGCATGGGATGCTAATAAGGATGCCTTGGTGAAAAGTGGGGCGTTTGCAATAGAACAACTTTCAGAGGCATTATCTGCTATTGCAAGGTCAGAAAATCTTCCACAAGGGCTTCCAGAGAAGGCATTGCAAAAGTGTGCCGAACAGGTGCTACGAATTGTTAGAAATGGCTCTACGTGGCCAGTGGCCTATTATAGACATTTGTTTTTCAGTTTTATATCACATATAACAGTATCAGTGAAGATAGCTCACTTATGTCAGCACTGGTTATGTAGGATTTACTTTATTTTATTTTATTTTTTCGTACTTTACAGATGATAATGCCACGGTAATGAAATTTAATTATACATAGGAATAAAGTAGAATTGTTATGTTTGTTTGCAAGTTCAATCTTTTGCTTATGAACTTGCTCGAATCTACTACTATCATGATAGATTTCCCCATGCTAATGTTTGTTTTAATTCTCTGATAGCTTGCTGACAGCTTTGATTCCAAGTATGGCGGTTTTGGCACAGCCCCGAAATTTCCTAGACCAGTTGAAATCCAATTGATGCTTTATCATTTGAAGAAGTTAAGGGAGAAAGGAATGGCAGGTGAAAAGGAAGACCGCAAGATGGTGGTTCTGACCTTGCAGTGCATGGCTAGAGGTGGCATTCATGATCATGTTGGAGGTGGTTTTCACAGATATAGTGTGGATGAATGTTGGCATGGTTAGCACACAACTATATGGTTTTTTAACAGTACAGATCTTTAGTTCTCGGATCATAATTGTGTCTCTCCTTGCAGTACCACACTTTGAGAAGATGTTGTATGATCAAGGGCAGCTTTCTAATGCCTACCTGGATGTGTATTCGATCACAAAAGACACAGTGTTTTCAAGCATGTCTCGTGACATTCTTGATTATATAAGGAGGGATATGATTGGTCCCAGTGGTGAAATATTCTCCGCTGAGGATGCTGATAGTGCAGAGTTTGAAAGTGCCCCAAAGAAGGAGGGTGCATTCTACATTTGGGCAAGCCAAGAGGTACATAGAAGTCACTAACTGATTCATAACAAAAGAAGCATCCTGTATTTGTCAGCTAGTGTCTCCAATACATTTATGGTTATTTCGTATCTATGCATTAAAAAGTGCGCAATGATTCTTAGAATACTCTATACTTTTTATTTTACGTCTCCCATTTTCTCATGTCAACAGATTGATGAGATACTTGGAGAGCATGCCACCTTGTTTAAGGAGCACTACTACATCAAATCATCTGGCAATTGTGATCTCTCAAGGATGAGTGATCCCCACAATGAATTCGAGGGTAAGAATGTGCTTATTGAGAGAAATGCTGCTTCTGAGATGGCATCAAAGTTGAGCATCTCCTTGGAGGAGTATCTGAACATCTTGGGGATTTGTCGGGAGAAACTCTTTAAAGTGAGGTCAAAGCGCCCTCGACCACATTTGGATGATAAGGTAATATCTGATATAGAATCAAAATTCTTTCATTTTGATTATTCCCCCCTTTTCTACCCTGGTTGATGGGACAACTTAGTTTTGATTTTGCTGCACTTACAGGTTATTGTTTCCTGGAATGGACTTGCGATATCCTCATTTGCAAGAGCATCTAAAATTCTGAAGAATGAACCACAAGGCACCAAATTCTTCTTCCCTGTTGTTGGAAATGATGTAAGATTAGCATCTATCCCTCACTCATTAACAACTTTGAATTTAATTTTCTGCTGGCAACTAATTTTGATTTTAGAAGGCTGCCCGACTTAATGCTAGTAAAAGAGTCCTTGGTGGTTCAGTTAGGAGTGGGGTAAGCCTTATGACTTATTAACAAATCTGGGGGGTGGGGGGCATGGGCATCATAACTAGTGGCTTGTGTACTGATTCTATTTGTTATAGATCCTTGTCGTTACACAGTTATCAATTTTTTTTGGCCACTACATTGTCTTGTGCTCCCTACCTTTCTTAAACCTTGTAGATCTCTCGGTTATAACATTGTTATAGATTAATGTTATTACTTGGCTTTGCTTAGTAGTTAAATATCTTTAACTTGTTTGTGCTGGATAATAGCCGAAAGAGTACATGGAAGTTGCGGAAAAGGCCGCAACCTTCATCAAGAAACATCTCTATAATAAGCAGACACGAGAACTGCAGCACAGCTTCCGGAATGGCCCCTCCAAAGCACCTGGATTTTTAGATGATTACGCCTTCCTGATATCCGGTCTTCTGGATATGTACGAATTTGGCAGTTCTGTGTCTTGGCTTACTTGGGCTATTGAACTGCAACAAATGCAGGTAAGTTGGAAACAAGTCATAGGCCGAATATTTATCTACTACCCCATTTAGTAACACACTACTCTTCAGGACAAACTATTTCTGGACAAAACAGGGGGAGGTTATTACAACACCCAAGGTGAGGATCAGTCAGTTCTCCTCCGTGTAAAGGAAGACCATGACGGAGCAGAGCCTTCCGGGAACTCAATTTCAGCAATCAACTTGTTAAGACTTGCCTCCTTGGTTGCTCCAGGATCAGATCACTACAGGCATAATGCAGAACATCTACTGGTACACACCTTTTCGTTCCCAAGCAATGCTGCACAATATACTCGAATTCTTCAGAGATCATACTTGTTCGACTTTTCTCACAGGCTGTGTTTGAGAAGAAGCTAAAAGAAACAGCAATGGCAGTACCCCTTATGTGCTGTGCTGCAGACATGCTCACTGTCCGTTGGCGAAAGCAAGTTGTCCTCGTTGGACACAAGTCTTCCTCAGACTTTGACAGCATGTTAGCTGCTGCTCATGCTTCTTACGACCCTAACAGAACAGTAAGCTGCCCTCACCCACCCCTCACACCATCTAGTCACACATTCCATTTTAACTCATTTCTGTGTGCATCCGAAACAACACTTTACCTCTGTCCGTCTGTTGTCAGGTGATTCATATAGATCCAAGTGACGAAGAAGAAATCGGGTTCTGGGCAAAGAACAACGAGAAGATTGTACAGATGGCCAAAAACAATTTTTCAGCTGAAAAAGTTGTAGGTTTGGTATGCCAGGATTCGACTTGCAGCCCTCCTGTCTACGATTCAAATTCTCTAGTATCTCTGCTCTCAAAATGACGGAGGCAGCAATCTGAGGCTTTGAAGCGTAAAAATTTGCAGTTTTTATAGCTTATTATATACAAATTGCATCTTCAAAATTATCCATAGAATAAGTTGTGTGGCACAGTTACATTGTTTCCCGTATTGAACTAGCTGCTTGACTTACTTGTTATTTGTGCTGTGCAACCTCTAAACTTCCCATGTTTCTAATTCTAAGTATACAGTGATAGATAGATAGAAATAGATGTATATTTGTGTTGCTTTTTACATACATACATAAATATATATATATATATATATGTGTGTGTGTGTGTTCTGCAGATTTTTCTGGCAAGTTTGAGCAACAATGCTTAAGGAATTGGTGTGTGATATAGATACACAATCATGGGAATAAATGATCAATAGTGCATCCAATGTTGAGCTCGATGCTGATGCTGATGCTGATGCTTAAAGTAGGTATGTATATTGATTTTGAAGCTAAATTAGCTTTTGTTTATATGTAGTTTCGAAATTTTGGATATTATTCATCAATCATCCTAATCCTAATTCTTTTTTGAAATAACAAATTTCCCAAAACCTTTTATCTAAGAGTTGAATTGATCCCAAAAGTAAAATGTATTCTATTCGAGTATAGTTTCATTGTGTTTCTTTAGCAAAGGTTTTCAGATTTTATTGTTTGGATTATACATTTTTTTTTTTAAGAAAATACTATATTTTTTTATTATAAAATATTTTATCAAATATTATTTTAATACTAAATTTAAATTATTTATTTATTTTTTTCGAAACTCACCCCGAAAGAATAATTAATAATGGAATGAATTAATCCGACCTGATCCATAGTAGTAGGCCCAAGTGGCCTCATTTTAATGTCCCGACCAGATTACAGCGGGTTGGGTCAATCCAATTACTGTTATTATAAGATTTGTGTGTGTTTGTTTTGGGATTTTGGATTTGAACCGGTAGTATTAAAATTTTAAATAGAAATAACTATTTATTGTGCTATAAATATACGTTTATGTAAAATTAAATTTTAGTAAAATATTATTTGTATATTCTCAATGTATATATTTACTTTTAACATATTAGCATTTTATATGTAATGATATAATAAAAAAGATAAAAGACATTTTATATTCAAAATCATTTGCTTTTGATGATATTTTTTTATAATATTATACAGAGTATAGAGATTCTTTAATTCTAAACAGTACCGAAAAATAAAAGTAAACAAATTAAAATAATAAAATAAATAATTAAAAATGGACAAATAGATAAATGAAAACATTTGATATTATATTTTAAAGAAAAAAAACAAGCATAATAAAATTCAACTTTGAACCCCACAAACAAACAAACACACATCCATGAGAAATAATTAAATGAAATACTGTATAATTGTTGTCGTAATGTTACTTTAAATAATATAAAAATAAAATATATGAAAACACACAAGCCACTTCTTTTTCTTTTTTTTTTTTTTTTACTATTTTGATATGTTATTCTTGTCTACTTTTTGACTTCTCTAAATACGAGGTTTATACTATTATCTTTAAAAAGATATAATTTTTATTATAATTCAAAACCCTAAAAAGTTTACAAAATAGAAATCTATTCATATACTTTTAGATTTGTTTATTTAGATTTTTATTTTATTTTTTTTTAAAAAAAAAATTCTTTACCAATTCAAAAAAATACTTCCTAGTCAAACTGCACTAAAACGAGGTTTCCTTTGGCTACCCAAATTTTGACCAAAATACTATAATTCTCTTGCTCAAAAAAAAAAAAAAAAAAGAAGTAGTACTATAACATAATTCTTTTATCATTATCCATTCAATAAAATAATTAAAATATAATTTGGAATGCATCCCTATCCTATATCCTATCCACTCCAATCCAAGTAAAACTATGACAGACATGATAATGTAAATGTAATGCCTGTAGAGTTGAAAATAAATGATTGAGTATATGTCATATGAAATAAGCCGCCAATAAACCATTGACACCTTTTAATAAACTATTTAAAAAAATAGAAATAAAAACTACTAGGCGCGTGAGAAGGCGCGCGTGGGGAAGGAGACGAAAGCCGTTGGAGTTGGAACAGAAGTTCACTCTTGTTAAAAGTAAAAATTAAAATTCAAAAAGAAAAACAAGAGTTTGTTGTTCTAAACCAGACAGAATATTCGTGTGATTTTATTTCCCCAAATCGTCGTCTTCGTTGAATGAATGAATTAATAACTGCTGCTCTCTGGTAAATACTTCGGATCTGTTGATTAGAGAGGAAGGAGGATTGCTGGAACGGACAGTGTCCCTTCCCTTTTTTTCTTTCTCCTCTTTCTTTCTCTCTCTCTCTCTCTCTGGGTAAATTTTGTTTGACTCTATTCTGGTTTTGGCTTTTGGTGGCTTTGTTGAGCTTCAGAGATCGCAACGCGATCCAATTACCCTAATCGAATCGACCTTGAAACGTTTTCTGAAATTTGTATGTTTTAATTTTCTCTATTTTATTGGTGTATTTGTCTGCGCGCAACGGTACCAATATAGTTATTAATGAAGCTTTTGTTTTTTTGATTTCCTTTAAATTCGGTAGGTGAAGGAATCGAGGTGTGAATCTGTCAAGACAGACCATTTATGGGTTTTTCTGTTTATGGGACTTTTTTAATTTCCGCGTGAAGCGGTTCTTTGATAGTTTTGGGAGAAAAGTAAACGGTGGGAGGGGGAAAAAGGCCGTCTTTCGGGGTGGTTCTTATTCCTTTTACAGTTCCCTTTTTGAATTGGTTTGATGATATCTGTGGGTAGTATAGATGGGAGGAAGAAGTTAGAATTAGGGTCAGGGATGGAGGAGACTGAGCTGGAAGAAGGAGAGGCTCGTAGCTGTCATAGCCATGGAGAGGGAGAGGGAGATGGAGATGGAGATTCCAGCGTTGACCCTGATTTTACTCTCTCTTACATTGTAAGAACTTTCAATTTAATCCTCTTTAAGTCTCAGTTTTATTGTTTGAAGCAGTTGTCAAGTCTAAAATATTTATGCTTTGTTTATCCACTGCTGTAGGATCATGACTTTTGACCTTATTTTTAGTTTTAAGGCTCAGTAATGATCACTGTTTGATTGATAAGGGCGAATTTTTATCCTTCTTAAGTTGTGGGAGGTCATTGATGCTCTTGGTCATGAAAAACGCTGTTATAGAATTGACATTTCACTGTTGTGCGTAGTTTAGAAGGAATTTTTCAGTCAATGGATTCATTGGCAGCTAAATTTTGTAGTTGAAAAGCAAATGTGGAGCAGAGTGTTCATTTAAGATCTATGCCATGTTCTGTAATCTTTCCCTTCTTGGTATATAACAGATGAAATTATTGCGGAACTTGCTGCAGGATCCTTTAGGGTCATTTTGTAGAATTTGCGAATTATGTTTCTTAATATTTTGCATTAATTTTTGAAGGGCGAAAAACTCCAAAAATGTTTGGGCCACTTGCAGAAAGATTTTGAAGGTGGTGTTTCGGCAGAGAATTTGGGTAAGTCCTATTCAGAAAATGAGTGTAATATTGTTATTGCTGTCGAATTTGGATGTGGAGTATAATCATAGATTTAAATGAATAACAGGGGCAAAATATGGTGGCTATGGTTCGTTTCTACCTACTTATCAGCGGTCTCCGTTGCTTTACCAAACAATTAGTCCAGCTGAAGTCCACAATAATGGTGTGGCAAGATCCCCCAGGAAGTTAAAATTTGAGGTTGATGCCCATACATCATGTTCCAGTTTCTTTTCATTTCTTGTTTTATCTGAAAGAACTAAATCTGTCTAAAAGGAGTCTAACCTTGAGCAATTTTGCTGTAGGATCAAAGACAAAAGCCCTTTGCTTCCGTAAGATCCGGTGATGCTTCTGGAAAAGCTGTATCGGGTGAACATTCCTTGAAAAGCAAGGGCAATGTACAATCTTATCATGTTGAGGGAGCTATCTTTAAAGGTGAATCTACCAAGAAGAAGTCTGTTGATTCTTCCAATCAGAGAACCCTGAAGGTTCGAATCAAAGTTGGTTCTGAAAACTTGCTGACGCAAAGGAATGCTGAACTGTACAATGGGCTTGGTCTTGTTGTCTCCCCATCTTCTTCACTGGATGTCAGCCCGGAAACTAGTGATGATTCATGTGATAAGCACTTTAATGTGCCAGGTGAATCGCCCACCAGCATTCTTGAGGTGAATTATGATCCTTTTAATAGATATTGATTATTGACATGTTTCGCTGTTAAGATAGCCGCAAGTTCCTTTTTGTATAAATCTTTTAAGCTTTTCATTACTGCTTGTGCTGGGGCAGATTATGACTTCCTATCCTGGGGAAAGACATTTGTCTCCTTTGCCTGAAGACTTGATTCATCTGACAGAGGAAATGAAGCTTGCTGTAAATTGTGAAACTAACCACATGGACAAGATGGGGATGAAAAATTTTGCAGTATTAGAAAATGGATTTCATTCTAGTAAGAGCAATTATAAAGTTCTAGATTTGAAAAAATCGAAGTCTTATGGAGAGGATGATTGTTCCCCCATGGAATTAGTTAGTCAGAAAAGCAATGGTGATAGAGATAGTAGTTATTCTCTCATCAAGGAGAATGATATTGATATCAATACTTCTGGGTGTGAAGAACTTGTCACTAATGCTTTGAAACTTCCATTCTTATTGAGCTCCCAACAAGGCATTTCTGATCCTGCAAAAAATGTGCCTTCAGAAACAATGCTTCCTCCAACTGTTCTTAAAGAGGGTGTGAAGTCTGATATTGCCAGTGACATTGTGGCTTTCTCCCAGGAGGAAGCACCCAAGGCAGAGAAGTCTCATGATTTGGAGTACCCGCAGTCAAATGCGTCTGAGGGAAGAAAAGCTCCTAATGCTTTGGGACCCTCCAGACCCACAAAACAGCTTCTGAAAGGTGAACCTGCTGATGAAGAAGAATCAAAATCACCTCTTGAGAAATCTTCAACTGGGGGCAAGAGGAGACAAAATGATGAAGCAATAGTTAAGTGTTCTTTGCCTCAGAGAGGTGGCAGAAGCAATCATACTAACTTTATTGGATCGAATAATGATTCACATCATCTCCAAGATGACCATCAGAAAGCAGGTGGCAGGTATAAGGACAGTTTTGGAGATGCAGCATTCGAAGATAATGATAATGATAATGGTAAAAGATCTGAGAAACCTCCCAAAAAAGAAATTCATCCTAGAGTTAATTCTTTGCCAGTCTCCTGCCTTGAGAATAAGCTAAATACTGAAGCTCCAAGGGGATCAATTCCCCTAGATGGTGAATTTTGGGTTTGTTGTGACAAATGTAGAAAATGGAGACTTCTTCCTCCTGGCAAAGTTCCGAAGAGTACTTCCAATGAATGGTTTTGTAGGATGCTTAACTGGCTGTAAGTTCTATCACTTTTTATATGATTTTGTAACATCTCAAACTTGTTCGACTAAGTTCATGTTTTACCATTTTGTAAATTATAGATCTAATATATTGTCAAATTCAAACCTATTAGCATCTCAAACTTGTTGCTCGCAAGTGCTTGATCTTTGCATACCAGTCTGTGATAGCTCCTCAATGTCACAACTTTTTGTTTGAAATTTCATAGGCCCGGAATGAATCGATGTAGTATCCCACAGGATGAGACAACTTCAGCTGTGAGGGCTCTTTACCAGTCTGCTGCTTCAGTTCCTGACACCATTGTGACTTCAGCAGGAGCAGTGCAAATTGATGGTAAGTCACCTTGTTATGAGCCTCTGAGTGCTGCTGTTCAGACTGCTGCAATTGGTGGGAAGAAAGAAAACTCAGCTGATTTTGATGGTCCCGCTCGATCTCCAAACCCATCAAAGAAGGTACTTGCAACATCCGACAAAAGAAGTAGTTGGAATAGTCAAAATAGCTCACCTGCTCTAGAGAGGAGTGGAGATCAGCAGAAAGCTCAGTTGAGTGCAGTTCCCAAGTACAATGATACTAAAGAAGAGAAGATATCAGTTACTAATGGCTCTGGTAAGATCTATGTCTCTATGTAAGAGTTTTTCTTTGATGCATGTCTACTAACTCCATTACAGCTTTGGCATTTCTTACTTTACCCTTAAATTCTCCGAGTTATTATGTCTTTATGCAAGAATTTTTCTTTGATGTATGTCTACTTACCAAATCCATTATATCTTTGGTTTTTCTCACTTTTAACTTGCCTTCTCTAAGTTTTTTCTTTGAATGATGTGCACAGATGGAAACTTAAAGATAAAGAACAAGCGAGAGACTGATATTGAGGGTTCCAGAGCTCATAAAAGAATTAAGACTGAGGAATTACATGCTGATGATGAAAAATTGAATTCTGACAATGGCAGGTTTACCTCAAAAGGAGGTTGCGGCTCCAATAGTATGTCTAATAATGGCACATCAAGAAGCAATAGGCACAGGTATAGTGATCATAAGGATACGAATGATGGAGCAAAGAAGACTTCTAATGCGGAAAAACATGTTCCGGCTAATTCAGAAGATCTGTTACATTCTGAAAAGAATGGTGAGGAATCTTTTAGTAAGAGGAAAGCTAGGGAACCTTATGGTTCTCTAATTCATAGTGAGCCTATTTCCAGCTCAGGACGACATCACCCAGTCTCTGGTGATCTTGTGGATGAACTTCAGCATCAGAAAGAAAAGAAAGTTCGAGTTTCCAAGTCTGAGGGAAGAGATCCCATTGGAAACAAAACTAGTGTTGGATCTGACAGAAAAAACAAGGAGACGAAGGATCAGCATAATGGGAAGTATCTGAGCAACCATCAGGCTGCCGGTTGTTTGAAAAGCGATATGGGTGCTGGACAACCTTTACTTGCTACCAATTCAGGCTCTTCGAAGGGAAGTGGCTCACATAAAAACATGATTAATGGTCAGGAGTTAAAAGGTTCTCCAGTAGAATCAGTTTCATCATCGCCATTGAAACCTTCTAATGCTGTTAAGGTCGCATCTAATGGGAAGAGCCCTAATGGAAAAGAAGACGATGAGGATGAAGAAAGAAATGAGAAGATGAGAATGGTGAAAGAAGAAACAATTGTCTCTCTCAGTGATCATGCCATTGATGGTGACAATGATAAACTATGTCAAAGAAACAAGAATGATAATAGGAAACAAACTTTTGATCAATGCAAAGTCGAAGAAAATTCTCATGATGATCATAATCGTAATGGTGGATGTCATGTGAAGAAAACTGGGAAGGAATTGTTTTCACACTGTAAGGACAAAGTGAATATCAAAGTTTCTGATTTGCATGAGGAGAAATTGAATGGTAGAAGAAGCAAGAGTGATGAGAAATGTGACAACCCTAGTAAGAGTGAAAAGGTTGTTTCTCAAAACGATAATCCTGGAACTTCAAGAGAGAGCAGTAGAGATCAAGGTCAAAAGAAATGTGATCCAGATAGACAAGAACCTGAAACTAGCCGGGATAAGAAGCATAATATTCAACGGGAAAACAATGAAAAATTACCCTCAAAACGCAATCAGACAGAAGTTTGTGTGAGTGGAAAGCCAAACTCACTTCCACCTTTAGCAAGAGTTCAAAGTGCGGCAGTTGATGGCTGTGATGATGGCAATGCGTTAAAGGCACAAAGCCAAAGAAAGAGAGCTGAGAACAAGGGAGGCCAACCAAGGAGACATCCTACTCCAAATTCACACAAGGTTCGGGATGGTGAGGCTCCAAGTCCTCATCGAAGGGAGTCTTTCAGTCACGCAGTTAATAATGTTCTAAAAGATGCGAAAGATCTCAAACATGCTGCCGATCGTCTTAAGGTCTGCACAAATTGGACTATTCAGGCATATATAATACTATGTTTGGGTGTGTAGATATATTTATTTTTATTTATAACAAGGCTCATTTTGCAGAATTCTGGATCTACTGAAAGCAATGGGGTTTACTTCCAGGCTGCCCTTAAATTTCTCCGTGGAGCCTCTTTGTTAGAATCTGGGAGCAGCGAAGCAGCTACACATAGTGAATTGATGCACTCAATGAGTATATACAGTAGCACTGCAAAGCTCTGCGAGTATGTTCTTTGTAACCATCTCCAATATATCTGTTTTTGTGTCTAAATAAGGTTTCCACTGTGAACTTTAAATCTGGATTAACACTTTGGAAACATTTTATAGCAGTCGTAACCTCTAATGTCGTGCTGGATTTCTCATTCTCTTGATATGATTAATCTTTACTTGAACTGAAAATGGTAGCCTTACCGTGCATTAATGGTTATCTTTTTGGTAGGTTTTGTGCTCGTGAATTCGAAAGGTCAAAAGACATGGCTGCTGCTGCTTTGGCTTATAAATGCATGGAAGTGGCATACATGCGAGTGGTTTATTCTTCACATGCCGTAGCTAGCAAGGATAGGCATCACTTGAATAGGGCTCTACAAAGTGTTCCCTCTGGTATGTTCTAGAAACCGTATTCAGTCTAGTCCACATATGTGCAGTTGCTAAGGTTCTCTCTCTGTACTATTGAAATTTTGATATAGATGTAGTTTGTGTAACAAACAGTTTATAATGATATGATGGTATTTCGTTGATAATTAAGCTATCATCGAATGTTTAGATACTCATTCTCAGGAAATTAGTAGTGTTACTCCCTTCCATCCATGGAGAAGAGGAAACCTGAAATATGTTACTTGTGATTTGTATTCAAGCTGATCTGTTACCGAGTGAATTAATCAATTGTAACTTCCTTCTGCTTCAAAATTTCTCTACTTGGATAATATAGTTTTATCTTCCTGTCATTAGTCAATATTAAGTCATAATTTAAGGTCTTCTCCGATTATTTATACTCTTTAGGTGAATCGCCATCCTCATCTGCCTCGGATGTTGATAACTTGAATCACCGAGCAACAACAGACAAGGCTGCCTCAGCCAAACCTGTTGGATCTCCTCAAGTTTCCGGAAACCATGTCATTACTTCTCAGAATCGCACTTATTTATCACGTATTCTTAACTTTGTAAGTGTTAGCCGATTTCTTAATTCTCTTAGTTTAATTATATGTAGCAGCTCTGGCTCGCTTTCGCATCAATCTACATTTATTATAAGCTTGTTGATTTTTTGGGTGCTATGAGGGCCATCTGCCATTACTTGTAGTGTGTGAAAAACAATAACTATTTCTGTTTGCAGGCGCAAGATGTTAACTTGGCAATGGAAGCTTCTCGGAAATCAAGAATTGCATTCACAGATGCTACTTCAAGACTCGGAGAAACCTCAAATAATGACGGTATACTTTCACTGAAAAAGGCCCTTGATTTCAACTACCAAGATGTTGAGAGCTTATTACGCCTTGTTCAATTTGCAATGGAAGAAATCAGTCGTTGAAACTGCAGCATGTGTGGGTTCCTCCCTTTTTTCAAAAGATCTCTTCATGGAATGATATGCAGTTGATTGATTCTTCGAGTCTCAAACAAGCCCATTTGTTCTTCAATGCAACCCCATTTGAATTAGCTAGATGACCTCAACTTTTCCTTCCAAGATGGGCCGGTGGTGCTACTAAAGAATCAGCCCAAGACTTTATTCAGCTGTTCGCTGGCTATTGGACAATTTTGTGGTGATCTGCTTCTGTGTGTATATATATATATATATATATATCCTCCTTTGCTACATAAGAGTGGTTTTGTCGACAATAGGAGGCCACAGTCAGAGTTGCTTGTGATTTATCCTGACCCTGATTTACCGTTGGCACTTGTAGCTCTCTGGGATCCTGATCAATTCAACCAAGTAATGTGGATTGCTTCCATGAATTGATTTTGTATCATCGTCTCTATACTCATTAATATGTCCTTCTGATCTCACCCTATGTACTCTGATGTTTTGCAGGTCTTGTAGCTTGTCCCCAACTCAATTCTTCTTCACCATTCAGCTGGTGTCATAATACGTTTATCTTGGAAGGAAACTACATTGCTACCTTCTCCAATGGCGTTCGTTCTGCATATTCGAACTTTGTGACTTCTATTCCGTTACCAGGTACTTTGCCGATGACTTTTCTTCCTATGGCGCTGAATTCTTGCTTGGGGTATTGGCTGTCACTTCGTCATTCTTAGAATTCCCATTCCATCGAACTTACCACAAAGAAAATGGCTTGTCTCTTTGCATTCCTCTCTGATCGGCAACCTTCACCACTTTCCCCTTTTCGAAGAAGACTTCCATTCGCCTTTTTCGCAGAATGGGTTCTTGTTGTTGTTGTTGTTGTTCTTGGTGGCAATGAGAGTGAAAATATGGTCCCTTGGTGAAGATGTGGATGCATTTCAAGCTTCAGAACATCAACATAACTGCTTTATGTCTCCATCATGTCTTTGTTTTGGGTACATTTTTGTAGCAAGTTTCTTGTATCCAACTTTTGTATGTAAATCTTTTATGTTTTCATATGTTTTGTCCATATGTAACGAAGTGCTAAATGGCTAAAGAAAGTATTGCCAATGTATTGTTTTATCATATTTATATAGTGAGTATTCAAGTGCATGTAAATGGAAAGAATTCATTTTTGGTCCCTAAGAAATGGTTCAGAGGTGTGAGGTAAATTTGTAAATTGAGATCATGGGTTCAAATCGGTGATTCTCATCCAATGAATCTGTGAATCACCGTGTGTTTTTTTTGTCCTTTCAAACCAGCATGTAGGAGAAGGGTCATTGTGTGTTCTAAACAAATTGCTTTTTGTCATTATTTAGTTTTTTTAAAATATCATAGTACTAAATATATTTTTTCAATTAAACTTAGCTTGTTTTTGTTTGTAAGTAAAATGATATTAATATTCTATTTTTAAAAATATTCAAATATATTTTTTTGAATTTAAAAGTTTTTGTTATTAATTATTTGGAATTGTGATGTATTAGTATAAAATAAGAATATATAATATCATTTAATTAAATATAATATAATTATTAATATCAATTATAAAATTTAAAAATGTATAGCTACAAAAGTAATTTATTCTATAGATAATAAAAAATAATAAAAAAAAAAATTAGCAAAAACAATATTTTAGTACTCTTTCAATAAAATTTTAAAAAATAAAAGGTGAATTGTAGGACAATTTTTTCTTCTACGTGCAAGAATAGCAAAAACCCTTTGTGGATGGTCGGAGATTGGAGATGGTGTGTGGTGTACGCTCCGCTTTAAAATGTGTACAGCGCATTTTGTCTCTGTTGCTCTCTATATATGGATCGATTTCGCCCAATTTTTGTAAATTCACAACCCTAATTAAGATATATATCTAATAACTTTGGATATCCGTCCTCTCTCTTCAACCTGTCGATGTCTTCCCTCACTTCTGAAAACCCTATGACACAGTAGGAAGGATGAATTCTCATTTTTTGTTTGTTTTGCCCGAAGAAATGTGCGTGCTTCCGTGGCCAAGAATTTCTGCTTAGAGGCGGGTGTTTTCGCGAGGGACTCAATCGATGGAGCTGGCGGCGTCGGCGGCGATGTCGTATCAGGACTTGTTGGATGCGCAGAGGGATCTGTTCAAGAATCAGATCGAAAAGCTCCAGCAAGTAGTCGCCACCCAGTGCAAGCTAACCGGCGTCAATCCCCTCTCTCAAGAGATGGTTTTATATTGTTTTCCTTCAAAGCTTATTCTTCATCGATTCGGTTAATAATATGTCTTCTGATCCATTTAAAATTTTAATGCAGGCTGCTGGGGCGTTATCTATTAAAATCGGTGAGCTTTTGGTTTCATTTTTATGTTTCTTGTATATTGGTATTGATATGTGTGTATATACATATATATATATATATATTCGTATGATTAATATTATCTACTTGATGTGTTTGTTGTCCCAGCTTGTGTTAATTATATACAGTGATTATGCGAATGCATGATGGTTGTGATTAATAGTTGTCACATTTTTGAAAGCATTATAGTTATTGTTATCTACATGTGTTCTACAAAACAAAACTTTGGGTCAAACCAATGATGCTAAAATTAGCATAGTTTCTTTATAAATATGTTTGCTAGAGTGATCCTGGTTGGGTTTCAGGTGACAGTAATCTCTTTCCCATTTAATTTGTAGCCTATTCTGTGAGATATATTTCGTCTTGTTTTAGATGTTCATTTTTAGTTTTAATTTCATGTTTTTGCAGGAAAAAGACCTAGAGATTTGCTTAATCCCAAGGCTGTAAAGTACATGCAATCTGTATTCTCCATCAAAGATGCAATTAGCAAGCGCGAAACGAGGGAGATCAGTGCTCAATTTGGAGTGACACTTACACAGGTATCTTTGTCCATCATTTCATGTTCCCCTTTTTCTGCACTTTCTAAAAATTTGTTATGTTGGGCTTGGGTTTATTGATTGTTTGAACTAAAATGGCACCTTTCTTTTTGTGAAGGTCTTGTTTATCTAGATTTCATTTGTTTTAGCACAGGCCATAACATTAATTTTTTATTCTTTGTAGGTTAGAGATTTTTTTGTGGGTCAGCGAGCAAGGGTGAGGAAATTTGTCAGAGTATCCAAAGAGAAGGATGATAGATCTTTTGTTCGTGATGCAATGAATGGCGAAGCCTCCACATCAGATCCCAGTTTGCCTGTGGAACCAGTCCCGTTGAACACAGTTGCTCCATCGAATATTCATGAAGGACCTTCATGTGTAAAGTCCCATGAACTTTTATCTGGCATGGAGGAGTCAGACCCACATTTTGTTGAAAATATATTTAGTTTAATGAGAAAAGAAGAATCATACTCGGGACAGGTTAAGTTGCTGCAATGGATTCTTCGCATAGAAAATCCCTCAGTGTTACACTGGTAATTCCTGTTTATATTTGTGTTAAAGATTTGCACATGAGGTTTATTTTACTTATTAATGTCATATTTTTTTACCAGGTTTTTAAATGAAGGTGGACTGATGATACTAGCATCATGGTTAGGTGAAGCAGCTAATGAGGAACAAACAAGTTTTCTTCATGTTATTCTTAAGGTGCTCATTTTGTATTGTGATTATAACATGCTATAAATATCAGTGGTCCCATGGTTTTAGATCCTTCTGATTGTCATTCTCAGCTGCTTGATTACTTACCACTGCGGAAAGCACTCCCTGGGCATATGTCTGCAATATTGCAAAGTGTAAATAGACTGCGGTTTTACAGAACATCAGGTGTGCTTCTTTTCCTGTTAGTAGGCCTTTCGAGGATTCTATTTCATTGTTGTTAAACCAATGATATTGTATTTCTCTAAGGCATAAGCATGACTATTGATGGAATTTCTTGGGCTTTATGGTGTGTCCTTATTTGGTTTCTTTGGGGAAAGTAATGTCAACTAAATATATCCTAGAATTGAGATTGTAAAACTAATACAGTTGATGCATAATCCTGACACTTAACTCCACCACCTTAGGGGTTTCCAATTTTGTGATTTATTCCTTCCACTTAGTTAATGAGAATAAAAGTTGTTAAGAGTATCTATAAGGAAGTTGCTCATAGTGTTTATTATTACCTGAAATACCTTTGCTAGCTTTCTCATTTTTCTGATTTGAAGATCAGATATCTCACACAGGGCAAGAACTCTATTATCTAAATGGAGCAATATGTTTGGCAAAAACCTATCGAAAAAAAGCAATGGACAGAAATCTGCCAGTGATTTACAGGATGAGATGCTGTTAAAACAGAGGCAAGACATTATTTTTTCATGGATATATACCTTTTTTCTTCCTTCTTTCTTTCTTTCTTTTTTTCCTTATAGTTTAGTCTTTGTATTTATGCAGCATTAATGAGGTCATGGGAAGTGATTCTTGGGATTTGAAATCTGAAAACTCTGTAAGTGTTTTTGGATTTTCTTTAACATTTGTTCAAAACACGTTAGTATATGGTGCTTACTTTACACCTGAAAACTTCAGGAAGAAGTCCTGAGACTACTGTCTGACAATCCGGACAACCTTAGGTATGCAGCTTGTCATTAGGCTTGTTATGTATGTTTTGAAAATTTATTTTGTTTCGATTCATTTTAAGCAAGATGTCTTTCGCAGGAAGTTGGATGCTGCTCAGCCTCTGAAAATGCTTACAGCACCTGGAGATGACACCAATAAAAGAAGAGGTGTTCTGCAATCCCGTATCCTTCTACTGACTTTTAATTTACTGTAGAGCTGAGTTTAAAATTTCTATAGATGGAAGCTACTGATTGAGCAATTAGTTCTTACTATCATAATCCTTTTCTCAAAGTTTGGCATTCTAAATGAGAATCGTACCACAATCACATAACACTCCCATGTCTTAATCGGACGGATACATTTCCAATTTTTTTCCATAAGCCATCCTATATTTCTCAATATAAATCCAACCATTATCTAGTCAATGATCCATGGATTGGCGAACAATCGATGCTGAAGTATCTGATGCTATTATGTTAACAGAATGATGTACAGTACTGAAATGACCACGGATAATATAAGATCCTTAGAAGTGAATGCAAACAAAAATCTATGTCACATATTTTACAAGATCATTAGATCTGCAAATGCAAGCTGAGAATGATTTTAACCACTAAATAAGGCTAATTAATGAATGAACTACCAAGAAGGCTCTTCTTCAGGTCGCCAAACATTCACAGAAGCTAACCCCCCCCCCCCCCCCCCCACATAAAGGAGTCTTTAGAGATCATTTTCAGAACACTGGTGGTTCTATATTACATTTCAAATTCAGAGTATCTAAGAGCAGAACAAAATTAGATTGATGGTGGACAAGTTTAGGTGATTGGGAGCATTTTGGGATCGGCATAGCTTTTGGGTTTCAACTCTTCGCCTATAAAAAATCCTTGCAGATTTAATAGCTGGATGAATTTCTTTATAGATTCTTGGTTGATTGTGTTTAGTGCAAATTCAAACTGTTGATTCTTGATTCTAGTGTAGCTTTCTTCTTTTGTTGCATCCTTGGTAGGCTTGTTTTGAAGTTGTATTTTAAGTCTGATTATAGAATGTGTATGAGTACAAATGTCTATTATGGGAGGACACGACAGTTTTATGGATGGATTACTTCGTGAATCATGGTTCTAGAGGAAGGTTGAAGTTTGCTAGGCTGTATTCTAGATGTGCTATTAGAAGTTCTTGATATCTTTTACTACATAGCAGGTAACATGTGAGTTGCACCTGGGAAATGTTGGAAGTCGGGTTAAAGATCATAGCTATTATCCAAAATCCTATTTAAAGAATGTTCTTTTCTCTATCTTTGCTACATTGAAAATGGAGCATATGGAAATATGGATTTTATTGTGATTTTTTTTTTTCCTCACAGTAAGTGTGTAAAGTATTGTCCATTTATACTAAATTAACCTTGCTAAATACTTATGTTACAACTTGAATTAAGTACATGTGTATGTTTGAATTGGAAGCCTACCAATACTAGAGTTCGAATTGTAGAACTTTTAACACTTTAAATTTCCTGTAATTTTCCCGGAAAATTCAATTTGATGAATGCAGAAGTTTGAGATGGTTAACAAAGCGTTAAATTTTATGGTATAGATACTAATGAGGAATCAAAGATTTGACTATTTTGTTGTCCTTGATTTGCTGGAATTGGTAACTTATTGATGTATCATATCTCCTTTTATCTCCTTTTCTTTCATATTTTTTGGTAAAATGCAGAATTGATATTTTGCTTAGTTTCCAAACTGATTCAAAACTTACATGTTACTGGGAACCATTTGTGGTATGTACAGCTGACATTCTTCAGTTACTAATATGGTATAATGGTTGCCCTGGATGGATCGACATTGTTACTGCTAGTTATGTTGTGTTGTTTATTACTGAGGCATGAAAAATATTTTCTCCTCCATTCTTTTTTGCTCTGGAAATGTTGCTCCTTAACCTCAAGTTGTAGATACTCGAGAAAGAAGGAAAGTTCAGCTGGTAGAACAGCCTGGTCAAAGATTGCCTTCGCGGGGTCCCCAGGTTGCAAAATCATCATCAACAATTCAAAGCCGCCCACTTTCTGCGGATGATATACAGAAAGCAAAGATGCGAGCTCAATTTATGCAGAGTAAACATGGGAAGATGCCTGCTGATCCTGATGAAAAAATAAAGCCTGAAAATCCAAATCTATGTGCGGCTTCAAATGCCACTCCCCCAACATCAGTTTCTAAAAATCGTGACCGGGCAGAACTGGAGGAGCGGAGGATAGTTGAGAATGATGGCATCAAACGTTCTGATCCACCAGCAACTTCGACGCTAAATTTGGAGGAGCCTCCATGGAAGAGATGCAAGAGAATACAAATCCCATGGATGATTCCTCCAGGTTCATTTGCGTGTACCTCTTATTTTTAATTTTATCTTTATTTCCTTCTGTGTTGGCTTGATCCCAGGGATCTTAAATGTGTTTATCCACCAAATGTTTAAATGTGAGTTGTGAAATCTATATTAGGGTGATCATTTTCAGGAGCTAATTTCAATATGACATAGCAATTAGTGGAAGTGAATCTTAATATCCTGCTTTCTGGCTCTGCATTTTTAATTAAGAAAGCAATATAATAAAAGTACTCAAATTAAACAGAACTATACCATTCAAATTTACAGGGACCAGGTGTTTGTTTTGAGTAGAGAAAGAATGAAGTGGTAGCATCAAATCATATATTTTAAACCATTTATTATTCCTTTTTAGATATATAAACTGATCTATGTATATTTTCTTGAATACCTTCTTGCCTTAATGAGAAATTGGAATCTTTGTGTTTAGTTCATTCAACATTCCCTAGAGGATTTGATTGAATCCTTTATCTTGGCCTTCTAACTACGAGTTACATGTATTGGTACGTCATAGTCAGAGTATTGTTTGTTTTTTTGGAGTAACTCTAAAATAATGCCATCTGCTGGCGCCTCCATATATTTTTTGCATAAGATAATTGAAGTGTCTTTCACAAAGATATGTAAAGTCACCTGGCAGAATAGTTTCTTCTTTCATCTTTACCTGATGCTTACAATTGTTTCATGCAGAAATCAAAATCAGGGAGACATGGAGTGTTCGTAATGGGGAAGAAAGCAAAGAATTTGAAGTCCAGAAAAACAGACAGAGACGTGAGAGAGAGATAATTTACAGAGCAGTGCATGAAATTCCATCTGACCCAAGGGAACCTTGGGACCGTGAAATGGACTATGATGATACGTTAACCCCTGTAATCCCTATTGAGCAGTTGCCAGATGATGAGCTTGCAGAGACAACTGATTCCCCAATGCAGAGCAAGGAAACTGCAGCGCCAGTTGGATCTACATCTTCAGACAGTGTGACCGAACCAGATCTTGAACTTCTGGCTGAACTGTTAAAAAACCCAGAGTTAGTTTTTGCATTGACTTCAGGGCAAGCAGGAAATTTATCGAGTGACGCAACTGTCAAGCTTCTTGATATGATCAAAGCCAAAGGAGTGAATTCCCTCCCTAATTCTGGAAATACAAACAGTTTAGGCGGAAATTCAAACAGTAAAGTTGAGGTTTCACTACCATCTCCAACGCCCACGACTGGCTCTGTTCTGGTGCGTAATTTTACTCCATTGTATATGATTTGTGAAGTTTTATACAAGTCATCATATATAACATGTTTGATTCTTTTCACCACTTGCTTTCATTGGGCGTTCATATGTGCAGCTTGTTAGCTGTGCTTTCTTCTGGTCATTAAATGAACATAGGAAACTGAAATTTTTACCTTAACACACGTTTGAACAAGGAAAGCCGAAAAAAATTGCAGAGGGTGCATAGAGCTATCCCCTCCTTCCCTTATTTCCCCAAATCAGTTCAGACTGCATTAAACTTAAATGAAACAGTATCGACAAAATGGAACAAATTGAGTCATTAAACAGGAATACATTAATTAGGAAAAAATGGATAGAAAACATGCATAATTGTTTTTTAGTTTCTAGAATGAGATATTTGCAGATAACACTTTGGAATAGTTACGTAGTTCAAGTTTGTGCCAATCATTTGATCCATATTTTCTACATTTTTTTCTGATTGTTTGGTAGCGAGTAACTTCATTTTCTGATCTTTTTGTTTACTGTATTGGGCAATTTTTGTTTTGTTGTCTTTTTATGCAGAATGGGCCAAAGCCTGACTTTACTAGAAATCCATTCTCCCGGCAGCTCACAGTGGCCAATGGAAATACTTATCAGGGCCCTGCAGTTGTTTATCCCCAAGGAATGGTTCCATCAAGCACTGTACTTCAATCTCAGATTCCAGCCTCCACAATTATGGCATCTCAACCTTCATCATCAGTTCAGCAGTTAGGACATGGCGGGGCGCCGCCGCCTCTGGGAGCATCTCTGCAAACTTCGATTCAGTTGGCTGAAAATTGGAAGGCGCCGGTCCCTACAAATCCACAATTGTACCACCAAACTACACTATCTAATTCTTTCAATACACAATATATGACTACAGAAAAGATCCTAAATGCAAATTTGGTAGCCAACTCTAACCGGGCTTTGTCTACTGCTCTCCCTTCATCATCACTGCCTACAGTGTGGCCTGAATCCTTAGGCAATGTTCAGGCGCCACCGGCATCCATGGTAAAGCCACCGTCTCAATCTTTTGCACCTCCACATCCTTCGAAGCCAACTGATTTATCCTATTTACAGGAATCCATACCGCATAGCACATTGAGCGCAGGGCAAGTTTTCGAATCAAAATATGGGTATCCCAACAACAGAACTGTGAATAATTACAATGCATATCCAGGAAGACCTGTGGAGAATTCTATGCTGCCAGGTACCCGGGGAGGTAGAGAAATCTTTACAGACAGGCCTGGTTTCGAGTCATGGAGCCCGGATAACAGCCCGTCTAGACGACATGAGCACTCGTCAGGCCAATCACATCGTGAGCTGGATGTGAACTCGAGGCACAGATACGCAACAATGCCGCAGAATCCGGTGCACCCTTCTCGTTACCAAGATCACAATGTCGGGCCACCCGGGCACAAACATTGGCGGGACTATACAAGATAATCGTGGCTATTTTTTACTAGTTTGGGAATCATATCTGAAGTTTGGGGTGTTTTGTTGTTTGTGAGGGGTGGAGAAAGAAAAAAATGTTGGTGTTAGTACAATTAGGGAATTATTTGAGATGAAATGTTATGGCAACTTTGGCTCTGCTTTCTGTATTGGACTATTATTATATGGATTATGGAGTAAGAGGACATTCTTGATAATTGGATGAAATGAAGATGGCTCCTTACCTTGCCTTAATAATATGACTTTCTTCCAACTGCTGAATGATAGATGTATTTTCATGTTTTGTTCAGTATCTGTGGAAATAATTGAGCAGCAGTCTTCAATGGAATTGGAAGGATATGTTGATGTTGAGGAAGAATGGTATAAAAAATACTTCATTTTTTATTTTTAAATAAATAGAAAGAGAATTGATGCTGACGGTTGAAGTTTTTGGCTTAAATTGAACGCCTTCTATTATACCGTTTGGACTTTCATCTTCTTCTCCTTCTCCCTTAGCTAAATTCGTTAAACCCCTCTTGATTACTAGTTCTACTTCTGCACTGCACAAAAGAAATGGGATTTAGGTTCTTGATTAAGCTCAACTTCATTCATGAATCTTTTGTTTCGAGAACTGCATTGTCGCCTTCTCCTTATTCCAAGATTCTCAAGAGATCTTGCGCCGCCCTCAGTTTTAACTCGTATGATCATTCGAATTTTTATTCTGGAAACCCCAATTTCTGGATTCAGAGGCGATGGCATATGGGGCACTCCCACCACCACCACCACCACCATGAGAATCCAGATTCTCCTTCGGGGAAGGAGGGCGATAGAATTTTCCGTCTTGGACTGGCGGCGGACATAGGGCTGGCTGCCGGAAAAGGTTTTATTGGATACATCTCCGGCAGCACTGCCATCATTGCGGATGCTGCTCATTCAGTTTCAGATGTGGTATGATTGAAGTTTTCCTTTAGTTTTGCCCCTATATATATATATATATATGTAGTTAGGACATTCCATTGTTTCTCTTAGACTTAATTATGACTGTTTTTAATGGTATATAGGTGTTGAGCGGGGTAGCATTGTTGTCTTATAAAGCTGCAAGGATTCCAAAGGATAAAGAACATCCATATGGTTGCCTACCCGCCTTTTATCTGTATCTATACCTTACTTGGTTCATTTTATATGTTTTTAGATTAGCATTACTCTCCATTTTAAGAAGTTTGATGGTATATTCTGCAAGTAATATCAGTTTAGTGTTGGTGTTTTGTACTGGTTGTTTCTAATGGTGAAATTGGATTGAAATTCTGTGATTGCTTGCTGCTCTAAGGTTCAATTTTATTTGATCAAATCGTACATTTTGACCTATCGGCCATTGCATCCCTTTTGTCTTTTCAAACAGACCGCCTTATTTTCAGTGGAATGTAAAGTGACCTTGTTTGTCAATCTATGGCTAACTTATGATGCAGGGCATGGCAAATTTGAGACCCTTGGCGCGCTCGGAATTTCGGGGGTGCTCTTGGCGACTGCTGGAGGCATCGCGTGGCATTCTTTAGATGTCCTTATGGTGGGTTCAATACTATATTATATTTCAGAATGAAAACAATTCAAAACTGAGTTCCTTTTTGCGTATCTTTATTGTATAATGTAGGAAATCACATCCGCTGCACCTGAGATTGTAAATCAGTCCTTGACTCATAACCATCCACACAATCACCAGGATCATGGACATCACCATGGAATAGATATGGAGCACCCGATTCTAGCATTGAACATGACTATAGCATCTATAGCCATTAAAGAAGGGTATAGTAGTCAATAATGTTTTGCTAATTACTTGCAAAGTGTTTCATTTGCATTTCCATATTGATTTAGTTATATACCTGTTTATTTGTCACCATTTTAATTCAATCTGTAGATATCAAAAATGTAATATCAACTAGCTGTCACAAACTCACTGTTTTATGCGGTGTTATATTTTTAAATCAACTAGGTTGTATTGGATAACAAAGAGGGCTGGTGAGAAGACAGGCAGTGGACTCATGAAAGCAAATGCATGGCATCATCGAGCAGATGCAGTTTCATCTGTGGTTGCTCTCGTTGGGGTTGGTAAATAATTTAGTTTCTCTTTCTCCTCATTGACATTGAATATCAGTTTTTACTTTTTACTGAAGTATTGTACATAACTTGGAGCTTTAATGATCATTAGTAATTGTTCATATCTTCTAGGGCAATGTTTTGATGAATTGAAAGGAAGCTACCCATCTGTTTTCACTTATATTGAGGGGCTTCAGATGTGGGTACACAATATCAAAATTATACTGGGATAAATATACTTAACTAGATTATCTATGTTACAGAACAATATCGAAATTAATAGACCTCCTCAAATTTAGAATTATATAATTTTACTCTCTATGCTTATGCTAGCTATACTTAGATTTATTGAGAGTCCAAACCCACCCCTCTTGGTGTGTGTAGGTAATAATGCCTAACGATAAGATTTCACTTTCACTACATGTTTTTAGGGCATTTTGAATTCGGCAGCTTCAAGTATTAACTAAGTTCAAGATTTAGTATGATCTTAGGAGGTAAGGTGGCCAACAAATAAGGGTGATCAATCTAAGAACTCTTGAGTTCATTCTTTCTTGTTCATCGATGCATAATCTTGTTGAAAATTGATATTTTATTATATGCTTTAAATTCTGCTTCCATCCTTATTTAGGATTTATTTCTCAAATGTTACTAATGGGCGTTTGTTGTTAAATTAGGTGGAGCGATTCTTGGGGTTAAATTTCTTGATCCTCTTGCTGGACTTCTTGTTTCTGGAATGATTTTCAAAGCTGGAATTGAGAGTGGTCATCAGAGGTAAATAATCATTCTATGTTCCCCTTTTTATTTGAAGGGATTACCGCTTCTCATGCTCCCTCATTGTACACATCTGTATCCATAATGGATAAAAAGAACAGTCCAGTTAGATAGTTTTCTGCAATGAGTTTTTTTATGTCTCTCTCTCTCTCCCTCTGTACTTGTTATCAGGTTCAACGGTTTTTTAACACTTGCTCCTCAATAGAATACTGGCTTTATTATGATTTATCAACGTTTGCCATAACATTGTTTTATTTCATATTCATGTGTTTGAATTTAGCATCTTGGAATTGGTGGATGCTGCTCTTCCACCGGAAAACCTGGAACCTTATAAACACACAATATCGGGGGTTGAGGGAGTCAAGGCAAGTCAATTTCAAATTTCTGCAGAATTAGTTTTTAAAATGATACTCCTCACATTGTCCATCGTAGATATTGATGTTTCTTACTGTCATATGCCTTCCACTGTTTGTTTCTCCCATTATTGATCTTGCCAGTAATCTTGTTCCAATGGCACAGCAATGTACACTATTTTATTGACTTAATTTTGAGAAATTCCCTTTTTCATGTGTTGGGTGGGGGCTGATTCTCTTATATTTACTTCTTTACATGATTACATCTAACCTTACAGTGAACATGTATAAATTCTGATGTCTGAAGAATCTCCTTGGGATCTAAATAGTTTTGTCGATCCATGTAGGGATACAATCACCTCAGAGGAAGGAGAGCGGGGTCATCTTTGTATCTTGATGTAAACATTGAGGTCCGTTGGGTTGCCTTGTCTTGTTTTGTAGATTACTAGTACTTAAAAATGCTCGTAGTTCTAATGGTGTAACGCCGGCTTATAATTTACGTAACGTTTCATTTCAAAGAAGGCCTCATTTATAAATTCAGGTAGATCCCTTTTCAAGTGTGAGTGCTGCACACGATGTTGGAGAAAATGTTCGACATCAACTTCAACAGTTGCATCCAGAAGTAGCTGAAGTCTTCATACACGTAGGTAATCAGTTTCTCCCATGTGCTAAGGGCTTCACTGTGGAATGAAAAAATAGTAGAAAAACAGGTTCCTCGGTTACAGTTTGGCACTTGGCTATACTCTATTTTAGTGCCCCCATGATCCTGTTTAGAGTTTCATTTTCTTGCTACAATTTTCACATGTTGAATTATGATTGATCTTTGTTCATAAAGTGAAAAAATCCCTTTCTGATTCTTGTAGTCCCATCCACATCACATATTTCGGGGAATGTCATGAACCACCAAAGGAGTTCGTCAAAAAATCATATTGATAATGTAGCATTGGAGCATGCGGATATTGAAGAAACTGTTTCCAGCATTTTGTCAACTAATTTCTCCGACGTATGAGCTAATTTTGCCAATATTATTATGTTTTTCATTCTCTTCATCCCCTTTTCATTATATTTTTATTTTCTTGCGCATTTAGAGAATGGAAGTGCAGAGAATAACCCGCCACTCATTGGAAGGTCACATTCTTCTTGAAGTCGAGGTCTCCATGCCCCTCGACACATTAGTTAGGTACAATTAATTTGAATCTTTCTCCTATAGAGAGCTACTCTGTAGTTGTAATCTTGATGACTATGTTGCACAAAAACCAGAAATGCGGTCAAGGTTGCTGAAGAAGCCGAAAAGAATATTTTGGAGGCATTGCCTAACATCATACATGTATCAATTCAGCTCCGACTTGGGCGCCCAGTGCCCAACTTAAAAGTCGAACAACAGGATAGCTGCTGATATTCTCCTATGTCAAAGAGATGACCGAAATTCGGAGGTTAGTCTACACTACTCTACTGTAGTATGAGAGCATGCAGACGTTTTTAAACCGGGAGTGAGTTACAATAAATAACAATACCAAATCTCACAGCAGCTCATGTAACTCTAGCTTCGATAGCATATACTAAAGTTGTTGCACGGAAAATGTTCATAGTTAGATTTTAGGTTAGCCGGGCCGATTTGCCTGTCTGCTAAGTACATTACAATGAGAAGAGAATGTGAGTTCTTGATATGAATCATCAAGCAATGCACTGCTTGCTCTGTACCTAATTTGTGTTTATCTATGATGTGGAATGTGCTTATAATATAACATTTAATAGCCAAGTTGAACCTGAAACTTAACAATTACAAATGCAGCAGGAAAACACATATAGAAACAAGGTCCATAAAGGTGTAAAATTCATTTAGCCAATAAAAAGCAAGCATATATATTAAATACCTTCAGAAACAAATATATAATTCAAGAAATAAATCCCGGGAGACAGATCCCATTACTTGGCAAAATCCAACAGACAATTCTGAATGCAAACTCGAAAACTATTAATGAATAGCTCACACTCTAAAACCCTTGCTGTTTCTACGGCCCCTAGCACGCTCAAACTTCCTTCCTTTGGATCGGACGTAGGGTTTGGTGTGGCTATGTGGGACACCAGGTGCAGGACCGAAGTGTTTGACAGCTTCTCGGGCATTCCTTGAACCTCTCAGGAGTACCTGTTTGATAAAGGATCAGAATGGATAAGTTAGCAATATTGGCTTGGAGGAGGGATTCAAGGCCAAAGGCTACACATCTGTAAAAAATTGAAAGTAAACTAGTTAACAATTCATGAAAAGGTTGCAGTCTGATACATTGTCTTCTAAGATTAAGAAGCAATCTATGGCAGTATCAATGGTGACAAGAGTACAATGAAAACTACTCTATCTTTTATACAAGGTACAAGATTTCACTTCAGCCAATAATACCATATCTGACCACAAAACTTAATTTCCATAGCTTTGAAATTTCCATAACAAGATTGAATAGCACCAAAAGGCCAAGTCATGCACAAAAATCAAGAATATGCATTTTCAAGATTTCACTAAACACAATAGTGTAACAAGATCAAAATGTTTAGATGAAGATTTAAACCAAAAGGTTGAGATATGCATTTCATTACCGTATTCTGCCCAAGAGGAGCCCTAAGAGCAAGCTGGTCAAAAGTCAAGCACTCCCCACCAGCCTTCTCAATCCTTGCCCTTGCAGTCTCAGTGAATCTTAGAGCAGTGACCTTAAGAGCAGGAACTTCATGAACCCGGACATCATCAGTGATGGAACCAACTATCACTGCAATTTTGTCCTCCTGCCAGATGATGTCCACGTTATGTACAAAAATTAATATGCATATTTAAGATTTCAGTAAACACAATAGTGTAACAATATCAGAATGTGCAGCAGAAGATTCAAACCAAAAGGTTGAGCTAACTAAAGGACATCAAAAGGTTGTCTTATTCAAAATCCCAATTAGGACATCCTTATCCCTATGTTGTTAACTCAAGGATACTTAAGCTTTTGCAGAAAAATGCCACAAAGATAAATCCATGTCGCTTCATCCAATTTTCAGGCGATGTTTTAAAGGCTGAAACTTTATTGTAAGAAGTTTGAACCAATAGTTCATACTTACGCAGCCATATTCAAAAAATTAGTAACTCAATGCACCTCTCTCATATCTTTATAAATTGATAATCTACTGCCTCCCAACATCCAGGTGAAAATTAAATGGAACACAAATAACAGCCAAGACGACAAGAGTACAAAATTTTCCTATAAAGAATAAACAAGGGCGATCTACAAGATGGAGTTTATCAAATCAATACCTTCCCCTTCGTGAGAGCAATCAGACGTGAGAGGGAGATTGGTGGCCTGTTCACCCTGCTCATGAACAACCTCTTAAGTACCACGGCATTGAACCTGCTTCCAGTTCTCCTCACCAGAAATCGGTACAACTGCAACGTAAGCAGACGCGATATAAGATCGTCTAGGTTACATATCACAATAAAGATTCGAAAACATAATTTTAAAACATAATCAAACCTTGACGAGAAGTTTCAGGTAAATATCATTGGATTTAGGGGCAGTGCGCTTGGTCTTCTTGCTCTTACCTCCGGCAACTAAATCAATACCCTGGAAGCCAAAGCAAAGTAATTCAAACCTATGAAGGAGAAATAGAAATACATTGTCTTTGGGAAAAAGAGACGTACCATGGCTCCACCTGCTGCTGCCGCTCCTCCACCGCCGCCTGTCGAATGAGAGAATGAAACTAGGGTTTGAGGCAGCCGAGTTGTGACTGGCAGAGCGGCTAATAAACGATGTCCCGTAGGTTTCGATGGGCCAACCCTGATTTACAATGGGCCCGATGATGTGTTGGGCCTATTTACTATCAGCCCTTAAAAGTTTTTGTTGCACTCAAATAGTTAGATTAAATCGAGATGCTAGAAGAAAGATAGGGTGTGTTTGTTTGAAGGATTTTGGAGGATTTTTACTATTCATTCAATTTTTTGCTCCCAAAAATATCAAATCAAACATCTATTTTTCATTTTTTATATTATACTAAAAATCAATTTTACATTCAAAACATCACATCAAACCCTATTTATATCACATCATACAACTATTCAAATTCAAAATTTTTACTATTCAAATCCCAATCCAAAATCCAAACCCAAAAAAAAAAAAAAACCATAATTCATCCTATTTTATTTTGTGAAATAGTTTATTAAAATTCATACATTTTTATTTGACAATCTCCATTGATTCATATTTTCATATATAATTGGCATTGAATATTTTAAGACAAATCACACTAAACGTATGATTGATTTTGTAATTTTAAAACGTGTCGTCTAAAGTATGATGCCACCTAAACATATTATTCTTTAAAGTTTGTAATTTCAATTTTTTTATTATATACATCTCCCACAGTCCTATATAAATTTTATTTTTTTATATTTAATTACTATTTAAATTAAAATTTTAAAAAATTGAATTACAAAGGGAAGACAAGGAAAAAAACCCCTAAAATTCGGATATTATTTTAATATTTATAGCATTTAAAAGCAAATACCTATTGGTACATTATTTTCGTTGAAACTATTTTTTCTTTTTAATTATTATTAATTTATAGTTGACAAAATAAAAAAGGAAATCGGAAAGGGCATCTGGAAAAAGCGAATAATCATTGAAGGAAAATTCATAAATAATTTTATACGCATAACGTCAGATACGATCCTGACCGTTAATTAATAACAACTCCACTCGACAGCCCTTGGATCGCAAGGGACTTCTGGACCCTAACACCAGCGAAAATTGATAATTCATGTCATTTTTTTGTGGACCCCACACGAGAGATGTCGCGGGGTGTGCCTGGTTCCTAGGTCCCGGACCTGGTAAGGTTCTTCTTATCTGATCCCAGAACCTTTTCATAACCCCTTGGATTTGAGTTGTAGCAGAAGCGCACCATTGTCTGCGACAGCTCAGCGTTGACGCCTGTGCCGCGTGAGAAGATGAACGGCGCAATGATTCGCCGGAAAATTGTATCAGCGGCGGAGAACGGCGACTCAACCGACAAGCAGGACCAGCTTCTCCTCTCCTTGGCAATATGTAACGGCGAAGACATCGGACCCTTCGTGCGGAAGGTGTTCGCCGCCGGCAAGCCTGAGACGCTGCTCCTGCAACTCAAGCATTTCTCTAAATCGAAGGAGTCGGAGATCGAAGATGTGTGCCGCGCTCACTACCAGGATTTTATTACGGCCGTTGATGACCTCCGATCGCTCCTCTCCGACGTCGATTCGCTCAAATCCGCACTTTCGAATTCCAACTCTAAGGTGCAGGACGTCGCCCTTCCCCTCCTCACCTCCCTCGACTCCTTCATCGAGGCCAGAAACGTGTGTTCCAACATAACGCTCGCGATTAATTCGCTCACAGAGTGCGTTCGGCTCATGGAGCTTTGCTCACGCGCCAATTCTCACCTCACCAGCAACAATTTCTACATGACTTTGAGGTGTTTGGATTCGATTGAAGCGGATTTTCACGACACAACGCCTTCGTCCACGTTAAGAAGAATGCTGGAGAAGCAGATCCCGGCCATTAGGGCTCACATAGAGAGACAAGTGAATAAAGAGTTCGGCGATTGGTTGGTTGAGATCCGTACTGAGAGCCGAAATTTAGGTCAACTCGCCATTGGACAAGCTTCCGCTGCACGCCAGAGGGAAGAAGACCTGAGGATTAAACAGCGCCAAGCCGAGGAGCAGAGCAGGCTTAGCTTGAGGGACACTGTTTATGCTCTAGAAGAAGAAGGCGACGACGAGATTGACGGAATTGTTGATGCTAGTACTGGAGGTAATGGCATTATAGGGGTTGATTTGACGCCATTATATAGGTCTTATCATATAAATCAAACTATGGGGCTTGGGGATAGGTTTAAAAAGTATTATTTCGAGAATAGGAAGTTGCAGCTAACTTCTGATTTTCAGGTGTCGTCCATGACACCTTTCCTCGAGTCGCATCAGACATTTTTTGCACAAATTGCTGGGTTTTTCATAGTTGAGGATCGGATATTGAGGACTGCCGGAGGGTTGATATCAAAGATGGAAGTTGAGAATTTGTGGGATACTGCCGTGAACAAGATGTGTTCAGTGTTGGAAGATCAATTCTCCAGGATGCAAACAGCAAGTCATTTGTTGTTGATTAAGGATTACGTTAGTTTGCTGGTTGTTACGCTGCGTAGATTTGGGTATCCAATTGATGCTCTGCTTGATGTGCTGAGCAAGCACAGGGACAAATATCAGGAGTTATTACTGTCAGATTGCCGTAAGCAGATTGCTGAGGCTCTGGCTGCAGATAAGTTAGATCAAATGTATATGAAGAAGGAGTACGAATACTCCATGAACGTCCTCTCTTTTCAATTACAAACTTCGAACATCATGCCGGCATTCCCATATATAGCACCATTTTCAGCTACTGTGCCTGATTGCTGCAGAATTGTGAGGTCGTTTATTGCTGATACTGTGAGTTTCTTGTCGTATGGTGGACAGCTTGAATTTTATGATGTGGTTAAGAAGTACTTGGACAGGCTCCTTGTTGAGGTGTTGGATGAGGCTCTGTTGAAAGTTATTAACAGTTCGATCGGTGGAGTTACTCAGGCTATGCAGATGGCTGCAAATATGGCAGTATTCGAGCGTGCGTGTGATTTCTTCTTTCGCCATGCTGCACAGCTCTCGGGTATTCCCTTACGGATAGCAGAGAGGGGTAGGCGACAATTTCCTCTTACAAAAGCCCGTGATGCAGCTGAAGAGAAGCTCTCGGGGCTGTTGAAGCAGAAGGTTGATGGTTTTATGACGTTGATTGAGAATGTGAATTGGACGGCTGATGAAGCTCCTCAGGGTGGGAATGAATACGTGAACGAGGTTATTATATTCTTGGAAACTCTGGTTTCTACTGCTCAGCAAATCTTACCGGCTCAAGTGCTGAAGCGTGTCCTCCAAGATGTTCTTGCCCACATTTCGCAGAAGATCATTGGGGCGATGCATTTAGAGTCGGTTAAGAGGTTCACCATCAATGCCATTGTGGGCTTAGATGTTGATATTCGGATGCTCGAATCATTTGCAGAGAATCAAGCTCCTCTTTTCTCCGAAGCAGAAGCAGTTCAGTTGAAATCAGCGCTCATCGAGTCGAGGCAAATGGTTAATTTGCTCCTCAGCAATCATCCCGAAAACTATTTGAATCCGGTTATCCGAGAGCGGAGTTACAGCGCGCTCGACTACAGGAAAGTTGTTGCTATTTCTGAGAAGCTAAGGGATCAATCCGACAGCTTATTTGGTTCCTTTGGAACGAGAGGCTCCAGGCAGAATAATCCTAAGAAGAAATCTTTGGACACATTGATAAGAAAACTCAAGGACGTGAATTGAAACTCAGCTGAAACTGCATTGTAAGTATGTATGTTCTTTACAAGGGCTTTTCGATTGTTGATTCCTATCAGATTTATTGCTTTCTCCATTATAGAAATTTGTTTCTGTTCTTGTATTATTTGCTAGTTTGGCACATGCTTGTTGTAATCGATTCTTGTGAAACTTGTTGATAATACTTCTTTGGTATTTTTCTGCTTTAGAAATATTTGATTCTTTATTGTTCTACGTGCAACATTTTCTTACCACGGGTTTGAAGTTTTTGGAGGTACTAGAGAATTTATTGCCTGATTGGTCAATGCTGTTAAGTACAATGCTTTTATAACATGATACGGCGTCGTTTTGAGAGTTACTGCATCTATTAAATACGGGCAGATCGCCGCTTAATTGAAATCTTCACTTTACTTGTCATGTCTCTAGTCACCGCCTTCTTCCTCCTCATAGTTCCTCTCGCCGCCTCCGTGCCGGAGGTTGTTGCGACCGACGCACCGACGGTGTACCAAATTCTCCAAAGCTACAGTTTCCCCGTAGGTCTCTTACCCCAGGGCGTGACGTCCTACCAACTGGACGCCGACACAGGGAAGTTCGTCGTTAATTTGAACGGAACCTGCTCCTTCAGCGTCGCCGGATATGACCTCAAGTACAAGACCAAAATCACTGGAACGATTTCGAGTGGAAAGATCAGGAATCTGACGGGGATTCAGGTCAAAGTTCTGTTTTTCTGGGTGAATATCATCGAGGTGACTTCTGATGGCAACAATCTGGAATTATCCGTCGGTATCGCGTCGGCTGAATTCGCGGTGGACAATTTCAACGAGAGTCCGCAGTGTGGCTGTGGATTTGACTGTGTAAGTGCAACTCCGGTGACGGTGAGTGGAGGAGCATTCAGTTTCTAAAGGCTTATTTCTCCTCTGATTGAAATATAATTACAGGTAATCCTTCCACTCTACTGATATTAACATGTTTTGCAGTAGTTGCAGTTTTAACATGCTTTTCTGAATCTGAATCATAATTTCCATTATACTATGCGATGTTGTGGACGAGTGTTTTCTTCCTGCACCAGTGAATCCACAATTTTTTATGTTTAATTGTTTTAGAATTTGTTTGACGATGCTTCCTACTTAAATTTATTTTGTTCATTATACAAAGCCCACCCAATCAGTTTATCTAGCCCATTGTTAATTTACCACTCTATTTTGGATCTGATCCGATTGTGGATTCTTAGAGAGATTGTCGCCCAAGTTTTGAACCTTGGCTTTGGGTCCAAATCTTGTTTTAAGGGATAGTTACGTTTGTGCTTTCAAAATAAACTTAGCATAGGAAGAAAAGTTCCACCAGTTTGCATTTATCTCACATCAAACCAGGTCATATTAGGTTAATTCGATTTGCAATTTCTCCTCCAAATTCATCCTAAATCCAATCCCAGGTCATTGCCCTAGTCTTTTAATTCTTCAATCCTATTTCTTCTCCATCTTAACAAATCCCCGACTCGCCATGCTTTCCAAGCGATCTACACCCATCGCCCTCCTCCTCGGCCTTGTTCTCTCCGCCGTCGCTGTCGCCGTCGGCGGAGGAACTGCCGACTCCGCCTCCGCGTACGAAGTACTCCAGTCCTACAATTTTCCTGTAGGTATCCTTCCAAAAGGTGTAACCGGTTATGATCTGGACGCATCTTCCGGCAGTTTCAATGCCTATATGAACGGTTCGTGTAGTTTCTCGTTGGAAGGTTCGTACAGGCTGAGTTACGGCTCGAAGATCAGCGGGACGATTTACCGGAATAGGTTGAGTAATTTGTCTGGGGTCAGCGTTAAGGTATTTTTTGTGTGGTTGAAAATTGTGGAGGTTAGGAGAAATGGTGACGATCTTGATTTCTCTGTGGGGATTGCATCTGCCCAGTTCTCGATAGATAATTTCTTTGTTTCCCCCCAGTGTGGGTGTGGGCTGAATTGTAATAATTCTTTGGATGGGGAAGGGGAAGGGGAAGGGGTAGGGGTAGGGGTAGGGGTAGGGGATAGGATAGAGGGGGAGGATCTTATAAGCGATTCTTGAATTCCACCATTTAGGTGGTGTAAATAGTTTTATTGCTTTTCTGCAAATATGCTGGAATTATGGATTTGTTCATTTCTTCTTCTACTTTTAAAGGATTAGTCTTTTATGTTATTTGGTTTCCTGTACATGACTACTGCTTTTGGTGAGGTTTATCACATGTTGATTAGAATACCATGGAAGTAATTGGTGGATGACACTATGTATTTATATTTTTGGAGAATGGTTAGTGTGCTGAGTAATAAGCACCATGCTGCCTTAGTTCATATAATGTAGTTTTGATTTACATTTCATGTGTCATACATCCATCTATATTTGAGGCACTGAATAAGAATGCCAATTGGATCAGATGAGATCAGATAGCCTCTGTTATGTTATGGTATTTTAGAATTGTAAGTTGCCTTTGTGTCTTTCATCATGTGTGATCTTTGAACACCACCACATCACACCATTGATGCTACCAAGTTGGGTAGGTTATTAGAGTTGGGAGTATGATCTTATTAGCCATTGTTTAATTCTCATCCTTAGTAGCAACAAGATATAGTGAGAGACCACATTACAAAGTACAGTTCATTTTCAAAGTACTAGGTTAGAGACAAAACCTTTAATTCAGGAATTGTAAGGTTGTAGTCAATGGAAAAAAAAATGAAGTTGGGATGCAAGTTGGTATTCAATGTCCCTGTTTCAAAATATATACACGAGCCAGTTCATTCAAAATATATATATATATATATATATGCTTTAGGGTGTGCCAATTTCTTGCATTCTTTGCTTGATTTTTGGAACATTAGCACTGATCTCTGAATAAGATTGTTCGTATAATGCAGCAGCACACTAGTGTTTTGGTTGGACACCTTACATGCTACTTTTTTTCAAATAAATTCTCTGTGTTCTGATTTCGAGCCTAATACTACACAGCAGTTAAGCTCGACTTGTACGTATCATGGAAAAATTAGGGCATGTAAATTAAACGCACAGTATTCATTCTTATAGTTTTTGTAATTTTTGTCTTAGTGATGCACACATATTGCAGTAGGGTTCGAAATAAATCTAAGATTGATAGTAGCAATTTGGTATTTTTGTGGATAATATAATTGTGTTATGTGATGGTCTGGATATATTTTTCAATGAAGATAAAAAATTTATGAAATTAAATTTAAAGGAGAAAAATACTATTAATAATATAAGTCTAGGATAAGATTAATAATGTAATACGATTAATATTTTATGCAAGTGTACTAATCCGGTCTTTGTTCACCATGGCTATCTGTTCGCCACTAAAAGTTACAAAATGAAATGTGGTTGAATTTTGGGGTTCAAATGTAATATGTTGGTCGACACATCTCATTAAAGTGATCGTACTATGCTATCATGCCAAAACATTCATTTTTGTTTCATTTTAATTTTAATTGTAATAATATCTTGATGTTATTCTTGTGGGCTTTATAGTTATGCTTTTTTATTTGAAGTAACAAATAAACACACTCAATCTCGGATCCAGTTGTTTATCTTTGAGTGTTTCTTTTTCTTTTTTTGAATTACAGAAACTCACAAAATTGGATTAACCGAGATAATTATAGATTTAGGTCTCTTTTGGATTGACTAACACTTTGTAACAATTTGTAGAATTATACATTTTAATTTATAATTTTTTTATTTTAATTAGATTAATTGATCATCTTAATCTTAATATAAAATTATTTTTATTATACGCATAATTATTTTTATTAATATATTCTTAATTATTTATTAATTATACTCTTCCCAAATTCTAGTATTTAACATTGAATACTAATTTTGTATTTAATTTGTATAGTATTTTTAAATTAAAATTTTCAAATATAAATTACCAAATTAAAATATAGTATATTTTTTATACTATATAATTTAAAATTTAAAATATAGCTAATAAAATTTAAAATAAACCATAAAAATGTTCCGCTAAAAATACAATTATATTAACAATATATTATTTTGGATCACTTTTATAATTTAAAAATACTTTCAATTTTATTGCATCCAATCAATTTTTTTCGAAAAACAGTTATTGTAAAAATTTATCAAATATAAAATTAAATTGTGCTTTTAACTTCATCTACTTACAGTAAATATTTTTTAGTTAATTGTTCTAACATGTAAATCATTATATGAGTGTGTTTGACATGGTTTTATAGTATTCTTTGCTTCTTAAGAATATTAAATTATTTTTAAATTTTAAATACTATACATTTAATATTTGTTTATAAATACATTATTATAATAAATTTAAAAACCCCATAATAATTCAATCAACATCCAATTATATTATTTAGTGTAGCTTCCATCAACTGACAGATAATTAACAACTGCTTGTTAGTCAATCTCTCTCTTATAGAATTCTAGAGAATGGACTATCCTGAGTAAGCAGAACGAATTATATGACCGGGATCAACATAAAATCAGATAAATAAATTAGATGAGATGAGATGAGATCGAACGGCTGATAATTAATTGGCCGTTTCTCGTCCCGGTTCGTTGGCGGTCTTTTGTTTCAGAACAATCGACCGCAAGTCGACCGGGTCGACGGTGTCGCCGGCGTTCTCAGGGCGGTAGTATCCGGTGACCGGGTCCGGCACCCATGCCGTCCTCCTCGGCAGCTCTGCTGAGCCTATATTCAACGCCGCCGCCTGAGCAGCAGCGGCGGTGTGCGCCGCCGAAGTCGAGGCGTTTACCCTCCTGTCAAAAATAAAACCGCCAGAATTAAATATCCTTTTCCGGCTATTCCCCTACTATTATTATTATTAAAAAGCGTTTAACACCATAGAAGATTGATCAAAGTAACGAAATCCTCCATCATTTTCTCAATTTGCACCGTCGTAAAATCACACACTAATGTACGGACGTACCTGACGGAATTGGCTGAGATTTCCTTGGCGACGAAGGAAGAGACGCCGCGTAGAGACACAGCCATTTGTTGTTAACGAGAGAATTCACGAAGAAGCTCCAAAGCGCAATGTTAATCCGATCTGCGGAGATGTCGACGGCGACGAAGAAACTGCGAGAAAGTCTCTGAAATTAGGGTTTTTTAGACGCTGAAACAGCAGCGGTATTTATAGAGAAAAATGAAGTAGTAAACACGTGCGAAAGAGAATTATAGAAACTAACTGAAAGGGTGCCCCCCAAATTGGCCGCGTCAATTCTCATTTGCTGATTATAGAGCTGGATTATGTGATAATAAATATCCGGGATTGGTTCACTTATCCCATACATGCCGCGTATTTCATAAAAAACAGAAACTTAATTCTTATAACTTTGAAAGAAACACTGTATACATTATTATTATTATTATAATATTATTGATATATAAATATTAATATTATTATAAGTTTTTTTATAAAAAACTAATTTCCAATAAAATATACTCCCTCCGTTTCAAACACCTGCAACATTTTATTTTTGGTATGTCCCAAATACCATGCAACATTTCCAAAATAGGAAATAAATAATTATATTTAATCTCCACCGCACACTTTCTTCTCTCACATCGTCCAAATAAAAAAATAAAATATATATTTCTCTCTCCATCACATCACCTAATTTCTAAATTATCCAAATATATATTTCTCTCTCCATCACATCACCTAATTTCTAAATTATCCTGCTTAATACTACTCACTTAAAAACTCGTGTCAAAAGCAAATATTGCACCTTGTTTACGGAGGGAGTACTAGTTAATAATAGTATCAATTTTTTGATTGTATTTTTATATATTAAATATAATAATTTTCTTTCATAAGAATGATAAAAAAATGGTTTATATTTATTTATTAATTTAAAAAAAAAACAGTTAATTTTTTTTGATCGAGAAGGTAAAAATATAAGCTAAAAACAAAACAGTTGACTTTTTTTGATCGAGAAGGTAAAAATATAAGCTAAATACAAAAAAACAGTTAATTTTTTTTGATCAAGAAGGTAAAAATATAAGCTCAGAAGCGCCGATATTATCCTCTTAAATATATCAGAAGATGTGACAGACCCGCTGACACTACGGCACATGTTCATCACAGCCAGTGCACCAGCCGGGAATCGAACCCGGGTCTGTACCGTGGCAGGGTACTATTCTACCACTAGACCACTGGTGCTTCTTGTGTTGGATTTAGTTTCATTGCTTGTTCTTCAATATCATTTATAAGATTTTAGTAGTAAAAAATTGTCATTCTAAAATTACAAATGACTATTAATTTAATATTTGTAATGCATTATTAAGAAATGAATTTTAATTCTCATTTAACAATCTTTAAAATTGTAAATCCGTTCTCATTTCAAATATATGCGTGCTTTACATAAATTTATAAAAATTTTGGCTTTGTTCATCAAATTCTATCTTTCAGTTAAGATTTTTTAAAAATACTCCCTCCGTCCCACATAATTTGTCCCTATTTTATATTTTCGTCCATGCTACATAATTTGTCATTCATTTTTTGGAAATATAAATATACACTTTAATCTCATTTTAAATTTTAAATTTTATAATTTTTTTATCTTAATTAAACTATTTATTTATCTTAATCTTAATCCACAATTATTTTTATTATACGATAATTATTTTTACTAACACACTTCTTAATTAATTACTAATCACACTTTACCTAAATTCTTGTATCTACAGTAATAGGCCTATAATACATGGGACGGAAGGAGTAATAAATAATACAAAATATTTTTTATAAAAAATAAAAAAAATCAAATATTTATTAAAAAAGTTTAAAAAATCAAAATATTTAATTTAAAATAATATATTTTATATTTTAGACACAATTTAATAAATTAATAAAATTTAATACAACCCCATTAATCCTATGAAATTCATAATAATTCAATAACAGCTATGAAAGTCCATCTAAATAAACAAATAAAATCAATCAAATTCACAATTTATAGTATTTATGTTGTTAGAACTTTAAAAATAAAATAATAAATCCAATAAAATGCTAAACCAATATACCCCCTAATTAATACTCCCTACTTCCCACGTCCACGTTGTCGTTTTTATCCGTCCCATATTTCATGTCACTTTTTTTTTAAAAAAAAAAAATGATTACACACTTTAATCTATTTTAAACTTTTTAATTATTTTTTTAATTTTAATTAAACTAATTAGTTATCTTAATTTTAATTTATAATTATTTATATTATAAAATAATTATTTTCACTAATATATTCTTAATTATATACTAATTATACTCCTCCTAAAATATGATACCTATAGTGTAACAGACACTGTATATGGGGACGAAGAGAGGATATGCCATGCGTTCGTTTTGTTTTGGTATTTTTCTCCTCGTAACACGCTTTGCAGTTATGTTCAAAATAAATCTATTATTGATGTCTATATAAATGCTCTTTTTGCAATCATGCAACCTTATGGGTGTGTTCGTCTGGTAGTCGGATTTTCAATTCACTATTCATTTCATTTTTTATTAAAAAAATATTAAATCAAACATCTATTTTTTATTTTTTATATTATGCTAAAAATCAATTTTACATTCAAAATATCACATCAACACCTATTTATATCAACGTCATACAACTATTCAAATTCAAAATTTTTACTATTCAAATCCCAACTCAAAATTCAAATCCCCAAACACACCCATATGTTTATTTGAATTTTAATAAAAATAAATAATAATAATTAATTTTTTACAGTAAAGAAATGTAAAAGTATACTGATTTTATATTTTAAAAAATTAAAAATATTTTTTGTTTTATAACAAACTAAAAAAATAAGTATAAATTTGAATAAAGAAAACAGTGTAAGATTTTTAAGTATAATATTATAGAGTATATCTTTACTCATTTTCAAATCCTCAGAGTCAACATGTCCAGTTCCAACCCCACAAATAGAAAAAAATGAATAATTCTTCTTCAAAAAAAAAACCCAATCATTATTAATCAAATTATTGATTAAATGCCATATTAGAATTCGTTACATCCAGTAATTACCATTAGTATGTTTTGTAAAAAATGAGATAAAAAATATTAAAATTAATAATTATTTTACAATAATATAAAAAATATTTATTTTAATCTTGACACACTAATTTTAATTTTTTTCATATAATTACTTAAATTTAAAATTTTATTTTTATTAACACCAAAATGTACAATTAACCTAGAATATTCTCTTGACGTCACCAGAGGCACTGCACAAGGAAGAAAGAAACCACTCGCTTGTTATCAATTATCGTCTCCCCTTTTCTCCTCCATTCCATTTCCATTCCGCCATGGATTCCACAGACAACATCCCCATGGAAACCACCCTTGAAGAATCCCAGCAGGAACAAATTCCACTTTCCCTAATACCCACTGCTTCAATTTCACTTTCTTTATCTACTCTCATTCCTTCCCATTTCATCCCTCCCAAACCAATCACCAATCTACCCACCAAAGCCAAAATCCCCAATCGAATTTCGTCTCTTTCCCAATTATCCCTCGCCTCTACGCTCGCCCCTTCGAAACTCTTCTCGAAGACCACCGTTTCAGCTAACCCTTTGCAAAGCGCCCTCACTCTAACCCCTCTCCGCCCTTCAAATCCCCCCGGCGCCGCCGCGGTCCGCAGAGTCGCAGTCGTGTGGTTCCGGAACGACCTCCGCATCCACGACAACGAATGTCTAACCACCGCTAACAACGAGTGCCTGTCCGTGCTTCCGGTTTACTGCTTCGACCCCCGAGACTACGGAAAATCGTCTTCAGGGTTCGACAAAACGGGGCCTTACCGAGCCACATTTTTGATAGAGTCCGTTTCCGACCTGCGGAAGAATCTGCAGGCTCGTGGGTCGGATCTGGTGGTGAGGGTCGGGATGCCGGAAAACGTGTTGTTGGAAATGGCGAAAGCCGTGCGGGCAGATGTTGTGTATATGCATAGAGAGGTTTCGCGCGGGGAAGTTAAGGAGGAGGAGAAGATTGGAGAGATTATGAAGGATGAGGGAGTGGAGGTGAAGTACTTCTGGGGAAGCACGTTGTACCACTTGGAGGATTTGCCTTTTGAGCTGGAGCATATGCCCAGGAATTATGGCAAGTTCAAGGAGAAAGTGAAAGGGTTGGATGTGAGGCAGACGATTGAAGCCCTGGATAGGATGAAGGGTTTGCCTAGAAGAGGGGATGTGGAGCCCGGGGAAATTCCTTCTTTGGTGGATTTGGGTCTAAACCCTAATGCTGCAATGGGCCAGGTATGATGACAAGGCAGTTTCATTTGCTTTGGTAATGAATTTGTGAGTTTCTGATGCTGATGGCTGATTGTTGTTTTCTTGAATTGCAATCTGTTGTCTTTGCTTTGGCAAATGTTTGTTGCATGGGAGGTTTTGGAGTTTGGTTTAGATAGTTGATCATACATATTTCACTGTAAATGGTAGGGTAATTAGGATTTATAGCTTGTTGCTATATCTGATTAAATGTTGTATATGCTGTGGTATTTATTTGCCAAATTATACTATGCTATCATTTGTTAATTTTTAACTTTGTCTAGATGGTAATTGCTTTCTTCATTGAATTATTCAGGGTGTGTTTAGATATTTTTGGAAATGTTTTGGAATTTCGAGTTAGTTTGCTAATGATAAAAAGTTTGAATGGGAAATAGGGGTTTGAGATGATATTTTGAATAAAGAATCTGTTTTGATAGTATATATTAAATGAAAATTAAGTTTCGGATTAATGTTCTTAGAAAGAGAAATTTGGATTAATAATGCGGAACAATTCTCTTTGATGGTCACTAAAAGCAGTGACGATGCTGCTGAGCCTCAAGATTATATAGTTCAATGTTTGTTGAGAATTTGTACAAAAAAAATAAAATTGAGTTATGGTTCAATTGAGTAATGTAAGATAATAGAGGCAAAGTAAGTAGGCATCTTGTTTTGTTCTTTTCTTCGATAGGAAGTGTCTTTCCTAATTCATTCCTCAGAAGTATTAAGATGGTTTCATTCTAATTTCCATGAAGGGATGTGTGTGTTTTGTGATTCTGAATTGACGATCATTTTTCTCATTCTTGGTAGAATGGAAGAACTGCAGCTAATGTGTCTCTTGTGGGTGGGGAGACTGAAGCATTGCAGAGACTGAAAACTTTTTCCACTGAATGCAAGGCAAAGCCGACTGGAAATAAGAACGGGACCAATGACAGCATATATGGCGCTAATTTTTCGTGCAAAATATCACCCTGGTTAGCGGTTGGGTGCCTTTCTCCTCGAACCATGTTTGATGAGCTGAAAATGTCTGCTTCCAGGTATGTATGTTAAAACTCTTACCTTTAGTTTTGCCTGCCACATTGGTTCGTGAAATAACTGTTGTGTTTTACGTTTACAGCATGATATCTGCTGCCTCCAACAAGAAACATGGAGGAAGCGGAGCAAGTGATACCGGAACAAACTGGTTGATGTACGAACTATTGTGGAGGGATTTTTTCAGGTTAGCGAATTCAACTCAACTTCAACTTTTTAGGGTTCTTTTCAGTTTCCTACTCAAGAATAGAGAATGTATTTATTCCTTGTGGCCAGATTGATAACTAGGAAATACAGCACGGCGAAGCAACCGATTCATGCCCCAGCCCCAGCCCCAGCCTGCACCTGAGTAAGTCAGAACTAAATTTAATTTTTCACCATCTATTTTTGTATCTGTGACTGTTCTTGAGATATCTTTAATAATTTATATATATATGCTCTTTTCATTGCTTCGTATCAATTTCTGTTTCAATTCAGCACATTATTCTTCTAAGTTTGAAAGGGCAAAGCTGACAACTGGATGATAATACAACAAAACTAGCCATAGTGGGTATCAGTGATTGCTACTAATGACTGCCACTGTTAGATTGAAATTCAATGTAGTTTTATGTGAGATAGATTATAGGGGAGAATCTTATTTAATTATTATTTTTATCTTATTCACTTTAGTCTTTAAAATCAGGCAGACATTAATTTAGCATAATATAAGCACAGAGATTGTACAGGGCACAGAATGCTGAATGCAATAACGGGTTTATACGATTTAATTATAACATGATAATTCTAACTAGCACAAGATATCATCACTATAAAACAAAACAGTAGTCTGAAAGTTTAGCAATAATAAGCAGAACCAACAACACAGATTGATCAAAAAGTGGTCCAGGAAGAACATGGTCTAGCACAGGCTAAAAAATTGAACTAAAGATCCAAGCTTAGTCTTCATCCTCTCCCTCTTGCTCAGCAATGTTGAAATAGCGTAATTCATAGACATTGCGATCCTTGTTTGAAGAAATAACCCGAAGCCAATCCCTTACGTTGTGCTTTTTCAAGTATTTCTTTGTCAAATACTTGAGATACCTGTAATATAAAAACAGGGTGTTAAAACTATCTATGAAAGAGGTTTAATGGGCAAGAAAAAAAATGTAATTGGTGCCTCAAAAGGTAGAAAACTGTAATCTTTCCTGGTATATTTCCCTTATTTATAAGCACAGGTAGCAAAATATCTTGAAGTCTACAATAAATGTATAAAAACATGAACTACAATACATAATTAGATGGGACCCTGCAAGAATTGCTAATAAAAAATCAGTAGTTTCAAGTTTTGGCTTTGAGCATTCACTCTAAACAAGCCCATCATTATGAAGACAACATTGATCATGCTATTCAAAAGCAAACTACAATATCTAGTGGACAAGGCATAAGCTGCAATGTGGAATAGATTATAGACAACACCATGCACTTTAACCAATTTGTTTGTTGACAACAATGATCACTTGGAACTTAACCAGAAGATTCATCATCAACAATCTAGGCAATCCTACAATCTAGGTAATAGACAAGGCATAAGTAGCAATGTAGATAGATGGAGTATGGACAATACTATGCACTTTTAATCAATTTGTTTGTTAACAACAATGATCACTGGGAACTTCACCGGAAAGTTCATTGCACATAAAGGTCCAGTGACAACTGCTGAGGTCTACTAGTAATTGCACAATAACATTCCTGCATTAATTGAATTATGCCATACATTCATCTCGAATAAGGAATGCAGAACCACCAAGGACTTGTGAAGAACAAGTTCAGATCTAACAGAAGCACCAAACATGTATAAATCTATCATCATAAACAACCTTATAACCACAATCCAGAGTAATATCCCAAAACTGAAAACTTGACATGAACCTAAGAAGTTAACGCAGTAAAACATGGGATTAACTCACCTTTTGGAAAATGCAGAATCGGCGGTGACTGTTATCTTGTTCTTGTCACGAGTTACCGTAACAGAATCCCCAAGAGCACCGGCCTTTCCGCCGACCTTAATCCTCTCCTGCAGGAACTTTTCAAGCGAAGCAATCTCCATAATCTTATCCTCCACCGGCTTCGTACAATCGAGCACAAAGCTAACTCCTTTCTTCTTCCCGCCTTTCGCTCCCGCAGTAGCCACGCTTTTACTCATCTTCCCTCTGTTCCTGCAATCCACCAACAAATCCAATAAAAAAAAGCTACCAAAATCGCTTCCAATCAGTCTCATACACATGAAGTGAAAATAAGTTAGTAGCGCTTACGGCTACGGAATCAAACGTCGACCGTGTGATGCGCGCGCAGGCTGCAGAGAGATGACGTGAACCAAGAACAACAATAAATTGAAGACGAGGCAGGCGATGGTCTAGGGTTTTGGTTATCGGGTTTTTTTCCGGTTTGCTTGATTGAACCGGGTTCTTCAATATTTTTGGGGACTAATCTGCTACAGGCGGACACAGGAAGTATATAAAATTTCCACCGTTGGATCACCTTGTTCAACAATCCAACGGTTGCATCAACTCCAGAGCAGTGATTCCAAAATAAATTTATAAATTGGGTCTAGCAATAATAACTTAGGCCCATCTTATTGGGCTTATAAAAAGCCCATATATATCGGCCAAAAAATTTGGCCCATTTTGTTGAAAGCTCAATCTTCAAAGGCCATCTAACGGTTTATTCCTTGTGAACGCCGGTGATGGCCGCAAAGCGCAGGGTAGGTTGCAATAGACCTGTCGGCGATTCCAATTCAGCCGCCCGTTGTCGAGAAAATTAGGAAGATATTCAGAGTGATTATGGTTGAAGCTGAGAAATATTTGCCGCGTGTCCTAGTCGTGCTGTTTACACAGCCATGAGAGCGAGTTCGGTAATTAACCACATTTCATCGTCTTCACTTTCCACGCCATGTGGTAGACAAGAAAAAGCTTTGCATCTCAATTTTTCGCAGCTATAGTTTATTATAAGAGATAATGAAGTTAAATTATTGCAGGCTGGAGTGGCATGGGCTATTGTTTCGGACCGTTTCAGGCAGCAAAGTTAGGTGAGATAGTACCTTTCAGAAGGCTTGAATATAAAATTCTGTTGTTAAAATTCATTTGATTTTTGGTTTGTGCAGCATTTATGTTTTTTTTGTCCTACAGCTTATTAGCTTGCTTACAGCTTGTTTATCTATTTTGAACCCTTAAGGCCTCTCTGGCAGAGCTCGTACATTGTTCATCGTTTAAGAATCTTCCACAAATTTAATAATAATGTTCATTTGTTTCTGTTGCAGCTGAAGTCAGTTGGGGAGTGTGGGTTGTCGTGTGGTAAGTTGGTAACTAATAATGTTGTTTGTTGGTTTATTTCTACCAATTTCTAGTTTCTACCACTGTTTATTTAAGATGTAGACATTTATGCACATAAAAAATTCCTATACTCTCATCATATGCATTTTTTGTACATTGAGTTGGCGTTTCTAAGAGATACTATTATAAAACATTTTGTACTCAAAGAAAAGCATAAGAAATGAATTCTTGATTATTTCTTGATACTGAAAGAAACAGCTGTTTGGCTTTATGATGAAACCATTCACGTCTTGTTTTTTTCATGCTATTTCGATAATGTCACTATTACAAGAGCACCTTTAACTGCCACGGCATTCTTGAAATTCTGCTCATTACCTATTTTTTCTAGGACTATTTGGGGTATGCTCATTGTTGTTCATGATGGAATTAGGGTGTCTCTGGGGAATTGTTGAAAATGAATTCGAAAAGCTGTTTTATTATGAGTAAGTTAGAACATTAAAAGTAGGTTGAAACGCCGTTCAAGACACCTTTCTGAAGGAAGAGGAAATGCTTTATCTGTTCCCTTCTCGATGCCTATGATCGTTATGACTAAAAAAAACACTATTTGCATTGCATAAAGAACAAAGATCGCTTCTTCATACTTTACCTTTTCCGGAAGAATAGCAATCAAATAATATGAAATGTAATGAATTGATTGCCACTTGGCCTAAACTTCTACATAGTATTTTCACTTAGAACATGGACATTTATACTAAACTTCTACATAGTATTTTCACTTAGAACATGGACATTTATATGTGAGGTTATTGCGTTTCTACTGATCTCTGTCATAGATGGTTTGAATTCAAGGATATGAGATGGTTCCTGACTGGTTGAATTATTTATAATTGTTATTATCAACTTCTAATTTCTTCATTTGAACAGGTGGGCATAAATGGGGGAGTCAATGTGAACATGTGCAGCTGCTAAACAGGTAAGAACCTTTTACTGTTTAATCCTCTTTTATATACTTCATGCATTTGTACCTGAGTGAACCTCTTACTTTGGCTGTTTCTCGTATGATTATTTATATATATCTGAAGAATGTTAAAAGCCAAAATTGAATGAAAAATGTCTCTGTCCCTAGGCCAGTGAAGATAGGCAAATGGTAAGTAAGCACAACAAAACAAGTATGACGATACAAAATAACCTATAGGAGGAACTAGTTTAACAAAGCATGAAAGGAGTGCTCATGCTTCATTGCTTGCCTATGCTTTATATCATATTAGGAAACATATTCCTACCGGAAACAAAGAATAAACATATGAGCCAACTTTAGTTATGCAGAGGAATCCGAATCTTGTTTCTTATCACTGCCGGAATTGGAGGAGACCAGTTGTTTTTGGTCTCCGAAGATGCGCTCTCTGAAGTCAGAGACCATCTTGGGGAGACCCTTGCGCAACGGCACTTTTGGTTCCCAACCGAGCAGATCCTTCGCCTTTGTGATGTCAGGCTTCCTCTTGTGTGGGTCGTCCTCTGTGTTGGGCATGAATTCTATCTTGGCATTTGGATCAATAGTATCTTGAACCACCTGCCAAACATATTAGAATCAATTACTTCAAATTTTTATCCCTATGATATTCACAAGGAAAATCAAGGCACACCTTGGCAAGTTCAAGCATGGTAAATTCGCCAGGGTTGCCAAGATTGAAAGGTCCAACGTGCTCTCCTTCCATCAGCCTCATCAATCCCTCAACCTGGACAACCATGAATCAATCCAAATAAATAATATAAACCAATCTCAATCGTTCTTATTTGTGCAGTATTTTCTTACACAGTGGCCTCTAATGTAGAGCGGTAAAACGAGTTGAGTATCGATTGTTCGAACTTGACTCGAATTTGTTAATGGTACAGGCTCGGCTCGTTAAGAATTTGAACCAAGATAATGGTTCAAACTTGGCTCGTTAGGCTCAAATTCGAGCTCGGCTTGAATTTTATACATATTCTATATATTTTTTAATATATAAAATAAAGATATTTAATTTTATTTATAATAAAATATTCAATTTATAATAATGAATATAAATTTTGATATAAAAAATCATATATAAATTATATTAATATATAAGTAATATAAATATATTATCACTAACTAATTCAATTAAGCTACTCTATGAGCTAGACTCCTTTATCTCTATAAAGGAGTCGAATCGAATTGTTAACGAGTTGAATTGAGCTTGTGTTGCGAGCTACTCGATTCGTTTAACAACTCTAGGCTCTGTAAACTCCACCAAGAAAAGATATGAAAGGTACACGATATAGTTCTTCTTAATTCAAGAAAGGACAAGATTGTTTCTATACCCCAAAAAGTGGCCGGCAGCTGCAACCGCTACCCATAAAAAAATAAAAATAACTAATAAATAAATATTCCCCGGCACAACAAACAAATGCCAAAACCAACCACTAGCCTTCTATTTGCATTTCAAAAGCGAAATCATATTGCAGGTGGTTGAATAACCTACTGATAGATCACATAGAGAATATGCAATAATGAGAGGTAACACAAACATATCATCAAAGTTCTTACCAGATCAGACACATACTGAAAACTTCTGGTCTGCTTCCCATCACCATAAACAGTCAATGGCTCCTTCCTCAACGCCTGCAACACAATACAACACCCAAATGGACATTATTAGAATAATTGTCAATATACCTAAACAATAGCACATCTCTGACCATTTCCAAAGCAATTTACCTGAGCAACAAAATTGCTAACAACACGGCCATCATCAATGCACATACGGGGACCATATGTGTTGAAGATCCTCGCAATCCTAACCTGCAATATTTTAATTTATTGGGATTCACATATACTCAACATCATCCACGTTATGAGTCGTCAAGACGTGTGAAAAAGTTAATAGAAGGAGACCCCTGGTTGTTAGATTTAATGTGAGTACCAAGAAAACGAGAAAAGTAGAGCCAGCATCAAATCAATTATAGTACTTTCCCGCAATTAAAGGTGGGTGGGCGGCAGGGGACAAGGGCCAGAGCAGGAGCAGAAGCATGTGTATAAACATACACCATGTTTCTATTAACTGTGGTCCTAATTTGTCAGTTCATTTAATTTTAAACTGTTTCCAGTAAGAAATCCAGCAGAAAATTTACCTCAACGCCAGCACCCCTGTGATAGTCCATGGTCAAGGTTTCAGCGGTCCTTTTTCCCTCATCGTAACAGCTTCGGACACCTGTCCCAAACGCACAAATTTCTTCTCAGAAACTTAGAAGAAGACAACCATATAGTGTTATCTTCGCGACACGTCTAACTCACAGTTCCTAGTATCCTCAAATGGCCCATTTAACAATTATAAATAATGATGCTCTACAATCATGATCAATCCAAACACCCAACAAATATCCTATAATTATTCCCACCACACACCTTACATCGCGACCTGGACTACTCGAAAAAGACTGCAAAGGAACCAACTTTGTTTGCAAAGGAAAAAAATGAAAATTAAGCCCACTAGGCGACATGAAATTACCGTAACATAATTTAGAGTTAACAGAGAGTACATTGAATAAGAAATTATTAGGTGTCAGAAAGAATTAATGGAAACCCAATAACGAGCACACACGTGGCGAGCTTATGCAAAGTCCTGTACCAGATAATTAAAGCGTGGTGAAGCCTTCAACTCCTAGAATGTCTATGACAGAGCACTATTAATTATACCAATGGCTCACGTTAAATACCGTCTATCTAACCGGGCTAACATGCGCTCCCCCTACTGCTCGATCTACTTGAAAAGTAACAGAAATGAAACTACAGAGGAAATCGGGAATAGAAATGGTACCCACCAATTGGGTTGACGTTGCCCCAGTAGGTCTCCACCTGCGGGTGCTGCAAAGGATCGCCATAAACCTCACTGGTGCTTGTTAGTAGAAACCGTGCACCGACTCTCTTGGCCAATCCCAGCATGTTCAATGTTCCCACCACATTCGTCTTGTGCACTCACCGAGAATTAAGGATTCAAACAGGCAAAGGTAAATCGTTGACTGATCTAAGATTTTAAGAAGAACTAAGGAAAGCAGTAAGTGAATTAGAAAAGGATATGATAGTTTTGACGGGGTTGTGCTTGTAGTGAACAGGCGAAGCAGGGCAAGCGAGATGGTAGATCTGGTCGACTTCTAAGAGGATCGGCTCGACGACGTCGTGTCGGATCAGCTCGAAGTTTGGGTTCCCGAAATGGTGCACCACGTTCTCCTTTCTCCCCGTGAAGAAATTGTCGGCCACAATCACGCTATCTCCCCTGTTAATTAAACGATCCACTAAATGGCTGCCAACGAAACCTGCTCCACCTGTGACCAAAATTCGCAAACCCTTCCGCTTCAATCCCAGCGGAATTTTGCCGATCGAGTTGATTCCGAAGCCGGTGGTCAAGTGGCCGTTCTGGTACATGGATCGATACGGCTGAGGCTGAGACTGAGACTGATACAACTCGGACGAAATGTACGCGTCTGAGATCGGCGCGCGGGGATTGGAGGAAGGGGTGATGGTGAAGAACAGAGTGGCGATTGCAATGCCGATGAGCACGAAAACGAGTCGCTGCTCGCGGAGCACGTACCGAATCGCACGTATCACGCCGAACCACGGCTTCTCCGGCTTTGGTGAGTACGATTCGCTCACTGGCTGAACCTCATGCCCTCTGAATATCAACTCGGAAGCCATGCTTTATAAATGATTCAGATCAAAATCGAACCACCAATTGGTTGCCGAAATTCTACCTTCTCGAAGGTACGAGATCTGAACTGAATCAACAGAAAAGACCACCGGAGTTGATGCAACCAGCGAGATCAAGACAGCGACGGAGAGCGAAGACTGTTCAGAGACTTCAACTCTCCGACGGGTGCGTTCTTCTGAGATTCAACCTGTGATGGCGGAGCTGTTTAAAAAGGCCCATTCTTGACCGCAAATGACATAATTGCCCTCCCTTTGTTTGCTGACTCGCCACGCCAACCCTCTGTTTACAGTTAGTTAAACATCAGATTATTCACGATTTTTTGGGCCGTAATGGTCTTTTTGGCCCAGATTACATCAGCCCAATTATTTTCAATTTCAGTAAGTCGCATTTACATATTAGCTTATTACTTATCCATATTCAGTAAACGCTATACTCCATTACTAACGTTTTTTACTCTTTCTTGCAATCGATTCTATATATATATATCTACTATCTATATGTTAACTAAGTATAGATATTTCAAGTAGATTTTTTAGTACTTTAGTAGGTTTGGCCAATAATAAGTAGCATTTGTTAAAATTGACTATTAACCAAGTACACCCTCTAATTCACAACCTTACCAAAAAGGGGTTCATTAATAAACTACTTAATTACTATAGTTTACTTTTAAATCCTGTTTTGTTGAAATTTCGTAGAGGAAATAAAATTTCCTTTAATCCTTATCAAGTATTATTATTTTTTAAATATAACCTACAACACAACAGATTTTGAATAATATAGATGAACAATTCTGATCATTCAAATCAATTATTTTTTTTAGTATGTTCTAAGTTAACTAGGGGAGGATTTATTATAAATTATTATTAAAAATTAATAGAATATTATTTTCAAGTTGAAGCAATAATGGTCAATAATGTAAAAGAATCTATCGTACGGTGAATGTGGACATTTTCCAATGTACTAAAAGGTAGACATGGTTGACTACATTTGGACATGTAATTTGCACGTCGTGTTGTAAATATGTATATATACATTATTTAATTTATAGAACAATTAATTTAGATTAAGCTTTACGCATTGGGAATGCGATTATTAAATATTTAATAGCACCAACCATATTTTCACCATAAATGATTATTAGTTACAATAAAGCACTTTTACAAAATTCAATTTAAAGCTCTAATGTTATTTTTATTGGATTGGATCAATTTGGCCCAATTTATTTGGTATTGGGCCTGTTTGGAGCCCAAATTATGGTTTAAGAAGCGTAAATCTAAGAGGAGAATGGCCGGGGAATTATTTTAAACTTATTGTTTGAATAACAGAAACCCTAGGCTCTGCTCTGTCGTCGTTTCTTACTGCGAGGGTGTCTGCTGTTGGTTTCTCAGAAGCTTCGATTAGATTGAGATTTCAAGCTACGGAATTGTAGTTCTTCTATAGGAAGATGCCTCGCTTTCGGAATGTAAGTGTGAAGTTGTTAACGAGAGCGTATGTTTTCACATTGTTTTGTATTTTGTCTGTCGCAAGTTGAGGAATGGGATTCGTTTTTTCGGTTTGCTGTTTTCTGAATTGTTTGTTGATGCAGAAGAAGAGGAAACCGTTTGGTAAACCGACTATAAAGAAATAACCGACCGTAGACCATGTAACCGGGGACAAGATACCGAAGAGTTTTGTGTTTTCTCGGGGAAAGTTACCCGACGTTCTTCGAAAATTGCAGATGGATTTAAGAAAATTGATGCTTCCATTGGGGCTCTCAACCTCAAGGTGAGTATTTGTCGCGTGCTTGCTTTCTCCTTCTTCTTCTGCTTCTTTTAATTGTTTGTTTCTCTGTATTGCTCTCCACATGATTCAATTGATATTAAGAACTTACTATAAATTTGGTTTGTTTACCAGTCATCAGTTGAAGCATCTGCTTAGATTTAGATTGTGCATTAACCTTTCCCAGTGCCTGAATTTGCTTTTATTTGTAGGAAAAAATAAGGAACAATCTCAAAGAATTTTTGAACGTGACAGGCCCAATGGGTGTTACATTTTATCGAAAACTGATTCTGCGCCGTACTTGAGGGTTGGTAGAACACCACAGGGCCCAACTCTAACCTTCAAAATTCTTGAGTATTCGTTGGTTGCTTATGTTGTCAAGTCTCAATTGCGTCCGGGAAGTCATAAAGATCTTTTTGATAACCCGCCTTTGGTAATCGCTGGTTTATGCCTTCTTCAAATTCTGAGTGTTTTACCTATGTTTGGATTGGCTTTAGCTGCTCTAACTATTCTGTTTAATGCGTTGTTTTAGCCACTTCAATTATTACACTAAATATGAATGCTGAAGTTTGTGAGTTAATTTGTAGATTGTCCTTTCTGGTTTCGGGACTGGGGAGCAGCATCTTAGGCTTACAACTATAATGTTTCAGAACATGTTTCCTGCCATTGATATAAACACTGTAAATCTTGAAACCTAACGTCAGGAGCTTTGCATGCCTAGTGGACCACATCATATTGTTGGACTTGTTTCAGGTCAAGCTTTCTTCATGCCAAAGAATTGTGCTGCTAAATTACAACAAAGACACCAAACATATAGATTTCCGGCACTATTCAATCAGATTACAACCGGCTGGGGTGTCACGACGAATAAGAAAATTTGTACAGAGCCATCAGGCCCCTGATTTGAGAACTCTTCAGGATGTCAGTGATTATTTAACGAAGTACTCTCTCTAAGCCCTGAGCTCTTTACATTCACACTTGCATGCACCTGAATATTTTGCATAAGAATCACTGGGTCATGGGAGCTATAATTTTTCATTTTGTTCTGATATCTTTTATCCATGAGACATTAGTATTGGAAGCCTGTATTACAACCGGTGTATTTCTTGATTAAACTCCATCCTCTCCTGTTTCCAATAAACTAAAATGTAAAATTGTTTATGGAGTTATGATATGCAATCAAGTAGATGTTGAGGTTATTAGTCACGAGCTTGTATTGCTAGCATGTAATTCTCTTCTTAGGCTATAATAAGTATGGAAGATGTAGTTGGAAGTCTTTCGGGCCTTAGTATCTTATGAGTCTAATGCTTCTTATCATTCCTATTGGTATGTTCCATTATGTTCCTAATGTTTTGGTGGCTTCTATAATTTCATATTTTAGGGCTGGTTATGGATCAGAAAGTGAAGTGGACGATGAATCAGCAACTGTAAGTCTACCAATGGATCTTGGAAGAGTTAAAATAAGGCATCAAGTAAGAGTGCTGTCAAACTTCAAGAAGTTGGACCTAGAATGACACTTCAGTTAGTAAAAGTTGAGGAAGGACTGTGCTGTGGAGGAATTATATTCGATGCATTTGGTAAGTACATTTTGTTCTTCGGCTTAGTTAAAATTCAATTTTTGAAAGACTAGTTCCCATTTTCTATGGATGCATGTTTGGATGACAAGTCGAGTGTAATCTGCTACTAGCAATTATTATTATACTTTGGTGTGTTTGCTAAATAATCTCACCCGACCCAATTCCATTTAGCAAACAATTAAACACGCCCCTGGTGTTTATTCGTGCCCTCATTATAAATGAAAATGTACTAGAAGTCTAGATGGTTCCCTTGGTGTTATAGCTTACCAAGTTTCCCACCCATATCCATGTTCATTTTCAGTTTAATTGTTTGCATCACACATTATGTCTAGCTTGCGCTGCCATGCATTGTAAACCGATCACTCTATCTTTCCTGATTCCTACTTTTAAATTTAAAATGGCATAATTGGGCTTATGACAGTCTCTGAGAAACGTAGGGCTGCCCATCGTAGGTTATTAATTAATCATATAATTCAATTATTCATATATAGAAGCTGAAAAACTTGGGCTGGGAAGTGGTATTTTTACAGTATGGGTGCTATACGGGTAGGATATAATATGGGACTTTTATGTGATAAGGCAACAGTACATGATAACCCGCAGTGTAGATATGGGTGTCTCTGTGTCTGGAACAATGGGCCGACTGCGTGTTTATCTTTTCTCTGTCGGCAAAATGGGCATTCTCAACTAAGCCTGGAGCAGGTTCCGTAGATAATGCCCCTGAATATTATGAAGTGGCAGCTCTGGTTTAGATACAATGGCCCGATCGGTAACGGGCCAACAATGATGAAGAAACATCTGTACCTGTCGGAAAATGGCCGACAGCGCCTGCACATGCTTTGTGATATGGTTGCTGATTAGGCGACAAAAAATGTTATTATTTTGAGCCTGTCGGGCATATGTCCGACAACACCTGCACTTGCTTGTGATATAGTCGCTGATTAGGCGACAAAAAATGTGCTTAAGTTGGGCTTTTCGGGCATATGTTCGACAGCAAGTGTGGCTCTTCAATATATTCTAAATGGGCCTAGTTTCGCTGTTTGGGCCTGATACTACTCTATTAGCCCGTCAGTTTTGGGCCGTATGTACCTGTCGGTAATGGGCCAACAATAATGAGAAGCACATGTCAATGTCGGAAAATGGCCGACAGGAAATGAAGCCTTTTTCGGCCTGTCGGAAATTGGCACACAGACATGAATGGGCCCGGTTTGGGCCCGTCGGAATTTGTTCAACGGGTAGGCGTAACAGTCAGACGCTAAATGGGCCTGGTGCTACTGTAAAAGGGCCTGAGGTTTTTCAAGTGGCCCAAGTCGGTTTTGGGCCGACAGTATGTGAGCCTGTCAGGCATGGGCCGACAACTATGTGGAAGTATCTGTCGCTGTCCGAAAATGGCAGACAAGGAGTGGAGCCGTTTGGGCCTGTCGGAAATTCTCCAACAGCAGATGTAACGGTTATATAAAGTAAAATGGGCCTAGATATTGCATTCTATGGGCTTGATAATTTTCAAATAGCCTAAGTCCGTTTTGGGCCGAGACTATGCAATCTATCATTAATGGGCCGACAATAATTGAGAAGGAAGATTCCCTGTCGGCCGACCGGAGGCAGACATCCGGTGTATCTGTCCAATATGTACACCAATGGGCCTGATTGTTGGGTTACATTAGTCTAATGTTATGTATAGCCCAAGTCCGTTTTGGGCCCAATAGTGTATGACCTGTTGGTTTTGGGCCGACATTGATGAGGAGGCACACGCGCCTGTCGGAAAATGATCGACAGCACATGGGGAAGCACGTGATTCTATCAGTAATGAGCAGATACGAAACGGGCCGGCAAGTGCCCACATTAGTTGTAGTTGCCTTGCATATCAATGGGCAGACTATTGCGATTAATGGGCCTATAGGTCTTATCATTAGGCCCAAGTTAGTTTTGGGCCAACAGTATAAGGGCCCATCGGTAATGGGCGGACGGTAAATAAATAAGCACATATGACTTGTTGCAAACAAATTAATCTTGGACCTGTTGCCGGTGTTATATATGCTTTTAAGTGATAATTTTTGTGGACCATATAAACACCCTTCACTGGGCTGTTTCCACATTTAACTTTCCTGGCCCAATCCAATTCTAAAGTCAGCCTATAGAAGCATTGCACTAACACAACATTCGACACATTATACAAACATTCACAGCTAATCTCTGGACTCCCTCTGTGAATCAAATCCCAACCTTCGGCACAAACACAACATATATATCTAACATCAAGCTATCCAAAATTAAAAACAAGAACCCTAGCCAAGATTTCACCAAAAAACATATTGGATGTAACATTTGAACAACAGAGTTCTCAAAAACACATATATGCATATTTTCACAGGGGCTTTCCATGTAAAAGAACCCCTCAAAAAGTCACCAAACACCATACAGGCGAACAAACTTTTAATGCTTATAGCCAGAATCAACATTATTATTTCAGGGAATATGCATCGTACCTCGAAACACTTTAATAGCTGGTTGGAGACACCTTGCACAACGAGACGAGACCACCGATCTTGATGGTAAAAACTCTGATGAAGCATACAAATGGATGCTCTTGCACATGAAAAACTCCATTCACATAGAGGTGATGTTCTTACCAACTACCTTACGCTGTCAACCATTCGCAGGTCATGTTTCTTGCGGCGACGATAATGTGTTTTCTGCAGAGAGTTTTCACCCACTCTTTCCAACTTGGAACCAGAATCTGGTGCAAGAATGCCAAAGAAATGGAAGAGCAATTCCATCAAGTTAACAAAACTTTCCATTCACAATTTGGAGAGAAAGAAATGTAATCTCTCTCTTTGCAGTAGGCAGTTGTGAACAATTTTAATAGAAAACACAGAGGGACAGAACATCAAAGGCTGATTCACAATCCACCAGAGAATGTTCGAAGCTCCCTAGAAATATAACAAAGATATAACAAAAGCTGGACACTAAACCCTAACAAAAGAACACAAGGAATTACATTCTGCTTCGAAATGGTTAATAACAGTCACCTACTACATCTTTAGCTTCTATGCTGCTATTTATGCCAGAAAACACCACACCGAAAGGTTTATCTTCTAACTTAATGCCACTATATTAAGGTCATCAACAAATCCCACTACAGGCTTCAGGAAAATCATGGGAATGGATATTGCCAACCAACAAAATCCCAATAAATAACTAGGCTCCCAGGGGCACTTCTACAACTTCTTTCCTAATGCATCAACAAGTATTTGCAAGAAACCATCATACCCTGTGAATGCAAAACTACAAGGATTCATCTCACTACATGCATGCCTTCAGGATCAGATCATGATCAGACAAGATACGTTTTCCATCAAGAAAACAGATTTTCATATTTCTGAAACCAAAATGTACTACTATAAAATTTTTATCAGAAAAAACTCATGGCGATAAATATGAAATCCTCTTGTTCATCAATGACTATGAATCGGATGAATGATATTTGGTTGAATATATATATATATATATATGAAAGACAGAAGGCAGGGAATACCTCCAAATTCATCCCCCCAAAACAAAACCCTAGGATCATCCTCCTCTTCGTCATCGTAGCCAAGCTCAGCATCACCTCGATACCCTGGTTCACTCCCATACCCTGACTCGTTCCCTTGACTATCACAATTCCCGAACTGCCCACACGCGCCACTCACGTGCTCCTTCTCCCCGCCGCCACTCCCTTCCCTCTCCCTCTCCCTCCTAGAATTCCGATCGCTCACATCCGACGCCCAATTCAGGTCCCCAAAAAGTTCCCCGCTCGAATCCGTACCCCCGGCAACCATATGGAAATCGGAACAGGTTCCATTAGCCGCAGACGCGCCGACGGAGCATCCCCTCCGATCGGAGCTCCGACCGGACACGGATCTCGACCCACCCCGTCGGCGGCGCTTGCGCGCGAACCATCGCTTCCTGGCGGCCGAGAACGAGAGGGGTTTATCATCATCAAAGAGGCTGAGCTTGGACATATCAAGGATGGCGTCTATGGAAAAGGAGGAAGTCGCGCGATCGGCGCGGCATTGTCGCTTGCTCTGCGGACCGTGATTGGCGGCGGCGGCGGCGGGGTGGCTCTTAGGGGAGTCTGCGTCGAGAGCTTTTCCGAAAGGCCTCCAGCTAAGAAGCTGGTAGGCGCAGGATTCTATGGCGTGAAGCGAATCTAGGGTTCCGCGCGCCATTGCATTTTTGTGGCGAAGAACTTTCAAGAAAGCGATTGCTTCTTCTGTCCACACTGGAATCTTCTAGTTCCAAATGTCGCGTGTGTATAAAAAGAAAAACGGAAGAAGATATTTGACAAGTGGGCTGAACTTCGCTCTAGAACTATTTAATGTGAGTATTATTTTTTAATTTCGATGCCTACACAAAATTATATAATTTTCCAAACAACAATAAATTCAACATCACTATTTATATAGTAAAATATATTATTCATTTACAATTTTATTATTTTTATACTTTTACAAATAATAATAATTGTTGCTATTTTTTGCTTACTCACAATATATATATATTTTTTTTATAATACTCTTACTTAACATGTTACACCCTACCCAAAACCACATAAATTTCCCAAAGTGAGTAATAATTCAACGTCACTATTAATATTATAATTAACAGTTTCCTTTAAATGACTCATACAACTAACAATTTTTTGATGCGACTGTAGTTCAGGACCTATATATTATATATTAATATATATCAGCAAAACATTCATAATATTCTGCATAAACTGACTGCATGTAGCCTTCACTCACGCTCACAGCTACAGAGGATGAAGATACTGCCTGAATGATTTCTTGGCTTCTGCTACCTCAGGAAACTTTGGAGGAAGCAGCTGGAAAACATAGCAAATGGGCTTTGATACCAGCATCGGATTTCTCACACTCACCTCGTCCAACAATGGTCCAAAGCTTAATTCATCGAATGGGAATGATGATGCAAGAGAGAAAAAACTTTGGCTGGCAATTTTTTCCACCTGAGACAGACATTCAAAATAAATTCAAAAGCTTTTAAGAAACGAAAATGGAAGGAAGGAGTCTTGAGCATGGAGAAATCAGCAACAAAACACGACGGAAATCACATATATTGATTGACAGCATCTGCATATAGAATTTAAGGAACCACAACTTTAAACTTGCAACCCTTTTTCCATTACCTGGAGTTGGGAAAATCGAGTGTTGGTCATAGTCAGGATAAGTCGCGAAGTCTGGGTCACATCAACCATCATCCGAATGGCTAGATAACTGAAGGTGGTCTTCAACAGACAGTGTTGTTCTTCATATTCAGAACCAAATCTAGGAAACCATAAAATGCATCTGACGTCGTTCCACGGAACTGCATTTTCTTCCCTAGACATAATTGTCTGATCGGGATGGCTAAGTCCTGACAGTACTTTTACGTTTGTCAGTGCAGGATCAATGGCAACATCTGCTGCAGAAACAGTAGAAACTATACAGGTTCGATCACATTTTTGATGCAGATATTTGGAGAAATGAAGGTCATGGTCATCCAGGATCAGCACACATCCTTGTGAAGCATCGGATGGAAATAATCGGAGGAGAGATTGCGCATTAGGTACTTGATCTTCTGGGAGAGACAAACTTGATCCATTGTCTGATAGAGGTAATGAATCAGAATCATGAGAAAACACACAGGAAGCTCCATTGCGACATCCCTGCAAACAACTTACAATAATCATATTTCATAAAGATGACTGGTGTTTGAATAGTTAGTCCAAACATAGCACCAGTGTTTCAGATATGAAGTGTGAATCGAACACATTGTTCAAGTAGACCCACAGAAATTCTAATAAATACCACCCTAGAAAATAAAACAAAAGGTATCCCTTGGCAGTAGCTGCATCTTTTATGTGTTTTGACTGGAAGAGAGCGAAAAAATACACATATTATATATAAACACATGAATATTATTACATATGTACATATGTAGCTTAGAAATGCATGAAAGAAAGTTCATATGTAGAAAATTACATATGAACAAAAAAGAGAGCAGAAAAATACACAAAATATATAAACACATGAATAGTATTAAATATCGACATATGTAACTTAGCAATGCATGAAAGAAAGTTCCCCATAACACTACTTCAGAGCCTGTGGACTCAAAATAAACTACCTAAAATTGCATTGAGACTCCACAATGGAAGCTTGGCATTTTCTTTCATATGTTACTTGATAACCCTCTTTGTTCTGGGTTAGCAAGAGATTAAGTTGAACAGCCTAAAAGGGAACGAGGTTGTGTTATTTTGTATTATCTCTAGACAATGATGAAGTTTTCTGCACACTGCAGGACACCACTTTACTACATTTTTTTTTAATTTAATAAAGGAGGCATAGACACATTAAAAGTACCGAAAGTAATTTCTCAAAATAGTATGTATGTTTAGCATACTGAGACTTGCATAAACTCAATAATGTCTTCCATATACCACAAGGAAATTGCTTCTTCCTTGGTGGTTTCAATAATAATGATATCAGCCAGTAGTTTGAAGGCTGGCTGTAATTGCAGGTAAGATATTCTGGAAACAAATTAGCCACAAGAAATATAAACTGAGATAAATGGAGCAGATACCTGTAACGAGAAAAAGAATTTACAGACAGGTCTCTTTGCCTCAGTTGAATGAGAAAAGAAGCATTCACTACCTCTCTTGCAGAAACCACTGACAAAATATCTACACATTTCTACACTCTCTGCTGCTTGATTTCTATAATCAATAAGGGATATGTTCTCTTGTCTTGGCATAGCCTCTGTAATCTGACTTCTCATCTATTTAACAGGAAAATTATTAAAAAGAAAAAAAGTCACATTTACTTCAAAGAAATTGCACTTACGAAATTGAAATACAGTACCTGTTTAACTATGGATGCCAAGTTTTTCGCTACCTCATTAGTGCGAAAGTCATTGAGATGAACATAGGGTAGAGCACCGCATGTAACAGCTTCCTCACCCTTTACACATGTAAGGAAGCATATATGCAAAAAGCTTGATGGAGCATATCGAATCGGAGCAGCGTTGGACATAACCAATGATTTGGGTCGAAAACGATGCATGACACTCAGGATCTCATCATCTGCAAACAATTTACACACAGGATGAAGTAAATAATATCCATAGAGGTATTAAAGCTTCAAAGGTATCATACATGTCTCAATAACTTGCTGAAGTGCTGGCAGTACAAGGTGATGAGAACAACACCATTCCTCCTCAATCTCTGGAAGCAAGAATGTGTTATCTTGAATTCCATCATACTTGATGATGTTTTCGAGCTGTTGGAGTCTGCCCTTGTCCTGCCAAAAAGTGTAATAAGCTAGTTACTGAAACAGCTACCAAACTTTAATATAACCAACACAAAAAGAATCTTTATCATGCAAAACAGGTCCCAGGTTACCTTGAAAGCACGTTGCCAAAACTGAAATGAAGAGAAGTTACTCATGTATAAAACCTCCTTTCTCCCTAGCCCAAGATTATTATCCCAGCTACAATAAGCATTAGTGTACTCCAAGTACTACAGAAATCGTGTGCCAACATAAGTCAATGAATTTAAAAAGGTTAGGCAGGATAGAATTTGATTCAAAACAAAACATACCAAGTTGTCTTGACCAAAAGGACGCAATATAGGCAATGGCTGTAGATCGAAGAGTATACCCAGTATGATGCCTTCGCGCAGCATTCCTAGGTCACCAAACTTAAGGAGAAGTACGGAAGCATCAAATGAGAGAGAGAAGCTGGAGAGCAAGCGCCCATAAAATGTAGGCTCATGGCGGCCTCGAATAGATGTCTGCTCCAGTGCATTCATACTGACCAACAAATTTATGGCATCCTTAACCACATTGCGATCTGGAGGGTCCATGGTCTTCCGCAATAATGCTAAAATAAAATTAAGATGTCAATATCCTACATTTTTCTTTACAAAAAGAGATCAGTAGATATAATCGAAGAAAATCAGAAAATTATTCAGTTGATCAAAGTAGCAAAGAAAAAATATTTTGCAGGGATACAAGATACATGTGAAATTTTACAGCAATTTTCACAGAAACGTAAAGATAGTATCTGTACTGCTAGGTAGCTTACAAACATTTACCGAGTATTTTGTACAGCACTATTGACAAGAGGAATAAAGGAATTCCAAGTACTTCATAAGCAAAGCAACCATTGTGCTGAATCCCAGGCTTTGATGAATTCGGGACAAGGGAGTAGTTTTCAACTTTCAAGTTTGTACAGTTGGAACCCTTAAAATTTGAAAACTCTAGTAAATTTTTAGTATATAAAATCAGGTAGGTCTTTTAAAAAGGTTAGAAGGAGTAACTACAGTTATTAATTTATTATAGTAACAGAAACATAACAAAGAGACCTAGGTAACGAAGTCTGAGATCTTAACAAGAGCAGTATTCAGAATACAAATGTCTAAATGCTAACATGTGCTATTACGTGGCAAAAGTGATTGCTATGTATTATTCTAATAAAGACTCGGGGATGAAAATCTGAGGTCTTAATAACAGCAGTGTAATCAATTGTCTAAATGCTAACTCATATTATCACATGGCAAAGGAGATTATGGAGAAGTATTCATCTTACATGCAACCACCAAGCAATTTCATTCTTAGACTGTAAGCATGCCATTGACAGTCAATCAAAGGGTTCAATAAGGTATCAACTATTATAATTATGTTTGAAATATAGCTCCTGCACCCAGACAAAATCCTACTAGAATTTGCATCAATCTCCAAGATAAAGTATTCAATTAGTAGGTATGAATGACAGATAACCTTTTGGGTCATTGATAGCTTTCGATTCAGCACAGCATAAAAGAAGTACTTGCTTCCTTAATGATAACTTTAATATTGCAGGTGACTCATAATCTTCCAAATGACCATAAAATGAGCGAGTCACCAGCCTATACACAAAGCCATCACAAGTTCGCCCAGTCCTGCCTCTCCGCTGCTCAGCCTGACAAAAACCATAAAGATCAAAAAACTGGACCAGTAAAGAATAGACTAAAGTCACAACACAGACCTGAGATTTAGAAACCCAAACGAGCTCCGCGGAGTCAGTTTTCCGGTTGGCATCCCAGAAAATTTGCAAGGAGCGGCAGGAATCTATAACATACCCTACTTGGGGTATTGTAACAGAAGATTCGGCTATATTTGTGGCCAGTATAACCTGCGGCGACAATATTATCATATATCAGATCAACAGACAGCAAGGTGTATAGTTATGGGACTTTATTTGCTTGATTTCACCCTACCATTATTTCACATCATGCAAGAACAAAACTATGGTTGTGAAAGACTGTAATACCTTGCGATGGGACTTTGAGATTTTCATAGCTTTAAGGGCTTGTTCAGTGTCAATGCTTCGATGCAGAATGTGGACTTCGAAAGACTCACTGAAAGGCTTCAGAAGAACCCATTGCTGCTCCAATGTATAGTAGGTTGGGAGGAAGACCAATATGCTCTTCTCAATATCAGGTTCATTATTATGAATGTGTAACACTAATTCATGAATGACTTTATGCACTTCTGGCTTGAAAACAGCTTCGGCTGCTTCTGGGTTTGGTCCAGAGCAGTATTCCAAAGAAGGGTTATCACAGTTCAATCCAAGAAGGTCAATTACCTACAAAAAAAAAACAGCCACCTTATTATGCAATAGCTACCATGTCAACATAAAGTACCAACTGCAAAGATTCATCAAACAATTCTAGAGTGTTCACAAAAGTGAAACCTATCCAGTCAAACTCACAAATAGATATTCGGAGTTCACAGGAAATTATTATTTTTCTTTTAAGAACCAAGACATATTGCCGAATCTCATCATGTGCTAGGAACATGTCAAATGTAAGGGACTAAAGTATCCATCCCTCACCAATCAAAAATGAAATGTATTAATGCATTTAAAAGTACAATAAATTTCACCCGCACATATAAAGTGGGAACTTGCAGCATTCAGAAAACAAAAAATAGTAAGGATGATAAAAGATTCTACAAGCCCCTAATATACATATACATATCAAGTTATTATACAAGAGACCCAATACAAAACTGAATCTGGTCAGGCAAATAGAATTTCCTTACTAAATATTTGTTCTAACTTCTCTTGTTTTCATATCTGGTTTGATTGTCTCTGAGAGATTCATTTATGCTTTCAAGAATACAACTTGGCTATTGCATATTAAGTTATAAAGTTATTAATATATTGTGTTTGATATAAAAATCATATATAATGATGTACACTTACCTACTGAACTTGCAAAAGAAATTAACCTGCTGCACCATATAAAAGTCATCAAACCGTTGTAAAGATGAGGTCATCAAATGGTGAGAAACAATTACATCTGCTGCAGGCATACGAAAAAACAACTAACCTTAAAGTCTTGATCACTATTTTTTAGCGTTATGTATCTTCATCTTTCAACTTTTTGCCTTTTGGAAATCACCAAGGGTGTGTTTACTTGTGAGATTGTAGTTTTGGTTTTACTGTTATAAATTTTTTTCCCTCAAAAATATCAAATCAAACACCTATTATACTATACTAAAATTTAATTTTACATTCAAAACATTATAGCAATACATATTTATATCACATCAAACAACTATTTCAATTCAAAATTTTAATATTCAAAACCAAAACACTGCAAATAAACACACCCCAAATGTTCTATAACATTAGTACGTGGGGCTGAAATTGGACTAGGTGCCATGGTTTTCACTGAATATTTTAAACCCTTACAGAAGCCAGTGCCCATACATAAGAGTAAACAAAACAGATCATATAATGGTAGTGAAAGCAATAAGAATTTGAAACATAGTTAAACTTTGAGGAGGGCAGCGGGCAGGGAATACCATTAATAATAACATTCTCATTATTCTTTTTACAAAATAAACAATGATACTTGAATTGAGTACCTGTTCAAGGTACAGCACATTTTTTTGAAACAATGTTTCCTTCCCAGTGATAGGGATTGCCAATACTTCGACCCGTTCACCCCTGCCGAGATCGTTGAAGTATTCACGATATCTTAGAATATCTGCAGTAGCAGACATCAAGACCACCCTAGAACATTGACAATTGATTTAGTATATCTAGTGCACCAATCATGTCATGACACATTAGCATGCCACATTATACTCTAACAATAAAGATAAGAAGAATAGCAAAAGCAATGTTAAAATTCGTTCAACCTTAAGTCCCTCTTCTGAAGTAAAAACTGCTTTATGCAAACAAGAACAAGATCAGACTCCACAGATCTTTCATGCACTTCATCAAGAATAATAACTTTGTACTTGAGTGCATTCATCCCTTTTTCTCTCATTTCATCCAACAAAACTCCAGCTGTTTTGAAAACAATCTTGGACCTGGCAGACAACTTTTAATGTTATCAACTAGTAATTAATCCAGTAGCCACATGCATCAAACAGACCAAAAAAAAATAATGATACACTAGCATATCACCTATTGTTCAACTATCTGTCCAAGCAGAAAAAAATGTAGCAAGTAGCAAGCAGAGGAGATCTTAAAAGACCATCCCCTAGAAACATGGTTAAAAGAACCTGAGATAGGCATGCTCTCCGCATCACCACCACACCCACTCCATTCACTTAGAGAAAATGTGAATGGGTGGAAATGCTTATGATAACCTCAAATTAGTTATCACTTAACTGTTTACATCACCAAGTAAATGTCCGTTGTTCATATTTTAGCATCCTATTCTGTACGAACTCAAGCATTGTAAGCTTTAATGATTTTGAAGTCTCACTTAGTGGACATAGCAGGATTTTAGTAAGTGAATCGTGCAGCAACAGATAACTCCAGAGCATAAACCATTACAATACAAAGGATATGGAGCCAATTGTACAAGCATGTGGGAGCTGACAAATAATCAAACCAAGGGACAATAATCTCAGTTTTTCCAAGGAGCTGAGACCACCAGTCGCAGAATTCAACCAACAAGGATGCAGCTCCCAATTGATTACTCCACACCATTTGGTATTGACTAAGGCTGATGGTGAAAGAAAACTGACACAAGTAAATGTCAATCTATGCAATTTCACCATAAAATGCTTCCATTCATTCCTTCTGTGCAAAAGACAATTTTAAGTTACATGCATATATGTTTTAGGATTTGAGACCCCTTTAATTCTAGCACAGGCTTCAATTAGCTTATAATAGTAAACTTGGTTCAATTTAAAATTCTCCAGCACTATTATACTCTAGTTAAGAATTATTCCTAGTTGCAGAACCTACTTTATCCAAGCATTTGAGAGTTGATACCAAGTAGGACAACACATGTAAATAGTTTTAGGGGGTTTCAGATTCTTCTTCTTCTCTTCTACTTTATAAATTTTATCTTGCAATTCTATATTCAGTATAATGCAGCATTTGACATGTTCAACTAATAGCTTAGTAAAGGACTTATCGGAAGGCAATATGTCATGCTATAATCAACTTAACGCAACTAAACACCCTCAGGGCTTAATGACAAGACTTATGAAGTAAAAGATAAGTTGACTAATTCAATGAAAGTTGGTTATAAAACTAGATCAAAAGGTTGCAGTATTAAAAGCAAATACTCAAGTTTGCTCAACAAAATATTCAAACAAACCCTAGTCAATAGTACAAGAAAGAGTATTATATTTCATTTATGGCAATAAAGATAGATACAAGCAAATAATGGAAATATGAGCGTACTCGAAGCCCACAGAACCAAATGCAACTTCTAGATTACAACAGAAAATATAGGCTCTAGGGAAGGTGTACAATCACTAAGGCCAAGGGCGATTTGAAACTTTTTTGAAGTTTTAGGATATTCCATATTTTTATTATCGGAAAACTTTGATTCTATATTTAGTTTACTTTCTAAATTTTGTGGAGGCAATTAACTTTACTATTTGGATATCCATCTTCACAATTCAGTTATTATTCAATCATATTTCATTCAACTATCTCTCACTTCCAAACTAATTTGCTTTTGGTCAATCCCGCAATCTTTTAATTCATAATTACTGTGAGTTTCATAAATTTTAGTCTCTTAGCCTCAGGAAAAGTGAATCCTCTTTTAATTCTCAATCTACTCTAGCTAAAGATTAGCTAATAGAAGGTGAATACATGAACTACCATGAAGAGAATGCGTGTACATTCAAACAAAGTAGACCCGATTTTCTAAGAAAAGGTTTTATTTTTTAAACAAAAGGATCTTGCCAGTGACCTACCTGCACTAATGCTTAAATATTTCGATGGAAATTTAGAAGAAGTTAAACAAAAAAAAAAAAAAAAAAGAAGCCAATCTTACACTTAAGAATGGCCAAATATCAGTGAAAGCCCAGTTTTGCAAGGAAGAATCTAAAACATAAGTTATAAAGGCCAGCAATCAACAATGATTGCTCATAATTGATGCTTACTTCCCACAAGCTGATCTTCACCGGTGGTGGTACTACTCTACCTACTGCATTCATGGAGTTATAGACTTCAACCACTATTGCAAATGCCGCACCACAGAGCGGCAATTGTATGATTAGATGCATCATTACACCTTTGAGTTGGCACAGAAACAAATGCACGAGTGTCTTTTTTTCTTTAATGAATTTAGGGTATTTTAAAATTTAGGCCCTAAAATCTCCCACTTCCCTCCTCTTTACTTTCTCCTGCTTCTACTCATCCAATCTCATTGCTGCCGCTCAACCCCTACACTCCTCCCCTTGCTCCCAGCCACTCAATTTGCTGCCACGTGATACCATCAATCAACTGTCTCAACACACCTCACAAGGTCTTGTTATGTTTTATTTGGAGAAGCATGATGTAAATAAGACAACGATACATTTAAAGATAAAATTAATGATCACGTAGACTTTAATAATTAGGATTTCCATGCTTTATTATTTTTACTTTTAAGATAGTTGAATGATCATTTATGTCTATCATGTGCATATATTTGTATATTAATACTTGTAATGCACAGCACACCACGTGCCGTCGCATGGAAAAAAACATGTGCATGCCACGTTGTGCGCCATTTAACTATGACTGGGGAATGCATTGCACCTGACTTCCAGGAGCAAAACAAGTCAGACATCCCAATATTATCTGGAGCAAGTGGTGCCCAGATCAACAACGGTGATCAGAACTTACAATCAAGTGGACCCATTTCATGGACAACCCATTAAAGCTAGGAAATATAGAAAGTCCTCAAGATTTTCATTGAGGTTTCAATTTGCATCATATTAATCAATGTTCAAATAAAAATTTTAAATGGTATGGAAGCTACAGCGCAGACCTCTGAGATCAGAAGGGTACCTTGCAGAGAAGACCCTTGAATGACCAATGTGGTAGCCAACCTCATCCCCAACTTCACAGTTGCGAGCTGCTGCCACCATTCTAGCAACTGCTACAACAGCAAATCGCCTAGGTTGAGTGCAAAGTATGGGCTTCAAGTTTTCTTCCAGCAGGAACTGTGGGATTTGAGAGCTCTTTCCTAAAAGGCAAGGTTCAGTAAGCATAATGCATGGTATCGAGCAAGCAAAAAACAGTATCATATAGGTGATAGCGTATCATGTTCATGTAAGGACTGCCAAACATCCAGCAACACCACTTGGGAGTTGGGAAGCTTTTCAAATGAATCAACCCCACGCCAACAAACCATGCGTGACTTTGACTTGAATTTGAATTCAAACTTATGTCGCTCGTAAACATTCAACTGTAAACTTGTAAGGAGAAGCTTGTTGAATGTGGACAATTGAAATGTGGTTCAATAAATCGTGTATTATCAAATATATTTATCTACCTGTGCAGATTATCAGCCAAACCAAACGTACTCCACCGAAACATGGCAAGGCACATAGATATATAATCATTCTTTGGAAGAACGGAGCTATGAGACAAAAAGTAAAAGAAAACACAGGCACAACTCGACTAGTAGTTCAAAAATATTGGAGCGGAGTTAGTTGCAGCGCGGAAGAAGTTTCAGATTTTAGCATTGACTAGTTTCAGTAGAATTGCTTTGGAACATAAAAGAAGAGGTTGCAAGCAGAAATGTAATTACCGCAACCGGTTTCACCGATGACCAACGTGACGCGATTCTCCAAAATCTTTTCAATAATCTTATTCCTCATCGCCGTTACCGGCAATACTGAAAAAGTCGGTGCTGGTGCTGGTACTGACGACGAGGACGAGGACCGCCGAGACGCCATTGCTCACTAAAAATCCTCTGAACTTCGAGAGAACGATGTAACCCTCGCAACTCTTCTAATGACGCTGTGGAAGAGTGGACTGGCAACGTAAATGTCTCCTGCTGTCTTTCGGTTTTATCCCGCTTTTTCTGCAAATGATAGTCCCTTTCTATCGTGGACGTGGTTTAGAATGGACGCGCTCGTGAGCGCGTGGCGCTCAATTGACTGCTGTGAATGCGTCATACTTGTGTGGGACGGAACGTGACTCGTGAGGGGTGTGCTGTGCAATTGATTTAGTGGGTCGTTTCACACTCTCCGTTTGATATATATTTTTATTTTTTAATATAATTACAAAGTAATTATTCTAAAAATACTTTTTCCTTTACAAATATTCTTATTTTGTTACTATATTGTTAATTTTACATTAAAATAAATATTTTTATATTATTTTTAATTTTTTTATTACAAATAAAATACTATATTTTTAAAATTGCACATTAAAAATAAATATATACGTTTAAATTTGATATAAGGAATAATATTTTTACCATCACTAATATATATGTTCATTTGAATTGCATATAAATTTTAATAAATATAGATTTTGTTTGTGATATAATTTTCCATAGATATTAACAAAAAAATATATATATATATAATATATATATTGTATTCACTTACAAAATTAATATTCATTTTTTATAATTGTATCATTTTTATAAATAAATACAGTATGATATTTTCTTACTATGTCCATACTGTATTATGTATTTATTGAAAATCTCACGGATATGCTGTACATTAAAGAATTGGAAAAAAGTATTAATGATCATTTTTCCTTTTCATAAGAAGATATGTTTTACAGTAAAAAAAAATAAAAAAAAAAAAAATCTTTCTTGCATTTGAATATCCAGGATCTAGTGCTATAAAAATATTGATACTCCGTATTTATGGCTTAGTTATTATGATAAATTAATTAGTATTGTGCTGATGATATATATACATATTGTCCTTAGATGTTGTATTAATTTTTAGAATGGGTTGTCAATTTATATATTTTATGTATTGCATTTAATAATAATTGCACGTATTATATGTTATCTATCTATACTTTGTGTAATTATATATTAATGTACTGTTTGTGTTATATTAATTTAAAAAATTATAAGCACATCAATAACAATCATAATTAGTGGCGGAACCAAAATTTCAACTAAGGGTAGACTCGTATTTTTAAAACAAAATAAATATTATATTAAAAATAAGAAATTCTAAAACCAGCCTGCTTGAGATAAATAAAGTTAGAGGGATGACAACAAACTTAATTTTAGAAAATAGGATGGACAATCTAAAAAAAAAAGAAAAAACACAACTCAATAAGCCCAATTTGAGGGTAAGGGACTAAGGGTGGACCTAGACTCATGATATTCAATAAAATAAGTATATACCAATTATTTCCAACTATTTAAAATCTATTTAATCTTATACTAATATTTTTCAAATTCATAATTGATCTTTTATTTGTTTATGTCATGGACACAAATGAAACTTATTTTCACGGTTTCAACCATCACGGTTCGGCAGTAAATCATGACAATGGTTTACAGTTACTCAAAGCAGCATAAAGAAACAGTAATGGAAATCAAGGTATTGTCTAAACAGAGGTATGAGGTAAAGCATCAATTGGCGTGCCATAAGATTGACAACACGTTATTATTCACTTGCCTTCGGAGTAGAAGATGTAGATCCAGAGCGCTTGATTTTTTCGGACTGCTTAACAATGATGACAGTGCATTTCACATGGTGGACGAGGTAATCGCTCACACTGCCTAAGAAAATCCTGCAGGCATGGTAATAATATTCAACACAGAACATATAAGAAATAGAGGAACTGGAGAAAACATGAAAGAAGATGAACGTATTCATTACCAATGAAAGAGTATAATAAGAAGGATGATAAATTTCATGAATAAAGAAAAATCAGGACCTCTTTAGAGCACCATGGCCATGGCTCCCTACAACCAACATAGATGCATTGTGCTTCTCCACAGCCTCACAGAGAACGCGTCGGGGATCACCTTCCTTAACTTCTATCTCTTCAGTATGTATCTGTATCGAAGGAGAGTGCTCTAATTAATAAAGAGAAGATATTAGAGCCTTGTAGAAGCAGTGCATTCTCTATATGTGCTTAATTCTATTTCTGGTAATCAAGTTTGGGCGGAATTCATTCCAAAGTACAAATGCATAAGCAATAGGCGCTAGAAATTGCGAGAGTTTGTGTCATGAATTCAAAATATCACATCCTCTATGAGTTTAGAGATCTGTCAAGGAAAACTATAATTGCTCGTTTATCTTAATCTGGATATTGCAACTTGCAAGTATACGTTCATTGCGATTCTTAGTTGACAGTTACATGAATTTTTTTGGTATAATTTACCCTACATGAAACCTCTACACCAAATGGAAGAAGATCATGAATATGAAGGATGTAAACCGACTCATCCAATTCCAACTACTAATCTGTAATAGAAATGGCACAACATTGTCTACAATTTATTTCATCTCAATTCGGTTTTTTCCTTTATGCGATGAATCCAAATGTGATAATTAGCAAAGATTATTTTTCAGAAACAAACTACGATGACTTTACCATATAAGCTGAGCAAATTCTCCTAGCTTTCTCCTTTACTTTGGATGCTGTTTCTTCTAAATATGTATCCACGCCACTTACGAGGTCAGGTGCTGAAATATACAACCGCAAACAATAAAACAGTTAGCAATCAATCCACACCCATCATCGAGTTGTTCCGCAGATACTCTCCAAAATTGAAAACCGTTTCGAAAACTAAAATACTTCGTATTCAAATTATCAAAATCATCGGTTCTGGATTCCAATGTTTGTTTTGATACTCAAACGATCGATGTTGTACACAAAAATGAACAAACCTAGACGACTACGTCAGTTACAGAGCAAACATTCAAGCGAAAAATCCGTCAATTGCAAAACATACTAGCGCCGGCGATGCCGATTGCGTTCACCGCATTAAGTCTAGCGTGCACGATCACGAGCTTGAAAGTAGAGTTGTCAAACGCACTCGCACTCTCAGAAAGAATCAGATGCTGCAAAGTCCATTCCAAAGCATGGTAGCTGATATCGCTGTCGTCCATGCCAACTACAACCACGGCTTTCCCCATGCCTGCAGCAAGGTCTAGATGGAGTCAATCGAATTACACAAAGGTAACGAGCAGAATGCAGAACAAGTTGGGAATTTGCTGGAAACTCTGAGAAAATGAATGGATGGTTATTGGCTATTGCTTGGAATATATTTACTCCACTTTTCTACTGCAACCAACAATACAGTTATAACAAAAAAGGAAAAACCAACAATGCAGTTATTTTCCTCTGAATAATAATAATAATAATAATAATAATAAAAACCTCTCTGAACTCGGGTAAATATAGTTTTGGTTCTCTTGTTCATTTATCATTCGTTTGCATGTCAATACTCATTAATCAAATTAGTTTAATTTTAAATTTTAATATTAATTTCATTATTAAAATATAAATTTAAACATTGGTCATTGTACTTATTTTTACACTTCGATAATTTTTATCCCTTTAAATTTTAACAAATAAATAATTTATATACTTTTAATTACTTTTAAAATATTTTGGAAAATTTTCATTATTTATCAAAAAAATTTTTTTCAAAATATCAAATTAAACTTTTATTTTACGGTGTGTTTGTTCGAGGGTTTGAATTTTGAGTTGAGATTTAAATGGTAAAAATTTTGAATTTGAATAGTCGTATAATATGATATAAATAGGTGTTGATGTGATATTTTAAATATAAAATTAATTTTTAGTGTAATATAAAAAATAAAAAATAAGTGTTTGATTTGATATTTTTTAGAGAAAAAATGAGATAAATAGTATATTGGGGAAAATCCCCAAACAAACACACCCTTAATATTATATTAAAAAAATAATTTTACATTCAAAATAACACGTCACATTCATATTTATATCACTATCATATATCTCTTTAAATTTAAAATTTTTACTATTTAAGTCCGAATCCAAAATCCAATCCTTAAAAAAAAAAAGAAAAAAAAAACTAGCACATAATAGATACTTTTTATTGTAATTTGTGTGTTTAATTTATAAATTTTTTCTCATTTTTTCATATTTGTTTCTTCAACAAAAAAAAATTTCAATATATATTTTCAAAAAAATTAATATACTACATATATTTTTTATTTTTATATTACTTACCTAACTATCTATACTTCACATAAAATAATAATAATAATAATAATAAATTCTTCAAACTAAAACACAAAATAAGCACAAGCTTACAATTTATAAATTTTTATAAAAATATATATATTTTCACAAAATATCATATTTAAATTAATATTAAAAAATAATAATAATAACCAACAATATACATAACTACATACCACGCTTATCCTCACTAATATCCAGCAATATATTTTAAAACCAATAGTTATACATGCGCAACCCCAAAGGGTAAAAGGTTTATATGGCTCATATGGATCCAACCTACATTTTAACAATTGGGCCTCAACTATTCTTAAACCCATCTCATGAACTATCCGTAAAATCCCAGGCCAGTCTGCTCATTACCTTATTAAATAAGTATATTATATAATAAATAAATAAATACATATATATATATATATTTTTGTAGACTGTTTCATTAATATTTAATTTTTGTTGTTAATCCATACATGTTTATAATATTTATTTGATTATTTATAAAATTTATATAGTGTATCTTTGTATCACAATTGTCCTTTTACATATTTTGACCGTTTAATGCAGGGGTAATAACATCTAATTGCCATGTTGTTTGGTTATAGTTTAAAATTGATTTGAAATATAATACTTTCTCCGTCCCGCAACAAGTGTGACATTTGCTTTTTGCACATAGATTTTTTAATATTAGTATTATATTGAATTGTAGTAAAAAAGACAAAAATACCCCTATTAGTATGGTGTATATAAAAATAATGACATTTGTGTAATATATTGTAAGTTGAAATGATATTTATTATGTGAAGTAGGTAGTACAGTTACTAAATTAGAAAATGGTAACCTTGTTTTGAGATGGATGAAAATGAAAATTGGTAAATTTTCAATGGGACGAATGAAGTATTTATTTGAATTTTTACTTAAATAATATCAAAAATAATATATTATTATTAAAAATTGTGTGGGATAAATAGTGTTAATTTTGATTTAAAATGCTAAAAAAACAAACTTACGATTCATTTAGTCGATAATTTTTTTTGATATCTTTATGACTCGGGTACAAAAAATGACCAAAAATATACACCCACATCAAAAATTGCCAAAAGTTTTGAATATATTTTAAAGTAATACAAAATATTAATTATTAGGGACATGTTATTAAAATATTTATTTCTTTATTTTTGTTTTTAAATATTTTATTATAAACATAATATATTTTAATTAAAAAGTATGAAAATTCTTGTTATATTAAAAAGCAAATGAACAGTATATATGTTCAGGGTTTGTTACCAAGAGTTATGTAAAAAAGATTTGGATTTGAAGATAATAATAAAAAATTGAATTAAATATTTTTTATTTAATATAATTAAATATTTAATATACTCCAATATTTTAAATAAATTATAGTACTCCGTCCGTCTCATTGAAAGGTTACTATTTTTCATTTTGCGTTCGTGCCAAAACAAGGTTACTATTTTCTAATTTAGTAATTGTACTGTCTACTCCACTTAATAAATACCCTTTCAACTTACAATATATTACACAAATGTCATTACTTTTATATTACACCATACTAATAGTTGTATTTTTGTCCTTTTTACTACAATTAAATATAATACTAATATTTTAAAATTTATGTGCAAAAAGCAAACGCCACCATTTTTGCGGGACGAGGGAGTATAATATTTCTAATAGAATATATATTTGATTTAATAATTTTCAGAGGAAGATAATATTACGTGTATTTACTTGTGAGATTTTAGTTTTGGGTTTTGATTTTGAATAGTAAAATTTTGAATTGAAATAGTTGTTTGATGTGATATAAATATGTGTTTATGTGATATTTTAACACTAAAATTAAATTTTAGTGTAATAAATTAAATAAAAATTGGGTGTTTGATTTGATATTTTTAAAAGAAAGAAAAAAAAAATTGAAATAGTAAAATCAAATGTAAAACTTGACAAGTAAACACAAATTCAAATCATTGTAAGCTAGTTCAATGTGTTGGGCTAGTTTTTAGATGGGTTTTACTAAAAAATAATTAGGTTAATATATTTATGATCTAATATTTATTTGATCTTATATTATTTACTATACATAAAAATACTGTGTCAATGGATCTTTGATATTAAAAATATTTCGTATCAAAGTTTTATTTCAATTTTACGTTTTATTATTCCAAAAACCTTCTCCCAAGTTACATCCAGACAAGTACTTTAGGGGTTGGATTGAAGTGCAAGATCAATAAGGTTAAAGTTGCTGTCGTTTTTATTTTTTTATTATTATTATTAATATTGTTTATTTTATATGTTTGGACTTTTGCAAAGCTATTTTAATTGTTTGAATGAAACAATGCTAGTAAAATTCCACTTGCTAATTCCAATTTTATAATAAATATAAAAATGTAAAACCATCTTATGAAATCAGCATTCATAAGTCTATGCAAAACAATACTTGTGTTTATAATTTTTATAAAAGTTTATATTAGCCTTTATTTAATCAAATACAATATAAGATTTGTTCACTAAATATTTTTTTTTTTAAAAAAAAATGATATGATTCTCATAAATATTATAAAAAAATACAATGTATATAATATATAGTATATTTTATGTACTTACAAAAATTAATTTTTAACATAAAATATTATTTTTTATTCACATCATTTTTTTTTAAAAAAGAAACACAAAATAAAATGCACCATAATATATAATGCATTTTGTCTCTTAATCATATATTTCATTAAAATAATTATATGAATTATAACCTTAATCTACAATAATAAACACACCAAAAATATATTTATATATGTATTTTTTGTATAATATAGTGAAAAATATTATAAATATTTTTTTATTTAATATATCATATTTAATAAAAATTCATTGATGAGTTGGAATTAGTTTTTTTTTTTTTTTTTAGTGTGTGAATCCGCAATCTTTATTTGTAGAGTGTATTCTGAATAAATTTTCGTCCAAACATAATAGTAGATATACTAAACTCTATATCACAACAAGCCAACCATGATTTTTATCTTTTTACAACATGAACAATAGCAATTCTTTGTAAAAGTAAAATATTTTCTTTTACAAAAAAATTAAAATCAAATCAAACCAAATTAAACTTAATATATATTGTTTGCTTGCGTTTTTCATTTTTTATTGTTTGTGGTTTTAAATTTTATTTAAAAATAAAAAAAAAAAAAAAAAAACTATTAAAAGTAATACTGTAGTATAACATTTTAAAAAATATATAAAAATTATTAGACATTAAAAATATTATAACTTGCACAGGTAAACAACTCTACGTAACGGTAAAGGAATATACAATGAAATCATTGTTTTGTTTAATAACGAATAGTGTTATAGGTCACGTCAATAAAATGTGTGTGTTCATTTTGACTTTCGAATAAATTTTCTTATTATTCATTCCGGCTGTGTTTTTATTTTTTATTTTTTTTTTTATCAAATTTTACAAAAACTTTTGTTATTTATTATTATTTTTTTTAAAAAAAAATCAAATCAAATATTTTTTTTTTATAATAAAAATTAATTTTATATTTAAAATATCATATTAACACCTATTATCACATTATATTATTATTTCAATTTAAAATTTTTATTATTCAAATATTAAATCTGAAATTAAAACCCACAAACAATCACCCTCCGTGTTGTTTTCGACCATCTTGCATTTTGAATTTTATACTCATGTCTCCATTAAAAAAGTAAGTATTTACTTTATGATAGTTTTATATGTAAAGATTATTTTATAGGTAAAATATCTATGTAAATAAGTATAATATGATGGTATTTCTAATGTACAGTAGGATCACTGTATATTATATTAAAAATATATATATATATTTTGTATTTGAACAAGTAAAAATTGATAAAATATATGCTTATAGATAGAGGGAATATATACTTTTACAAAATATTATATCAATATATTATTTAAATTAAAATTTAAATACAAAAAGTAATACACAAACATGGCAAATCTACATGTGCGTTTAGTAGTGAGTTTTGTTAAATTTTTTACTATTAAAATATTAAATTATTATCTATTAATGTTACATCGGAAATGATTTCAATTCAAAATTTTATTATAATAAAAATAATCCCCACAATTTGTAATGTGGCTGAGGATCCAAGAATCCATGGATATATAAATATAAATATATTGTTTTTATTTTTATAATTTAACTTGGGTTTGTCAACTGAATTTTTATATATGGATTATATAGCTGCCGCATTTTTGCATATTATTGCGTGTAATTTGAAATTTTACTTTATAAAAAAATAGTAATTACAAATATGATTTTATAAAAAATAATGATAATAACAATACAGTCCCCAGATTTTAGTTCGAACCTAGTTTACATACTATTAATCCCTGAGTGTTACATCGAGCCTAATGTAGATACTACTAGGTTCCGCGTTGTCACGCTATATAAAAAATAATAATAATCAAAATCTAATGATAATCATTTCATTTTTGACATTTAAGAATATGTGAGAAATTTAAATTTAAATTTAATTTACTATACATATGCATTGGCATTTTGTGGTGGCTACTTTAATTAAAGGCTGATCCACTATCAATGGTTGTTATAATTTAGCAACAACGTGTTACATTTAATCGTAATGATTAGATTCCCATTAATTAGTAATTACTGTATTATTTCAACAACCAAATCCCACTATGCTATGGTTACTGTCCCTCCAACAATTAATTACTCTCCCCGGTTCCACGTATCGTGTCTGCTACATTGTAGACACTGTATTTTAGGAGTAGTGTAATTAGTAGATAATTAAGAATGTATTAGTGAAAATAATTATTTTATAATATAAATAATTATAAATTAAGATTAAGATAACTAATTAGTTTAATTAAAATTAAAAAAATAAAATTTAAAAATATAAAATAAAATTAAAGTGTGTAATCATTTTCCAAAAAAAAAAAGTGACATGGTAAGTGGGACTGACAGAAACGACAACGTGGACATGGTATCTGGGACGGAGGGAGTATTTCACACTTAATATATGCAAACATATTACCCGGCTAATCGGACCAATAATTTATTGAACAAAAATTATTGTTTACATATTAATAATAATAATAAACCATCTATATATATTTTTTGAATATTATAAACTTCCACCAAATATATTTTAAAGTCCTGTTCCCCTTGATTTTTTAATTTATAATTTTTGTTCAAACAATTTTTTTAAAATATTATAATCATAAAAAGTTATTAATAAACTAAAAAGAACACATGATGAGAATATATTTACTGTATTTTACTCTAAAGCGTGGAAAATATGAAAATTTAGGCCAATTTTAATTAAGAGGTATATTAGTAAAAATAATTATATATTAAAATTAAAATAATTAAATATTTTAATTAAATATAAAATTATAAATTATGTGTATAATTATTTTTCTTTTTTAAAAAGAAATGATGCCTGAATGAAAATACTTACACTCTATGCTATTGAATAGAGTAATATTTTTAAAATGTTTTTATTTAATTTAAATGTACATCTGTTCAATCTTATTTTATGAATCCTTATAAACTATCAAGAGATATATGTTTAAAATTTAAATTTTATTTAATAAATATATAACTTTTTTAATTCAAAATATTATTAATTCATTTGTTTCAATGTGTGCACATTAGATTAGAGCATAGCAGACCATTGGAATCCTTACTGTTTAGGGATAAGGACCGACAGAGCATCCGATTCATGAACTTACGTAGACGCCACGCCGGAGACGAAGGAAATCTTCAGCTAAAAAGGGGGGAACAACTACAGGCGCACCATCAGATCCATTGTTTTCTGCTATGACCACGCAGTGCCACTTTTTTACTTTTTCCATCTCCGATTCTGACGTGGTGGTGACTGGTGTGGCCAGTAGGGTAGGTTAGGTTTGTTAATCAATTGCATCGCCATGTCCTTGCGAATTTAACGTGGTCAGGAAAACAAATCGCCCGATCTGAATTCCACTTTCAATCTGATGCACCGTTGATACCACCAACACTACTTTTTACAGTTCCGGGTAAAAAATGTGTCGATTTGCCAGTAAATATCTGTATTTGGGGTAATATTTTATTATTTGTTTTGTTTAATAGCCTCTTTCTTTTACTTCCACTGTCCTTTGCTTCATTCATTTCGTTTATATCGAATAATAATCAATCTAGGTATGTCGTCATGTGGGGCGACTAAATCTGAAGGCGACGGCGGCTTTAAAGTCAGGTGATTTTGTCAAATTGTTTTCCGTGTTGCTGTAAAGTATAAAGGTAATCTATACGGTTTGTTGCGACAATTTCCGTGAATATTCGAGAACCAATCCATTTCAGTCTATATATAATCTATACACGTCAGGTGCAGTTATACTGCGACGAGGATTATGTGAATCGCGGTATAAATAGGTTTCATACAATTGGGGAAGAAAGGGTTTCGATTGGTATGATTCTCAAGGGGATTGTTTCTTGGTTGGGAAGAGTAGGAAATTATGAAGTTCTGTAAGAAATACGAGGAGTACATGCAAGGAGTACAGGGCAAGAATAAATTGCCTGGTGTTGGGTTCAAGAAGCTGAAGAAGATTTTGAAGAGGTGCAGAAGGCAGATTGATTATGGCAGAAATGATGTTGGCGATCAGACTAACGAGTCTGAGACTCATGATTCTTCCAATTGCCCACAGCACTGCCCAGGTACTCCATTCAAGAGCACCTTTTCTTGATTTTTAGTCTTCATTTCCTCACTCTACATGAATATGAAGAAAGATGTCTTATCCTATTTGTTCTGTAGTCTTAATGTAATGGTTTTCATATATTTGCCTTGGGTAAAGATGGTAAGTCATTCCAAGAATTTGATGCAATGCTGCAAGCATAGTATTAGGATAGTGTTAACCTACAAAATTCGGCCATAGGTGGAGCTAATTTTAATTTACTTCCCAAATCGCCCAACTCCATTTTTTGATCCAAATCGGTTTGAATTTTCGTGCGCTGACCGAAAAGTTGCCTATAAATGTGTAAATTCAAGGTATCTTCAATCGACCACTTTTCTTGTATTTTACTTTTTCTTGCACTCATGTTATAACTTAAGAGGATTTTTTCCAAGTCTTCGAGTTATAAAAATAAAATTCGAATTTCGGCGTGGATTTTACTTTTTATTGTTGAAGGTTTGTGTCGAACAGATAGATTTGCGACAGAGATGTCAAGTTCTTTTTGTTGTTTTGATTCAGATTTTCTTATGTGCATTGCAGTTTGTGATGGGACCTTTTTTCCTGCACTCCTTGAGGAAATGTCTGCAGTGGTAGGATTCTTCAACGAGAGTGCTCAAAAATTGCTTGAGCTACACCTATCTTCGGGTTTCGGGAAGTGTCTTATGTGGTTCAAAGAGAAATTACAAGGAAATCATGTTGCCCTCATTCAAGATGGGAGGAACCTCGTTACTTATGCCATCATTAATGCCGTTGCCATGCGAAAAATACTTAAGAAATACGACAAGGTTGGTAAAATGGGAGTTGGTTCATTTGCAGTTCTTGCTTGCTTTCTGTGAAATGTGTTTCTATGTTTGTAGAGCTTGATTTTTAATTGTTCTTTTTCATTGCAGATTCACTATTCTAAGCAAGGTCAAGCATTCAAGTCGCAAGCGCAAAGTATGCACATCGAAATCCTTCAATCTCCATGGCTATGTGAGCTCATGGCCTTCCATATAAACTTGAGAGAGTCTAAGGTCAATTCAAGGGACACCCCTGCACTTTTCGAAGGGTGTTCTCTTGCGTTCGCTGATGGCAAACCATCTCTATCCTGCAGACTCTTGGATTCGGTCAAGCTTGACATCGACTTGACCTGCGCCATATGCTTGGTGAGTGTATCTATTTTGCTTATTCATAGGAGAACTGCATTTTACCATTAACTGCTGAATGATGTGTTTTATTTCTTAACACCACTTACGTTCAATTTTTTTGATGGTGAACAGGAGACCCTTTTCGATCCAGTTTCCCTTACTTGTGGTCACATGTTCTGCTACATCTGTGCCTGCAGAGCCGCATCGGTGACCATAGTGGATGGATTGAGAGCAGCAAGCCCGAAAAAGAAATGTCCGATATGTCGAGAGGTATAATGCTACTTGTAATCGTGTCATGTCCTGCCTTGAAGCTTTCATGTGATCTGGATGGAACTAATCTCATTTATTCACGATCGATTGCAGGAAGGAGTGTATGAGGCTGCGGCGCATTTGGAAGAGCTTCATGTTCTATTAAACCGAAGGTAATAAAACCTAGAAATTGTGTCTACACTGTTATGTTCAAAATTCAGTGAATATTTACTTACTTAATGCATCGGGACAGTTGTCCCGAATATTGGGAAGAACGGCGCAAATCCGAGAAGAGGGAGCGAGTACAGCAGGCGAAGGAGCATTGGGAGTCGCAGTGCCGTCTATTCATGGGTATCTGATGATGATCATCCCTTCAACTCTTCTTGGCTTTGTTGATGCAGTATGTTGTTAAATTATTGTCAAGAAACATGTTTGTTGTGTGAGAAATGCTCTAGTACTTATTTCACCAATAAGAGCATGGATTGTAAAGTAGTTTAAACCGTGTGGTTTGTAATACAAACCAACCCCCTTCTTGCCTTCATCTGTCTATTCTCAAATTCAGTGATTTTATTATTCATATTAAGTTCCCCTAGCATTCATTCTATCAAGAAAATGGCCTCAATCAACATATAGCTTAGGAATAACTTCAAAAGTGCCATATACCTTTCAAAGTAAAATTCTTGACAAGAAAGTAACAATTGGTAAATCCAAGATCACAGGTCCCTAACTAGAATAAGCACCTGAGAATTTGATTTGATAGGCTTAAGATCTGTTACTACCAGGCAGAGCAAAATTGTTGTTGAACCTGTTAAGTGCCCACTAGCATCGGGTTTTTATCTTTGAACGTATGATATCGCTGGCACAGTTTCTTCAGCGTTGCTATAGAGTGTTGCATCTTGTTTAATTTGGTGTCCATGAACATGCTCTGCAAAACAACGAAATTGTTGGATACAAGTATAGTAGTATTGTATAAAAGAGTACTAGCCCACCATCCGGCATACCTCATAATCATCGCCATATCTCTCCACCAGGCGACGGACATGAACACGCTGCATAGCTGTAAGTGGTTGAAGGGAGTGGTGTTGGCCATCAGCCCGCTTCTTCCCCAAAGCCGACTTTAAATCTGCATTAGTTCACAATGGATGAAGTTAGTTCGCATAGGAAGAATGATCTTAACTTCAAGTGGCTTACAAATTTAGCTTACAGGTCGTAAAAGTGAACAATTGAAACGGGTGGATTTCGTTAACAAGAAATGATGGATTTTAATAAGGAAAGGAAACCGATAATAAAGTGTTTATCTGTGAATCGTTTAGTAGGATGAAAAGCACAACAGTAAAGCAAACACTTGCAAAGAGATACAATCCAGTTAGATATATGCAATGGATAATCAATCATGAAACAACCTAGTTAGATACACAATTACACACATATATATTACATCTTGTTTATCTCGAGATCCCAGGAACAAATGAAGCTCCTGAAATTTTCAAAATCGAGAAAGAAAAAAAGTATATGGAAGAGTGGCTGAGCATTATTAGGAAATTCAGCAAAAAGAGATAATCCCAATATTTCCACCAGCAAAACATTAAAAAGGATCATACCGGGCTTATGGATTACCTCTTCTGCCTTTTAAACATACGATTAAAAAAGATTTTCCTAAATGCCAGTAGAAGCAATTAATTCATCTGAATATCTAAAGGCATTCTGCCATACCGAACAGTGGAAACATTCTGAATGGCAGAGAAGTTAACAAATTGAAACATTCCAGATTACAGGGGCGAAGAGAAAATTAAAGTAAAATCACTAGAGCAATACACAGCAACGATAAAAACATTTGAAGAAAAAAGATAAAGTGACAGGCAAAGAACTAACCATCTTCCTCAAGGTCGCTGCCGCTGTCGATGGGCTCGAACTCGGGTACGGGCCCGTCGTCGGGCGGGGGCATCTGCAAGGTATCACTCTCAACCATGTGAGAGGTGCGGGCTCGTACGCCGAGAAAATTAGGGTTGGAGACGACGCCAAAGGACTTGTAATTCTCGATGACGCTGCCCTTCTCATCCCACTTGGAAAGAGGTTCCAACAGAGTCTTCAATTTCGGAGGAAGATTGAACGCCGGCTTGAATATGTGAGGGTTCTTCTTCAGCAAGCCGACTCGCACTTTCGCCCTCGATCTCTTGTACTTCCGCCGAGAACCACCCATTGTATCGCCACCCTCCTCCTCTTCGCCGCGAATTAGGGTTTTGCAGAATTGGGAGTGGCGTGGGTTTAAGGAGAATAATAATAGTATTGCACAAACCTTTTTCTTTTCAGTCCATTATTTTTTTATAATAACAATTACTTCATTAATTTACAATCAATCTTGATTCAGATTTTGTAATTTAAAATAAAGTATTAATTTAATTTTTTTAATTTAAATAATTATTATGTAATATTTTTAAAAATATATATATATTTTTTATTACTCTCTTCGTCTTTTACCCATACTTTTTACCACAATCACTTAAATTCCGGAAACACAACACATACTATAGTTAGAATTACCTTTGCAAAAAAAGTCTTTTACCCATACCTTTTACACCATCAATATAATGTCAATATTTTTTAAATTCCGAAACACAACACATACTATAGTTTTTGGAACTGAAGGAGTACTAATTAGCAACTAATAGTAATAATTTAAAACGCAAATCACAAGCAAACAGATTAAAGACAAAATCAAAAAACATTTAAAAAACAAGCACACTCTAAGTTGGAGTCCAATATTAAATTTAGTTAAATCCTAGTAGTAGTAATTTAAAAGGAAACAAAAAGATGGTATTTAGCCACAATGAAATGAAATGAAATGGTAAGTACGTACGTAAATGCATAACTTATTACATTCGTCTTAAGTTCTTTACTCCTCATTATCCCTCTCCAACTCCAACCACAAGAATGTCATGCCATGCCATAAATGCATCATTAATCGATCTTTTCACTCATTTCATTTCAAGTAAGTAAGAGAACCCAATCCTCCTCCATCTCCATAGTCGAGAATACATTTCAAACCTCCGACGATCTATTCGCGTACTCTTGGACCAACGCCCCAAACAGCGACGGCCTTTCCAGCAGCCGACCCGGTTTGTCGAACTCCTTTGCTCTTCCTGCAACATCAACAGATCATCAATTCACAATAACAACAACAACAATAACAAATGGAAGTTATTCCACGACCTCCATCGATGACGAGCACGCGGTCGCAGTCCATCACGGTCGGTATTCTGTGGGCAATGCTGATGATAGTGCACGCAGCAAAGTCCTCCCTGATGATCTTCTGGATCACTCCATCCGTGTACGAGTCCACCGACGCCGTCGCTTCGTCCATGTATAGCAGCCGGCTTCGTTTCAGCATCACTCTCCCTAAGCACAGCAGCTGCCTCTGCCCCACGCTCCAGTTGTCTCCGTTGTCCAGGACTAACAAAATATATTAATAAATGATTATTTCACCTAAAAATTTAAACTCGAAGAAATAACTCCAAGTATATGCATTTCAATACTATTCGATATGTATATATATATATACCCGGCGAGTCGAGCTTCCCTGGCTTCGCAGCCACGACATCCTTAAGCTGGCATCGTTCGAGGCTCTACAAAATAAGGCCGGAATAAAAACGTTACTTACTGACTTACTGTACGATCGATGATGTAGTAAGAAAACAGGAGAACGGTAGAACTCCTAACCTGCCATATTTCGTCGTCTGTGTACAGCTCTGTGGGATCTATGTTGCTTCGCACAGTTCCTTCGAAGAGAACCGGCTCTTGAGGAATAATCCCGAATCGGGACCTGAGGTCATGAAGGCCTAACGTAGAGATGTCGATTCCATCGATGATTATCTTCCCATCCGATGGCTCGACCAGTCGAAACAAGACCTGAATCAGAGTAGACTTGCCCCCGCCTGTCCGCCCAACGACACCAATCTTCTCGCCTCCGGTTATGTTTAAAGTGATCCCTTTAAGTACTAAAGGTGTGTCCGGACGGTATCTGACCTGCAAGTTGTTGAGCTCGACGTTGCCTTGTGACGGCCAGTTAGGTGGAGGAAGAGGGTCCTTTTTCGTCCACTCGGCCTCGGATGGTATCACCGTGAACTGTTTAATCCTCTCGACCGAAACCATCTTGTTTTCGAGGAAGCAATTCGTGTATACAGACCAGTACATCACCGCGTTGAGAGACAATCCGTAGGAGAGAGCCAAGCCGACGTTCTCTGGAGAATCAAGGCAGGTGAAGTAGTGTTCATTACATTAACATTTCGAACAAATTTAGAATGGTTGGGGGGGGGAATCGGAGGGTGTAAGAAATGCACCTGGCTTGATGATGCTGCTAGGGAGGATGATCATGAACAGCGCGGACATGCATAGAATGAAGCATCCGATTAGCTCGAGACGAATTCCCAGCCATTCGTTCGATCCGTTGTTGTGAAAATCCATTCGAAGATTCGCATTCACACGATTCACATTTTCGTTGCAGAAGCTCCCCTGCTTCCTGAAGCAGCGAATCGTCATTACTCCAGTGATGCTCTCGGAGAAATGATGAATGACCGGTGCCTTTGTGATCGAATCCAATCGAGTCAGTTCGCGCGACGTGGATAGATAATAGCCCTGCGCCAAAAGTCGAAACATACGCCCGTTAATCCTATACGCATCAAGATTTCAGACAAGAAAACCGGCAACATTTCAGACAGCGTACCCGGTACCAGATGTTAAGCCAAAGGAGCGGAACCACAAGGATAAAAGTAGGCCATGCGTATTGACAAGTGATGATGATGATGCTCAGCAGTGTCATATACATAGAAAGGGTGATGCTTGTAAAAAAAGGGATAAGAACGTCGACATTCGTCTGATCTGTCGACGCCTGCGCAAGTAGAACAATACAATTAATGTCGTATTACAGTTCTAAAATGGCTATAAAGCCATAGTTTCAATGCTTACCCGAGTTAAAATCCTTCCAGACGGCGTGGTGTCGAAGAATGACATGGGAGCGTGCAGAATGCTGTGTAGGATTTGTCTGAAGAAGATCTGAGAGGTCTTTAGTCCCATAACCGCAGCGAGCATGGTTCTTGCAAGAACCAGGAGAATGGCAAGTCCGGAGAGGATAGCATACACTGTAATGAAAAGGGATGGACTGAACGACGACGCTTTATCATCTGAAGTTTCGTAAGCTAACCAGTAGTCGCTCGACATTAGAGTTCCCTGCCATGTTATCGAGAAGAAGATCATCCCCACAACTCCCCACCAACCAAACGACTCGGCGCAGTATTGCTTGTAAACTTGCAAGCTGACTCTCCCTTGAGCTCTTTCTTCTTCCCTAATAAGCTTAGAGCTTCTCCCATGGGAGTCGCCATGTTCTTGCGAATCATTGCCGCCATTTTCTTCTTGTTTGAACGAACGTTGAGTGGTGACAGCCGGGGAAGGTTTGCTCTCGCTTGTTTCCACATCAACAAGTTCCATGGAGGCTTCGTGGGCAGATACTAAGGCCTTGAAATCCATGCCGGATTCGAGTAGGTTGTTGTACTTACCAGATTGCACAATCATTCCTTCTCTCATAACCTGTTTTCAAAGCAATTGAATGTCACTACGCTTACATTACATAGTCATGCACAAGTTTAAAGCTTCTTACGTACCAAGATCTGGTCGACATTGTGCAAGAAATCGACTTGGTGAGTTACTAGTAGGATGGTCTTGTCTCTAAGACTTCCTCTAACACATTCCTGCAGCGGATCATAGGTCCATTTCATTTCACCTAAAAGCTTAAGCTTAAATGAATATACGTCATTTAATGGAGATAACTAAGAGGTACCTTGAATATTTCTGATCCGGTATGAGCATCGACGGCGCTAAACACATCATCCAGTAAGTAAATATCACAATCCTGATAAACTGCTCGGGCAAGTTGAATCCTCTGTTTCTGGCCGCCGCTGAGATTGATGCCGCGCTCCCCGATCTCAGTTTGATCTCCAAACTCCATAACCTCTAAGTCTTTCTCCAAGCAGCAAACGCGGATAGCCTCCTTGTATCTTTGCCGGTTCATTGGCAAGCCAAACAGTATATTTTCTTCAATCGTCCCATTCTGAATCCACGCTGTTTGCGCAACGTAGGCAGTGCTTCCGCATACTCTAACCTGCATGATACAGACAGACAAACATACATAAATGCTGTTTTACTTCGACTGCTGTTAGTAGGCTGAATCAATCAAACGTACCTTTCCCGATAGTTTGTTCATTTCGCCGAGAATCGCGGCAAGAACAGAAGACTTCCCTGATCCCACTGTCCCAACTATAGCTGCAAGTTCCTTTTTCCTTATATTGATATTTAAGCATTTCAAGGCTTCGCCTCCATTGTCGTCTTCCCAGCTGAAGCTCCCATTCTTCACTTCCACAGCAACATCTCCATCGCAGCCCTCAACTCGTTCCACACAGTCGTCCACCAACTCCTTGCTAGTCATGAACCGATCGAGCCTTTCAAGAGAAATGACAGCCTGTGAAAGTGAGATAAGTGATTGCGGGAAAGTCCTGATTGGCTCCTGCAACAACTTCAACAGCGAGGTTGCCGTGAAGACTGTAGACGCCGTAAGCGGGAAGCCAAACAGGAGCGCGCTTCCGAAAGTGATGGTTGCAATAGCTGCCGGCGTGCTCCAAAGAACGATGATATTTCCAGACAGAGTGAACGTAAATTTGGTCAGCCATCCATATTCAATCTCCCGAAACGATTGAATCCTTTTCTTGAAGTGTTCTTCCCATGCCTGGAATTTGATCACCCTCATGTAGTTCAGCATTTCGTTCGTAGCCTTCATTCTCGAGTCCCGATTCTTCATAAGATTGAACTGGAACCAATTGTTCCTCTTGTTGCTAAACAACACAAAAAGAATTATTACAGCGAGTCCCGCGAACGCTGCAAGTGTAGACACCCCAAGGTACTGATAAAGGATGCACAAAGCCACCAGAATCTGCAATGGCATAAGCCACAAGTAATGCAGCTGCAACATCATGTCTGAAAGCTGTTGAGCATCCACTGCCATGTAGTTTACAATCTGTCCAACTCCATGATCCTGTCTGGCAGATCCGGACAACCTCAAACCTTTCCTATACAAAGAAGTAATAAGCGTTGAACGGATAAGCATTCCTAGTTTCTGCGTATGGAAGTTGAATTGATGAGAGCTCATAACCTCGACACACTTGGCCATCAATAGAATGCCAACAAGGTAGTATCCTTCAAAAGGAGAACTCCTATCCCCGGAAGTATAAGCAACGAATTTCTGGATGAGAGTAGGTCCAATGTACAACACCGAAAGTCGAAGTACTGCAAGAAGAGCAGTTAAGACAAGGTGCAGCCAAAAGCTTCGAACCAATGTCTTGAGGACAGGGTGCTTAGATTTCTCCTCTGGCTTCGGCCAGTTCCTTAGAAACCTCTGCGACAATAGCTCGGCTTTGTGCTCCGTTGCAAGAGAAGGTACATCATCGATTTTGAGGGGCTCTTTACGACCCTTCTCTAGAAGAGGATTCATCCAAAACCAAAATGCGATAGACAAGATCGACGCAGAAGCATAGCCAGTTACATTTGATTTATCCAACAGAGGATCCGATATGTCATTAGATATCATGTCTGAATCAGAAATCGAAAGCTCAACACCGGTAGAGCCTCGTACCGCTGCAATAACAAGGATAATTGAGAAAGGGAGCACGATGATCGAACCAATGTCGTCTGCTCTCAAATCAGAACCACTGCCCTGAAAAGAGATCAATCTCACAAGAGCAGATGCAAATAAGAGTGTTAGAATGACAAATTCCACAATCCAATATATCCGAAGAATCAATGGATGTGTGGCTGCTTTGAACCTCTTCTCATGAGCAATCAAAACAACAATCACTGCATGAGCCAATGCTTGAAACAGCCAATACAAACCATCTATTGTCGTCCATGGAAATTCAGCACCTCTAACAAAGGCCAAAATGCATAAGACAGTGGAGCAAACTGCCAAGATTGCTGTGGCAGAGAGAGTGATTCTAAACCATAAATTGGTGCTTACAACAACTCTCTTGTTTCCAATGAGAGGATCGTGAATCTCAGAATTGTGTTGACTACTAGAAGCCGATCTCGATTTCAGCTTAAGAACAGCGAAGGCGAGTATCAGAATTAAGAAAATAACGTCCACAATAGACAGGAGAGCTCTTTGGGGACAGGGGGAGAGAAAAATGAATCTCAGCCATTGAATGACCGTGGAAGATACAGATGAACTGCTCGACGATTGCACCACATAGATGGAGCAGGAAAGTGTGGTGATCCAGGAAGATGATGCCATAGTTGACACCAAATTCCAACGTGTGAACTCTTCTCCACAAAAAAATGGAATTTGATTCCTCCTCTATTCAGTGCTTCCACCAATCTTCATGCTTAGCCTTCTGCAAAATTCAGAAACACCGCCAAACAGAAACATAAAATTTTTGACTAATCAATAACTGCCAAATATTAGCATAAACTAGGTATCCAATAAAGCTTCGTGGCTATCTTTAACTACACACGACATTACGGAAAACCTCTGAAAAGCAATAGACATTAAAAAAATAAAAAATAAAAAATTGACAAGAAGCAAAAGCAATTATACTTTTCCACTGCGCCAAACGGAGACGACGGCCAATGGAAGAAAGTTCGCACTGAAGATAAAATAATAATAATAAGACAAAATCAGCAGAAAATAAAACACCAAATCAATCCAACGACTTGCTGCTGAGATTCAGGAACTGAAAACATTAAACAAAAAAAAAATAAAAATACAGGCAGATTGAAGAAAACTTGGATATATATCATTATTGAATACCTGGCGCTGTAGCAACGGAGGAGAAGAATTCCAGCACGTATTTATGAAGAAGACTCAGATTATTCTCCACAGTATCCAAGTTGGACTCTACCAACGAAGATGTCCCTCCGTTTCACAGCGAAAGTAGAGAGAGAGAGAGAGAATGGAAGAACAATCAGCTTCACACGGGATACATATGCATGGAGAAACTGAGTTGATTTGTCATTTAATGATAATGAATTTTATAGTATATTTTTTATTTTATTGTAAATTTATTTATATTAATTAATAATTTTTTTTTATATTAATTAATAATCTTGTTTACATGTAGAGAGTGTGCTGCAAGTAAATTGCGAATAGTTTGAAATATATACATACATTTTTTTAAAATAAAATTACACATCTCTTTATACATTTTTTTTTTTTTTAAAGCAGATTAATAGGTAACTGGAATTGCGCCCAACAACCCTTCTTTATTAAATACTCCTCCGTCCTAGATACTATATTCATATTTTCTATTCGTTTCACATATCATGTCACTTTCTTTTTTGAAAAAAATATTATACACTTTAATCTCATTTAAAACTTTTTAATTTTTTTTTTAATTTTAATTAAACTAATTAGTTATCTTAATCTTAATTTATAATTATTTATATTATAGGATAATTATTTTCACTAATACATTCTTAATTATCTACTAATTACATCCCTCGTAAAATACAGTATCTACAGTATAGCAAACACGATATTTGGGACGGAGAGAGTAAAATATAATAAATAAATAGTCTACATAATTACAATTATAGATGGTAAGCATGGGCATTATATTAGTTGACTGTACACGGGTTAGGTGTAGTTTTTTTTTTTTTTAAGTAATCGTGGATCCTCCCTATAATTACTAATACTTTTTATATTTATTTATTATTTTAAATTTATCTTATTATATGGTAAAATAATTTGATTTTTATATGTAGTTGGATCAAATTAAATTAAAAAGAAACAGAGCGTCAGAATACTATATTGCGGTTTAAGATATACAACTTTATTATGGATTATATAATACCAAAAGAAATTTTCAAAACACAACTCAACATGCCAATGTCACCAGGAATGAGTCATTACTTCTTAAGGAGCGTTTAAGAGCTCGCCACGTGTGTGTATTTAATGTATAATTTTTTTAAAAATATTTTGAATCTTTTTTTAGAAAGATCATCGAAGATTTAAATTTATATACGTCATTTTCTTGGTCACGTCAAAAGTTGAACGGTCCGGTTGCCTCAATTACATCCAACTATCTTATGAACATGATTTTCTTTCTTTTTTTTTGTTACATTCATTGCCGATGAAAGTTTAGGTGAACATTTATTGTCCTCGTCATTTATTTTTTTTTTTAATTCTTTGTCCTTGTCTGTCTTATTTATATCCACACGTCAATGCTACTTATTTACAACCAGGCTTCCTATTAACATAGGTTACAAATAAAATAATATTTAAAATATTAAAAAGTATAGAACTAATCAATAAAACCCTGTCAAATCTATTTTCCACTTCAACGATTATAGCGGATAGCACTGCTCGTATTGTATTGGTGTATTTATTTTATTTTTTTGATAAACTGTATTTTTAATCTCGTAATCTTACATTCTTATCATTTTAGTCCCGTAAGTGGAGCTTGTTGTAAATTAGTCCCATAAGTGAAAATTTTTTGTTGTTTTAGTCCTCCGGCGCCGGAGACGTCCGCGTGGCTCGTCGGATGTGACGTGTCCGTTAGGTGTCGCTGACCTGGCGGACACGTGGATTTTTTTATTATTTTTTTCATTTTTAATTTTTTTAAAAAAAATACTTTTAATTTATTTTTAATTTATTTTTATTTTTTTATTTGATCCAATTATAAAAAAATGAAAAAAAAATGAAAAAAAAATCCACATGTCTGCCAGGTGTCGCTGACCTGGCTGGACACCTGGCGGACATGTCACATCCGGCGAGCCACGCGGGCGTCTCCGGCGCCGGAGGACTAAAACAACGAAAATATTTCACTTATGGGACTAATTTGCGACAAGCTCCACTTATGATTTTGAAACAAAGCCTGTAGTCAGCAGTATCTTTATATTGAATAAAATAGTCGATATACACGATTGTGGATCCCTATTAAAACTAGCAAAAAAGGAGAATCTTACAAGTCAGTTACTTATATAATATTTAAAAATAAAATTATAAAAATTCAGTTTGTATATGATATATTAAAAAATATATATATATATGGCTATTTTAATTATTTTAAATATCATATATATTACTGATAAATATTTTACTTATCTAACAATATATTGTATACCACACAATAATTTAATTTTAATCAAATTATGAGAATAAAAATGTACTACCTCCTTTCCGTCTACGAGGGTCTTATTTACTTTTTGCTTGTTGATATTTGAATATTAATTATTATATCAGTATAAATTATAAAAAATTGTTAAAATACTTTCATTAGTGTCTTATAATACTGATAGAAAGACATTTGCACAAAAAATTATACAAATATAAAAATATTTTGAATGTTAAGTACAATAACGCAAAAGATAAAAGTGACCTTTATAGGCGGAGTGAGGGATTATTATAATTAATTTTTTTCTATAAAATTCTATTAAATATATACAAGTTTTTGTTTATGAATATAAAATATATTCATAAATTATAAAATATAATCGTTATTTTATGTAATTAATTGATTAAAAATAATTTTTTTGAAACAGCATATTCGCCAATTTATATAGTAATCTTCTGCCAAATCAACCGAACTTGCTACTGAAATTGCAAGTTGCATATATTATGCAATTTCTTCTGGTGTTTTTTCCATATATATATATATATATATTAATTTTAATATCAATTCCACAATGTGGCCGACAATGATTTGTACACTTTTGGCCGATATGGTCCGTCAGTCAATTGTAATGCGTTAGTTGCTTTTCTTCATTTTCATATAAGTCTCCCCCTTTTAAATATATTTCCTACTCGTATTATTTTTATTTTAAAATAATTTTAAAAATTTTGTAATTTTTTTGAGTTTGTTTATTTGTTTTTTCTTTTTTTTTTTTTCAACAAGAGTTTCAATATTTATATTTGTCATTCTATAAAACTTAATATTCAATATAAAATATTATTTCATCCGTCCCATGTAATATGGGTCTATTACTGTGGATACATGAATTTAGGTAAAGTATAATCAGTAAGCAATTAAGAAATGTATTACTAAAAATAATTATTATTTAGTAAAAATAATTATAAATTAAAATTAAGATAACTAAATAGTTTAATTAAAATTAAAAAAATTTAAATTTTAAATTTTAAAATATGATTAAAGTGTATAATTAATTTTTCAAAAAAGGAAAGAACAAATTATGTGGGACGGACGAAAATAAAAAATAGGGACAAATTATATGGGACGGAGGGAGTATTATTTATTATAATATCAACATAATTTTTTATATTTTATGTTAAAAAAAAATCAAATCAAAATAGTAAATAAACAAACCCTTTATCTTTACAAACATGATTGATAAAATTATTTCTAATAAAAAAAAAAAAAAAAAGAGAAAATCAAACAGTAAGAATTATTAGAATAGATTACACAACATAAAATACTGCATAAAAATAATAAATAAATATTTTGGTTACTATGATACTTCATTTGTTCTAATCATATATAATCATTTCATAGGAAAATGTCCGTCAATTTTTAATAAAAAAATATATATATATTTTATTTTAATACAAAATACAACTAAAATTTATACAATATTATAAATAATGTCGCTAAAAACTAAATTAATTTTAAAATATAATTATCTTTTCATCTTTTTACTATTTTATTATCTACTATCTCCGTCTCAATTTACATGAGTTGTTTGAAATTTTGTAATAGATTAAAAATAATATAATATTTTTATTATTAGTGAAATATACCATGTAATTTTTATATTTTTAATTTTATATATAAATTAATTGTATATATAATAATATGGTTTTAATTTTATTAAAAAAACTATTTTAATATTAAAATAATTATTTTTATTATACTTTTGAATATGATGAAGATAAATAATAAAAATATACGTTGAACTTCTTAAAAAAAATATATTAAATATTAATTCAACGTAAAAGTCAAATAAATACATACTCCTATCACTCCAACAACCCGAGTATGTGGTTGTTGATTTTCGAGTTTCTACCTTTATGTGGTTGTTATTACAACTTGTTGCGTGCATGGACCCGTGGGGCCACATCTGATTCCCAAAAAACGTTCAGGACTACAAGTCCCGGAAGTAAGTACAGTGCTGATCGTTCGTTTCGTAAGCATCTGGCAATCGACGGTCAGAATTTTCTGTCATTGAAACCACTGCCATTTCGCTCTCCGCTGCATGCAGTCAAATCAAAGCTCGTCATGCATGACGTCATACTGCGTTAAAAACTTTTGACACGCACAGATCAGTAAATAGAATAGCTTCTGTGAATTTTTGCTTACTACCGTCCGTACTGAATATACAAATTACTCGATTCGTTCAAATACAATAGTTTTATTTATTATTTTGTCTATTTTAAAATAATAGTTTTATTTTCGTAAATAACTATATCACTATATAACTACCCTTGCTCTTTCATTATTATTACACAATTGCCACTACCTTTTACAGTAATACACTTACATGGGCATAAATGTCTTTTATCTATACTTTTACCCGTGTCCAACACAACCAAGACTATAGTTTCGAGATTATAGTTCCGAGTTGGAGGGAGTACTATTTAAATTCAACATTTTAATGTTCAAAAATTCAAATCTATTTTGAACATTAAAATGTTGAATTTAAATAGTCAGTTGATGTGATATTTTGAATGTAAAATAAATTTAGTATAATATAAAAAAATAATTATTTGATTTGATATTTTTTTTAAAAAAATCTCAATAATAATACCCATAAAAGAACACAATCATGGTAATTAATAATAATAATTAAAAAATATATTATTAAAAATAATTATTAAGTAATAAAAATAATTTAATTAAAATTTAAATATTATAAATTATAAAAATTAAAATACAATTAAAATATATAATTATTTCTTAAAGAAAATTAAATTATATAAAACAAATCGAAATAAAAAAAAAGTAAACATTTTATGTTAGACAAAATGAGTATTTAGTAGTAGTAGTAGGTGATGGTGACCCAATTTTCTATAAAATATTATTTACAAATATAAATATATTAATGTAATATATACTTAATTCAAAATATTATTTTTTATATATTTTATTTAAAAGTATTTTTTATTTTAGTAATAGTAATTATATATTAATATAAAATATTTTTAATTTTTATTTAAATTATAAATATATTATTACATATATAATTAATTAATACATAAAAATATACATTTTTACTAACCAATATAATATATCATTATTTTTTTTAATACATTACAAAATTCTAAAAAAATATTTTAAAATGAGACATAAAAAATCTACTTAAAACAATTAATAATTGAATGAAAAATATTATTTTTATATTATTAATATAAGTTTATCATATTTAATATAAAAAAATAAATGATGTTAAAACAGAAAGTGAGCGCACGAGTCCTTTCGAGTACCACTCATTTTCTAGAGTCAATTTATGGATGGACAAAGAAAAATAAATAAATAAAGGCATGAATGCTTCATCGTAGTTTTGTTATTTTGTGTGTTGTATGCATGGAGTGACGGTGACCGTTGGATGCATGATGTGTGCTAAACCTTCATTTAATTCAACTTAATTAGTAGTAAAAGAAAATGATATATTTGCAATAATTGTATAAATTAGTGACAGATGCAGTCAGTCAGATACAGTAGTCGTCTGCGATGATCCAACAGATACGGACACAGATTCATAGAGACATGTGCCAAACTGATGATGTCTATTAATAAATAATTAATTAATTATTAGGCACTCATAATATATACTTCCTCCTTCCCATGCAATATAGTGTATTAGCGTAGACACGTGAATTTAGGTAAATTATAATTAGTAAATAAATAAAATGTGTATTAGTAAAAATAATTATTATTTAGTAAAAATAATTATAGATTAAAATTAAGGGTGTGTTCGGTTGTAGGATTTTATCAAAATCCTACTATTCATCCAATTTTTTTTTTTCCCAAAAACATCAAATCAAACATCTATTTTTCATTTTTTATATTATACTAAAAATCAATTTTACATTCAAAATATTACATCAACACCTATTTATATCACATCATACAACTATTCAAATTCAAAATTTTTACTATTCAAATTCCAATCTAAAATCCAAACCCCCAAACAAACACACCATAAGAGTAAATAGTTTAATTAAAATTAAAAAAATTAAAATTAAAAATTAAAAATGCAATTAAAGTGCATAATTATATTTTCAAAAATAGAATATAAAAGACAAGTTATGTGGGACGGACGAAAATAAAAAATAGAGACAAATAACTGGTATGGAGGGAATATAATTAATTATCATCAAGGCATCCTGCATTGCATCGTAGGGATACATGCCTGCAGGCCGACAAAGGCCCTTTTCATAGGCCATCACAGGTAGTATTAATTAATTAATTACTTATTTACTAGTAGTTAATTAGTGAAAATAGGTCGAAAATTCAATTCAGGATCTGCATTTATTAGGGGACGATTTTATGGATATGGACCAATCAACCTGCCAACCTGGCATGGCATTGTCTTTATTGTACACAGGCCACCACAGCTGTCTCACTACTTATTTCTCTCGAATATATATATATATATATTGGAAATTTTATTTTAAAGAATGTTATTACAAATGAAAACTATCAGAAGCAATTTTTAATTAATATAGGCAAGCATATGAACTCCAGTATTTGAAAAAGATGATCATGCAGATGTGACTCACTCGCTCTGTTATAATTTGAATGGCAGATGTGGTAGACGCCTTTATTGAATTTTTTTTATAATTATATTGACATATAGTATAAAATAATATTGAAATTTAATTAATTGTGCAAATAAAATACAATTTATTGGTCCATCAGAACAGAAGTCATCGTACATGAATTTACGTAAAAGTGGAAATCACCACATGATCTTGTCATCGCTTTACCCCTTCATGACACTGACTGCTCTGCAATTCTGGAATCGATTTGATCTCGTCCTTATATTATATACTCCGCTCCATGGTAAATTGATCTATAGCATGTATTTAGAAATTAGCTCAAATCACGAAGAGCTGCAATATGTGTGTGTCTGTGAATATATATATATATATATATATGGAAGAACGAACTTTACATTCTAAAATAAATAATCTCGTCGAGAATGGAGATAATGACCTTTGCCCCAAAATTTTGGTGTTTTTGTTGTGACAATCCAACTGTTTTGTTTTATTTCCTTTACATTTCTCCTCATAAATGGTCCAAACCTACCCCAATGAGTGGCTATGATTTATTTCTTTTGGAAAAAATTAAATAAAACAAAAGTACAAACAGAAATGCTACCAATCCACCGCAGTTGATTTGGGTGTTTATAATACTTTTTCCGACCATTTTTTAATATCTTATTTGATATTTATACGCTATTTTTAGACAATTAAAATTTTTGTTATAAAATAAAAAATTTATTCTTTATTTTGTATATATAAAAAAAAGTAAATTAAAAATAAAAAAATAAATTATGTGTTTAAATATGGATGAAGGACAGTAATTATTTGACATTTAAAATTAAAAAAATAGGACGGTGACGGAAAAAGTAATATTTATATGTACGATCTCACAGTATTCGAAAAATCATCACTGCGTTGTTTCGTACACGTTGAAAGTCGTAAACATGTAAAACACGATTTCTATTAATTTATGGTAGCAGTCGCTTTATAGAAAATGATTGTAAAGACCAGCCGCAGATTTCCTTCTAGAAGAAAATTAGCTGGCTGGGGATTGACAAAAAACACGACTAATGTTGGCCAGGGATTGACAATAAACACACGACTTTTTACCAGCTCGACTAGCTAACTTCAATGCTACTAAAACATTGCTTCTTCAAGCATGTATTGTTGTATTGTACCTCATAAATCGACCGTGTCGGCAAATGTTCTTCGATGGAGGCTCCGTAAGTCTACCAGATGGCGCATTGTTGGCCTGCCGTGTGGGCAGTTCCACGGAGACTTGAGCTGCGCCAGATGCTCTAATATCTGCGAGCATTCAATTACGGCATGCACCATAAAGAACTCGATCGGTACAAATTTGAAATCTTTTGTAAATGCAACATTGATATTGTAATACCTTCTGCATTTCCTTCCTCCCCAATGAATCGCCGATCATGACAGAGGATCTGCATGCACGTGATGCGAGCATTGCGCGTACTTTAGGTGGGCAAACTGAATCTGCCGTGTCGGATTTGTAGCTTCCGATAATGGAGCACTCTCCATGGCTATCAGTCAGGATAGAAATCAGCTCCTTGACATCTGCACAAAAAATATAAATAAATAAACAAATAGAAAGAAAGAGAATGATCCATCACTTGGATTTAGAGAAGCCTATAGGAAGCAAATTGTTCTTGTTTTAAGGTAAAACATTTGTAAATACCTGCAATCCCAAAAGTTATATTTTTACTGAAGGGAACGGCTTTAAGCAGATAGCGGCTTCCAGAAGGAGCATGCATGTCCTCTTCCAATATGAAACCATTTTTCCTAAAATTTGAGAGCAGAATTACATATAATGAATACGAGAGAGATGTTATCGGAATGACGAGCCAGATGATGTTACAATTGTAAAAGAATAATCAAGCCTAAAGTGTTGGAAATGGAGCCTCAAAGATAGTTAAGGATTCACAGACACCGGAAAATGTAGCCTTTAGATCTAATCAAACGAAGCAACAAAATAACATAAGTACTGTGATCCTAATGCTCAATAAAATGTAAATATAAGCGTATATATTACAGTCTTGAAAGAACAGACCACCTAATTACATATACCAATGATCGGTGACCAGAACGATTGTATTAAAGGAGAGTTTTCGTGCGAGAAACAAATAGTATAATGGATATTGTTTGAGAACTTGCACCTGAAGATATCCATGTGCATAGAGATCACTATCTCCTCTTCAGGAGATAACTCCAATTTCAATGGCCTGAATGAATAACATTGTAAAAAGGAAAAGAAAATGTTAATCTCATCTGCAATGCACAGTAGAATTATGAAATTTTAATGACACTGAAAATGTTGATATGCTCAATCTTTTAATGAATTTATCTTTTGTAGATGACGTGCATACAACACAAGCAAAACAGGTAAAAGATACATTTGGAAAATTTTAAGTTGAATAAAGGGAGACGAGCCAAAACCTAAAACTCCAAAATCATGAGCAGAGGGGACATTGTGGTAGATATTTCAAAAACATGGCAGCATGGCAAGTGTAGTAATTAACAGGCTGAATGGAACCAATTGTCGTTTGGATCTCATATCGCTACTAAGGAGCGAATAAGCTGAATGCCTCACCTAAGTAATGGTTGCTGATTTAGAATGGTCGTTTGTGAAAGGCGCTCGTAATTGTATTTCTCATCTGCTGCATGCTGTTCCAAAAACATAACAATTAGACAACTATGATTGCTCACAGAAGAAGGGAATTTTGATATAGGTGCCAAAATGTAGGAACAGCATGCCTATTGATTATCCATCACAATAAATTAAATCATACTTTAACTTCAACTGTTTCGAGTGACTTTTAAGTAAAAAGCAAGCAGATCACCTGATCCACTATGAAAAGGTCATCATCTAACTTGCCAATAATGAACCCTAGATTGAATTGGCCAATAACCTGCAAACAAAAAGTGATAATCAGCTATGGATGAAGAAAGGAATTAGGTGAAGCAAAGCTCGAAAATGTAAATGTCAGAAGTTCTGGAGATGTGAATAGAAAACCAACTTTCATTTGTTTAAAGTCCTCTTTCTTAAAAAGTCTTTCCAATTCACTGGTGGCAGCAGCTAATTGATTTGATTTCTCCTCCTCGTTTACTACTTGTGAGAGTTCCAGTGATGCTGAAGCGAAACAACTGCTGCAAAATGAAATGAGAAAGAAACAGAAGAGTTAACTAAGGCCTGCCATACATATTAATATTCTTCTTCTGTTGCATGAAAGAATTAACATAGCACATACCCTTCCAACTTTAGTTTTTCAGATCTATGGCTGATACGTTGGAATCTTGACAACCTCTGTTTTCTCGACATCAAATCTTTAAAACTGAACTGCGCCGTGAAACCAACCTTCGAACCAGAAGAAACAGTGGGAGTATCTGTCACCATAGCTGAAGGTTGTGATGAAACGGGGGCATCCGATTGATCATCAGGTAAATCTAGAGACTTTGTGCTAACTGAAGCAGTTCGTCCAAGATCTGTAGTTACAGCTCTCTCTTGAACTTTTTGATCCTGCAAGTTGATTTTCTGCAACACAAGCAAGTTCTTACAAGATTGTGAATCTTCTTAAGGCATGCCACATATAGAATTTTCTAATTCACAAAGACCAAGTAGGCGAGTTGCAATGAAATTCTTTACCTCTGTAGCTCCATTTTGCCCTCTCCTTACACAAGGATAAAGAACATTTCCACCTTCATGATCCCCGGCTCCAGTATGTTTTCTTCCTTCACATGGTAACATGATACTCCTATCCACTTCACCACAGATGTCACCACTTTTTGCTGGTTGAATCTTCATACTGTTGATTCTATTGAAATCATCAACCTCAGTAACATAATCTGCAGAGATTGCAGACGCAGGTTGCTTAGGGGAGTGATTATCTATAGATCTATCCAGCGTGGGACCATTTCTAAGAAGCGGCATCTCAGACAATGCAGTTTCAATACATTCATGTTTTCTCTTATTAACCGAGACAAACTTATCCAGCGACATTTGCACAATAGTCGAACACCCACAAGAATTATTGCTATAGATGTTACCCTTCTGTGTTGATTTTGATAGGTGAGCAGCATGTTTGTTTGCATTATCACAAGAAAAACTCATAATTTTCTTTTCAGAATTCATAGACAAGTTGTGCTTCTGGTTGTCCTTAACTCCAAGTGCAAACTCTTCTATCACTGAACATGATCCACCACCTTGTATCATATCCATGTCAGAAGAGTCTCGTACATCAGCTTGAGCTTTTGCATGAACAAACCCACCGTTTTCACATAGTTTATCATCTGCATTCCCACAAACGACATCACTTTCTGAACTTAACTGGTCCAGAGGCAACTGAGATCTCTCATATGGAATATGAAGATTGGAGGCATGCTTGTCCTCAGTAAGTTCTTCTACCGTTTTAACTGAGTAACTCAGCTGGTTAGATGAATATATATTCTCTAAAGCTTCTCTTAATGAACGCAAGATAGAACTTTCATCAGAAAAGAATACTTTCCTTTTATCAGGAGTGACATTCACATCATATGCCTTAGTTGGCACAATAAAGTTCAAAATAGCAATAGGATACTGTCTGGAATTTGCACTTCTATATAGCTCATTCACCAGCTTACCAACTTTGGGCATATCAACTGGACGACCATTCACAAAGAAGAATTGACGATCCCCCATATTGCGTCCACTCCCATATCCAGATTTGGAAACAAATCCTTCAACTGTATAGCCATCAGATAGGTTAAGTTTAACCGGCTCTAAGCAGGAAAAAGTACTCGTACCAAACACCGTGATGATATTCTCTTTGAGGGATCCGTTACCCTGCGTCTTTATCACCACAGACCTTATATTTTTCCCAGTTGTATTGGTGCAGACTATTCTAACATCTTTGGCAATGAGAGCATAGGCCTGAAAATCAAATATCATGAATGAGAAGTGATGTTTGAAATGCAGAATATGCCTGTTCACATCAAACACATGTACAATCCGATATTGCTGAAATAAACAGGGAGAAAACCCATTGTTGCCAAAATCTATTGATGCATATTTGCATATCAGCTTAAAATAACACCCACCTTCATCAACATTAAGCCTAACGTGTACAACAAGATAGGAACATCACTAAATAAAAAGCCGCCCTAGTATCATAATAAGAAATCACAGGTGAACATAATATAATGGTTGAGATAGAAGTGTAGAAAGACTGACATTTAACAAGTTGATTAGCTTGCCATATTCTTTGCGAATGTTCCGGTGAAATTCCTTGCTCCTCACAGGCAAGTTAGAAAACAACTTCTTGACAGTAACGGTTGTACCGACTTGGCGCGCAGTCTTCCTCTCAGCTGTCAGAAGACCTGTACTATCATATGTGAGGTGCGTTGCAACTGCTTCATTGATTGTCCGTGTCTCGACAGTCAAATTACCCAATGCACACAATGAACTAAGTGCCTCCCCTCGGAACCCAAACGTCGCCAGTGACTGAAGGTCTGGAAAATCCAAGAGCTTGGATGTATGGTGCTTCAATGCCAACACCTAACAATCACAATTCAAATTTCCAAGAAAACAACTTAGTCATCAAAAAAGAATATATGAAGTTCCAACCTGTAATCTTTAGGAGAAAACACTTAGGAGATTTTCTGAAAACCATGTTCTATGGCCAAGAAACTACAAAATGAGACTCTCTACCTGTGAACGGCATCTCTTTGATATGCATCTTTCTCAATGAACCATGCAAAAGAGCGTTGAATCGACTATCACAGTATTCTACCCCTAAATAACAACTAATCCAGGCAGAAGGAATGATTTATTTCAACAAGAATACATATCCAACAAAACCTAAATTCACTTAATCTAACCTATTGTCTACGAAATTATGAAACTAAATGCAACATAAATGAAACCAGACCAAGTTTCGACAAAAATTACATTGTAATTCTGCGGGGAAATGCCGAAACCGTTGTCGATAACTTGAAATGATTCCATCCCGTAGTCCTTCAACGCTATCTCGACGCTGGTAGCACCAGCGTCGAGGCTATTCTCCACGAGCTCTTTCACAGCGGATGAAAGGTCCAGGATCACTTGTCCAGCGCATATTTGGTGGACTACAGCTTTATTTATCGGCCTAATTGCTGGGGATTCTTCAACTCCTCCTTTCATGGATGCATCGACCAGATGCAGAATGCGACGGCTGCCCACGCAAGGATTGACGGGTCTCAGAAATAGCTACTCAGCAAGGGTTAAACAACTGACAAACAACGCTACACACACAGGCATTAGAGGGTTTTGCCGCCAAAACTGCTGCCGTAAAATTAATTCACCGCCGCGGCTTACATATGAAATCATCCAGTAGTCGCGACGCCGCCGTCTTCCATTAGAGAGCCACCAGTGGCGCAAATTACCAAAAGCGCTTTACAAAAATGTTAATGTTTTTAAAATTTTAATTTAGTGAATATCAAAGGTGTCGTGGTGTAGTTGGTTATCACGTCAGTCTAACACACTGAAGGTCTCCGGTTCGAGTCCGGGCGACGCCATTTTTTATTTTTAATTTTGTTTCTTTTGAAAATGCGTTTTACTATGCGAAATAATGAACAGAAAAACACGCTTTTCGGGTACAGCCTTATTGGAATACAACACAAATCAACTTCCTTTTCTGAGGGAGCTCAGAGATTTAAATTTCTAATAATCAATTGCATTTGTCCAGTAAGAAAAGCTATGAAATACGGACAAATTTTAATTTTGTTTCTTTCTTTTGAAAATGCGTTTTACTCTGCGAAATAATTAACAGAAAACAAGTTTATTGGGTACAGCCTTATTAGAATACAACACAAATCAACTCCCTTTCTGAGGGATATATATAGCACAGCTCAGAGATTTAAATTTCTAATAAATCAATTGTCCAGTAACAAAAGCTATGGAATATGGACAAAAATATATTTTGCAATATAGATCAAAAGCATTCCCCAAATCAACTTCCCTTTCTGAGGGATACTGTCCATAGAAGATTGGCATCCGATTCCACAGTTACTACTTCTCCTTTCACAACGTTTGATGTGCTGATCAGGCCACCAAAACTCATCTCTGTATCAGCTGCAACACGGCGCAAGAAAATGTCGATTCAATAAACGATGGAAAGATCGATCAAAACCCCGGATTGCATTCTTGCATGAATGAAACAACTGAGGGATCCTCACCTAGGTTCCACTGAAGCCCCGTCGTTCTGTTGCGCTTTGAAGGTCCGGTGATGGGAATGAGGCCACAATGTGGTCCTTCGACAGCAGATTGGATGTGGATCTCATGATGTTGACTGCTTGGTAGTAGTTGTATGAGGCAATCGTCGGATAAGAGGACAATTCGCATATGTGGGAATTTGCAGAGGACGTTGATATTTCCCATTTCATGGTCGAATCTTCCGCCAAGAGCTCCAGCAACGAGTATGCAAAGCTGAGAATCGAATTATCAGAACTAAATAAAATTTTAAACAGGGTATACAATAAGATCTGTCATGAGGTAGTGAAAGACATAACTTTGATGGTACAAAACAACGATGGTAAATAGCAACCCCAGAAATACACCGTAGAGTATCTTACCATGTGTTATTTTTATCATAAACCTTGTTCCAATGATGACAACAAGAGAAAATCTAAACATGCACATCAAAACTCAGTTTATAAACAACATTGCAAACTTACATTTTGGTTCTTCAGATTTGGCAGATCTTGAATATATAAGATGCATTTATGCAGATCAGTTGTGTCTTGATCATCAGAAGCATCAACTATCTTGGTTCCCTGTATTTACATTGCAAGAATAATATAAACAACATGATTCTCTAGCAAACTAAGCATTCGTTAAATTGCAGTCATTTACAATAGCATTGAAATAGGTAGATAACCATTCTTTAAGGTCCACAGTCATACTCATATAAAATTTTGAAGAAAAACAAAATGCTCGTTTCTACAACAAGGCAATGAAACAGTAGTGCTCCAAGCGAATTCAAAGAAACCAAATATCAAACTAGACTGCATGATCTAGAGCAACTTATAATTGAAAGGTATATTTTAATTAAAGCAGCTTGGATATTGACAATAAAATACACTCTGGGATAGCAATTTCATGTGATTTACTGTAAATTATGAAGTTCACTTAGCATAAAAACAAAGACAAAAACAGATTCTTTGTAAGTACTAAAACAAGTTAAAAGATTTGCAAAGTAAATAAGATGCAATGAACTTACCATATTTTTATATGATGTCAAAACCTCTTCTCTAATCGAATCCATGTCTCCTTTTATCACATCCGGAACGTGCCTGAATCATACAAGCTATATATAAGCACTACTTGTATGAGTGGTTCTTCCCAATCATATATCCTACAATGTGAAAAGGTTCATATTTGTCCAATTTATGGCTAAAAAGCTATTAACAGACAGAATCCAATAGACCATTAATCTACGTCACTTTACTTCTGGGAAAAAGCAAGAAAACCAAAACAAACTGCGCCAACACAGAAAATTAAAGGAGAGAGAGCAATAGAGATTCAGATTCTGAAGTAACAACAAAAAAATATGTGTGTCTGAGTGCAGATTTTGGAGAATCCAAAAACAGTAATATAGCTTAAAGAACAGTTTCAACAGAAATATGATTCTCTCTTTCCCTCGGTGTCTCTTCAATGTCTTAGCACTTCCGAAGCCATCAAACCACTGTTTTAAACACTACTATTCGAAAAACTAATTTTCCACCGGAAAGCAAATTGAAGCTTCTGCAAAGCCTAAAATTAGCGATCCCAAGCATCGCGACACTAAAATTACAAGAATACCTCTCACGAACAGCCAGAGCATCTTCACCGGGGAATAGCAACGGCAAATCATCATACAATCTATTGGCTCCACCGTCAGCACACACACGAAGCCGTGCTGCTCTACAAAAAAAGAAAAAAGTCTCACTAAACAGAATAAACCATAAAAGAAAAAAAGGAAAGGAAACCAAAATCGAAAAACAGCAGCACGGTGCATGAGTAATCAACCGTGCTTCCAGAGCGTGGGGATGAATCGTGGCAGGCGCTGGTTGAGGATGACGAGCGCGTACGTCGGCGAGGGGCCGTTGCTGTCGGCGGGCGGCGGGGGGAGGAGGAATGCCGACGAATGAGTCATCACTTCCATGGCTAACGCGCCGCGCAGCCACTCCGAATTCAGTCCGTTTTCCTTACGCGAGGGGCAAGACCTTCATGCTTTCGTCAATGGAAGAAGAAGACAAAATCAAAAAAATAAAAAAATTTAACAGAGATCGAATTTATGCCAGACGATTGATTCTACGGTCAACCTTCTCCAATTCCAACTCACACCTGTTTCAATCTATCACCGTGAATGGTGCGGGTTCGGGCACTGATTCGGGTTATATTCGACCCGACCCGATCGTTGTGGATTACTTGTATTGTATAGACCTTCATTGGATCGTGATTATAGGAATATTACCGAAAAGTCAGAATAATATCCAATTAAAATAACATTTATTTTTCTAAGTTATCTTTCTTGACCATTATTTTCAATTTATTACACCTACTACTCTATATTTAAAATTAACTCATTATTTGTATTAAATGATACTCTCTCAGTCCGACCGTAAAGTATACGTATTTTTATTTTAGGACGTCGAATTACAGAGTAACCATTTTATTAAATAATCCACTTTTTTTTTCACAAATACTCTTACTTTACATCACATCATTATTTTTATACCAAAAAGTAAGTAAAAATATCATTACACTACTTTTATATACCCACTAAATCAAAATACTATTATTTCTTAAACTCTCGTCGAAAAGTAAATGTATACTTATTGATTGGAAAAATGGAGTACTATATAATTACATAAAAGCTATAAAATAAATATATTCACCCTAAAATCATTAATATGTATATTAAAAAGGGAAAAAAATCACGAGGATGAAAATTTAAAACAAAAGTAAAAATAATTCAATTTTGTTTATATAAAGATTTTGAAAGTTTTAAAGTTTTAGATAATTATAGAAATAAAAATTTAATATAAAAATAAATAAATACTCCATCCGCGATATATTTTTTTAAATAAATAAAATTAAAATAATAAAATTAAGAGAAAACCCCACAAGTAAACAAAGCTTATTATTTTAACAATATATAAGAAATAATTTATATTTTATATATTCTTAATTTTGTCTCCTTATACATTCTTAAAAATATTTATTGTAAATTAAGAACAAATATTAGGTATTATATTTGATAAGCATATTTGTATAAGATGAAAATTTCTAAAATAATATAGAATTTAGCCAAAGATAAAAGAGGGAAGTATGAAATTATATTTGAGTAAACAAAAATAAAAATAAAAGTAAATTGTTAATTAATTAAGAATTATATATACCATAAATGAAAAATGATACAATACATATACATATAAGACGAAAAAAAGTACTAAAATTTGTAATATTATTACAAAAAAAAATAATAAAAAATACAAGAAATATATACTTACCTAACAAATTTTTCATGATACGATTTTTTATAAATATTAAAAAAATACATTATATACGTATACTCGCACAACACATAAATATATTTTATTTATTCATAAATAATTATAATTCAATTTAAAATATTACTATTTTTTTTATATTATTCACACACTTTTTATATCTAATTTAAAGATATATTACATTCAAAAATATAAATTTAACACGCTATTTATAGACAATGACACTATTAATTTTTTTTAAAAAAATCCACAATATATATATATTCAGATAATATCGCATCAAATATAATTTTTTATTATTATTTAAAACTTCTAAAATTCTTATAAAAAGCAAAACTATTGCAATTTCAATAATTAAAATTTAACAGCTCAAGCGAATTAATGGACCTAGAATTTCGAAGGCAAACCAAAAACCTCGGAAACGAAAGACGGCCTGTAACAAAAAGGTGACTTGGGAAAAAAAAAAAAAAAAAAAAAAATCAAAATCAAAATCAAAAGCCCAATTCATCTAACAAACGGACCCTTATCGCAATTCCACATCGCCAACTCCGCCTGCCTTCCTTCCTTCCTTCTTCTTCTGCCCTTCTTCATCTTAGTTCTATTGCCGATAAACCTCTAAAGCCCCTTTGATCCAATTCCAAATCATCGACCGATGGAGTACAACGAGGAGGAGAACGAGGCGGCGTCGAATCATGTACCGGAAGCGTCTGCAGGTTCTTCTGTACCTTCTTCGTTTCAATATGCAGATAATTATCGAAATTATGATTTATTGGATGAATCCGCTGTCACTGGTTTCGGTGGTGATGGTGATAGTATTAGTAGGAATGGTGTGAGGGGTGCTGCGTCGGAGGATGAGGATTATTTGAGTGGTGCGGAGGAGGATGGGGATGAGGAGGAGGAGGAGTTCTTAATGGCGTTGGATAAACCGGTTTTGGATGAGACTGTGGGAGAGATTGGTAGGGATAAGAAATTTGATTCCCATGGGGAGGGTGAACCTGGTGATGGTGGCGGTTTTGGGGAAGGGAATAAGGATGGTGAGGGATATGAGAATGATGTGAGGGAAATTGAGGAGGATAAGGTTGGTGGAAAACATGAGGTGCTTGATTCAGATAATGGAGTTGCAGAGACCATGGATGGTGATAACTCTGATAAGGAGAAACAGAGTGAATTACTTCCAGTGAGTAAGCCAGAAGAGGAGGAGAAGGTGATTTCTGAAGTGGCGGATGGGAAGGAGGGAGAAAGCAAATTACTGAATATCAGAGATGAGTTGAATGAGCCATTGGAGAAAGTAGTTTCTGAGGTTGCAGATGAGAAATTGGAGGCCTGTGAAGAGAGGGAACAGTTTCTGGTTAGGGATGAACTGAGTGAACCTCAGGAGAAGGTGGTTTCGGAGGTGGTGGTGGATGAACCCGAAGAATTTAAATCCGGCGAAGCAACTCTCATGCCTTCGGGGGATTCTGTTGTCGATACTATTCAGGTTGATGTGGTTTATCCTGGGGTGGCTGTTGTCGGGGAGACAGAAGAAAATGGCCATATGGATGATAAGCCGGCGGAGAAAGATATTTGTGAAGTGGCTGTGGCTAAATCTGCCTACGATGTTTTGGAGGAAGAAGAGATTGGGGAAGGTAAACTGTACAAGAGAAGTTCCGAACCTGTTGGTGAAACTAAGGATGAAAAGGATCAAAAGAATGAAAATTCAGAAGCTGGAGTTGGTGATGGATTGGAGAATGGAGTTCACACATCGGTCGTGGACGATGATCTGAAGAAACCCGGGGGGCTTGAGATTGGCGGAGTATTGAAATCAAATGGAGACGGGGATGATCATACAGTACTTAACCCGAGCAATGGTGAGAATGCTAATCTTGATGCACAAAACGATGGATCAGCTGAAGAAGTATCCGAGGAATCGAAACCTAGCCCTATTGAAATTAGAGAAGTGGATGAAGATTCAATATCGGATGGGGGCACTGATGACATTCTTGGGGGTTCCCAACCCGCCAAAAATCTCATCGATTCTGGTGAGGGTTCTCACACGGGGCCAGGTAGTTCAGTCGAGCAGTCGCCGGGGATCAATGGCCAAATTGTCACTGATTCAGAAGAAGATGGAGACAGTGACGATGGTGGAGATGGGAAGGAGATGTTCGATTCTGCCGCCTTGGAAGCACTTCTGAGGGCAGCAACTGGTTCCGAAACTGATAGTAACAGCATCAACATAACCTCTCGGGACGGATCTAGGCTTTTCACACTGGATCGTCCTGCAGGGCTTGGATCTTCGCATCAGTCTATGAGGCCTGCTCCTCGACAGTATAATCCCAACACTTTCAGTGTTGCAACTCATGCTACCGAGCAATCCGAGGAAAGTCTCAGCGACGCGGAGAAGAAGAAGCTCGAAAAGTTGCAACAGATCAGGGTGAAGTTCTTGAGGCTTGTTCATAGGTTAGGCCTTTCCATCGACGAAAATATGGCTGCACAGGTTTTATACCGTCTAGCGCTTCTTGGCGGGAGGTCAGGCAGTCGATTCTACAGCTTGGACGCTGCTAAGAACATGGCATTGCAGCTGGAAGAGGGCGGAAACGATTTAGACTTCTCCGTGAACATTCTGGTTATCGGAAAATCGGGAGCGGGAAAAAGTGCGACGATCAATTCACTATTCGGGGAGAAGAAGGCGTCTGTTGGTTTGTTCGAAACCGGGACAGCTTCCGCGCAACAGCTTTCTGGGATTATCAATGGAGTTAAGGTTAATGTGATCGACACGCCTGGTCTGAAGGCGTCTGCTCTAGAACAAAGTTCCAACAGCCGCGCATTATCTCCGGTGAAGAAGCTAACGAAGAAAAATCCCCTCGACGCCGTTATTTACATCGATCGATTGGATGCGCAGTCTAGGGGTCATAGCGATCTACCTCTCTTAAAGACTGTCAGCGAAACTCTCGGTTCTTCGATTTGGCGAAATGCCGTAATCGGGCTCACACATGCTGCCTCGGCGCCGCCGGATGGACCTTCGGGTACTCCTCTGAGCTATGACGTTTATGTTTCTCAAATGTCCCGTGTCGTCCAGCAGTACATTGGCCATGCTGCCGGCGATCTTCGAATGATGACGAATCCTGTGTCTCTGGTTGAGAATCATTCATCTTGTCGGAAGAACAGGGAAGGGCAGAAGATACTTCCTAACGGTCAGAGCTGGAGGCCTCAGTTGCTGCTGCTCTGCTATTCGATGAAGATTTTATCCGAAGCGAGCAACGTCGCGAAGCAACAGGAAGATACATTCGATCCCCGGAGGCTATTTGGTTTCCGAGCTCGATCTCCGCCTCTTCCTTACATGTTGTCTACAATGCTGATGTCTCGCCCGCACCCAAAGCTTCCTGATGGATTGGGTATCGATGTCGATTTGGATGATTTGTCAGATTCAGATTTCGAAGGAGAAGAAGAGGAAGACGAGTACGACCAGCTGCCGCCATTTAAGCCTCTTAAGAAAGCTCAAATAGCGAAGCTCAGCAAAGAACAAAAGCAGGCATACCTCGACGAGTACGATTACAGGGTGAAGCTTTTCGAGAAGAAGCAGTGGAAGGAAGAGATAAGAAAAGTGCGAGACAGTAAGAACAAACCGGAGGAGGAGGAATCAGAATCCGACGCCGGAGCTCCAGCTCCGATGGCAGTTATGCCTGAGATGGCTCTACCACTGTCGTTCGATGCCGACAGTACAACGTATAGATACCGTGGCCTGGAGCCTTCTTCGACCTTTATCGCAAGGGCGGTCTACGACAGCCATGGCTGGGACCATGACTGTGGCTACGATGGCGTCAATTTGGAGCACAATCTAGCAATCGCGAACCGCTTTCCAGCAGCATACACAGTTCAATTCTCGAAAGATAAGAAAAGGTTCAGTGTGAATCTAGATTCCTCGATTTCAGCCAAGCATGGGGAGAAGATCTCGACCATGGCAGGATTCGATGTGCAGGCAATTGGGAAGCAGCTTGCTTATATCCTAAGAGCCGAGACCAAATTGAGGAAGATTTTGAAGAGAAACAAACATGCAGGGGGAGTGTTCGTGACGTTCTTAGGGGAGAATGTGATCCCCGGCGTGAGGGTGGAGGATCAGATTTCTCTGGGGAAGGAGTACATGGCGGTGATCAGCGGAGGCGCCGTACGGTCGCAGCAGGACACCGCGTACGGCGGCAACGTGGAGGTGCAGCGGCGGGAGTTTGAGGAAACTCCGGCGGGGCAGGTGCAGTCGAGTTTGAGCTTATCGGTGGTTAAGTGGAGAGGAGATTTGGCTTTGGGGTTCAATGGGGTGATGCAGTTGTCGTTGGGGCGTAATACGAAGGTTGCTGTTCGAGCGGGGGTTAATAACAAGATGAGCGGTCACGTGACGGTGAGGACGAGCAGCTCCGACCATCTTTCGCTGGCGGTGGCGGCCATTGTTCCGACGCTGAGGTACATCTACAGTAAGTTTTGGGTTGGGGAGGACAGGTACTCGATTTACTAGTTTTTGTTTTTGTTCTTGGTTTCGTTTCGTTTTCTTCTTTCCGATTGGACTGAGGCTGAGGTGCAGCGTTCTTCATCTTTGGATTTTTGATTTTTTCTTTTTTCCAGTAATAATAATCTTAAATTTCACTGCCTTGTTCTTGATCAAATTTTGACAATGACGGTGGTTGGGAATAATAAAGTATAAGGGTGGAAAGTTACTCCACCTGTTTAAATTACAAGTCCAATTTTTTATTTTTTTTTTATGATATCAGGGTATGAGCTCGGGATACAAGAGTGTGCTCATATTGAGTTCGAGATACAAAAGTGCCCATATTATGAATTTTTTGATATTTGATTCCTCCAAAGAACAGTCAGCTAAATCACACTACTAGACGAATTATATATAGACGTCAATTTGAATCCAGGTCGATCCAGTTCAACTGTAACTAATTTCACTAATCACCAATTCATTTTAAAAATTAATTAAAAATCGGAATCTTTTCTTAACAGTATCATAATTATGTACTTATCTTTTATAACGACCCCCCACTCTTTTTGGCTTATAAAGTAGAGGTTTAGTTCAACTGTAACTAATTTCCCTTATCACCGATTAATTTTAAAAATTAATTGAAAATCCGGATCCTTTCTTGACAATATCATAATTATGTATTTATCTTTTATTGCAACTTGCAAGCCATATCATATATCATATGCATACACTCACTAGAAAAGGAAATCACAAAGTTTGATTTGGCACACATTAGCTAGTTAGACTTGGTTCCGGTGGTCCAGAGAAGCCTAACATTGACAACAGAAACAAGCAGAGCCCAAACTAAGCAGACCGTGGACAAATCCCCGGCAGTCCGGTTCATGCTCCTGAACACACGCGTGCAACCCACCAGAGACCCGATCAGTGCGCCGCACAGAACCAACCCGACCCGAAAAGCCCCCGCCCCGAACACAATCGGGTACCACCCGAGGCTCAGCGCCATCTGGGCCAGGTAGAGGATCGATGCGCTGGGCCGGCGGTGGAATCCACCTTCGGCCCAAACAAGCCATGCGGAGAGGCCCAACACGGCGGAAGTCGCCAAACAGGCCCCGTGCAGGGCCCAAAGTGGCGGGAAGTAGAACGGTTTGCGGCGGGTCGACCCGAAGAAAAAGATGTCGAGTAGGGTCAGACCCACCGGGACTGCGACGGCGACGCTTAGCGACCGGAGCCCCCGCCGCGCCGCTGTGCCGGTTTTTCTTTGTTTTGTGGAGGGTTGAGGTTCTGGTTGGGTTTCTTGGTGGTGCTTTGGCCTGAGCTTGATGTCTTGGGAAGCCATGAAGGGTTTTTTCTTGGGTGGGAATGGATGGATTGGACAGAGAGTTTCAGGGTAGAGAATTTAGACAGCGGCGATTTATATTAATCTAGGCGGCGGCCACGCGGCGGAAGGGGGTGAATTGTGTACACGTGGACGAATTCAGTGCAGTGACATGGCCCACACTGTGTGAAATGGTACACGGCAGTACGTATGTCCTAGTTCTATCCTATCCTCTTTTTCTTCTTTTCTACTCAAACGCAGATATAATAATACTCTTTCCTCCAGAGGAAATCGATGCGTTTGGGTCTACAAATTTCCGAACGAAGAATTTTTAATTTTATTTATTATATATACAATATAAAATCAAAAGATAATAAAACTTCTTATATATGTAAACTAATGAATAGAATACTATTATTGTAAAATAAATATATATTATTTTATCCTTTTTATTTGTTTAATTCAAAATAATTTACTTTATTTAAATTAAAAATAATTAAATTTAAATACTAATTTTTTTTTATTTTTACAAAGTAAAAATTTTGTTTATACTTAAAAAGATAAAAATATTAAATAATCTTATAACTAATAAAATACTTTTATTCTTTAATATATACTTAAAAAAAAAAGTAAAACAAACTAACAGTAAATTAATAAATCAATTATCTAATCACTAGTGGGTTGATTTTTCAATTTTTAACAGTTGATTTAGAAGAATAATCAACTGTGATGTCAGTGATGATGATACTCTGCCTATCGGTTATGGATAGTTTCTTAAACGACCTCTAATGAAACAAACAATTATATATATATATATATATATTCTTCTTCTGATTTGGTTTAATCCAACGAAACAATATAACAGCGAATACAAAATTTGTTCGTATTCTAGATCCAATTTTGGCATCAAAGAGTGAGAGAAGATACTCAACTATTTCATCTTCTGATCTCTGGTTCTAATTGATTGCTCCAACTAACCGTATGCATTAACTATTACTATATACGCACACTTTCCTATATTATATACACACACTTTCCTACGCCATCACTCAACTTCAGATCATTAATTTTCTTACTGCAAAACTGCAGAAGCAGAGCAAATTAATGAACGGAGTGATGCGAGATCGTACAACGGAATTGAATGAAGAGCACCAAAATTTCTATAACGTGTCAGTCTGTCTACGTTTGTAACGTGTGTGTTAATAATATCTGAATATAGCCTATTTGCTAATCGCTTGCTATCATAAACGTTAAACACAACAAATTTGACTGCTATTTATGTAGCACTTGCACATGAAATTCAGTTGAATCCAGAGAATAGCTCGAGAAGTTCTATAAGATAATCTGAGAATCAGCTACGTCTGAAAAACAATATATATCTATAAAAACAAGTTATGATAGATAGCATCGATCGAAGAAGAACGAATTGCGCAACTTAAACACAAACCAGACCAGAGTGCATAAATTGGATTTTTCAAACGTGAAAAATCAATTTAGTGCAGTAATCTCTACCAAATTATCATACATACATACAAGTATATTGTGATTTTCGAGAGGCAATAAAACAGTAAATAAAACACACACAATTAGCTTCGGCACTGTGTTGCGGCAGAACACGATCGAGTGTAGGGATTAGCTTCCGCACCTGGTCGACAATTGTAGTACGACGCTCCTCGCCTGGAGCAGGGGACGGTGTTCGCCTGCAGCGCACCGTAGCTAATGTACTGACTCGTCGCTAATATGCGGCGGTTACTTTCCGAAGACATATCGAACTCACCGTCGGCCATGCACTCCGCGATAGAGCCTTGACAAGTCGCCGGCTTACTGATCGGCATCCAGGCAAATTCTCCGCCGGCGGAGGCTGTGGCGGTGAAGAGAACGGCCAGAAACACGGTAGCGACGAGGATCCGTTTCGCCATTCGTCTCTCGATTCAAAACGCAGCGCGCTGAAAAAACGTGAACTAAGGGAACCAATGGCCGTCCTGCTCATTTAAGTAACGCAAAAATTGATAAATTAACCCTGAAATCCTCTTTATTTACCAAATTGCCACTGCCCATTCAATTAATATAATACAGTACTAATATAGCCTCATTTTTTTAATCATTAATAAATCATTTTACATTTTCAAAAGCCTTTCCCACAATAAAATAATAATAATTCTACACACCAAAAACAAAATCATTTAGAATATTGCTACAAATTTCAATATTAGTTAGCAATAATATTAGGTAGGTATGAAACTCCATAGTGGAGACCATGTTAGTCACATATCACAAAAGAATATATATATATTTATTAAATTATAAGCTGCATTAATCATACAAATTGAGAATATTAAGCAGAATACAGTTCACAAATCAAAGCAGTATTCCAAATATATTTTAACAATTAATGTATAGCTGTCTAATTAAGTTTATTGCCTTATTAAATTATATAAAAATAATTGTGGAGGTTTGAATTCTTCAATTTGTGTATTGTATTTGTTGCTCAACAACCATGAGCAGTTAGTTGGGCAGTCATAATCTTGAATTATTAAAATAATATTCATATTAATATACCCTTAAACAAGAATTAGGGTTCATATATCTCATAATTAAATAAAATAATAACAATAATAGATGAATTGAATTCGTAAAAAGCGCTGATTTCAAAGCGCGTTTTCATTGTCGTCAAGACGTTGGATCCATCACGCTTTCAGTACCTACCGTGGAAAATGATGCTCTTTTTTTTAATTTCTGTATTAATTAACACTTACTATTTAATATACTTTCAAACAACTGTTTTTAGAGGTTAGCAAATACTTAATTGTAATTGTTTTTTTAAAATGTAATATAAAAAGTAATTTTCTATCATAACTAACTAATATATACTACCTCACTGTAGATACTAGAATTTATGATAAAAATATATTAGTGAAAATAATTAACTTATAATAGAAATCATTATATATTAAAATTAAAATAGCTAATTATTTTAATTAAAATTATAAAATTTAAAATAAAATTAAAATGGGTAATTATTTTTCGAAAAAAGAAAGTGACATATGAGATGTAAGACGGACATAAATCACAACGTGCAGATGCTAAGTGGGATGGAGTGATTATTTAATACTATATCAATATTTTGTTTGCTTGTTTTTATTTTTGTTACCATAGTTTTAGATGATAGAATTTTGAATTTTTTTATTATTTTATTTAATATTGTTTTGGTGTATTGACCAATAGATTGTTACAGCTATCACATTTTTTTTAAAAAAAAAAAAGAAAAAAAAATCAATTTGCTGTTTTAATATTTTATTTTATTTTATTTATATTATTGATCGGTTAGATTTCAGAGTCAGAGCTGAATGGTAAATGGGTTGGGCTGATGCATAAATTAATTTTGGAATGGACTTAGAATAGGGCCCAATTTATGGTTACTTTATACTGCAATTCGACTACCGGTTATGACAAGGCTATTTCTTTGCCATTTGACTTTATTATTATTATTACTCCCTCCACCCCGCATAATAAGTCCTTCCTATTTCTGTCCGTCCCATATACTATGTCACTTTTTTTTTTGGAAAATAATTACACATTTTAATCTCATTTTAAATTTTTTTTTTATTTTAATTAAACTAATTAGTTATCTTAATCTTAATTTATAATTATTTATATTATAAAATAATTATTTTCACTGATACATTCTTAATTATCTACTAATTACATCCCTTCTAGAATACAATATCTACAGTGTAGCAGACACGGTATATGAGACGGAGGGAGTATTTTATAATTAGATAACAATACTATTATATGTGATAAAAATAATTATTAACATCAAAGCAAAGCTGTCTAACCCTAATTACATTGACCTTAAAATTGAATGGCATAAAACGTACAACTGGAAGGAAGAGTAATTAATTTACATACATACAATTAATATTTGGACTTTTTTTTGGTTTCAATATGTATTTTTAGGGTTTATATATATATATATAATAGATTTATATAATTTGAATTAATTTTCAAAACTTTTAAAAATTTCAAAAAGATATTCAATATAAAAAATTTTAAAAAATATTTATGAATTTTAATACTAATCTTATTTTAATTCCTTTATAAAAATATTGATGAACTATACCCCAAAATCTAGTATTTAAGAATTTTACAAATACCTATACAAAAACATCGGTACATTCAATGGAATGTATATTTTCTTTGATAAAAAAATAAAGTTGAACCAACGTTCGTGGTTAAAAATATATTAAAATTGAACTGTGAAAAAATTGATTTCGATAATGATTTATTGGTCAATTTTAGTTGCATTTATCACATATATTTGCATGCCTTGATATTTGATGATTTTATTTGGCTCCTTATATTTATTTGCACCAATAGTTTGAGAACCAAAGTTTATAAATAAAATTCATTTAAATCAATACAAAAATAGTACATTATGTAATTTTATTAATGCAATAAAAATTCATATCAGTTAATAAATAATCATATCAATTATACTATGAAAATTCTTGTAAATTGATAAGAAATGTACACAAATCTTTTAAATAAAAAATTAATACAATCTCAAGTGAATACACATAGATTTCTATTCAATCTCACCTCCTGAGCTTTTTGTTACTATAAAATGATCAATTTCATTTATAGCATTTTCAAAAAAAATAAATAAATTACTATTTGTCAAAAATTTTCTTTTAAAAATATCAAATCAAATCAAATTAAATATATATTTTTTATTTTTTCATATAATACTAAAAATTAATTTTACATTCAAAATATTATTTTAATACTTATTTATTTCACATGATACAACTATTTCATTGAAAAACTATACTATTAAAATCTCAAACTAAAATTTAAATTCCCAAACAAACACATATAAGAGAAAAAGAAAGAGAAAGACAATGGAGGAAATCATATATGAGCACCATTGAAATTTGAATTGAGTAATATTTGATGGATGAGCAAAGTAAAGCCTTCATATCTATGGGTGTGCTATATGAAAATAAAAATAGAGGAATAAAAACAATAGTATATTTTTCTTTATTTATTTAAGTTATAAATTTAAAATTAAATAATGGATGACTTTAAAAACAATAATTAATATTTTATTAATTTCTATTTCACTGAAATTCCTTTTTGTCTGATTAATTTATTTTTATTTTCATTCATAATACATCATCTTCTTTAAATCAAATTCATTGTCGTTTATATACCTATATCTATATATATATTAAAACTATTTTTTGTTATTTTACTAAATAAATAAATCAATTATCATTTTTTTATTGATTTTTTTTTTTTTTTTGCAATTCTATTTTATTTTATTATTATTATTTAAATATAATGTTATTTTGTTTGCCAAGCGCATTCTACTCTGCCATGTGTATGTATATATATATATATATATGTATATATGAATGCATGATTTTCATGTACGATCCAATTTCTTACAATGATCAATTTTGCATCACCATCGTCCATCAGCCAGCTTAGGTTAGAGTACACCACATCCGTACGGAGCACTCTCAGACAAACACACATAGTATTATTATTATTATTATTATTATTTTTATTATAGTAACTCAATATTCAAAAGTGCACACTAGATAAATCTTCGATCGAATCTAATACCTTATAAATTAAATTCAGTAAAACAAATCACATTAGACAAACAATGTATAATAGGTGATCTAAAATTTAAATCCATGACTTCGCAGTCACGAAATTACTCTATATTATCATACCATTATTATTATTATTATTATTGGTATAGTGAGTGGAGGACAAGACAAGGAAAGGAAGCTGCACGCGAGAGATTGCATTTGCGTCATCATCCATTCTCCATAATTGTTGTCCACGTGAATTACAACAATCCCATTTTAAATTTTTCGGACTTTTCAACAAAATTTGGTTAGTCCATCTCCAACCCTCCATTCTATTTTTGCAGTTGGTACAGTAAAAATGAAGTTAATTTACAGTAATTTTATTTCAACCATAAATTCCAATTTTTATTCTAAAATGTATATTTCCTATATATTCATCCTTTATATTATTTTATTTAACTTTTTATATTTATAAATTATACCACAACTTTAATTTATTTTTATATTAGATTCATACACATATAATTTATATTTTTTAAAAAAATTACATATATAAAAATTAACATTTATAATTAATAACTATTACAAATAAAATAATTTTAAATAAATAAATAAATGCTATCAAGACAAATATGATACAATAATTAAACAAAGATAACATAATATTATTATTTCATAACAATTTATTACAAAAAGATAAAATTACATATCACTTTTAAAAAAATAAAAATTATATCACTTTTCAAACAGTAAAATTATATATCAATTTAAAAAATAAAATTATATATTACTTTTCAAAAATTAAAATTGTATCACTTTTAAAAAATAAAATTATACATTATTTTTCAAAGAAAAATAAAATTACATACAATTTTTTAAAATATAAAATTATATATCATCTACTAAAAAATTAAAATTACACAATCCATCTAAAAAATACCAAAAATATAAAAAACACCACAAAAACTCTACTATATTTTTGGAATGGACTCACCGTTACTCTATTTTTGGAGTAACACTACGACTCACTGCATAAATGCAGTGGGTTGGAGATGACCTTAGTAATACAATAATAAATAAAAAAATTAATTATTGATTTACAATTTAAATTAATCATTTTAATTGTATTGAACTTTAATTAATTGGATAGTGCTGATATTTCAAGATTTAAACGAAACATTTTTTTTTAATTAATCGGATAATGATAACACTTTTTACATTTTAAATAGAGCAATTTTTTATTTTTTTAAATAGCAACATATTTATTAAATTATATAAAAAAAAATGTTAAATAAAATCACCGGACACATAATCATATGTAATGAATCTTAAATTAGAATTATAAATTTCAGCATTGCATCCGCAAGAACTATTATATATTTAATTTACCTTATTTATTTGTTGACGACGTAGATCAGCTGCTATTCGAAAGTACACGCCGAATAAATCTCTGATCGAATTTATTATTTTGCAAACTATGACCGATAGACAAATTACATTACACGAACCAATTGTAACTAAATAATATGAAAAGTTGGGATTTAAAATTATTATTATTATTATTATTATGTTAGCTAATGAGTAGGATGTGGCGACAAGTGTCCAAATACATCTGCTTCTGTCCTGCGTCACTACACACCAACAACTGCTTGCTTTCCCTTGTGTGTGTCACTATCTCTGTCTTTTTTATTTTCTTTTTCATTTAAAAAAAGAAGCTTTTCAACGTTTTTTTCGTTTTGTTTTGTTTTTAATATCATACTATTCAATATTTTCAAAATTCATGTAAATAAGTATTTTTTGTTTGTTATTATTATTTTGTTAAAATAACATAAAAAATAAACTCTTTGATAATCTGAAAATGAGATAAAATAAAATAAAATATAAAATACGAGGCATGTGGTACAATCCAATGTGCCTAAAATACCCTTCTCCCCTTAAATTATAATTAGTTGTTCACCATATACACAAACTAAAGGTTGTTGGTGGCCAGGGAAGAAACCTCCTCTTGTTCTTAATATGAACTACACGTCACACAAACATACAAACATTATTGTCGTGCATGGGAATTAATTAAAGGCATGTACTATACTTACATAAAGGAATGAGGTACAATATTATCCTATTTATTTATTATTTTCTAATGCTTTTCTCCACTCAACAAAAGAGTGAGTAGGTGCATGCATGATGATGATGATGATGATGATCTGATATATAATACTCCTTCCGTCCCAGATACTATGTCCACGTTGGCGTTTCTATCCGTCCCATATATCATGTCACTTTCCTTTTTTGGAAAATGATTATGCACTTTAATCTCATTTTAAATTTTTAAATTTGATTTTTTAAAATTTTTAATTAAACTAATTAGTTATCTTAATCTTAATTTATAATTATTTATATTATAAGATAATTATTTTCACTAATACATTCTTAATTATCTACTAATTATACCCCTCATAAAATATCGTGTTTACAGTCTAGCAGACACGGTATCTCGAATAGAGAGAATAATAATAATAATAATAATAATAATAATAATAATAATAATAATAATAATAATATATATATATATATATATGCCTTTTACTATGGATCATTGATTTTTATGTGGCGAACCACTGCTGCTTGTCTTTTTACGAATTTCATTATTTTCTTTATTTATTCTATTCTATTTTCTTCCTTTCCCATTTCCATTCCCACGACAATCTATAGTGTAGTTAAGTTGTTTTTAATTAATTTTATAATGATAATGACTTATTACAAAATTAATTATTTTCCTTGACGAAATGAATTAAAAATATAAATTACCAGATAAGGACTAGCTAGATTATATTGCTATATATATATGTAAGTATTACAAATTAATCCTGATTGGCTAAATATTAACATACATACATATATATATATATATCCCAAATGTACTTTATTGTATATTACTTGTGAATGAAACATTGAGAAACTCCACACCACACAATAATTTGGTTGGGATAACACAACATGTAAAGTAAGTAGGGTCTAAAAAAGAGGCCATATTTTTCTAATTTCATTTTCTTTTCTAAATAAAACGCATGCATCAGATGCTGTCTGTCTACAATTGTTCAATCTTTTTTTTTTTTTTTTTAAAAAAAAGTGGATATAAGGTTTAATTTAATGCTATATCTATATATATATATTATAATATTTTTAAAATAAATTTAAAATCGATAGATATATCTAATTAAATTAATTTATCAATCGATCGATCATGTACACCAACAAAGAAGTCAATTACTATTTAATTATTACATAATCTCTCTTTCAAATAAATAAATCTCAATAGATATATATATACATATTATTTGTGGAAGAAATGATTTATATATATAGATATATATGTATGTTGCATGTGAGTAAAGGACAGAATACAACGAGTGATCTCATCTCATTTAGATTATCTAGATATCTCTTTTTGCTGTCTTGTGTCACTACCACCTTTTTTTTTTTTTTTTTTTTTAAATAAAAAATAAAAAATTAATGGACAGTGGTGTGGATAGGGATGGATATGGATGGACTAGGTAGCAACCAATTATCACCTCCAAAACAGAAAACCCACTGTATATGCACTATATATATATATCATTTTAATGAATTAATTTATTATATTATCATTTTAAATTATTATTTTGTTCTTTTATATATATGGAACTCCTGTTTGGCTCTCAAACTATTCAGACAGACGACAGGCAAGAAAAGAAAAAAGAAAAAGAAAACTAACAAGTACATTTGAAGTACGATCGAGGTGCAGCATTAGGGTTTTTATCCATATTGCTGATGATCAACTACCTAGCCAGCTAACAGTTTCGACTTCCTTTTTCCATTACATACATTTGATTTATTACTTATTTTCTTGTTGGGTTGGGTAATGGATGGGAAGAAATTGGAGTACAAAGGGGTGGAAGCCTTGAAGGAGCTGGAAAGACTCACCATTAAAGCTGGGGAAGTTCAAGAACAGATCTTGACACAGATCCTCTCACAGAATTGCCACACTCACTATTTGTCCAAATACTATAATAATAATAATAATTGTTGTAATAATAAGCTGCAGCTGTCTCATGATCTGTTTAAGAAAAATGTCCCTCTTGTTACGTATAAGGATATCTACCCTTACATTCTCAGAATTGCTAATGGAGACGATGACTCCAATCTCCTCACTGCACACCCCATCACTGAAATGCTCTCCAGGTCTGCCTGTCATCTACATATCGTCTTCTTAATTGATTAATTAGGGTTTCTATCTGCATGTTCATTAATTAAAAAGGTTTTGAATTTGATTTGATTTGAGGATTTTGTGCAGCTCGGGAACGTCCGCCGGAGAGCCCAAATTGATGCCCTCCATTGCAGAAGACCTTGATCGTCGTACCTTCGTCTACAACCTCATCATGCCTATAATCAACCAGTATATATATATATATATATATCATGTTCATTGATTTAATTATAATTTTTACTAATTGGGTATAATTAATTAATTATGTGTAAGTACAGGTACGTGGATGGGCTGGATGAGGGGAAAGCAATGTATCTCTACTTCGTGAAAGCAGAAACATCGACGGCGTGCGGAATTCCGGCGAGGACCGTACTGACGAGCTACTATAAAAGCTCGCACTTTAAGCACCGCCCGCACGATCCCTTCAACGATTTCACGAGCTCCGACGCCGCCATTCTCTGCCACGACAGCGACCAGAGCATGTACTGCCAGCTGCTCGCCGGACTCATCCACCGCCGCCGCGTCCTCCGCCTCGGAGCAGTCTTCGCTTCCGCGCTCCTCCGCGCAATCTCCTTCCTCGAGCGCCACTGGCGAGAATTTTGCCGCGACATTCGCGCCGGAGAACTTTCAGTCGGCGTCTCCGACGCCGCTTGCAGACTGGCGATGGCGGATCTCCTCCGACGGCCCGACCCGGACGCGGCGGATGAGATTGAAAACATCTGCCGGCAATCGTGGAAGGGGATCGTGTGCCGGCTGTGGCCCAACGCTAAGTACATTGAGGCGGTGGTGACGGGGTCGATGTCGCAGTACGTGCCGGCGCTGAAGTTCTACAGCGACGACCGGCTGCCGTTGGTCTGTCCGATGTACGCCTCGTCGGAATGCTACTTTGGGGTCAATCTGAAGCCGCTTTGCCCCCCGTCGGAGGTTTCGTTCACCCTGCTGCCGAACATGGCCTACTTTGAGTTCTTACCGTTGGCAGAAGACGGCAAACTGTGGATGGCTTTCGAAGACGATGACGACACCGAAAACGACAACGAAACGGCGCCGTTTAGTAATAATACCGAAAGGGCGCCGTTTAAAAACAATAACGAAACGACGCCGTTTAATAAAAAAGAGGCGGCGCCGTTTAATAGTAAGCTCGTGGATCTCGTCAATGTAAAAGTCGGTTGCTACTACGAGCTCGTCGTCACCACATTTTCCGGTGAGTCGCGCCTCCGTCCGAGTCAAATAACCGCCAATTTATACCTAAATCGTTGAAATTGATCAGTAATTTCGTAATTAGGTTTGTACCGGTACCGAATCGGCGACGTACTGCAAGTGACCGGATTCCACAACGAGGCGCCGCAGTTCCGGTTCATCTGCCGGCGGAATGTGGTCCTGAGCATCGACTGCGAGAAGACGAACGAAGAAGATCTCCACCGCAGCATCACGGCTGCGGCGAAGAGCTTCCTGGAGCCGCGCGGCGCTCTGCTGGTGGAGTACACCAGCTACGCCGACGCGACCTCCGTCCCCGGCCACTACGTTCTGTTCTGGGAGATCAAAAGCACAGTCGCCGGCACTAATCTAGCGGCGTGGGTGCTGAACGAGTGCTGCATCGCGGTGGAGGAAGGGCTTGACTACGTGTACCGGCGGTGCCGGACGAACGACAAGTCGGTGGGGCCGTTGGAAATCCGGTGGGTGAAGGGTGGAACCTTCGAGAAGCTTATGGATCTGTCGATTGCTCAAGGAGGAGCATCCATTAATCAGTACAAAACTCCCAGGTGTGTTAAGTCCAAAGCTTTTCTCAAGCTGCTCAATGCTAATGTGAGTGAGTCTTATTTCAGTCCCAGAGATCCTGTTTGGAATCCCTGAAATCACTCTTAGATTAATTGAATAATTTGATTTTGATGATGATGATTGGGAGGAGAATCATTGATTAGTAGTAAATCCAGGTTTATGTTATTTATGAAATGATTCTCGATCATATTTGTGCAAGATCAGAAAATGGAGTAATACTTAAATCGATCAATTTTGCACGTTGATGATGCTGTTTTATACATTGTTACGTTTTCACAGAAATATCACAATACATACATAGATACATACAAACACCTTATTGAATTTGCACTTTGATCTGCTGTTTTGGATCAAATTTATAATTGAATGTTGATCAAGTGTGGCTCCAAGAGCTCAAGAACATGATAGTTCTCATGGGATCTTCACGATATCTGTACTTTGGTCGTTCGTTGTCTCTCTTGCAAGGTTGTCGGAGCTTCCTTTCCGGTGTAGTCTTGGAGTCTTGCAGGGCGACGGAGCTGTCGCCGGAGAAGCTGTTCTGAGACTTCATCTTTTGATAAGTTATTTATTTTTTTATTAATTGTTAATATTACTTTCTTCTTTTCTTCTCCTCGTCTGTTTGCTAAACAAACAAAGATATTGGAAGGTGCTTTAATGGGAGTGGAGGCCAAATTTATAGAGGGAGTGGAGTGATGATGATAGTGATAAGAGGGTAGTAAAGGGATGGTGATGATAAATTGATAACTGGAATGTTAGTGTGAAATGAATAGGAAGGGTATATAGAACAGTGCAGATTATTCTGATCTGATCTGCTTATTGTCTGATGATGATGATGATTCGGTGGTAGAAAAGATATACATATATTCTTGTGGTCTCCTTGCGGAATCTTATCCAATCTTTGTCCTGTGGGTGTGCAACTGTGTATCTTTTCCCATGTTGTAAGAAGAATATTATTATTACAATGCGAGCTAAGGACATCAGACAGACATGATGTGAAACCAGAGCATATATTCCATTTTTCCAGCTTTCGACAATGGTGAATTGGGATAATAAGGAATAAAGGGTGAAACGAAAGGAAAAATATCAATAATAACAATAATATTGTATTAAAAGAAAGATCTCACGACAAATGGCAACAGAATAGAATGAGATCCTCCTAACTCTATGGCTCTGGAATTAATATATTATGGGATCCTCACTATGTTTTTTGGCCCACCATTTCCAATTACACATATATGGGCCTATAACTCGATAATGGGCGTGGCCCATGCAACAAGGTACATCAAGAGCAATATAACTTTACAACCAATAAATTATTTAATCTATATATTACATATAATTCTATACAACATCAAAAGCGCATCTGGTGTAGTGGTATCATAGTACCCTCCCACGGTACTGACCGGGGTTCGATTCCCCGGATGCGCAGATTTTTTGAATTTATTATTTTCTTTCTAATTTCTTAATTAATTAATTATTATTATTATTATTAAAGACTGCCGACAGCAACAAAAAAAAATAAAAATATACATATAAGGCTCAGCCCAATACATTTATTTGCGAAATGGCCCGAAGGCAGAGTCACATTAAACGACTCACTCACGCAGCTTGGCTTTTGAGGCCGAAAACGGCCTGCCACGCAGGCCTGGCAAGGATCGTCTCGCACCACGCGCTCACGCGCGGGCGAGAATCGAACACAGCCTTGGCTCGAGTCCCCATCAAGTAACCCAAGGTCGGAAGATGGTTGAGATCCGCCAGGGAGAAGGAGGCGCCGCCGAGGAAAGGACTCTTCTCCAGGCGAGCCTCGTACACATCCAGAACCTTACCCAACGCACCTTCCTGCTCTTCCACCACCGCATCGTCCGTCGTCAGTTTCAGAAACGGCTTGATGCACAGCTCAAAGGTTAATTTCGCAGCTATAGGATCGTACTTATGAGCCTCAACTTCCATCCACACTAACTCAGTCGCCATTGCTTTCGGATCCTTGGATAGCAGAGGAACTCCCACGCCGGCATACGCCTCCGAAATGTACTTATTAATCGCTCTCGATTCTGCAACAGTAATTTTTTAAATCACATCAACAACAACAGAAGCGGTTATCAATTCGATCTAATTGATTAAGATCTGTTCACAGAGCAGTTGCGCTCACCGAAGAGCACGAGATCTCCGTCTTCGAACGCAGGCACCTGACCGAACGGCTGCAGAGATCGAGGAACACACACACAATTAAAGCTAAAAACAAAGGCGATTCCTCAATTACACAATATCTAGGGTTCAGAGCCTTACATTGAGGGAGAGGAACGGCTGCTGTTTGTGGTGGCCTTCTGCCATGTTTACAGGCGCTAGCTCAAACTGCAGACCTTTTTCAGTCAGCGCAGCCGTGACTCTCATGGTTGCAGTTGAAACGCGGCTGCCGTGGACTTTGATCGCCATTGAAATCGACTCTGCTGCTCTGGTTTGCTCTGAAATGCTTCTGTATGTGTAATGGTCTGATCCAAACCGTCCATTTTATAGGTGAAATTAGAAAGGCGGTTTAGGCTTAATTACCGTTTACAAGTGGGGATTATAGGGATGCATAATAGTAAAAAATAATTAATTTCAATAAATTATTGTAATTTTTTTCTTTATATATAGATAATCAGAATTGTCTATTGTTGACCGTTGGATTGGACAGCAAGTTAGAAAGTAATTACTGATTCGATAATATTATTTCCTTCAATTTAGGTAGGAAAGCTGATAATTAAATTATTATGAAAATTGAAATTATATCATGGAGGTATATTATTAACGCATTGGCTAATTAGCAAATTTCCTACCTACTTGATTACATCATTTTCCTTTTTTTTTTCTTACCTATTTTGTGGAAATCAAAATATATTTTCTTATCTATATTATACTTCCCTGCGTCTCATGTACCGTGTGTCTCTGCTATATTGTAGACACAAAATTTTAGGAGAGATGTAATTAGTAATAATTAAAAATGTATTAGTAAAAATAATTATTTTATAATATAAATAATCATAAATTAAGATTAAATAACTAATTAGTTTAATTAAAATTAAAAAAATAAAATTTAAAAATTTAAAATGAGATTAAAGTGCGTAATTATTTTCTAAATAAAGAAAGTAACATGGTACGTGGGACGGACAGAACTGACAACGTGGATATAGTATCTGGAACGGATGGAGTATATTTTTGTTATCCTAATTATTTATTATTATTAATTTTTTATGATGTGAAATTCTAGTTGATACTGGAAACTTCCAATTAAACAAGTAGAAAAAAATTTGGATATGGTGCGTCGTGTGAGATGACTACGCTAAACGTGATATGAATGCACGCAGGCCCACCTTACTTGTATAAGTAAGCATGACGTAGGCAGTGAGGTCAGCCTTTCTGGTTATGACCGGGGTCGGCCTTTGACGTTATTATGGATTTGTTTTGCTATTATTTTAAATTAAAATTAATATTCTTCATTATTTTATAATTTTTTAATAAAAATATAGTATTATTTTAAAAAAATATTATATAAATAAAAATTTAAATTAACATTATATTTTAAATTAATTTAAAACTAACTAAACAAACTCTATATTATTATTATATTAAAACGGATAATTAATCATATATATGATTAATTAAATATTAAGAATAATCACATTTTTACACGCATTTTCATATTATATTGATTCTTTTAATAAATACATTTTTTGTAAAAATATTATATATCTATTTTATACTTAAACAAGTATTGGTTACTTAAAAATCTTGTTGTTTGTTTGATCTTGTATCGAAATTGATGTTATAATTATAATTTTAGGTTCAATCGACAAACCACAATTTACAAATAAGAATATCATAATATAAAAAATAATATTTTATGTTAAATATTTGTAAAAACAAATTGCCACCAAACAAACCCTAAATTGATTAGCATGAAAATTTGCTCATATATTTAAGAAAATTTTATATTGAAATTTTTTAAATTTACTTAACAACGAATAGTATTATTTTATTAACTGATTACTATAGTAACAAATGACATTGTAAAATATTACTCTAACAAATTTATTATATAAAAATATTTATAAAAAAAATTTATTTTGATAAGAATTTGAATGACAATATAACAAAATTTATTTAATTTAATGAATCAATCACAAACCACACAATAAAATATGTAATTATTTGAATAAAATAATAAAAAAGTAAGAATCAAAATTAATTAACGACCACAATAAAAATAAACCAATAAAAGTTAACTTATTAGTGCACTACCTTCTCTACTTAAAAATGCCTATCTACAAAATCATTAACAGTGGAAAAGGAATAAAAAAGAGATCAAAAAATATATTTACTACTAATATTCTACAAAGGTTCTTCAGGATTGAGAAAGTTGTAATACTCTAATTGCTCCATTTCCCCTCCTGTGGCTGGATCGAACTTACATCTGTAAGAGCTGCAAAATATCACAATTTGATATGAGTAAATAACATCTGTAATAATTCAAGTAGACACATCCATGAAGCATAACAACAAGATACATGAACAAGTTAAAAATGGCCAAAGATCGAAGAAATTCGAGTTGGATCAACTGAGCTCACCTTCCATCCAAACCAAGAATCACCAGTGTATGTTCTCGATGACCAAAAGCAACCATGTATTGGGTTCCTTCAGGCAAACGAAACTGCGCAACTGACCATTCAGAGCTGAAATACTTTGGCAGGAATCCTTCCAAAATAATAATCTATTTTAGTCCCAAGGCATTGACAAATAATCTCTCTATTCAACGATGACAATTTAGTTATTACGCTCGCAAATTAAAAAGTTTATGTGCATTCGCATGCCCACAAACATTTCATTCAACACAAGCAAAACGAGCCAACTTGGATATATATTGGAAGAAAAAGCAAGAAAAGAAGTCAATAAACGGCTCCGATTATATTCAATCAACCAAGGATCATAAAGATTCTGTAATTTCACTATACCAAGTTATTAAAACCAAAGCAAAGAACTTATAGGCTCCATTACTCTTATGTGATTGTTCAAAATACACAGATGAATATAACTATAACAAACTTCGTACCTTTTATGAAAGACAACTTAGGTATTGAAGTCACACTCCAACTATTTGGATTCGGGCTGTTTGAACTTTCATTCCCACTTTCAGGATCAACCTTAACCTTAGCCTTAAGGCTAAATACATGAATAGTACCCTTATCACTTGAGACAGCCAGCCACTCTGACGTGGGCGAGAATGCCAGGCTATAGATATCTGCTCTGTCTGCACCTCTCCTTACCTGTGTCGAATTTTCAATTAAGTCCTACATCTATATTTCCATGAATGCAAGATACTTAACAAAGAAGACGAGACAAAATCCAAAGTTAATCTTGTCCAATGTAAAGATCTAGGATCACCCTAAAGCATATCATGATCCAATAAATGTAATGATTGTTCATACACAAAATAAATCTTCAAGTTCGAAACGATCCAATTTGTTAGGATTAAATCATGATCACAATCACAAATTCTTAGCCATTGCTTTCAATTGCACCATAACTTGATGAAAACATATTATGTCAGACTACACATATATTGAAATTTTTTGTTGATAACAATTTACCTCCTGCAGCAAACTACCATTATCGGTATCGAATACACGAATCAGTGTCCCTTTGGTGCTAGCAGTGGCCAGCAGATTCCCATTCTGAGAGAGTGCAAGGCACGCAATTCTTGAATTATGAGCTGAGATTAACTGTGTCTTATTCAGACCCAAATGTTCAACTCTGACTTCCCCCCTTTTCAACCCTGGACAGGCCAATACCAATGGCTCCGCAACCTGAGTCACAACACAGAGCCCCTTAGGGTTTTCAATTGTCTCAATTTCATGCAACGATTTCAAATCAGCAAAATCGTAGACGAGAACGTGTTGCTCAAGGACGACAATTACTCGATCCCTCCGCAATCGAACCCCGCGCACTTCAGACCTCACAGATAATTGCCCAGTAAAATGGCTTTCGCGGTCGTCCCAAATCATAACCTTGTTCATCGGAAACTCTGGCGAACTTCCACCGCCAACCAAAGCAAGTAAGTTGGTTCGGAAAAGCATCTCAACGGTGCCAATTCCTCCTCCGTTTCCGGTAAAATCGCGCCTAAAAATCTCACGAAAGGGATCACAGCCATAGATTTGGAATCCCCGATCGGTTCCCGCAGCGAAGCAGCCATAATCCTGGTTGAAGGACAGGTGTAGGAGCTTGACCGGGCTAGGGTTTGGGTTAGGTTGAGGGTTTGTGGGATAACTACTGAAATCATCGATGAAACTCATCGTAGACTCGCTTCCGCCGCCGTCGAGAACGTCAGTTTTGTCATCCGGCGGAGGCTCCGGCTGAAAACGCTGGTTCTGCTTCTCTAGGTTGGGCTGCATCTTGGGGGAAGCATAATTGGCGCTAGAGTCAGGGCTGCCATGCCCGGAGAACCTGGAGATAGTCACCATGGAAGAAGAGGGGAAGAGCGCAAAAGAGAAGTCTTGGGAGGGAGTAAACAAATAAACAAGGTTGGTTGGTTTCGGATTCGCATGAAATCAATTTTGCCCTAATAATTGGGACAACTAATGGGCCGAATTATTGGCCCAAAACTACGTTCATTAAAATAGGTTTCATCAACAGAATTATATTGAGTATTTTTCTTTTTTTTTTTTGGTAAAAGTTTCTAATTTTATTATTTTTTTAATAAAATATTATATTAATAATTCTTTAAATACAAAATCTAAATCAAAATTTCTCAACTCAAATCCAAAGAAACACATTTTTTTTTTCTTAGTTTGGATTGAGAATATTTAGTTGATGATATAATATTTTTTTAGGGGAATTCTTCTTCTTCTTCTTTTTTTTTTTTTTTTTTTTTAAGAAACATAAAATAAAAATAGTAAAATTTATTATTATTATTGCGAAAGAAACATTACTATTATTACTATATACATATATATGTTACTGTGTAAGTAGCTAGACTAGCAGACTCACAAAGCATGAATTAACATGGCCAAACAGTAAACCTGGATTATTATCTGTTTGATTTGATGTTCTTTTATTTTATACTAATTTGATTCCTGTGCTTATATATCACTACTGCTAACTGAGATCCCACCCCAAAATGCACTGTATAGATATGTAATTACTTAAGACTGTTAGTAACTAAAAAAAAGGAACCTGTAGTGGTAATGGTAACTGATAATATAATCAGCTGTAATAAACATCGATGGAATTTCGAGAAGTAGAGTAGAGTAGAGTAGAGTACAGTACAGTACAGTCGTCCCAATCCAAACTTCATCAGAACAATAATTAATCAAACTGATAAACATCGAAATTAAAGAAAATTAGCTTTAATTTCCAGAAAATGAACTCGACAGTAGTCACCAGTAGTACTTTTGGATCTTCTTCCAATTAATCCCTCTCTCAACGACCTTATAAATTATCAAAACCCCAAGAATTAATGGTCTGCATAAATTAAATTAAATATATATATATAAATCAAATTATTTAATTTAACTTACTAGGGTTTCGACATTTTTGGGTCCCTTAATTAGCTGCTTCTTCTTCTTCTTCTTCTCTACATGAGATGAAACTTGAAGGGCTCCGGTGAATCCTCCGGACTCCGGCGGCGGTGATTGCCGGAATCCGACCTGTCGATGGCGGTGGCGGCCTTGTTCTGATTGGCTCTTTCTTCTTCAGCCTCCCTGAACTTAATTAGATACCTTTTGAGAGGCTCGGCATAGTCGTCAAACCCTAAGCTCCCCAAAGCCCAGCAAATATCGTCTCCATTAATGGTTTTTCTCTTCTCCTTTAAGCACTTGTCGGAAGCTTCGCCGGTGACGAAGCTGATGAACTCCGACACGCATTCTTGCATCGTTTCCTTCGATTCTTTCGAGATCTTCGCGTTCGGCGGGAGGATCTGCTTCATGATCCGGCCGACATTCGCGATCGGCATCAGCCGATCCTGTTCTTTAATTATCAGGCTGCTGCTTTCGTCTTCTCCGCCGGAGTTGCTGCCATGGCCGCCGGTATTAGTTGCAGGAGGGTACCTGATAACGCCTCTTTTGCTGTCTGAATTCCAACAGTAGTGATCTATGTTATCGACCATGTTTTTGTGTGTTTAGAAGATTGAAATTTTAATTAAGCCCTAAAATTATTATTTGGTGTCGATCCTCTAAAACACAGACACGTTGCGTTTTGCCTCATTTCACTAATGCCCTAATTTTGACTTTATATAGACGACACCACACACAGCTCCTATTAGGGTTTGTTTATATATATATATATATATATATTTGATTAGGGTTTTTTTTTAAAAAAATAAAATAAAATATTATATTGTAAAAAAAAATAATAATAAATTAAATTGAAAAAAATAAAATAAATTAAGGATTAATATCTGGCGGACACCTGTATGGAGATGCTAATTAAGGGCATATTGGCAGGCAAGATTTGCCTGAATAACAAGTACTATCAATGAGTTAGGTCACTTTAATTAATTTTATAATTAAATAATTAGTAAATAATAATAAATGGGTTGTACTTTAATTAGCAAGTTATATTAATTAATTGCGTAATTGTTCAATATTTTAAGTTAATTTAATTATGTCGTCTGCCTCCAGCTCTTTCAACAATGGTCCCCTCCCACTTAGCCTTCGTCTGGAATCAATAATAAATATATATATATATATAGTTTAATTAATTGATTTAAATTTAATTAGTAATAATATTATACTAGCATAATTTTGGATTAATTAATTATATAATGTTGTCAAATGTATACGTAGAGTACAGCTTCTGGCAGAGTGCAAGCTACCAAACAAGACCTAAAAAGAACCAAAATTTTCAGGGTTTTAATCCAAACCCTAATATGTTGGATTACCTACTCTACTTGTACTCTCTCTCTCTCTCTCTCTCTCTCTCACACACACACACACACTACATCTATATATATATATACACGTGTATGTATGTATGCACACATCCTTGTCATCATTTTATGAATTTTTAACATAAATATTGCATATATATATATATATATTGTGGATATGTGTAATGTGTTCAATACATCTCTTTTTCAAGAACTGGAAGAAGTTCAATTATATATTCTAATTAATAGTGTGATCCATAGAGATTGGGAAATTGACGTTGAACTTATCTATTATCATAAAATATGGGTGTGTTTACTTATGTACTCTTGGTGATTTTAGATATTCTGAAATTTTGAATAAAATTTAAGTATGAAATGTGATATTTTTCTAAATGAAATTAATTATGGTGCGTTACACATAATCTTTTGAATTAATTTTTAGGAAAAGAATATTGATGGTAGACTAAGGGGGTGTTTAGTAACAGCGTTTTGAAGAGCTTTTAGCTGTTTGACCAGTCAAAACGTTAATTTAGGTGTTTGGTAAATTAGCTTTTTAAAAGAGCTTTCTGACCCAAAAAACTAATTTCTGAAAAGTTCATCTACCCAACGTTTTGAAAGAGTTTTTTCATTTTAATTTTGGTTATTCCTTATTTACCCTTAAAATTTAATTATTTATTTTTTACATATAAATATATTTTTATAGTAGTATTTATTAATTATTTTTAATATATTTAATTTATTAAATTATATTTTTATTTTTATTTGTAAATTTAAAATAATTACTATTATTAATTATTAGATATAAATTATTTTATTTGTAAAATATATAATTTAAAACTAAATCAAATAGAAAAAACAAAGGTTATTAATTTATTTATATATATTAAAATAATAATTAACATAAAATAAATATATATACGAAAGATTTATTATTTTATATTTTACATAATTTTAATAAAAAATTATTATTTTCTAGTAAAAATAATTTTATCGATCTAAATAATAAAAATAAAAATAAAAATTTTATAATTTTCAATAATTAATAACAAAAATTCTCATAAATTTCAAACCAAAATAAACAAAATTAAATATTTTAAAAAATAACGTATCAATGTCCTTAACAGTCATTTTTATGTATAAACAACTAATGTCAAACAGTTGTTTTACCAAACACTTTAAGATAAACAACTAATTGAATCAGCTAGTCAAACCAACTAATTGAATCAGCTAACAGCTAATTGAATCAATAACTAATTGCGAAACGCACCCTAAATAGTTTTTGAATGAATTTGGAAACAATTAATTAAACTCAAACACACTAACAGTTGGATTCAAGTTAGGACTGTTTTCTCTTTCAAAAAAAAGCTAAACAATTATACTTCCTCTCTCCTATAAAATAATATATTTATTTTTGAATTCGATCGTCTCAAAATAAAATACAATAATTTTTTAAAAAAATAAATTGTATAATTTATTTAAAATTAAAATAATTTTATAGCTTATAATATAATACTTTATTACACAAATGTTATTAATTTAATTTAACAAATATCAACTAATAGGGATGTGAATATTGTTTTATCTTTATTTATATTATATATATATATAACATTAATATTTAAGAATCTATATTTAAAAAGCAAAATAATAGTACATTTTTCAGAACAATAAGGGAGCATATAATTTGTAAATTAATATTAGAATGTCCATTTGGTTTGTGTAAGTATTTTTTATTTACTTAATTTCATGTGATATTATATATATATAAATGTTTATTTAACTTTTTGTTTTGGTAAGAATAAGGCTTTAGAGTGTGTCTACTCAATAATTCTTTTTTGTTTTTTTACTAAATTATTATAGTTTTTTGTAAAATTATATTATTTGCTTTCATAAAATAATTATATTCAAAATATTATTCAAATAAAAAAATAAAAATCCGAAATCTAAATTTTTTGAATAATAAAAAATTTAAATCATAATGTTTATTTGATATAAAACACATAAATATAAAAGTAAGAAATAATAATAACAATTAGAATAAATCTTCGAAAAACTCTCAACCAAATGCATTGAAGATCATCTTTATGAGAGCAATTTTATTTTTTTTTAATGAATTTTTTTACTATTTATCAATTTCATATAATAAAAAAATTAATTTTGTAATATGTAGTTGTTGTTGTTTGATATTTTGTAAGATTTTTGGAATGAACAAATAGAATTTTTATTATTATTATTTTTTTTAAGTTTGAAAAATTAGTCCCTCTCCTGTCCCGGTCTGGTTCGCCGTGTCCATATGGTTATGTTTGTTTATGGGTTTTGATCCAAAATTTAACTATTAATTAGTTTTTTTAATATATCAATTAAATATCTATTTTTTATATTAATATATAAATTAATTTTAAAATTTAAATATTAGTTCAAATAATTATTTTAATTAAAAACTTTATTATTTAAAACCCAAAATCCACCCTCAAACCTACAAACAAGCACACTAAGCAAATGATGAGGAAATGGATAAGATCCAAATGATGGTGATTGCTGATTAAATATATATATATATATATATGTAAAATAGGTAATCTTGTAATTTAATTAAAATATATCTAATATGGGTATGAAACACAACGCAAGCATGCATTAAAATTATAAAAGTAGTAGTCTAATCTAG